ATAGATAGATAGATAGATAGATAGATAGATAGATAGATAGATAGATAAGCATTGTAATCGACATACAGTGATTCTCTGTACAGTCTGTGAATCTCTGTAAGGTTTTTATTGTTGCTCTGGAAAGAATAATTGTGTTTATATGAGCTCCCTTGCAGGTGCAAGATATTATAATTTACAAGCTACTTTCGTTTCCACATACTTTCCCACATTTGTGTGTCCTCTGTTTATGCCCTGAATCACCAATTGATCCATAAAAAACATTTACATATACATATCTCAGCAAAGTTATCCAAAAAAGATAGATTGATGTCATCTTAGTCATATATGTGGATACATACTTTGTTTTCATTAGGTGCTGTCATCGTGATACAAACAGTATATAAGAATGGTATGAGCCTCTTTTTCCTATTTCACTGCCTCACGACTTTGAAACAGAATTCCTGTTTTTGGACTTTTTGCCAAACAGTGTAGTACTTAATAAAAAGTATGACAAACAAAAATCAGCTAAGTCCTGTTAAATCCTTTCCCATTAAGCTTTTATTTACACAGTAACTGCATGTGAATTGTAAATATGGTGCCCATGAAGATGACAGCCATGGTCACAATGCATGAATAAGTAGATTTGGTCAGAAACATTCTTCTGGAACAGATAAAGGTATTTCAGTAAAGTGTCATTGTGTTATTAACTGAAATATAGCCAAAAAACGTTTTAGAAAAAATCTCATATTACAAATGACTTAATAATAGAAGAAGCTGCCAGTTGCTACAAAATCCAGTTCCCATAGAACGCTGTCTGAACAAATATAGATAAGCTCTCAGTTAGCAAAATTATGAAATACTCAGCATGGAATTAATTATTGTAAAAATAAATACAACACCCTTGCCAAGAAAGGGGCACACCATAAAAACTCTTTGACCAGACAAGAGGGGCATTAATCAGAGAAGCTACAAAAAGGCTAAAGAATGGTTTGAGCTCTGTGGTTTATTCATTACACCAGTTTATACAGCATACTTAGAAACTTTATGGAAGAGTGACAAAGGTAAAATATTTATAGATTTTTTTTGTAGATCACTAAAGATATTGAGATGTTTCCTCAAACATGAGTGAGAAAAGCTGCTTTCATCAGATGTATCTCAGACTTTTCTTTCTGCCCATCAATTAAAATGTTTCACAAATACCGAGAGCCTTTTTCATCCTGACAAAGTAGATGATGCCATTTCAGCTTTTCCCATCAGTACGTTTGGGATTGTCACAAACAGGACACTGAACTTCACTGCCCGTTCAATGTTTGACCAAAGATACATCAACACGCAGCCTGAGGTCAGACCTCTGACTAGTTCCTACCAATGCTCAGCAAAAGCCGCCATCCCTGAGCCACAGCCGCCCATCATCCCGACAAAGTGGCTCAGGGAAATGTCCTGGGGTTAATTTATCATCAAGACAATGGATTATTTTCATTCCTTTGCTATAGACTCTGCGACATTACATTGAATAACTTTGATTAATAGAAAAGGTGCAGTGGCATAAAGAACACAATGTGTGCATGTCAATAACTAAACGAGCTTCAGAATATTTAGTTATTTTCAACAAAGTGTGCAGCCTTAGTGCCACTGTCCAGACATTTCAGTGCAAAGCCAACTTGCAGTGGTTTATGGGAAATGGAAAATGTCCTTGTACAGCCAGATCAAATGAGAGTGCTGATTTTGTGTGAGAATCTGTGTTCTGTCTTAAAACTTCACCCAGTTGGAAAGAACTGAGGTAGTTCTGCCTTTGGAAATGGGCAAAAATCCCAGTAGTTAGATGTGCCAAACCAGCAAACTCCAGCTCTAACAGATGCAGACAGAGCTTCCACCAAACTGCCACCAAGTCTTTGTGGAGTAAAATGTAACATCACCTCAAGTTTGTAAAGAATTGTTTAACACTTATGTTACTGATGCTCAAAATAGTTTACATGGTGTGTTTAACCCAAAACCTATTTCAATTTGAGGTTGTATAGCAGAATGATTAAACTGGGGGTCAACACTTTCACTTGATTAAACTGGGGGTCAACACTTTCACTTGATCTGCTTTGGTGTGTACTGTATTGTACTGTTTGGGTTCAAGGAATGGGAAATTAAGCCACTTACTGTCTTTGACGTCATTGTGGCTATTTGGTTATGTGAGACTTCTAACAAATGAATAACTATTATAAAAGCAGCAGCCTCCGAACATTTCCTGCATATCAGTTGAACCACAGGTGCAGGTCAAAATGCAGGTGCAGGGGATTATTGAAACTAACTGTGAATATGCAAAGCCACAAAAATCTGTCATACACAATGTGAAACCAGGTTTAAAAAAACTGTCGAAAAGTTTACCTTATGCAACAATTTGCACACATTTACAGTAATTTAAATCATGTTTTTTTTTTCTTCTTGATAAGCGACAAAAATCCCCATCATTGCTCAAATTACTGTGCATGCCGTCTTACTCTTAACAGAAGTTTTATCGGCGACTCTTTCCTGTAATGGTCTTGCTGTTCTGTTATTCTCTTTAAAATACTACAAAAGTGTTCAAGTCATTTCACACATTTAATCAGTCCATCGTTTTTCTCATTGCTCTTTTAGATATCTCGACAGGTGTTGATAAGGCTGCTTTCAGATGAACTTCAACAGCCTTTGGACATACTTAGCCCTATATTTACATATAGTGAGTCAGCCTATGCTTAAAACAATACAACTTAAATATACGAATTCAGTGGAATAAGAAACCTGGAGGTATGAATTAATTTACATACATATGACTGAAGAACAAGTACAAAAGTTAAGGTGGGCATATTTAGGTGTAGGTTTGATGTCATGTTTTGTTTAGGGTCAAGAGAAAAGGCGTTCCCTAAAATGTTATAGTATCACAGTCAAGAGGGAGCCGAACCCTAAATGTCCAAGTTGAGCCTACTGGGTGCAGACCTTGCAGTTACTCTGTAGGCAGTCATTCATGACGTGAATGGGTTCTTGGCAGCCATGGGTAGAAACTGAAGTTTAGTGAGGAATGGAGTAACTTAGCTCCTTTTCACCAAATGTGCCACTTATGCAAAACAGGGAGAAATACTAGAAAACCTTTGCAGAGATTGAAGAAGATTATCATGATTTGTAAAAAGATGGATTACACACAGTAGAGAGCAAATTGGCTTCCTTAGCGGCTGTTGCTCAGGAGGGAAGCGCGGTGGCCCCCTAATGGGAGGGTCAGTGGTTCAGCTCCATGTTTCTCCGGTCTACAGGTTGAATACTTCTTGGGCTCGGACCTGAACCCCAAGTTGCATACTGGTGTGCGAATAAGCAAATGTCATGTAGTGTAAAGTGCTTTGAGTGGTCAGTTTGACTAGAAAAGTGCTCTATAAGCACACATCTATTTACCTTCCTGCCTCACTGACAACTGATGCAAGGTCTGGCAAAACATACCGGACCTCAACTGAGCCAAAACAGTTATCTTGGTCTTATGTAACCAAGTAACTCTTATATTAACTGGGCTTGTATTTATGTGGGTAATATGTGACTCTGAGTTTGTGCTAAGAAACAAACAATTTTCTCTTTTTTAACCTTAATGCTTGCTTTTCTTACTGCTGAAACTGTGTCTCAGTTTATTTTTCGGTTGATCTTTAATCTTCCTGTTCCCTTTTTTATATTTGTGATGAGTCATTTTTATTTCCCAGTTCATCTGTGTATTCTTTTCCATATGGATCCATGATACAGACATACAGATATTCTCATTGCTAAGGTTTAATTTTGAGAAACCACAACAATAACTGCAGAGATGTTTAATGAGCTACATATTGCATAATGTGGTGTTAGATCACTTTTTCTCCCTCATGGTTAAAATCCAGTTGCTGTAGAACATTTTTTCCTTGTGCTGATATGAGACATAATTTTCAGAACTGAAAATTGTACTTAGTAGCTTCTGTGTGTGTGTGTGGTGGTTGCGGTAATAGATCAAGCACGTACAGCCCGGTGGTGTTTGCTTTAAATGAGAGAGTGTCCTCAGAAGCACATGACGGGGCTGAGCTGCCAGAGACACTTGGCCCTGCAGGAGATATATTTCCCAATCATGGACTTTTGTGCTTTTTCTACTACATGACCCTCTCTGGACTGAGGCAAGCACTTTATCTTTTTTATTGCCAGTTATAGATGTCCAAAAGCACACTGAGCTGAAATAAAGAAAGAATAATCAGCCTGGAACTGTGTGAGGCTTGCAGACAAAGTACCAGAAAGGCAACTGTGAGTGATCACACGCTAGGAAGGCATCTGATCTGTGTCAATACATCTAGAACATGTATTCCATAAGCAGATGGTAAAGGCCCCACAGAGCTCTGATATCCACATAAAGGTTGAGGTGAGAAATAATGCGACAACTTAAATCCAGAGGTCTTCAGATTGCCTTGAAAAGTATGCACAAGTTAAGCGAGGTGTTGTTTAAAATGCAAAGGAAGTTGGCTCTTAAATATTGGTTCAGGTTGTTTCTCTTTACAGATCATTGTATAGGTAAACTGATCAATAAAAAAACAAGAGTCATTGATTTACTTCTGAAGACTAAATCTTTTACAAAAAACTTCTGGTTCAACTACAAATGGCTGGCAAAAAACACAGAAATTTGTACTTACAGAGCACAGTAAGTATTTTGCTGGCAGAGATAGAGGCCAAAAAGCCAATAAGGATCAGGAGGGTAGCCAGACTCCTCAAACAAACAATATGCCGATTCACTCCCTGTGAGCCCGATTAGACACAAAACAATCCACATTACAGTCGCTGTCAATTAATCGCCTGACTGCGAGTACATAACAGAAGCATTAAGGTTTAGCTTGGAACAGATCATGAGACATAAGTAAATAAAGGCTAAAGTTTTTCTATTTGTGCTCCACTATGTTACATTTTTATATATATAAAAAAATCTGAAAAAGTTCCATCATTCAGGGTCAGATTCACCCCAAAGATAATGAGTCAATTAATATCTTTCCTGGTTATATTTAGTTATATAGAGAGGTGTTGCAGCAACAGGAATGATATATGTACACACATGTACAAGGTATAATTACACGCGTATAATAACACACGCATAATTACACACACCTAATTGCTCTTTGCTTTGAGACATGGACAGGTGAAACCAAAAGTAGCTCGTATTATATTGGTCTGCTGCAGGAAATGAATGCTGACCCAAAGCAGACCACACAGTGTGACAGACATGATGTAATCAGTATCAGTTTCCGTCACTCTTTCACTCAAGCATTTGCAGTTTGATTTTAGCTAAATCAAAAATAACTTACACAGAAACAACAAGCCGATGAAATCCAGAGGAGAGGTAGGGCTGTAACAAAGAATCCAATGAATGTTGTTTTTCTGGGATGTCAGATGTTAGAAAATGACCTTCAATTGCTGCCAGAAATAACAGAACAAACTCTGCCAGTGTAAAGAGTCGAGCTCAGATTAATCTGAATTAAAAACAGATGGGTCTGGGTTTCTCAGCACAGATGGCTAATGACTCCAAACCCATGAAAGCAACTCAAGAGCGTCTTATCAAATACAGAATTTTCATTTACCCAAGAGGTAAAAAGTAAGTAAGACCTAAATAAAGAATAAAATATATCAGCTCTCAGGGCACAGAAAAGCTTCGGCTTGGCTCAGTCAGATTTCAGGCCACCATAAGTGAGTCTAAGTTCATTCTAAGGTTTTCTTCAATATGTAACTACTTATCCTTTGAAAAAGGATGGAGGATAGGCCTATTTCCTAAACAATTATGCTAACATGTTTTCAACCACTTGAATAAAAACTGAGGCCTCACAATTGAAGTGGGTTGTTTGTTTATTTTACCCAAAAAAACTAACTTTACTGCTAAGAAGGATACAAGTCTAACTATTCGAAATGCTAACGTAAAAACATGTTTTATTAGACGTTATGCTGGTAAATCATCTGTCTGGGGCTAAAAAGTCAAAACAACGGCTAAAGCATCAGCACACTCAAAGAAGGAAAATAAAATCTGTTTTTTAAACATTATTGACATAATCTTCCAATAGCCCGGCATGCATCAGATTTTTTTTCCAAAAGTCAATATTCATTATTGTGCTGACAGACTGAATTAATCTGTTCTTTTATTGGTTGATCTTCCGATTATCACCTTAAATCTTCCTGATGGCAACACATCAGACTGTGAATTACACACGTGTCTGTCTGTTGCAACGGACACACAAAGTACCGTTGCTGTGTTGGAGGATGAGCCTGTTCCCTCCAGGAGTCTACTCCTCTGTGAGCGCCCGCAGGCTGGTGCAGTTGTCCCCCTCCTCCATGTCTGTTGTGTCCTTGTTAACACCCCCTTTCTTGTACTGCAGCTCCTCTACTCCCTAAAGGCTTTGGCATCTGTGATCCCAAGCAGCAATATTTCTCCTTGAAATGAAATTTGTCCCCGCTGGTTGATTTATTGAGGCCCACCGCCACCACAACACCACAAGTGTTAAACAAATATTCTCAGAGAGGTTCTGTGCAGTAAAAAAAATGCTGTGCCTCTGACTCCGAAAAGTCCAGATTTCTGTTCCTGAAAATGGGAGGCTCCTCTTTGTTGGATTTCTTCATATTCTCCCTCAGTTTAAAATGTATTACCCAATCTACATGTTTTCCTCACTTCCCAGCTTTGGTGGGAGGTTTCGGATATCTGGAGAATGACTCAGGCTGTTTCAGGTGCAGAGGAAAGTAACAACAAGTTCCCTAAAATTCCCGTCAGTGATTAAGAAAATAGAAAGTGTAATCAGGCCAGAGTTCTGACGAGAGAGCAGCTGGACGCCGTATGGATGCTTTTTTTTTTTTTAAATCAAGTATGAAGTACAGAAATTGAGGTAAAAAGATTGATCATGTAGCATTAAAAAAAAAACACAATTCTTCCACAACACTGACACAGAGATGAACACTAAAGATCATTTTCCTGCCTTAATTAATATGGTTTAAATAGCAGAACCTAATGGAAAAGAAGAGCCACCAATGTTAGAAGCAACATTCTGCCAAGGGAAAAAAAAGGCAGTCTGTCAGAGGAAGGTAGGCATCTGGTGTAGAGGTGATATTGTTGCAGCCGTTCTTCTTATGAAGGGAATACAAATAACTTTCAGCACACATATTCAGCCAGCGCTGAGTCACACTATGAAGGCCTCGGACTCTACCAATTTTTAATCAGACGATTGGGACAGAGAGAAGACTTTGTTCCTGGTAAATAACACCAAATCTACGTGGCAAGACTCCATTATCAAACATTTGTTGATCTAACCCTGTGACTAAAGAGAGAGGGTGCCTTTTCCAAAGGGGTTGGTCATGGCAGAGAAAATTTGATGAAACCCCGCACAGCAGGTCACCATCAGTTTGGCTGCACAGGATTGCACCATCTGAGTTTTTACGTGCTTTGATGATCGAGAACACTCCAATCTGTTCGATATGTTTGTGCAATCTGTACTTTCCTCTCCTCTAGTTTTAGTACATAAAGTGGGCTATAAAACATCCAGAGAGCACAGAGAGAGCACACAGACGTTTGTGGACTTCGGCAAACTCACAGGCATGATGAATCTGATCAGAAATCAAGGTAAGACGCTCTTCATCAGCGGGCGAGGTCGGAGTTGTCTGCATGCTTGTGTTCTAATGCTGCATCTGCCCTGTCAACAGGCGCTGTCCTCAGTGTCCTCCTCAGCCTCTTGGTCTCTCAGATCTCCTGTCAGGATCCAGATAGAGACGTTGCCTATTTAAAAGTGAGGCTGGCTTTGTTGAAAGACCACTACAAGCTCATGTGTAAGCATTACTCCGGTCTTGCACAGAACTGCTCAGCTCCAGGTAATGTCCGCTCCTCATTCAGAAGTCTTCAGATGAGAGATATTTTGTGGTTTTACCGTTTGTTCGTGTATGCTGTTTTACAAACAGTTTTCATTCATTTGCTGTAGACTTCCCAGCCATCAGATGCACAGAGTGTCCTGATGGTTGGCTTCAGGTGGAGGATCAGTGCTTCCACCTCAGCACTGACAGACAGGATCAGGCTGCTAGTGCTGAGGAATGTAAGAAGATGGATGCCCGTCTTGCCATCCTGACGACCCCAGAGCAGCATGTAAGTGTCTCTGTGTGCAGTGGCAGAAAGTATTTGATGTGCTTTATCATTCCGACATGGGCATTAACTTGGATTCAACACATTTTCAGGACGCTGTGGAAAAAGAAGGCCGGAGGATTGGAGGATTTTACACAAACTATTGGATTGGGCTGAGTGATATTGAGAATGAAGGAGAGTGGAAATGGGTGGATGACTCTAAGCTTACTGTTCCGTGAGTATTGTTCCCTTTTAATCTAATCTGTGGAAGCTAAAATATGCTGTTATTGTCTACAGTTTTTCAAACCAACAAAGACAATGCAAGCTGTGAGCTTCAGTTTAAGGGTTAAAAAAAACACAAACATCACAGATGATGTTTATATTCTGAAGGTGGGGGCTAAAACTCATACAGACAATATGATATATTATAATCTAATACTCTCTATATGGCATGAATGCTTATGCCCCCCTTACTATGAATAGACTTACAGATACACAGAACAGGAGCATTGAAAAATGTATAGTTTAATGGAGGCCCCAACGTTACAGATGTCCCAAATTGGCCCCACTCCCACTGAGGGAAGGCAGTTTGGCTCCCGCACACAGTGGGATTATTTTGGTGCACAAGGGTAGAGTCCCAGAAAAGCTTGTTGTTTTCAAAACGTATGATGTTCAGCCAGAGATGAGCATCATCAACAAAGACGAAGATATATGGATGTGTTCAGCATTATTTCAGTGTGGAAGTTCACTGTACTGAGCTGATGAGCTGTAAAGGACAAGCCCATACAAATTATTTTGTACAGTCGGATTATTTTTTCCTTGTTAAGGCGAAGATGTGGTTAAAGTGTTTAGATGATCCGTTTGTTAAAGGTTTATGCATTTCCTTTCCAAACCTCGTGGTGGTGCTTGAGAGTCGTTCTGCTAAGTCTGTAGCTATTTGTATAAAATTATCAAAACAACTAATCAGTTAGTTGTTGAAGCATCTCAATGTGAACTAAATTGCTGCACATACTGTATCTTATGAGCCAAACTGCTTAAATGGTGGAAAAATTTTGTGAGTATATCCTGATGACAGAACCAGATGCTTGAACTTTGTTGTATTGTGTAGACTCCCTCTTGATTCTAGACCTATGCATGTGTGTTCCCGCCAGATACCTTCATACCTTCAAACTTTATCAAAAGAAGGCTTTTTTTTTTTTTTAATTCACAGATATAGACACTCGCTAAAAAAACAAGTCATACTGATTTCTTTCCTCCATATTCTTGGCACAGTTTTTGGAACGTGGAAAAGGCTGAGCCGGACAACAACGTGTCCGGTGGCCCTAATGGAGAGGACTGTGCGGTAGTAGACAGCTACAGCCGGACCTGGTACGACGTTCCTTGTGACTTTGCGTACCCAAGGATCTGTCAAAAGGCTGCCAACCCTCTGCCATAAGAAAACACTACTGCAGGAGCATATTCACCAATGATTGATACTTTATTGAAAAAGGTCATGGTACAAGTGGGACAGAGAACATTGTTTTTACTTTTTACAGTTTATTCTAATTTACAAATAAATCTTTTCTGTCACCAGAAAATGGCCCTGTCTCCATCAATAAGATTTATAAATATACACAGAAACATACACACACACACACACACACACACACACACACACATATATATATTTATGTATGTATGTATGAACATGTAGATATGTGTATATAAATGGTGTGACAGGAAATTAAGCCAGTAAAATAACATAAATCAAATGAAATCACACAATCACAGAAACCAGAAAACATCATTATTATGCATGCAGTGTGATTGTTGCACGCTTAATATACATTTCAAGAAAAACATTTGAAAAGATGGGAAATAACAATATATGAATGTCCAGTTATTCTGATGCATTTTCTGGGCCAGAGTGCATTTGAGATCGATTGAGGGGAAGTAGAAAAACTGTCCTCTGATCTGATGCATCCAAACATGAAAGGTTTGAAAGAGGGGCCAGCTTCTATGTCATCACAAAGTGAGCACTTATGATGATCCACTAAAAAATGAGTAACACTCAAAACAAGCCATCATTAAGGTATATTTATAGATATAAAAAGATTATGCGTTGTTTATCTCAGCAACATAAAAACAAACCTATTTTTTATACCCATTACGACAAACTGTAAGAAGAAATACAACAAATTGTCATCCCTGATCTGAGTTAAATTGAATATAGGGTTAAAATCAGCTTTTGATTTAAACTAAAACATGAAACTGCATGTAAAACCCATCCAAATCGTCTATGTACAGCTGCAAAACAAAATATGACAGGTTCATCTGATAGCTCAACAATTTTATACAAAACAATACAGTTGGATACTTTTTCATCTTTCAGACTCTCATCCAGAATTGTCCTTTGAAACAGAGGTGCACAGTTCAGTGGATAAAGACCACCTTATCGGGACAGCAATTCACCTGGCTGCCATGTGCTTGAATGGATGTCACTCTGGGACACATCATGTTCTGTAGAATCCTCTGGGCTTGGGGCTGAAAAAGAACATAATCTTTTTTAGTAATGTACAGATACAGAGCTTTACAAAAGATTTGAATGGCTGAACGTGTTGATGCCAACTCAGGAAATGGCTTTCACATACTTTTTGCATCGGCAGAGTTGGTGCCTAAGGTATCTTCTCTTCTGATGAAGGGAGACACAAAGAGAGATAGACATCAGTAAAACTGTTAATACCGTGTTCATATTTCTGTGTGATCCAGCAGAAAAAAGTCAGAGTAGTTAAACTGTACTTGTCGCCGTCGGCAGAGGATGAAAGTGAGGACACAGAGGAGCAATAAGATGACTGCAGCGCTGCATATGATCACCAGCATCCACACACTCAGGAGAGGTTCTGTGGACATAGGAGACTCATTAATATACAGAGAGAACGTCGTGTCAAACCGAGCCACCTTTGGATAGGAGGTGCCGCTGGTGTCATGTTTCCTGCCTCCTCTCTCTTCCTGTGCTCACCGATCTTCAGGGTTGTCACAGCTGATGTCAGCAGGGCTTTGTTCTGCCACAGCTCACACTTCCACTTTCCACCAGCCTCCTTGCCCACTTTTGGGATGCGTAGAGAGGAGTCGGTGTTTGACGGGGACAGCGTGCGAGGTGGGACGATTTTCAGCCGCATATTGTCGGGGAGCGGTTCACCGGTGGTACAGCTCACGTTGAGTTGCTTACCAGAAACGACTTCTGTTCCCGGAGAGGGGATGACTGGGCAAAGGAGAGAATAAATACTCAGACTAAAAGCATGCAATGCCTTTATCTGCTCCAACTATTTCTGAAATTATTTGGACCAAAATAATGACTAAAGTTGCCCTGAGACTTGAATAAAAGCAGTACAACTCAGCCACACTCCTAAAGCGGCTCTCTTTTCTAATTTTGTGAAAACTGGTTAGGTTTTAACATTAAACTGAGGTGTCTCAACAAACACCTGCAACCCTGTCATGTAAGACTACCAAGGTGTGTTTTTATTTCTTTAATCTCTGGAGAAGCCCACAAGCTCATGGCAGAGGAAATATGAGCAAATTATCATGAAACTGGTGCATTGGCAGCTGAAATGGAAACACATCACATGCTCAGAAATAGGAGATAAACTTAAACATAAGCATGCAGCGCACTAACTAATCCAAAGGTTTTTATGAAAGACCATCAAGAGGAAGCAAAGAAAAGAAAAGAAAGAGTGTCAAATAGTTTTTACTTACTTTGCAATACATCCACTTGTATGGTACTGCTAAGAGTCTTTTCATTGTCAAAAGTCATGGAGCATTTGTATTCACCGATATCATCTTCTCTCCCCTTATTTCTGGATATAGAAAAATTTCCTTGTGCGTTTCCTTCATCGGCACTGAGTCCTCTGTTCTGGTGTGGGATCCAGTCTGAGGATTTTTTAGGTGAGAGGGAGAGGAGCATCTGTTGCCCCAGACTTGTGGATCCTTTAGGGATGAAGTGCCAGTGAACATCCCTGATGAGCGGTTTTATTTGTTCCCAGGGGATGTCAGAAGGGACGGAACACGGGATGGTGAGGGGAGAGGACGTAGATGTATACAGACGTTTGGGAGCAGGGGAGAAGCCTAAAAGTTAGGAAGTAACGGAAATGAATACTGGAAATGTAATCTTCAAGATACATTTGAACCTCCAGAAAATGAACAAATATGTATCCATAGACCGAAACTCACCCACAACTTTAACAGGAACTTCGACATTCTTGCGTTGTTCCCCTTTATCATTTTTCACAACACAAGCCCACGTTCCACTGTGTTCAGCCTCGACTGTTATTTCAACCTTTCCATTAATAACCCTCTCTTTCTGGCCCTTGGGAGTTATCACCTCTAAGATGGGTTTCTCAAGACCTTGATGATCCACCTTGCATGTCAGTGTTGCTTTACTCCCGGGCAGCAGAGGCAGGGATGGACTCACACCCACTGATACGAGACAGAGAACCAACAAAGAGCGGGGATGGACAGTTTACTCCAATCAATCTAATGCAAATACTCACATTGATCCACTTGAGGAGAGTCATATTATATTACATGCAACGCATATTACATACATTGCTACGGAAATAATGAACTTTGCATTACACTGCCAAGTCATGCAGTTTACATTTACAAATCTGCATCCTGTTGAATTTGAAATCACTGATAATATCAGCTTCTGTTTATACTTACCATCGAGTTTGATGACTTTGTATGTGTCTGTGTGTTCCACCTGACTTTTGGTTTTTTTCATCACACAAAAAAAAGTGTCGAAGTGATTCTCCTGGACACCATTGATGCGGAGTGAATCACCATAGAGGGACAACTTGTCTTTCCAGGGATCCTCTGCAAAAAAAAAAGTTTAGATCTAAATTATTTCTAAATAAAAAATATAAATCTTAAAATTGGTTTGTTTAAAAAACAAAAATCCCTTATACCAAAAACTTCTCACCTTTATTACGATCCTGTCCACCCATCGGGTTGATCCAGGCAAGCAGAGGGCCATTCACGTCATGATAGTACCAGTATATATACAAACCTGTAGGCGTCCGTGTGGGCGAAAGAGTTATAGGTTCTCCAACCTGAGCATACATGACCACCTCAGCTCCTAGCGGAATAAACAGGTATGTTCAGTTCCTGTTAGAAACCAAACCGTTCATTAGATAAATAGATCTACAGTCTGCATGTCTCACCATTTAGTCCCTTCAGCACAGCAACGACAAAAACGATGGTCTGAATCAGGCTCTTCATTGTGGTCGTTGATCTGGAAAATTAAAAATTAAAAAAATAAGATAAAGGATACAAACTTGCAAAATAAAAAAACCAAAAACAACTTCAATTTCCTTGAAGTAGAAAACAAAAATTCTAAAGTGAAAATATAGTCACAATTGTATATTATAGATTAAAATATAATAAATATGCAGAAATTTGAAATCCCCCTTGTTGCTCTCTGTTCAGTTTGCTGATGAAGAAAGGGTATTATGAGATGGTCAAAACAATTAGTACTGTTAAACAAACTACTTCAAACATGATTTAAGGAAAAAAAACCCACATTTTTTCTTAAAAAAACTACCGCAGTCTCCACGACCATAAGGGAAATAAAACCTGAATATTAAGGAATGAACTTACAGTAGGTAAATGTGAAAGGCAGGAAAATGACACATCGTTAACACATTATTTCTATGTATCTAAAATTCTGAGGCAAAGTGAATTCTTTCAGTCGGAAGCAAGGAGAAGGTTGTGGTGGTCTCAGATTTAGAGAGATTTGAGAACATAAAAGCGAAAGACTTCACAGAGCTGAGAGTAGGCGGCCTGTGGTGGGCTTTGGATGAAAAAAAGGAAAAAAAAGCAGACAAAAGTTGGAGGAGAGAGACACACAGAGCGTGTGCTGGGTTGTGGTGGGACTTGATTTACTGAAGGTGCAGATTCATATCCCAATCCTCCCCTCTTGTCTTCCTCCCCCTCTGCCTCTCACACCCCCTCTCTTCCTCCCTTGTTCCACGAAAGACGGATCTCTCCACGCTCAAAAGGAGAAAAAAGAGAGACCACAGCAGCAGCAGCACACCTAGGCTGTGGTTTAAGGTAGATGCTTCTTTTTCTCCTCATCTCACTCCCTTATCACAGTTTGTCTTCTTCTCACTCTCTAAGTGTTGTACTCAAAAACGGTTTCAAAGACTTCTTTATTGAAGAATAGGAACCCAAGTGCTTCAGGCGGCCCCCACCTCTCCTGTACATCAATCCTTTCCAGATATCAAGTTTTTCACTTAAAAGCTTTGCCATTATTTCTTGAAGGACGATTCTTATGTAAATACAGATTTTTTTTCTTTTCTAACGATTCATATTTTAATTGACGTAGGTCTTATTAGTTTATTATTACTATTAATTCTTTAATGAGAGTATTTGAAATCTAAATGAATAAAACATTTAATAGATAAGTATGAGTTCAAGATAAAACTGGTGAATGACAAGAGAAACAAGAGATTTAGTCAAAGCAAAGAGACACTTATTTAGTTGATTACTGTGTGAGGGATCCTAATGAAATGCATTTTGAAATATAAATAAAACAGAAAGACGCAATTACCGCTAGTGTATGCCTCTTTCAGAGTTTTAAATTGCACTTTGATCAAAAATACATAAAAAATAATATTAGATATATATAAATTATATATAATAAAAAAGAAAAGGAAATCTTGTCTCGTGTTGGGTCATTTTTTCCCCCAAGTATAATTACATTAAAGTTTGTACGCACTGCTGATTGCAAAGCTGAGGGTCTAAAGTGACAGTCAGTTCCAGTCAGTGCGTTATTTCTGACATATTCAGATCCAGTTCCTTACACACACTTTCAATATAACTATTCAATTTGAACCATTAGCACTCTTGTCAAATGATTGAATAGAAAATGAATAATTACTTTGTTACAACTGATAGAAGACTCTATTAGAATGAAATGTCAATAGCGTTTGGAGTCTGTGATATTGATGATAAACAGATGATCAAAGTTGTGCACATGTGGAGCTAAAACCCCAAAACCGAGATGATGCTGTCTGAGACAGGATGGGGCTTCTGTGCGACAGTGAATGGGGGGGAGGGGTGGATGAAGAGCAATCAGAAAAAGGAGAGCAGAGGACAAAGAAGTTTTCACAATTTGCCTGAAGTTAACCATCTTTTAATGGTAATTTTTAAGAGTTTTTCTTTTTTTTTTTGCCATGCTTCACAATAAATTTGGAACACTTTCTTGTGTCTTTACTTTCCATTAAATTTATCCTGGAAATAACTGTGTTTGATCGGCCTTTTTCCCTTTTTGTCCCCTTGAAATGAAAACCAGAATTAGGGAAAAAGTATTTCGCATTGAAGTCATGAATTTGTGCTTGACTTTCTTTCCTTTCCACATAATACCTGTTTTATTTTTGTATTTTTTTTGCGTGACATGTTATATTACATCCAAAGGTTCATGCAAAATGAACACTCGTTCAAAATGTGTTGATATAAAATATTATAATATAATATATTACACTTTTATGGGACCACAAATTTAGATGCAGAATTAGAGAAATTAAAAATAAATTGTCCACACAGCGATGGTCTGCTTTGCAGCGGTCATCTGCCGAACACTTACCTGGGGATATATTTCACAAATGAAGCGAGATATGAGAATTACTGTAAAAACACATTCTAAAATGTTACATTATATTATTGTTAGGGAAATTCTCTAATCATGTCTCAGTGAGACAAAGTTTTTCAATAATTTTCATAACAGTATAATGACAGTTGAGTTTTTGTTTGTGAGTGTTTGTTTGTGTGTTTTATGTGTTATAGCTTTTTAAAAGTTGGTGACATATATTATTTCTCTCAGTCATTCTTTGTAAGTCATTCATTGGATCATCACTAGCCTTCACATTATAACTTAAGAAACCACTATTTCACATTCAGGCCTCACAGGGTCCGCTAATGTCTTCTCTGTTGATGTAATTTATGGAAAGTAATGTATTCTTGATGTGTTAATCACACATCACGCTGATGACATTTTCTATATTTCAAATAACGTTAAAGTGTGTGAAGATATTTTGAACAGAGTGTACTCACGAATGTTATTGAGCTTGAGTGTCAAGCGTCCTGGAGTGCTCGCTGATCCGGAGTCAGGCGGAAATGTCTTTTATTTGTCAAATGAACTCTCTTTTAAACAGCGATGCACCTCCCTCAGCTGTGATTGGTCTGGGAAAAAAAAAAGAGTTGTTGATGAAGGCCAAAATCCGAATATTGACCTTTGATTGGTTGTTACAGGGGAAAAGCGTAACATTCATCAACATTTTCTGAACACGCCTATTTGACATAAACTGAATTTATTGTTTAGACACATCAATTAATTGTACATTTTCATTTAGTTATTTTTTTCTGTATATTTAATCTCATGAATATAATTATAAATGACTTATCTAAAGAGGGCAACAGCGTCTGAGCTACTGTCTGATGATGTCAATCTCAAAACTTGTTGGGGTCTCACTGGATTAGTTTTCTTTCTTTGGCACAATCTAAATAGCTTTTCGACCCAATTCTTGATATTTCTCCTCCCGGTCATGTAACCGTGCTGGTTTAGATTCAATGTTAGAGCCCCAGAGTTCGAGCCTGAACTTTGAAATAATCTTCATAGAAACTCTGGATTTTGAAGCTCGGCCGGGTTCTTGGGGGGATATCACAAGTTTCGCCGTTTAAAGCCTGATCCAAGAAAAAGCTTCTTTTTTTTGTTTCAAGTCTATCTACCCCTTTAAGAAAATATTTTTGAAAAACAGAAATAATTTTTCAAAATGTCATCATTTTTACTACTTGCTACTAAGTCCAAATTTTTGTCGTGTAGTCTTATGGCCTCTGTTATCAGGTATATCTGATTTTATACAACAGGATTTTGAGCAAAGGTTTTACCATTTAAGAAAACGTAAGTATCAAATATGGTCCGTATGGCATCATAGGGTTAGGGTCTGTTCATCATCCCACGGCGTACCTGAACGCAAGTATGTAAACCCTCGTGGATGATGACCCTGCTGAAGAGCGACTTTGATCGCATTGTGGATATCACTTTAAATTGGTATTGCAACATAAAATAAAGACATTTGAAACACTTTGACATAAACCCGTTAAGTGTGTTTCATCTGTTTTATTGGCCATCTGTTTTTAAAAACTACCATAGTTTTTTATTCAAAGAGAGAAGCTTTAAACCAGCTCCTTGTCAGAAAAGTGATGATCTCTTCCAACAGAAAAGTCTTTTTATTTAGTTTGTTTTCTGCTGGGAGAAAAACTAAATGTAAAGGGATCTGATGTAGGCTTGAAATAAAAGAGTTCCCACTGGTGTAAATCTTAAAATCTACAAATGATTATTTATTGTCTTTACTTTGGGCGTTTTGACGTGCTAACTTCCCTCGTTCTGGGTAATTCTCTTTATTTTTCATTTTTCAGTGTTCTATGTATTCGGATCTGTTCAGGAAAGCAAAAGTTTTCCTGAAACTCCCCATCAATCATACATTATTCGAATTTCAATTTTTTAAAGTGGTTGCATAGAATCTAAAGGAACTATTTTGAATTTTGTGCAGTATTTGCCAAGACCCATTATGCTCTTCGTCTCCGTGTGCATGTAAAATGCTGAAATCACAACCTGAGAAACAAAATATCACCAAAAGAAACCTTTCGACACTCTTTTTGTTGGATGTTAACAGCTTGTATCTACTGGTTTCACCGGCAGAACGAAAAGTGCTGAAGCTTTTTGGTTTGAATAAAATTGACAAAAAAAACAAACACTAGAGCAACAAATTTTAAGTTTTTTTGCGATAGATTTTAAATCACACTTTTCTTTTTCAATAAATACTGACAGTAACTACCACCAAAAATTGTTTTCACCGAGTGTTTTTCTCTTTATATAATTCTTATTTACAGCATGCATTCACTGACAAATTAGAATCAAACTTTAGCGTATTTCCATCAGCCTGCAAACTGAACAAACAGGCAGAGAGAAAGATTTCAGGTTTAAATTGACAATAAAGAGCATCGTTCTCTAAATGTAATTCATTGTTAGTTCCGAGCCTTACCGCATTTAGTGGATGCGATGAGGCAGACCTAATCAAATCTAAGATTAATTTGAGCAGGTTTTGTATTTTTCAGCAGCATCTGCACTGTTGATTTTACTATCAGCGCTTTGGGGTGAAGAGGAAAATGAAGTGTGAGTAAATACAGTTCTGATGGGACGATGGTGATCATTTTAATAGTTTAGGGAAGCTAACCATCTGCTATAAACACCCTTCTCATGTAACCTGCAGAATATCCCTGTCTCCAATAAAAACAGCCGCAGCATCTGTATAACATCTGTAAATTTCTGTCTGCTCGTGGTGCAGAGGTTTGAGTCTAATGGGTTCCTGTTGCACACCGCTGCTTTAATTGAGTTGTTACAGGCTCAACGTATGGCTTCCCTGGTGTAGTGTAATAACAGATCAGACACCGCTCAGAAAAGAGAGGACAAATAACACAGAAAAAATATACACCAATTACGAGAACCGACTGTGTCCCAAAAAGGTAAACGGAACTTGAAAAGGTCCCAGGGGCGGCTGGAGTTCAGTTTTTCGCCTTTTTGACTTAGAACAGCTTGAATTCAATTAATTGACAAGATGAAACAGTGACAACACAACATCACTACTGTTCAAATAATGAAATGATCTGCCTGAGGACCCCTCTTGCCATGTTAGCTAATGACATCCTCAAGGATCAGTTGGCAGATCGGCGCTGTAGAAACACTCATGAGGTGGTTTAGAGACATGAACCACAACAAGGACTAAACAAACATCTTGCGCACGTCTCATGTGTCTATCTGAGGTTTCTGTGCCTGCCTCTGTACTGCCTTCATGAAGGGTTCACACCTGCTTCTGTTCCCTGTCAGCTCGAAATGAAACAAGCCTTTTGTTTCCTTTCAGAGCAAAACTTTCAGGTTGTGGCTACTGCTCTGCAGCACTCACTTAGAGGCCCTGTGGAAATCCATTTTCTCTGTAGAGACCATTTGGATGTAACGCACAAAGTGTGGGCTATTTGCGGTGTTCTGCGCTTTCCCCTGTGGAAGAATTTCTGCCTTTGAGTCTTGATTCTGATGGAAAACACCTGAAAGCGAGGACTCCCTCATTAGTCACTCACCTTTCATGGGTGTGTGCACCACACTGTGTCATTACTGAAAGAGAGAAAGACACAGTGTGGGCCACAAGCAAGAAACAAGGGTGATTCACTGTTTTCACATACTCCAGAGTCTACAGAGGGTTTCCCTCTGTGTTCTCTGTTTTTTTTTTAAACACGATGACCATGCCAGGTACAGTTAAAGTGTCTGGTTTAACTCGAGTTGGTGGCCTAAACACAACAGGATGTCGGAGGGTCTGTGACTCAGAGAGGGTAAAGATTTGAATGTTTAAATGTCTGCTGTTGCTCTGATGTCGTCACAAATCTGTATAATGTCAGCGGAAAGGCAGCTGATATTCGGAGGCAAGTGACATTCAGCTCGGTTACGGATAACATTTAGTCTGTTACATCAAGCTTCTTTGAAACCATCTTGTGAAACAGCGAGCAGACAGAAAAGTGTACCTTCACCCCCACACATCATTTCAGCCCCATTAATGTGTGAGTTATTTTTAGTTTGGAGGTTGCTTGATGATTATTTCGTCATAATGGAAATATACATTCTTTGTTTTTGTTATAGATGTGGATTTTGACATCGAGTGCGAGAAGAAAACTTAGTGCGCGGCAGCTCACACCCCTGTGAAGAAAACAGTGTCAGTAAACGTGGAGCATTTCCTCTAATGAGCAAACAAGAACAAACCTCTCAGAAAGACACACAGTCCTAAAGAGAAATGACAACTCCAAAAGAGCTGACAATCAACCAGAGGTCTGTGACCAGCTAGGTTTGGATGGAGACACAGTTGCAACAACAGATACAGGGGTAATGGGCAATGCCACTAGCAAGGGGACACAAGCTTTTTTGAAAATGTCGGACGTAGTGGTACTTAAACAAGCAAATGTTGTAGATGTTTCCTCAAGCACATATGTGGAAATTAGTCTTTTTGTAAATCAGGTATTAAATAACATTGTCCTGCTCCTATGCACATAATTTAAAGAATATTGCTTAGACAATACAAAAGGAACCTGATTAGTGTTTCAAGCAATTTTTTGGGTCGAAACATAAACATTTTTTAAATATGTTTATTTTTCATGCCCCATGCCGAGAGTTACAAAATTATCTATTCATCGCAGAGCCAGAAAAGAGGTATTGAGATGAGAACATAAATGTCTATGAACATATAAAAGATACAAGACCATTCCCAACCAGAGATTCTCAGGAGGAGAAATGTTTCAGCCTTACAGTGTCACATTGCAGTAAATGTTTGCAGAAGAAGAAAAAGAAGAAGGACGAACGCTGTGAACGGCCAAGTGTGTCAGCTTGAGTCTATTAAATCACCGTCAAAGAATCTTAAAGATAAAAGTAGCACAGGACAGACCCTCCAGCAAGCAGCAGCTGAACAACACCGTGCAAGAACGACTCCCCACAAGTATCTTCTGCTCTGAAAGCCAAAAGGCTTAAATCTCAGTCAACAGAAGTCTGCGCCGACACAGTGGAACACCTTTTTTTGAAGGACATTGTTACAAAGAAGATCTATTAGCAGTTTGCATGTCGTAGTCGTAACAATACAGTCACTGTCATGTGTTGGGACTCTCAATCATTTCATATTCAAATGCTACTTGGAAGCAGTTTGGTCACCGCTGTTGTAAACTTTGCAGAAAAAGACTAATTAGTTGGTAAGATGACGTGAGTGCACCATGGAAAAACTGCAGTGCTGTTCCACTGCGCCTACATACATTTACTGTTTGTTCAGTTAAAGCTGCCTTTCTGTTTTCCTGTAAATAGTCAAGATGACCAGATTATTCATCTTCTTTGGTAAAACCCTTTCATAAGTAGACTGTGGCATCACAAACAGAGACAAGGAAAAGCTGTTGTCAGCAATCCTGAGGGCCTTCATTAAAATTCAGTTGTCCGTGCCAATAAATGCTTTTTACATCTGAAAGAAGGTTTTGTCACTTGATGCTGAGACAGCATACACACACGCACTCCTTCCACGTTTTATAGAAATACTACATTTTGAAAACAACACAGGACTAAATAGGTCAGACAAGCTTAGTCTTTTTGTGTTGTACTCGTCATGGATTCAAACTTGGTCACAGATTCTTTCATTAGCTTGGAAATGCAGCATATTTCATTGTTTGCATTAGATAAAGTCATAAAACAACACTGCATAAGTGTTCAAGCAGTTTTATTGAAACCATCCTTCCATTCCAGCAAATGTATTGCTTAATATCCTGGCTCAAAAATGAAGAATCCCGCTGTGAAACCAAACAGAATAGCCAGTTTAAGGCTTCAATAGTTATTGGTTTCAAGTAGAATTTCTTCTTTTCTGTCACCGATAAAAGAAAAAAAAGAAGGATGTTTCTAATGCATTGTTCCCTGTAGGCGTTAATATAGGAACTGTGCTTTTTTCTGCAGAAAAACACTGACAGAAACAGCTAAACCAAAAGCAGAAATGTCCCTGGCTTTAGCTTTAACTTCCTAATGTTAATACCCTGAGTCACACAGCAGCACACAGCCATCAGTCCTCGCCAAACACAAACGGGCAGACCAATTTAACCATCACGTCTCATTTCCTGGTTCACTGCTCGGTACCCTCAGCCTTCGAGAACAAATCCACTTGTGTATCTTTGAAGAGGGAAAGGCCAGCACAGAAGTGCACAAGAACGGACACCGGAACATCATGCTGCTACAAACAAGATGAGCACAACATCAGCTTAGCACAGTGGCGGGTTATTTAGACACACAGACTGGTGAGAACCCGCTGTGACAACTGAAACCTGCGTGGAGCTGAAGCTACACATGAGGGGAGTTTACAGGGAGGAAATCGGCCCACAGAGGATCATTTCTCATTGAGAGATAGTAGAGACGGTTGTTCAAAATGAATAAAACGTAAAGCCGCGGCTCAGTTTGCAGCTGCAGCTGCGGCACAGCTGACTGTTTGGAGCATTTGAGGCATCCCCTGCTGCTCCAAAAACTCACACATCAACAATTTGATTGCAGCTTGTTTGTTTAGTAATCTACATGATATGACACAAATTTGTCTGGTACATTAGAACATTTTTTCAGTTGATTGCAGGGCCTCGTTTCCCTCCTGAAAGTGTTTGATATGAGAATAACATACTCGATATAGACACACAGGACACCATTTGCTGATTTGATGGGACTTCTGATGGAAAGACAAGCTAAATGGAAACAGAGGCGGGAGAGACACAGACTGCTTCATGAATTTCAGTTTCATTTTGAAAGGTTGCCTATGTGTGTATATTCATTTGTGTAAGGCAATGAAAAAGGGAACTGAGTAAGATAACTGGAGGTTATTATGAAGCCATGAAAAGGGAATCCTAATGTCTCACTTGAAAACACCCCCAGTGAACAGACAGTTATGCTTTCATAACAGGGAAACACAGCTTGGTAATCGCCTACAGAGAAGAGCAAAAAACACATTAAGCCTCTACAGTGGATGTGAATATGGCAGAAATCATGACTTGTTGCTTGCCACTAAAGTCCAAAAGAGCGAAAATAAAGAAATGTAATGGCTTTTATTCCTTACAATGGGGCAATGCAGAATACGTTGAGCCACTGGGCTTTCTGTTGGCTCCAGTTTCCAGCACAAAATCAGATCTGCAACGACAGCTGCTGCATTCAAACTTTTTGTGTATCATTAGATAAAAAGAAAATTTGGACACCTTGCAGACAACCCCTTTAAATTTCAGCGCAATGCAGCACACACACACAGGACACACAGCGGCTTTTGCAGCCAAACATGGGAACATTAGGATTACGAAGCCAGGTTGGTCAGCCTGCCTCAATCCAGTGAACAGGCAGAAGGGGAACATCCCTCCAAACAAGCCTGGAGAAGAAGTCTGCAGCAGCACAGCAGAGAACAGGCACAAACACCAAGTTAGTGGAGCCCGCTGGTGTCGGAGTCGGAGGCCTCAGCCCAACATTAAACTCACAGAGCATCCCCTCTTTTTCTAAGCAGTCCGTGGAATTTCTTAAACCTCATTTGAACCTCTTAAACTAGAGGCATATATGAGAGAAGAAATGGGTAATTCAAGGTTTGAAATTTCTAAACACATTGGTATTCTTTCTTCCAACATGCTGAAGATTTACGACAGAACACATCGCTGTCTAATGTCAGGTGGAATGTGGGACGTTTTCATTTGCAAATCTTATTTTGTTCACAAAAACGCTCTAAACTAACTTTCATCTGTTTCTTTCTCTTACTTTTTTACTAAATGTTCAAATGTCTTCTTGTGTCATATAGCTTATATGACACAAGAAGACATTCCGTTGTTAATTGTGCAGCATGAAGAAAGAAAAAGTCAGATCCAGCTTTTACTAGTTTGAAACCTTGATCTTGAAGGTTTTAAATGTGTTATACATCTGCATTTATTAACAGATGCTCTGCTGTATTGTATTTGTTTTCTTACCGCCTATATTCACAGGGCTCAGTGGTCCCGGCTGCTGTCCATATCGGACAACTGTTACAAGCATTTGACTTTCATTAAAGACAAATATCAAGGCAAAGGAGATGTAAAAAATCGAACAGCTAAGGTCGCATATAGAGTGTGTTTGGGGACAATCTTAAACTCCAACTGGTCCCGTCAGTTTCCAAATGCTCACAGCACAATCCACTATAAACGTAACCGTGTCCCACTTTTTTTTTTTTTTATCAACTCGAATAGAATTCAAAAGAGGGATTTGAGATCTACCATTTCCAATTAAATAGAAGTTCTGTAGTATCCCTGTCGTATGATACCAGGATTTTTGACACAGGGATTTGCCATAAATTGGCGAATTGCAGTCTCAGGTAACAAATCTAACCTCAGCCCTTGTTCCCAACTCATCAACAATGAACTAATACTCATCTGTAATTTCACCGCCATCACATTTCTTACCACTTTGACAGTGTTTCCATTTTCCAATTTCAGGTTGCCTGACTAGAAATGGGGAATATGCTACCTATCATTTTGGTTGTTTCTTTGAATATCTGCATTTTAACTGCCAGTGGTGGTGTGGAGATCTGGATTGTTCCAAATAATCAAAAGTGATCCTTTACATTACGCTCATACGTCTCCCAACTTATAGGTTCAAACGTCTGCCAGAAAAAGTCTTATTTGATAACGGTTTAAGATAAATACATCAGGGGCTTTGATTTTTGTCAAAGTTCAGTTTGGACTATGAGTGGCAGTTGACTGTTGTAAAGCTTTAGCTGCTCAGTGTTATTTTTGTGTGAGTGGATAGTTACACTAAATAATGTCTTAAAATTGATTTAGTAACCAATTACTTCAACCCAAATTTTAGAGCTGGATGCTTAAACATATTTTTTGTACCTCTCTTGTCTCTTCGTGCATTATTTAAGCTAGAAGAAGTGAGAGCACAAAGCGGCGAACAGCCGTTCTTTAAGAAAACACATATATCTCATTCAGGTGTCACATTTGTACAAAACTAAACAAAATTTGTGTCTGATGCATACATAAACACAACAAACTTTTGGATTATTTCTTTTATAGGGGATTTTTATAAGTCAAAGGGAAGCATTAAGTCATTCATACAAGTAAATCATCTTTACTTCACAGTAAACGACTCAATTCTATATTTTAAACTTAATTTAATTGTATATATGATGAAAAGTTGATGAAGGGGACCTATTTCTGCTAGTAACGTGTATTTTCAGACAAATCTGAGCATCAGTGGATTATTTTTGAAAGCCTTTTAGATGTTATTTTTGGCAATATTCCGATTTTACGTTTGCAGCTGAGCTGTAAGCCTGCTCCAGTTAGCATCGGCTAACACTAACCTCCAAAAATATCATCTCCAACATCTTTCTGCGTCCATTTCTTTTAAATGCACTTTTAGTTGCCTGAAACGTGTTACATAAAACGTACAATTATGGTAGCTGAGTAAGGCTGAGTAAGGCTCACACATTCTTGGCACCCAATCAGTCCGACTGCAAAACACATGTTCCTACTGCTTCACAAGTTCCCATCTTCACTATTAAGAAAAAGAAAATTTGTATTCAAAGCATTTCTAATTTCACACTTTCAAATCCTCCTGTCCATTGTCTTTAGCAGGAGCAAATGACGTAGACCTAAGAAGCCTGAGAAAAGGTACACAACTCTGGATCTACAAGACTTGTATATATAAAACTTATTTACAGGCAATTGACAAAACAGCCATAAATTGTTGAGTGCTGGTGAATTTGAGCCAGCTCCTGCCGTTTGTTTTTATAAACTTAATACACTGAACGCTGACTTTGAATTGTGGCTTATTATCAGTATTTTAGATCATTTCTTGCCAGAGGCGAAGTAAGGCACACGAGACCCAGTCAGGGCCAAGATAAATAAATCAATGTGCGAAGCAAATAAAAAATGTTGAAGGTAATTCCAGTTTGGATTCTTCCCCTTTGGGGCCCCGTTCGGTATGATAATGGATCTCTTGCTGCGTCCGGGACATTTGTCAATGATTGTGTCAGTGGTAACAGCCTCTGACATTAACTGTCCTGCCTTCTTCTGTAAGAAAATCCTTTAAATCAGGCCCTGTTCTGCAGGTCATTATGGACAGGTGCAGAATAATAAGGAGTACTCACATGTGATGTTGTCAGTGCAGCGATGAGCTCAGCTTTGACATTCGGTAGGCTGTGTGCACTGCAAGCATCTCTGTCATACATACTCACACATACAGGAAGTGAGACACCACTGTATGATCCCATGCCTTAGTCTTTTGTACTAAATACACTGCTTAAGTTAGGATTTAACTCACACACACACACACACAAACACAAACCAAGGAGTACCATGAGGCAAGAATTTAAAGTGGATACTTTGGAGGAAACAATCCTCTGTTCACATGTGAAAGATGTAAAATATCCTCTTGCTGTTAAACACACAGGGATATTGTTCTATATGTATGCCACCGGGTGCTTTGTGTGACTAAACAGGTGCTCGTTGTGTGTTTGCTGCATGTAGGGCTGCACTTGGGTCAACACCTGCACTGTTGTGCACCAGTTGTGGGAGATCCAGAGCTCTGGAACCAGTGCCGGCACAGTTAAAGCCATCTTTCACCATGAGGGTAAAAAGAAGGAGAGGAAAGAGGTAGTGAAAAGGGTCATGAAAAATGTTTTTGTTTGTTTGCTTTTTATTGTTAGGCTCATTCAGTCGTTAATTAGCCTTTCGGTACGGCTCTCATTTGGCATCACCTCTGTTTAGCACACAAGGGTTTCACAGGAAATAATTCATGTTTAATAAGTTAAGAGAGCTTATCAAGATCTCCTTGTTGTATTTTCTGGTGGTAGAAGTAAATCATCTCATCTTGCAGTTGGGATCCTTTTCGATTTGACGAACACAAGATTCAGCAACGACAACATTTTGATGCTGTATTTGATATTTTTATTTACTAACAAATATGTAGCATTGGCAAACATCAAATACACAAAGGTTTATGGCAAGATGTGAAGTTGTTGCTTAAATCTAGCAAAAAAAAAAGGGGAAATGAAAAGCAAGCATTGCAGTCCTTCACAGACAGGAAGGGTGGTACAAGTGGTCAGAAAAAGGAGAACCGAACATCATAAAACGCAACAAAAAGATATCTTAATGCCTCAGACAAGACACTGAGGTGGGTGTGAGGGTTGGGGCTTGGAGATTAAGGAATGAGACAAAGGACTGAGAAAGATGGTGCAGAAAGTTCAGTGGTTACATCTGCTGAAAAAGCTCAAAGTGCCTCCAGCTTTCCATTTGATCGTATTTTCATGCAGAACATTCAAAAACTCATTTACATTCAAGCCACATTCACCCCGGCGTTGTCTTTGTCTTGCTCTCTCCTTCTCCCGATCCCCATCTACTTTCTCTCTCTCCTTCTTTTTCTTTCATTTTTTTGTTACTCCTCATCTCTCCTTTCTCCTCTCTGCCTTTCATGCCGCTTCGTCAGTAGCTCTGAAGCGGGAGGGCTGATGGCTTCTCTCTCCGGCGTCCTTGCTGTGGTTTCGCCGCAGCTGTTTGGCTGCGATAAAGAGAGGGACGAGGAGAAGTTTTCACACTAATTACGACACAATAATGAATTGCTCGGTGAATCGACGGTAAAAAACGAAGGTCAAACAGCAAAAAGTGAACAGAGAAAAAGAAAGTGAGAAGAGACGACTTTTTTTTTCTTTAATAGATGGAGGAAAGTTATGAACATTTACTGGTTGCACTGGCAGTAAGTCCTGGGCAGCTGTGATTGTTGGGCAGACTTCAGAAATGTCCTCTATGAAGAGCAGAAAGAAGTCACGTCACCAGAAACAAACTTTATCTTCATTCAACATCCTGTTTCACTTGTCCTGACCACAGATCAGCTTTCTTTGTCCTCCTTTACCTTCCTTCTTTTGTTCCTCTTGCACATGATGATGACGAAGATGATCAGGAGGACTATAAGCAGGCACCCGCCACCAAGGGCAATCCAGATCCACAACTGGAGGCCCAGAAGTTGCAGCCCAGCTCCATCAGGCTGATGGTCAGTCCCACCTGGCGGGCAAAATCTCTCTGTGAAGCCCGGCTGTATGTGACAGCTGAGGTAATGTGAGGGTTTGAACGGGGAGCACTCACGCTGGGTGCCGTCTGACTGGCTCTGGTCGCCTGTTTGGTCCTTTACTATGTGCGGCGTGGCCGTTGTCACAGGAGCAGCTTCAAACAGAACAACATCATTCACACACGCTAACCCTAAACGGCACATGGCAAGACGTTGAACAAACCAGTCAGTACCAGCTTTCACGGAGAGAGTCAGCCCTGCGTTGATGGACGCTTCCCCTTTGGTCACTGAACAACTCCATTTTCCTCCATGTGAGGCAGCGACAGGTTCAAGCTCAACTGTGGGTTGGTTGAAAGTCGATTGATCCGGCCCCAGCCACTTCACCGAAGTGCTTTGGTCCAAACCTTTCACTTCACAGCGCAGCACAGCTTTATTACCCTCCGTTAGTTCCGGAGCTGGATCAGCCCAGACTGGAATGGAGGGGGGGGGGGGGGGGGGGGGGGGGAGGTTGGACAGGACGGGGACGTAGGGAGAATCACAAAGAGAGCACATCAGGGGAAACTTGACAGGCCACACCCGCCTGATGTTGTGAATAAAATGTAAGTATATTGTGTGTTACACAAACCCGATTCAGCACACAAACCTGAAAACAATTTTCATCTTCACATTCATCCCTCCTGTCACACCATTTTTCAACTGGTTCATAGAAGCGCTTCTTGATCATTTTGGAATAATCTGACTTAAACTCTGGATATGTTGCTTACCTGAGATCACAAGAACTTCATGTGAAAATTTCTTCCCATCTGCTTCACAAGTGAACTCTCCAGCATCTGTTTCTTTCACGGATGAGATTTCCAGAGCTGTACCTCTTAGGTTTGATCTTGACTTGATCTGAGCAGTGCCTAATGAAGAATAACCACATCATAAAGCAATTTTACATAGGCCTACTGATATGATGATGTTTTTTTAAAAAGAATAGAATATGTCTATTCCCGGACGGAGGGGCTGGGGCTTTCTTAGAGGAGTTTGTAAGTTCTCCCTGTTTTTGTATGGGTTCGCTCTGGCCACTCCAGAATCTTTCTCAGAGGCCAAAAGCATGCATGTTTGGTTAAATGATGACTCTTATGTGCCTATAGGAGTGAATGTGTGAATGTGTCAGTGCGTGGATGTTCGTCTCCATGTGGTGGACCCGCCTCTCCCCCGATCACAGCTGTGATAGGATCCAGCACCCCATGACCCTACTAAGAATAAGCAGAATAGTTGGTGGATGTTTCTTGTTTTTAGTACCTTTAGAAGGTACGCCATTTGTGCCCAGAATCATCAAAATCTTTTCATTTTTTTGATACCACTCCAGTCTTGTTTTGTGGCCAGGCGTCCCACACTGCAAAGTCACTTTCTTGCCAACTTCTGCGATGAATGTTTTGCTTTCTGCACAAAGCGCAAACAAAGCTGAAGAGAGAGGATAACACATCATTAAATAAATTTGCATTAATCAGGGATACTTACAGAAAAAAACATCTAAATAGAGATCAGTGTTTTTCTATATTTCATATTGATTCATGCAGAAATGATCCATTCAAAGAACAATTTAACAGACAGTATTTGGCATAAGTAAAACAGCCATTTCCATCCATTATTCTTTTGTTGAGAAGTCTTGCAAACACAAGGGATACTTTTTTAAGGGTTTGATTCACTCACCAAACAAAAACCCCACGATTGTCTGCATTGTGAACACTGGATCTGATTGGAAAAGAAAAAAAAACACACATACAAATATGCTCTGCTGTTAAGACAAAATCACAGCACAGAGAAAGTCAGCGCAGACGCTCATGAAATGAAAGAGAGCACTTCATCCATTTTATGCACTCACCACACTGCTTCTGTTTGAGATGAGCGCTCTACAGAGAAACATGAGATCCCTAACCACAAAGCTCCTTCTCTACTTCCTTCCTTACTCTGTTTCTTATATCGAGAAAAATGTCAAAAAGATAAATATGGTTATGCTTAAACACCAACAAACAAAGGCACTAAGAAAAATTCCAACACATGCTGTGGCCATTTCAAATGACATGATCAACGACGCATCTTAAGATGCTTCCGGTGGAGCTTTTGAAAACTCATCCGATTAAGCATCAGAAAAAAGGTTTGCAGGGAAATCTTTGAGTGTTTATAATATTTCTGCAATAAATAAAAAGCTCATCTGAGAAATTGCAATAAATGTATTTGATCTGGAAATCTTAATATAAGTTCTTCAATATACCTTCAAGTTTCCAAATGTCCACATATGGATTTCAGTTGCTTGAATTAATTTAAAACACGGAAATTATTATTACATTATATTATTATTCCACAGCACTGGATAAAATAACAGTAAAAACCATCAATCATCTTTTTTCAACTTTGTACTGAAATCACTTAATCTCTGATGCCTGAATTTAAACATATCCAGACAGTTACCTCGCAGAAAAAGGGTATGTGTAATTATTGACTAAATTTGTTAAAGAGATTAAAACCTCACCTCTCACAGTTAAGACAAGTTATAGGAAAATACGGTAGCAGACATGAAACGACAGCCATCTGAAAGGCATTTCATACTTCGATCAAAACTGCAGATTGAAAACCAAAGCTGTATTTAATTATTTTTATTTTATCTCGAAAAATGTTCCCAATCTTAAAATTACCCTGAAAGCTTACCTTATTGAAACAGCAGCTGAATCTTTTTGCGCAGTAACTGAAGCTAAAAATCCTCCATCATCCTGTCTGTGCTTAGTTTGTCAAAAAAAACAACAAGTGTGTAAGGATGCAAAACCTGAAGAAGGCGGAAGAGATCTGAAGAGAAACCAACTCTTTGGAAAGTTGTAGGCCAATGCAAACCCAGCTTTATGTGGGTTTGCTACTTAAGGCAGCGTTTTCTGGCAACCTAAATCTAGCAACGTGAACACAGTTCACACTCAAAGCTCGAGCAATCTTTTGCATGAAGGTTGGGAAACAAATAGCTGAACTGAACGCACACAATTACTTTGGTAGAGATTTATTCTCTGTCAGCACTAATTTGATTGAAGCGAACAGAGGCGTTGAGCAGAGAGCGAGCGGGAGGCGAGTGAAGACCAAGACGCAGTGACAGAAAGACAACTCTTTATTTGTCACAGCAGTAGTAACAAAGCATTTGTTTTTAAAATAAAAACAAAACATGAATCACCCAAGTATTATCCATACCAAACGTTCAAGAAAGAAAAAGAAAAAGTCATTTGGTGTTTGTTTTTTTTTTGTTAAATCAGTTTTTTTTTTTTTTTTTTTTTTTTTTTTTAATGCTTTACTGGCGTTTATTTTTTTTTGTGGTGGATGCTGAATCTTTTTTAACTTCTGCATTCAAACAGGTAGAGGAGACTGTATCTAGATGGCCGTGACACCAAGCCAGTAAAACAATGGAGGCCTGAAAGCGTCATACTTAAGGGCAGTGACTACTGATGGCAGTGGGAATCAATAGTCGGGATTAATGGTGACGGTTGAGTGGACTCAGCAGTCAAAGTCCTTACTTTTTTTTGGGGGGGGGGGGTTCCCTAAAGCAGTTTTGATGAGTTATCTGAAAACATCCTCGGAGTAAACCCTGGCCCACGTGCTCAAAGAGGTCTCAGGTGGTTCTCAGTTTCACTCAGCGAAGTTGCCGTGGTAACAACCTGAACCCGCTCTTTGAACAGGCCCGACAGTGGATGAAAAGAAACTGTACCCCTAGAACACCATATCTGTACATCTGCTATCTAACTGTGTTTATATGCAGTCTGAGAGATGTATTTACACGTTTGTCAGTTGTGAAGCGTGCCGGGACATTTGTAAGAGCTTGCTGATGTGTAATTGTTAGCATCCACTCGTCTTCGTCTTCTCTTCATGTGAAACGTTCCTTTGTCTCATTCTGCAACTCTGCGATAGAAGTAAAGGTAGCCCAGGTCTTTGGGAGGCTTCTCCGAAGCACACACCTTCTGATCGTTGAAGATGACCCACCTGTGAAACACAAACAGTCTCAGAACACCTGCTGCATCCAAAAGACCAGCAAACCCAAAAAGCAAGTGGAACAAATGAGGACCGACGAGAACAAATGTGACACCTTCTTAAATAATAAATCTGTTTGGTGACTGTTTGTGAGTTAAACCTTTAAACTAAGACGTATTCAACACGCTGAACAGGCACAAAAGGGTTTACTTTTCATTGCTTTTGGACCTAGAGTATGGTGCCCCCTGCTGAGGCATCTAGGAACAACTACCTTTACTGTATTTGATCCTAAATGCTCAGATATTTAAAGAGATTTGATTAATCTTTTATCTTTTTTTTTTAGCTGCTAATGACTTTTTAATGTTGTGTTTTGCTTCCTTCTGAATCACTTTAGATTTGAAAGCTATTTTTTTTCTTGGTCATTGCTCAGTGAAGTCGACCATGTAGGGGCTTTGAAACTGTAGCAAATGAGAAACGCGTGGAGCACTTACTGCTGGTCCTTCTTGATGTGGCAGACGTAGTGGCCACACATGGTGCTCGTCCCCATGTGACTGATGAATGCAAACAGCTCGTACTCTGGAGGGAATCGACACACATGACATGCATCAAACTCAATGGAAACAACTCCTGATGGAAGGCTGGTGATGAATTGCTTTCTTTTCATAACTAAATGTTCATCCCAAAACGCTTCCTCTTTTCTACTGGCTACTCACTGCCTGGTCCATCTCTGACACGAGGCCCAGGTGGTGGATCCCTGCCGCCCTCGCTCTCTGCAGCCGAGCGACCGCCTTCAGAAACATCCATGGACTCCAGGTCGTCCAGGTGAGAGAAGATCCAGTCCACCGCACGGTCAAGGACGTTACTCTGTAACAAATGTTGTATAGAGTACTGTCATGTGGAAAAGACAGACTAAACATAAGCTTTTGGTTAGATTTCTCTCTAGGGAAAGTGAAAATCCTTTAGGTGCAACTTCAAAATTAAATGCAGTTACTAAACTCTTCCGTAAGAAAAAGGGGAGAAAAGATGTGGTCAAATCCCCATCTTTTAGTGGACTTTGATTCTGACCGTTGCTCGCAGTGCTTTGGTTGCTTGGTCTCGACTGAAGCCCATGGAGACGATTGTTGCCAGGTGCTCCTCAGACAGGCTCTCGGTGGGTGTGGTTCCGGGTCCGGAGCTGCAGCCTGGCAACACCAGGGGGGCCGAAAAGTCTGCGGCCGATCAGAGGAGGGGAACATGAGGGCAGACAGGGGCAGTTTGTTGGACTGAGGCCTGATAAACCCCCCCTTCCACTAACCTGGGTCATCCATGTGGCTCATGATCCAGTTCATGGCAGCATCGATCCCAGTGTTCCCTGTGTAGTACACCGCTTTCCTGCAAGCCTCCAGTGGAAAGCCCATTTCACACAACTGGGACACAGTGGAGTCATCCAGGACTGGAGCTGATAATCAGTTTACAGAAAGTTGAATTACTTGGATGTGCGTTGTGAATATAGATTTAGACTGCTTGTTGTGTTTTGAAAAAAAGAATAAACTTACAAAAATAAACAGAAAAAACAAATACTAAATTGCACAAGTAATATAAACGTGAAGTCACACTACACTAAATAAATTATTTCTTTACTTTGAGATGTGGAAAAAAAACTAAACAAACCATGTCAGATGATGTAAAAGTGAACAAAAAGGCAACGGACAGACTCGTGAAAACAGAAAAGGCAGAAAAAGGAAAAAAAAGAGACAAATGTGGACGAATAAGAGTCACAGAAGAAGGAAAAGAGCAGAAGTGACAGACAGACTGACATAGCAGTGGGGAGTAGAGCGAGTCGTCCTCCTCGTTGCCATAGGAACCCAGGATACCTTTAACCTCCACATCTGGGGTCATGAGTGGGGGCGGGGCCACCTCGGGCAGGAGCTCCTCCCCCGGCTGCTGTCCGCTGGCACGCAGCGCACTCAGATCCAGAGTGTCGGGAACATCGATGCTCACATCTGCAGACGAATCACGCATTTAGAGTTAAACTGTTCACATCTTTTACCCTCAACTGACTGTTAAAACGCTTAGATTGCACCATCTGGAAGGAATGACGAAGCTGTAGCCTCTGGCCAAATATCAGTTTTTGAACTACTCCCTCATGTTTGTTGGCTTGATCTTAATACGGGCTTTCAATGGCAAAATTCTGTGTTTTTATGAGATTGAGACTTGTGTGTGGGAAATTAGTTTGCGTTGGTATGAATATTAAATTAATAGAGCGGTTAAGGTTCAAGAACACCGCAGTACAAGGTGTTTCCACTAATCTTCCATGGGGCTGGAGACTTTTCTCTGCACTTTGGTGTCTGAAAGAAAGAGTGATGCGTGAATGATTGAACCCTTTTCTCACCCAGTTTCTTGGGCACCCAGTCAAGGCCAAAGGTGAACTTCTTAATTTGGATCACCAGGTGGTCGGGGAAAGAGGCAAAGCGGGTTGTTCTAATATGATATTTAAATAAAAAGAAGTAAAAACAGATTGAAAGAGGCTTGTTCCAAAGCTTTCAGAATGAGTGTTGCCTTCTGTTCGTACTTGGTAGCAGTAGTCTTGGCTTGAACGGCCGAGCTCCAGAAGTCTGTCAGGACCTCGGGTTCACTGAGGGCTGCCATGCAGGCCGTGAAGGGGATCTGTGCACGCACTGTAGGTGCTGATGAGTCCCCCTCGTCGCGACGGCGTTCGGCCTCATGAAGCTCCTCTGTGATTAGATAAACCATGATTGAGACACTCGAAGATCAGTCAAAAGATTGACTTATTTAGTTTTCCTAAGCTCCTGGTGCAGGTTATCAAAATATCAGAAGTGGCTAGTCACGCCTAAAACTCAACACTCGGCCCCTCCTCACCCGTGTTGGTGGCCTGGTCCATGGGCACGGGCAGCTGCACTATGTAATCCACCCGCTGTGTGTACTTGGCCTTTTGTGATTGCTGACACACAATCCTGTCCTCCACAAGGAATCTGAAGGCTTCAGACGGGTTTGGTCCAGAGCGACAGTTCCTCTGGAAGAAAAAAGATGGAGACTCATTCAAGAGGGGAGGACTGAAGACGAACGAGGTGAGAAGAAGGAGAGCGAGGCTTTACCTCCACCATGTTTATGAAGTGCAATAAAAACTCCTGAGCATCCTGTTGTCGATTGGTGGAGAACTCTGGGTGGCCCCGCCCCACAAGTGCTTTGAACATTTGTGGTGCTATTCCGATTTGGTCTCCCTGAAAGAAGAAGCATAAACAGCAACATGTGTCAGTGGGGAGAGATGATATTAGACATGGCACAGCGTGGCTAAATTCTGAAAAATAAATGCCAAATTTAGTCAGGGATATCTGCAAACTTGGGCTGGTAAGTCCACTGAAAGGTTTCTCTCACCCTGGGTTCGGATGCACCATTTTCATCTCCAGGGTCTGGGGCTGGTTTAGAATACTCTCCCGACAGCAAACCATAACCCAGCTTGGCTCTGTGGTAAACAAATAAAGCTCACATCAATGCACATCCTGCAGATTAGAAGAGACCCTCAGAGGAGGAGGATTTGGGCACAGGCCTTGATGTATTTTGGACTTTTAAAAGGCATGGTGGAACGGCTAAACAGGAAAAGACTTCTTGTGTAAATAAAAACGTCTTGGTACAGCACAGTAGGTACAGATTATTGTTCAGAATTAGGCTACACACAAACCAGCCCTGAGACTCTCCAACTTCTGAGCTTCCGCGGTTTTCAAGGAATAAAAATCACGACTTTAGAGTTAAAATGAGGTACCTCAGATTAAAGCATCTCATGTCTGACTGTGAAAGTCAGATGATCCAACACAGACCCACACAATTCCATACTATAGCCACTGGTTTCACAAGGAAGTGTTTAGTGTTTATCTATTTCATAGCTCAGCAAGATTGGTTTACTTACAAAAATATCCTTCACCTAAATTAAACTGAATAGGAACTTTGTGAAACAGAATTTAATCATTTCATGAAGCTAATGGCTATATGCAGCATTAATTCATTTAATCAGAACAAGACTAAGCTAGCCTCCTCTCTGCTAAAAGCCAGGAGTCTTTCCCATTTAAACCTCATAAAAAAAGATTAAATATTTTTTATGAAAACATTTCTTTAAAAAAACAACAACATACTATTGAAGCTAGGGAATGGGTTATAGTGTGTATTTTCCTATAATTTGTGGCTACGTTTCAAAAGGAATGCTTTGGTGAGGGATAGTGTGGAAATTAGGTTTCACACATGAATGGAGGAGATTTTCAGGGGAATGTACAGTCAATTTGGTTTGGACTTTTCCCACAGCTACAGTTCACACACACACACACGTCTCTGCTGGAGACGCACCGTGACAACTGAGAGTGTGAGGGAGGAGGCGCGGGGGAGAGCGTCACGCCATGACAGCCCTGTTAGAGAGCATCACTCTGTTATTCTGCGTGTGTGACTCCTGCTTTGAATGGGTAGTGCTGCGTTATCTCTCATTTCCTTTAACATTATGTTTGCGATTTTTCAGAATGGGGGATTGGATCGAAGAGAATATTTGGTGCAATCTGCTGGTTTCCTGAGGAATGAACCTTTTTTAATTGGCTTTTAACTGATTGGCTAATTAACTGATTGGATCTTGATTGTATTACAATGAATTGGATTCTAACCGGCTTGTATTGGACTGTATTTCTGAAGTGCCTCAACATGACATTTCTTGTGATTTGACACTATAAGTCAACAAAATTCAATTCAATTACTAAATCATGTGTGTGGACACTCACACTTGAGTTTTGAAATCCTGGGTTGGGTCACTTGGTGCTTCATCAATGATCTTGTCGATGTTAGACACATATCTATAAGGCAGAGATAGAAGGATGTGAAACAAAAAAAAAGAAAAAAAGGTGCATTTGTTCATTAAAATTGATCCCAGCAAAGCCTGAATAATTATTTCCCCTCAGTCTGTCAAAAGGAGTAATTAAAGCCAGGAAACAATGGGATGTGGGTGGTAAAAATAAAAGACAAAAGGGTGTACTGACTTGCTCTGGAAGTCTGGAACGGTGAAGAGCACTTGCATGACAGAATTGAGGTAGCAGCTGTTTCCCAGGTTCTTCATACCAGTCAGGCCAGGGCCAAATAAGGGCCGCAGGGTGGTGCCTGACTCCTGAATCACCTCCCACTCCCCTACACGCTGGTTGACAGCAATTTCCAGCTCCGTCATTGTCCGCTCGGTCTGATGAGAGAATAAAGAATGCGGAGAGAAGGGGATGAAGCTCTTTGCGAGTGTCCTGACATCTTAAAGCACTCGGGAGATGAGCACCAATAGCGGGAATGTGGTCGTAATGAGAGCAGGCAGATGAGCGACAAACGACAAATATGGCTGAGCTGGGTGCGACAATCTGTCCCTGCTCTGCTGCAGCACTACTTCAACACCCCGCCTGTGGCACATCATTAAGTGTGTGCTGAACACCACGAGCAAGGCAACAAACCACATTATGCTGCACAGCAAGAGGTTCAGATGTCGACAACTGTGTAATCTGCACTCTGCACAGGAGAGGCCGCTGGCAGAGAAATGAGTGGCAGCAGGGATTCAGAGAACACACAGATGTTTGGAAAAGCTCAGAAAGCCGCTGGATGAGACCTGCCATGCTTTACTTTTATAGCAGAAACACCAGAATAAACTTTGAATTTTAATACCTTCAGTATGTGTTTTCAAACACTACATGGCAATAAAATAGAGGAGTGAACGGAACTGAAAACTGGCCATATATACACAACCAAGAATTATTGTCATTTGACTTTTTTCCAGTGTTATTGAGTCTCAAACATTGCAGCAGAAATTTACATTCTTGTCGTTTTACCATATAATCAATGGCTACTTCACGAATAAGAACCAGTCATAACTGTCTGAACGTCTGCCAAGAGGAAGAAAAGCCACTATATCTAGATACATTTGTAAGGGCCCTACTGTAGAGCAGAAGGCTGATCAATACCTCTGTCTGTAAGAACCTGATCTGATGCTCAAACTTAAACCCAGAGAGAAAAATGGACAAGACTGCAGCTTGCAGCTGCCAATAGGAGGAAAATAAAATACGATTTGTGAAGTAAATTTCTCTTTAGAACAGCACTGATGCAAAAAACTTACTTTCTCCATGGTCATCATGTCAATGCCAAAATGAGACAGGTGCTCTGGTAACTTGGAATCCAGCACCATGTCATCCTCATCATAGGAGTACACATCTGATCACACAAAACAGTGGTGATGCTTGCAGCAGTTGACCCAATGTACCAATCAGAGAAAATGAATTCAATTAACCATGTGAAAAATAACAGGGTCTCATGCTTACCGGCGCCATCAGGAGTGATGGTGCCGAGTTTGACAGCGAGTGGGTATCCTGTCTCCTGGAAGTGGAGCAGGGCGTGGTTGTTGCCCCCTGAGCCATCAAAATACCGACGACCACACAGCACTTTGCCATCAGTCAGGTTCATCCAGATGTTTTCCTGAAGATCGCACACCTCACACCGCCAGCCGCTAAAATGGAGGGAGGAAGGGGAATGTCAGACCCACTGATGTCCACCATCAGTCAAAGCACCAGACACACTCACCAATTCATGTTCCATTTCATATTTGCATTATAAAGTGTCCATTGTCAAAACCAAATAAAAATGGTGGTTATCTGAATTAAGAGGTCATAAATGCTGAGGCATTACTTCCCAAAACAACACTACAGACACAATGTTCACACAGCCTGTTTATTCTCAACAATTTGAAACTAAAGTGTGATCGGACATTTTTTTTAAATCTGTAAAAAACTTCATATTTGTATTTTACTGCGCGAAACACACAAATGGGGTCTGACCTGGGAGGGATCTTGACTCCATTGTCGAGCTGTTTGAGGTCAGCAGCATGCCTCGACTCCTGTCTCACCTCTCCGTCCCATTGCTGAACTTGTAAAGTGTGAGACACTGAGTCGGCTGCCATGATACCCGCCATCGACAGAGACACCTGGAAGTACAGAAATCAGCAGGCTGTAAAACACAGTGCCTGATAAACTGTGACAGCTTTAAACCTTAAATAAAAAATAGGATTACTTTGAAATCACAAACTCACACGTATACATATAGACACATACAAACATACATATTCATAAGTACAGACGTATACATTTTAAGTGTTCTTCTCATATCATAAAAAGCCTCACTTGCCTAAACTCAGTAGAGCTTAACTTATCTTTGCAGAAATCCTTTAAGCTATGACTCTGTGTCAGTGAAAACAAATATAGGCATTTTTCCAACTTCCTATCATGACTATGTGATATTTGGTACGGTGGAGGTGTGCTGATGGCAGTTCTTGTGTTGCACTAAAAACGCATGGCCAAGATATCTTACCCGCTCTCTCACAACATCAGGCATTGTGGCAAGGTCCTCTGAAGTCACCTCCTGTCTGTCAGGCAAAATGACCACCTTCACATCCTCCTCATATTGCTCCTGCTCCACATCAAAACCCCCTTCAATCCCTAGATGGAGGAGAGAGAGAAAGAGTCAAATTTTCTAATATGTGACGGAGCAGTGTGCAGGATCACGTGACATATAAGAGTGATGCTACAGATCACGGCCGCAATCAATCCTCACCTATTTATGTGTTAGAGTCACATAAATAAAATAAAAAACACATCAATGCCTCGTTCATAACCCCAGTTTTGTTAGTCTATTTTGTGTTAAAATACAGCACTGAAATATGAAGCCCTGCTACGGCAACAGAAATGACTGGCTGACACTATAAAAACAGATTTTTTTTAATAACGTGCTTCCATAGTTGCGTAAACCCAGTCATATATATAATTTTGTGGTTCGGCCGATAGATCCATGAGGTAACTTGATGAAACTTAAGAAGCAGAACAAAAAATGATATCCAAAAGGGATTTAAATCTAAATATTTTTGACCAGGACCAGCTTATCAGTGTGCTGACAAAATATTGTGGGGCTAATATTCTTAAACATTTTTTTTGGTATTGTAAGACACTTGCTTCTCTGAACTAGAAGCTTCTTGGAAAAAAAAAAGTGTGCGTGTGTGTTTGTGTGTATATATATATACACACATATATATACAGTGTATATAAACTTTTGCTCTCCACGGCACTCACCTATGGCCAGTCTGGTGGGCTTTTTCTTAGGTGGGTGTCCAGAGCCTGAGTTGTTATCATCTTCCTTCTGTGACAACAACACATGGGTTCAGGTGGGGGCACATTGTGAACGCATTAAGGAACTGTTTATCTAATATATTCCTTGAATAAAAATAAAGGGAGGTGATGAGTATCTACCTTTGCCTTACGAATCCGGGTGATCTGCAAGTAAGCTCTCTGACCAGACCGAGCATGGTGCCTATCCACATACTGACCACCAAACCCCAGGAAACTGTTCATGCACACATACAGGCCTCCTTCACTCTCCTGTAGAGAAAACACAAGCAATGATGACTGGTTCAACTGTTGTTTCTTCTCTCTTATGTGGTTCCAAAACAATACACTACAGTTGGAGGCAACTAAACACATCTCAATGACAAAGTATCATTTACTGTAATCAGGGCAATTACTGTAGTTTCTGCCACTTCACTACCGAAAAACGCATGACCATTTCGCTATCCTAACGAATATATCCTTTTAAAAAATACAAAGTTTTTAAATGACACATTATGAAAGGTAGGATTTGCAAATAGCTCAAACAGTTGTGATTATAACTGACTCAATTAGCTTGTTTGCTAGTTTGACAGTTAATCAACATAACTAGCAAAAAGGCTAAAGCAGCTAAGTTTCCATTACAGTGCATTATTAGCTTAGCTCGATGCTAGCTTGCTAGTTAGCCGAAACAGGAAAAATACACTAAATCTGCACATTAAAGGAGAACAACGCGGAAAGAAGGCAATGTTGGACTTAGAAAATAAAGTCTAGGGCAACAGGAAAATTAAATCTGCTCTGGTTAGCTGACGTTGAGATTGAGGAGAAGATAGCTCACCGGCGAGGAAAATGACAGGGCGCATTCGTCTTTGTGGACACGGTCCCCGGGCTTTGGAACGCGAATTGTTGACAAAACCGACATCAAAACATCTCCAACATCCGCCATGATGAGCTCACTGGTTCAGTCTCTAAGTGGGACACTTGCTTCTTTGAGTGTGCACACCCAGCCTCTTGATTACCCGGCTCGGAAGAGTGTCCGTTTACTAGCCTGTCTGCTGCTGTCTGTATTTGGCTGAATGAATCGTAAGGGGCTGCAGTGATGAGGGAAGGCCGAACGCGAGGAGCTCCGCTCGTTACCGTAAACTAGCAAATACGGACACCGAATAACTTTTGTCATTACATGAATCTCCATTACCAACAAATCTCATATATATTCGGATTCAATCTTTGCCGTTTATACTTAATAGGTGAACTGCTAGATTAAATTAAATGACCACCAACCATCTGAACAAAATCTATCTATCTTAGTTTCAGTTTTCGTTTAGAGCCGTTGTACTTGGATAATTACGGTAACTTCTGTCGACGGGAAACCACAGCGTCCTCTCGCGGTGGAGCGGAGTGTTGCAGGTTCCAATACTTGCATGATAAGGCATTGTTGCACTACTCAAAACAAACTTGGACGTTTAATACAATTTGATCAAATCACAAACAGATTTAAACACTGCACAGACCCTATCAACCACGACTGTTATCTGAAATGGTCCATCTGACTTTACTCGAATGGGAGGAATCTTTCTGAATTGTGGGCTCTCCGGTTCCAAAATATTCATAGTCCCTCCCTCCTCTTCCCCAATTCCGTCTCCTTGAAGGGGTTTGTTTCGGACCATGGCGGTACACCCTGAACGTGTGACTGTATACGTGGCGTTTCATCTTGTTGTGCTGGTGTTTTTTAACTTAAGCGTCTGCGTCTCGGCCAGCGGCAGCTCCAGTGTTTTGTCGCTGCTGCCTCCCTATGACTTTCTGTATTACAGCGGCGTGCGCGCATATTACGGAGGGGAATGGAGCAAAGCTGCAGAGCTGCTGGAGAAATCCATCGTCACCAAGGAGTCGCTGCTGAGAGTCCGCAGGCAGTGTCACGATGAGTGTGTGGCAGCCGGGGCAGGCGCTCTCCAAAACCTGGGTGGGTTGCAAAGATGATGAGGGAAAAAATTTAAATGATCAACCAAAGGGTGGAATTTCCTTTGAGTGATAAACACACATCAGCAGGATATTCCATCCTGCCTGTGCATGAGTTGAATGCACAGTGTGGGGAAAATCGTATTTGCAGTGATTTGTCTATCTTAGATTGATAAAATGCAATACATGCCTCAGATGAGAGTAACCAGAATCTTTACAATATATTTGCTGCAACTTTAATTTCATTTTATTGTTTATTCATTTGAACGCTGGGGTAACTTTCATATTAGATGGTGATCTACTTATTTTGACCTTACGACCTCTTGGACAGCTTTATCCACAGCTTACATACACATGACAGACATGTAGGCCCATGCATCATAGACTAAAATAAATCAGAGTGTAATTCATTTCTGAATTTCACTGCTGTTTCATATCATGTTTATACCTGTCTATCCCATGGCAATCATCAGTTCTAACTTATTCTAACTTATTTTCTTTTTTTTGCTACTGGGAAGATTTTTAAGAAATCTCTCCCCTAAATTTGTACTATTGAGAGTGTATTCATTCACTTAAACATGGCTTGATTTCAACAAATTACCTAATAAGATGGTGCAAATACTTTAAATGTTGAATAGATCTGATGAATTTGTTGTTCTTAAAGTCTATATAACATCACTATTTGCCTACTATATGCTTATTGTTGAAACAGTATTCATAAAAGTCTGAGTATTTAATTCAGTCATTTTTTGTGCTTTATTAGACTCTGAAGAGGGCAGTATGTGGGATCTGTGGACCTTGGACTGGATTCAGCAGCGAGCTGAGTGTTTGAGGTTCTGTATGGGGCGCACAGTCACCCCTACAGGACAACTCCCTGTCTCCACTGACATTGAATATGAATTTGACACCCGCAACCCGTATAACTTTCTGCAAGTTACATACTACAAGGTAAGCTGCTGTCTGCTGTGTGCCTTAAACATCTGAGCCATGATGAATCTGGTGACCTTTACATTTACATTGATCGCTCTGTTTTTATATTATTTGACTGCATTTTTTTAGAGGCAAACCGCTTGATGTTTTCCCTGTCATTGACTTGAATTATGTCTCAGATCACATCCTATAATGGACTCTCTTTTTTTAAACATCAGTTGGAGAAGTTGAAGAAGGCGGCATCAGCGGCTCATACTTACTTTGTGGCCAACCCCAGTCACCTGGAGATGAGAAACAACATTGAAAAGTACAGACGGATGGAAGGGGTGACTGAGGACGATTTCCAGGACAGAGAGATTGAGAATGAGAGACACTGGGTGAGGAGGAAAGAGCAATGGCTTTGCACTTGGTAATTTTGTGTGCTGACTCCTCTAAATGTCTGAAACTGCAGCATCTCCACCTTCCTAAGCCCAAGGATTGTGGTAACAACAAAAGTAATGACAAAGGCAATGCATCCAAGTGTGCCCACAAGACTGTTTCACAAACTGCAATGCAATCATTGCCAGCAATTCAGTGTACTCTAACTCAGATTATAATTGGATAAACAAGACTGATAATCTTCTCCATTCGTCCAATAAACAATATATACAATATATCTCTCTAAGTGCACATTTGAAATTGTAATCATGTTTGTATTAAACAATGTTACTGATTTCTTTGCAGGGAGTGGAATGGGTGTTCACTAAAAGAAGGAGGTTAAATGTGTGCTAAATGTCTTAGATTTTTGCAGAGGAGGTGTGTTTGATGGTAGTAACAGGCTTGATGTGTCTGACTTCAGCCTTAAATTGTTCCTGTGATGACAAACACAATCAACCCAACAATTTAGGTTGTGTCAAACTAAAAACCAGACTGGCAGCATCCTTAGTTTTAATGCAACTACGTCGCTTCCTCTGTGTGTGTCTTCAACCTCAGGTCCTGTATGACGCTGCCCTCCAGCTCGAGGCCTCCTCTGACTGGGCGCCGGCAGCAGAGAGGTGGAAAGCTTGTGTGAACCAAACACTGCGGCAGACGGAGGAGTGCAGGGTGCAGTGTGAGCTCGCCCAGCAGCGGCTGCCAGAGGACAGGGGAGTGGAGGGAGTGACTGGCGCATTTGAAAAGGCCGCTGGTAAGAAAAAACAGAGATACCCAAACTAGAGAGCCTTTTGTTATTGCTAATGTTGATATTTTGAAAGGAAGAGTACTGAAATGTATCATACCGCGCATACCAGATTTAAGCTTTTTTTTGGGTGAAGAATTGATAAACAAAGCAAAGAAATAAACTTAATAAAGAACAAAATAACCTTGAAAGTTCAGAGAAAGCACTGCCATTAGCTCTTTCATATAGCCTGTAATTTAAATGCAATTTTCTCAAATTGCCTTTAGAGTGCCATTGATTTTTCTTGGCCCCTCATGTTTGTGCAAAATAATGGCTGCTGTGGCATTGTGAGAGAAACCCTACATAATTTTTTCCTTGGAACACTTCATTTTGCAATTTTGCTGTGATTGTGATTTTGTGAAATGTCTGACAGCTTGTGCTGCAAACAGATTTGTAATATAAACACAATTATGCCAGGAAGCATCAACATTTAGACATAGATAAAGATTTTAATGGAAATCAGGTTTGTGCAGTGGTGTACATGCAACTGTGTCCTGCCGCTCTGTCAATCATGCATTAAAGCTTCTGTTTCTTTGGGTGTCCACATTTTAGTCACACAAACTCTGTTTTATACGTGCTTTTACACATGCTCTTCTCTGTCCAGCCCTGTCGCTCTCTCTGCTGGCCTGCCGGCAGACCTGTGTGACTCAGGTGGCCACACGGCCTGGAAGGATCTCAGCTCAGGAGGACTTTTTGCCTACACAGCTGGAACATCTCCATATTGCTCAATATAAAGGTACGTTTTTAGGGCAGACTGAAGGACCCTGAGTAAAATGTCAGTATCTGCCTTACACTGGATTCCTGATGACAAACAGCTGGAGATGTCAGTGGAGCCCTGCAGACTCTGCGCTCTTATCTCCTGCTCTACCCCTCGGACAAGGACTCCTTAGACAACCTGCAACTCTACTATGAGACACTAGGTGGAGATGCAGAGTCACGGCACACACAGCCTGCTCAGGTACCACAACGTCCACTGAAAAATGCTCCCATCTCTAATTCTGGCCTTTCTATAAAAATGGTCTTTTTGTTTGTGTTTGCAGGAGATTGTCAGATACTTCCATCGCTCCTTGCAGGAGAAAAAACTGCTGTATTTTGGCATGGAGAGCCTTGATTTCAGTTTCACTGATCCAGTAAGTTCAGATGCAGAGTGGGATAACTGCCAAAATGCTTCTCTGCAGAATTTTGAAATGATTCTCTTCATAGGATCTTTGGACTCCAGAGGATGTTGTGCCTGAATCCCTGCGACAACGTTGGAGGTGAATCAAACGAGGAGAAATTGCCTTTGTGACAAGTTACAGAATTCAACATCAAATTTGTGTGTTTTGCATCTTCTTCTCAGGTCTGAGAGAGAGAAAATAAATGACAAAATTAAAGAAGGAGAGCAGGTAGAGGAAGTGGATGACAGTGGGTTTTTTGCAGGTGAGACAATAGACCTGCAGTAGAAGATAAGACTTCATTATTTCATGCCTCATTCTGTCTGAACTTTATCATCATAAAGGAGGACCAGTCCCACAGGTGGGGGTGACCATCACTATGGATGAGGAGGCTCTGAAAGGGACAAATCGAGTTGTCCTGGATGGAGTCATGACTGGGATGGAGTGCGACAGGATACTGCAATTAGCAGCCGTGAGTTTCTTTAGCTGAACAGCCACTCTCTGTAAACACCCTCATCACCACCTCTGTCATCTCACAGGTTGCGGCATCCCTCGGAGACGGTTACCGGGGGCGACGATCTCCGCACACCCCGCACGAAACCTTTGAAGGTTTGACTGTCCTCCGGGCTGTGAAGGTGGGTGAAGCGGCGGTAATGGAAGTGGGCACAGGCTGCCTTTTGCTCATCATCTCTTGACCTTCACTTCCTCTCCGATGGCAGCTGGCTCAGGATGGCCTGGTGAACCAATCAGATACCAGGCTCCTGCACGAGCTGGGCGAGAGGGTCAGGGTCCTGCTGCACTCCTACTTCAGGAGCCCCTCAGGACTTTTCATCTCTTTCACCCATCTGGTGTGCCGCACGGCTATTGCAGGTAATTCATATTATGTGCACCTTTTTCTTAAAGGAAATCACTATTACTTTCTATGAAGCATGGACATTTTAGGTCTCCTGAATGTCTGTGCCATATGTGAAAATGCTGACCACAGCTTTAAAAAAAAATGTGTTTCAGGGGACCAGGAGGGCCGGCTGGATCTGTCTCACCCTGTCCACGTTGACAACTGCCTCCTTGAACCGGAGACCAATCAGTGCTGGAGGGAACCACCAGCCTTCGTGCACAGAGACCTCAGGTACATGGAAATAAACTCAGCTGGTAGACATTGAGTATTTCAGGGGTTTGCTTTAGCTTCAATAAGTAGAACACAGGTGTTTCCATTGATATGATTATTTTATATTCCAAAGATAACTTCACATGTAGCCATATGACTGTGTTACTCTTCTCAAGGTAACACTTTCCGTATTCTGGGATTAGTTTTGTCATAAAACACGATCACCTTATTAGTTTTAACTTTATCGCATCACAAAAGCTGACCCTTTTCTTGTCTGAGAATGACACTTATCTGATTTGTTTATCCCACAGTGCGATTCTCTATCTGAATGACAACTTTGATGGTGGAGAGTTGTTTTTCACCAAAAGAGATGCCACCACCGTAACGGTGAGTCACTTTGCTGCTGAGAGCTGTATGAGGTCTCCAGAGGTCATATTGTGAGGCTTGGACCGCTCTGCCCGTGTGGACAGGCTCGGGTGAAGCCCGGCTGCGGCCGACTGGTGGGCTTTTCCTCGGGTCCGGTAAATCCCCACGGCGTGAGTGCCGTGACCAGAGGCCGACGGTGCGCGCTGGCCCTGTGGTTCACAAAGGAGAAGCTCTACAGGGACATGGTGAGCATTACGGCGGCACGCAGCTGCAACCTCCTCCCCCTCAGGTTGGGCCCGCAGTCCTGTTGGTTGATGTCATGACGCCAGTGTTGGATAACCAGAACAGATGGGGCACAATGCAAATCTGTTAGTTGTTTGCATGTTCATGCTGGTTTACAGGGCCTGTTGTGCAGCCATCACATTGTCCTTTGGGCTCAGCATTTGTATCCACTTAAAAACAATGAATCTTTTGGAAGCAATAACAGGATGTACGCAGATTTATGTTTGAACTGATTAGTTTCACGCCGCTGAGAGTCCACACGAACAGGCATTTTGACGAATTACAATGAAGGAAAATGGTTGTATAACAGAGATGTGCTGGTGCTTATAAGTAGAGCGACAAACGCCTCTTGAAGTTATGCAACTTCACACAGACTGTCTGGATGGTGTGTAACATTAAAGAGGGGGGCACATTCTACTGCGATGGCTGTTCATGTACGTTTGCCGATGGGAAGTCAGTGCTCTGGCGTTTCGGTGCCTCTCTCCTGCAGGAGCGAGAAGAGGCAGAGCTCCTGTGGGCAGCTGATGGACAGGGCGGGTTGAAAAAGGATGAAGAGGAGACGGAGGGCAGCGCCACCGCTGGCCGCAACGCTCGTAGCCACGCGCCGAAGCAGACGAGCCGAGGAAGAGGCAGCGTGACGGGGCGCAAAGATGAGCTTTGATACCCCCAACAAATGTGACAGACTCTTCCTGGGATATATTTTTATTCATTCTAGTGGAAAAACCCACTTTGCAACATAAGTATTCCACCCATTTGTACACAATACTGAAAGAACAGTCATTTCATGTGGCTCTTTTTTTTGTCATATCGTGTTTGATGTGTATATGCTTAATTTATATGAGAGAAGCTGTGTCCTCTCGTGTGTGTTGTCAAGTCTTCACTTTTGATCAAGAGCCTGTGCTAATCACTGATTTTTCAAATGAGGAGAATAAATTGTGTATTAAAAATCATTCTTTCAGTGTTGCATGAGGGTTACGTGCCAAATGCACGCAAGCCGTAGAGCAGAAAGAGGATTACACCAAGAGTAAGGTCAAAAAGGGGTATAAAAGTAAGGCAAGACTGTATGATCTGTTTAGTGATTATCTCACACGTCCATATCTGCAGGCTGATTTGGTCCTGCCCACGGCCATGTTATGAAAGTTGAAACTTACACAGTTGTCCAGAAGAGGTAGTGACAGAAGCATCAGGAAAGATGGTTTCAGGTAGTAATAGGTAGGGGCGGGAATAGGCAGAGAGAGAGTGAACAGGGGGGAAAAGGATAGAAATAGAGAGATTACTGTTAATCCCTCATAAATGAGTGCATTTGTTTATGAAGCTTAAAATTCTCCCATTTAGAATATGGAATAGTAATCCATGGAAAGAGCATTTAATCATAAACATCCAGTTGTGTGACACTCAACCCACCCACTTCCATCTTATCCATCCCATTATAACCAGTGCAACCCCCACCCCTCCCTCTGCTCTCATCTTGTGCATTTCAGTCAAGTGCTGTTTACGGCCCATATTAACACTCTCACTCCCCCCTGTGTTATAATCCCTTACAGATTTGGGTCGGCAGGCCTGTTTAATGGAGCCTTGGTTTTAACCTCTTAACTACCTCCCAAACACTCACACAAACAGGGAAAAATCTGGATTAATCTTCTCTTGAGTTGGTGTCTCTGAAATGCATGTTAGATGTCTTCGCATTAAGTACTCCAACCGTCTAGCGCTCTAATTACACTGGTGGCTGAAAAACATGAAATTCAAATGAATAAATTCATCCTTCAGTAATTTATATTATCAGGAGAAATTATGTAGGCCTGAACTGTAGGGTTATGAAACTGAAATGAGAGCATCCTGTTGTCATTATAGCTGAGTGCTGTGAGTAGCAGGCAGGTTCGCTCATCCTCTCGCTCAGTTCTATGCTGTACCATGTATGTGCTTATAGCCGGCACCACTTATCAAGTACGTCCTGGTAGTTTCTGGCCCCTCAGACTGATGCTTCATATAGTTTCAGGGGCATAAACACAAAGCGGGCCTTCGGCTGGTGAGGCGAGGTTGGATAATCTGTATTTTATTCTGTTAATGTCTCAACAGCTGCTTGTGGCTGACACATTTGTCCTATAATTCAGTCATTTCTGACATACAGTGCTCAGCTGTAACCCATTTCTTTAAAACCCTCAAAATGTCAGAGATGCTTGATGACTTGAAACAAAACATGCTCTCCTTTATTGAGGCGTTTGAGTCAGTAAATAAATTGAGGATTTCAGTTTAATGCCTTTCTCAGGACACATGCCTACATTTTCATCATCTGCTCTCAGAATATTCTTTACTTTCATTAAAAGTAAAAAAGATCAATAAAATAAAAGTAAGACTGATGACATTGGTTTGAATTTGAAAAAGTATTGCTGGTCCATAAATAGTACCCTAGAAAAACACACTCACACTGTTTTTATCCTGGCTTTTGTCTGTGCATGCCTCTGCTAACAAATCCTTTTTTCTCTTTTGGTTCTCTGTTCTACGCTCCACCTCACAGTCCACTCCTCCCCAACTCCATTTCTCCAAATCCTGGGTCAGCGCTGCTGTCGTCATCGCGCTCCAGTGAGCAGAGGTCAACACTTTTAAACCCCAGAGCTGAATTTATCCTCACTGCGTTATAGTATAAACCCGGAAAGTAGGCAACACACACATTAACACACTACAAGCCTTTCCTGCTCCAGAAATGGATAAGTAGGCAAACGTTCAAAACCTACATACCCCTGTGTGTGGCTTAATCATGCTGTGTAATTGTCTAAATGTTAGTCTGTAAAGATTGGCCTGGAAAGAATGGAACAAAAACCCTGCAGATCCTTCCAGCCATATTTCTATCTTTCATGGGGATTTACTTTCAACAATTTTTGCAGGATCATTTGATAATTGTAATTCAAACTACAACATCAAAGTTAGGACTGCATTATGAAAAGACTAAATATGTCATGACCATCATGTTGTGGGTTCAGAGGTCTGACAACACGTGGGCCTTATAGCAACAAAATAAAGTGAAAGAATTCAGAAAACTTTGCATATTGTTGTTGTAGGTCTCTTGGCAAACCGAGAAGTTTATTTTAACATACTAATTAGGATTTGAATATATTGAATTATCCTATGTTTGCCATTAGTTATCAAAGCATATCGGCTATAATTCATAATATATTGGACACAAAGTCAACAAAAAACAGTCTCCAGTGGCTGAACACTGCCTGTTTGACTACCTGTAGAGGAACAATTTATCAAACAATTGATTGAGGGCTGGAGTCCGTTCTGGCTGTTGGAGAGGATGAGGAGGAACACACCCGGAGCAAATCAGCGTCCACCGCAGACGAAGGACGACCCACACGTGCTCACCTTTACTCCGAAAGTCAATGTACAACAACCATTCAACCTAAAACACATTATTCTGATACTGTGAGAGGGAGCTGGAGTAAACAGTAAAAATATCATGCAAGCAAGGGAGAACATGCAAACATTTCAGCAAGAGGCTCCACCCAGCCAGTTTAAGTCTGATGCCTGTCCTGCCACAGCCCTTGTTCAGTGGAGCTATTTTCCATTTAGGTGGCAACAAATATCAACAAAAAGTCATTGACGTTTCATATCAAGGTAAAAGCCAAACTGTAAATGCAATATGATTAGGCAGCATTTGTCTTTACTTGACCACAGGAAGGTCCATGACACCGCAGGCCACATTTACCCAGTCACCCACATGCTCATACAGAACTTCTTAGTCAAGGTCACACATTGTTTTTTTGTTTTTTTTTAGTCACACTCATTTGATGGACAATGTGGGAATGGGTATCCAATGCAAACTGCACTTTGATTGTATGAAAAAAATAGGATAATCAATCGTTTTGAATGTTTTGAATACTGAATACTGTACATAATTTTTTGTTGGCTGTAAAGATTTTTCTTGCTGTTGTTTCCCAGTTTTTAAACGGCATCATGGCATTGAGGATACCAAGAGATTAAATGCTTTGGCTGTTATTTCTCCCATTCCTCATGATTTGTCTGAGTTAGGGGTGGTAGATGCTGCCTGTCAACATCTCTACACATGCTGTTCAGATCAGAACTCCAGGCAGGCTTTCTTTTCTTCTCTTGTGAAGTATGGTAAATGCTGTTTTTTGTGTGTTCTTGAAAAATAATGTCATCTTAAAGGAAGAATTCGTTCTTCTAACATCTTAATTAACCGATTTCGCTGGGTTAATTTTGCCATAACAACTCTTATTCAACACCGCATAACCTGGCTGTTGGACTTATTTTGGACTTTGGTTTAGAGCATATTTCTTCAACGGATCATCTTGAATTCTGACTTGTCTGACAACAACTTCTGTTTATAATGTATGATGATCCATCCCAAATGAATTTAAACTAAACAAACTTGACATTGGCTCTGGCCAAGGTTCCCCCACGGTCTTTTTCTTACAACATGGTTTTATTTATGAATACAACTTTGTTTGGCAGTTGATTCTTCACTGTCTGAAGGTGTCTAACTTAGACTTGCACTTCTGCTCTTTATGCCCTGATTTTTTCTGAAGATGGCTTAAACAGTGGTGAAAGTAACATGCAATTCTCTTGCAATCTTTTTTTGAGGAAGTTCTTTTTTTCTTATATGCACCTATCCATTATCCATGCCGCTTATTCCAAGTAGGGTCATCCGAGAGCCTGGGGCCTATCCGAGCTCATATTGGGTGAGAGTTTTCAGATTATTAAATGATTTTTTTTCTCACATTTGTTCACAGTCTGTGCCCATATTTACTGTCCGACTGAGCCTCTCATTGTTACAGCTCTCATACCAAATCACGCTTATCCATGAACATAAATTGTTTGAAATGCAACCTTGACTTTCTTTTAACCTCATCCCAAGCCCAAAATTGCTCCTTTACCTGAAATGCTAACATGGATTTGTAAAAGAAATAACATTTAAAAAATTTCTGTGGGAAAATGCTATCATGAACTTGCTATAAGCCACTTCAGCAGCTGATTCAAAGGTTTCCTATCCGACCTTTGGTGTTAGCTTTGTGGCCATCGCAGTCAGAGAGCCGAGCCAAGCTGTTTCATAACTAATACAGGTGATTGACTTTGTTAGATGATATATGACAGCTGTGCAGTGCACTCTCTAACAGATAAGAGAGACAGTTCTAAACAGGAGTGTAATTTCAGGGGTTTGTTTTGTTTTTCATGTCCAGCCAGAGCTCAAAGTGAGCAGACTAGAACCGAAGGGGTCAGGTAGGGACTCTGATGAGCTGGTGGGATTGGCAACTAAAAGGGAAATATGATGGTGCTTTTGCACTCTGACAGGACAGAGGTTATGATTCTGCGTACAGCAGTAACACATGCTAATTTGTTCTATTTGCATTATGAAATGCGGGAAACTTTCTGAATGCTGCTGTTGTTGTCTGCATTACCTCTCCATCCAGTCTGTTCTCTGCTCGGTCGAGCCCTCTCGGTCTGTCGGCTTTCTAATATTAACCACATTTTAGGTTTACAAAACAAACCCTCATGCCTCCTAAGATCCTGTAAAGACTACTGTAGCACCATAAAAAGCAATGCTCTCAGGTTCTCTGTTTATCCTGTCTCTCCCTCCCCTCCATTATTTCCATCTCTTAATGTTTGACTCAGATTCACCTCAGCTCAAGTCTTTTGACCCTGCAGCCGTGCACCTTGTTTGGTGTCCACCACTGTCCCCTTTGTCTTTCTGCCTCTTTTACCACCACTACTTCCTCCACACCCCTCCCCAGCCCTCTTTTCTGTCCATCCCAGGTTTTATCCCCTCATCACTGATCTCCCTTCATCCCTCCAATCCTCATCTGTTCCTCATAGGAGCAGTGGACTGTGTGAGTGACAGAGAAATATCGCACTGTGTGTGACACCAAAAGTGAATGAGCAGAGGAAATTGTAGTAACACACGGACTGAACTCATGAGAACATCCCGAGAAAGCTCTGTGGACAAAGACTGACGGTAGATCTCTCCAAACACCTTGAGTGGATTCTTCGACTGGTGAGTGAGAGTCATGTGTTGCTATTGTGAGGCTGTGGCATGCTGTGAAGTATCAGACTCAGAGGTCAGCTAAAACTCAAAGCTGAAATCACATCTACCATGATTTGCCTAAATATTTTATAGTGCCGTTAATTTCCTTTATCTCACATTGAATGGTTCTTAAGGTGAGAGGTTGTTCATTTGTTGGCAGCATTGCACCCAGGTTCAGATAAGATGTTTTCTTAGAATATTTATCATTCATGATGCTGACGGCATAGCAACACACATTTAATGCACTTATTTGTCGTCTATCTTTTTATGACCCAAACAACAGAGGGATTTACATGTGAGCAGTACACAAAGATGGTATTATTGCATGGACCAATAATCTGTGTTGAAAGAAAATTCCCTTTATTGTGTCACTCTTAATACTATTGGATGTAGAAAGAAATAATACTGCATTGTTATTTTTTCTGGCTTTCTTTGATAAGTTCATCTTGATTTAAAAGTAAATTCTGGCTATGGTTTTGATCACATTTCCAGTGCTGTCCCTCCACGGTTTACGAGAGCACTTGAGAAATGAATGGCTGCCAATATCTAATTTATTTTGTGACATAGATACATATAAAAATGTAATTACAATGAATTGTCCCAGATTATTCATTCACTGTTTATCTCATTTACCTACCAGGTAGGTAAATGTTAAAGGAATGACGATACAGTTTGACTTTTTAAACAGCTGAAAAAACAGACATGTTCAGGACTTTCAACAATGTTCTCTACAAGTTGTTCAGAGGATGAAGGATTTTGGGCTCTAACTGGTGCTCTGAGCAAAGTTACCAATTCACAGCTTGGACTTCAAGTGCGCGGGCCGAGTCACACTGAAAAGACCACCTTCCACCAGCTCTATCTGCCGCCTCTCTCATTCTCATCCTACTACCTACCCCCCTCCATCCCTTTCTCCATCTCTTATCCAGATGTAAAGAGCAGTCAATAATCGGATGAGAGCAGATTTGATTCAAAAGGCTTCCCTTAAAATCTCAGCCAGTAGGATTTAAAACTCACTCTCCTGCCTCGCCTCTTACCCTCCACCCCGTTAGATCCCTGCCTCCCCTCCGTAGGCCTCCTCTTCTCTCTGGTAGTGCTAATGTACTATCCACCTCCTAGCAGTCATTTAATCACATGAGACAATCACGAGGGTTCCAGGAACACAATGGCAAAAGGGCAAGGTCATGACAGAAATGAAAAAGCTGAAAAGTGTTCAATAGCGGTGTAAGAATAAAGTGCCCTGATTTCAGCTATATGGAGGATGTAGCCATTAGGAGTTTAGGGTAACCTCTTTAATTTCATTTCAGCATGTTTTAGGCCATCATCCACTCACTTTAGATTTACAGACAGAATCCAATGGCAAGCAATTAAATCATGTCTCTTTCTCTTCACATCATTCCCTCGTTTACTCCCTTCCCATCCATTTCACTTTAAACAAATTAAAGGCAAATCCTCTCGGTCATGTATTATGACCAGGACTCTCATTCAAATAGTGAAAGCGAGGGAGAGATTGCTGCAGGCACAAATACGTTAAAATCAACACTGAGAAGTATTCCCTCCTATTGATCAAAGGTAAGATAAAGATGATTGTATTCTGATGACTAATTGCTTAAAATAAGTCCACAGTGGTTTTATTTGAACTGATACGCAAAGAGGAAGGTATTATTGAGGACTGGCTGTTCAGCTGCATGCGTTCTCTGCCTTTTAGAGTGCGACTGGCTCTTGTCTGCTGATGACATTTGTCACACTGTATGAGTTTTACCATTAGGTGATTGATTTACTGCTAAACATCGTCCATTTAATCACGACATTACCAAATTCAATAGCCATCAACATTAGCACAGAGCTCAGTGGAGTGTTAAATGGCACAAACTCGCCTATCTGTGTTTTGAGTTTGTTGTGGACAAAGAGGTGACTGCCAAAGAGCTGATACACCTGTAACATTACTACAGGACATACTGGTTTGTGTGTACATTCGGGGTGAGGATGTGTGTTCTCGAGTATCACACCATCTGAAGAACAAACTTTCTCTGTTAATGACGTGTTTAGATATTCATCCAGTCTTCGTTGTGTGTGTGTGTATGCGTGCGTGTACATCCATATGTGGGTGTGTGCTGTGGGTTTCTCTGTAAGTTCCTGCGTATTCACGAAAGTTTGCAAAGTAGACGAGGGCTCCTTTGACTTGCAAAACAGCACTTACTTAGAGTCCGGGCACTGGGGAGGACAACAAGTTGATGTAGGCTAGGTACAGGTTGAGTTCCAGCATGAAGTCATAGTACAGGTAGAGCATCTGGAATAAAAAAGGTTTGAATCGCAACTTTTTACAGATCTTTTTGTGACAGAAGTGTCTCATTTATTGTTTGCCCAACATGTCTTCTTCTTCTTCTTTTTCTCTTCAGGATTACCAGCTTTGCCGACATCTCTGCTTGTCTCCGTTGGTGACAGTGCCTGATAACCATCGCCATGGGTGAAATGGAGCAATTGCGAAAGGAGGCAGACAACCTCAAAGACCAGATCACTGTAAGCGGCTCCTTGTGTTGTGTTTAAACAAGAGAGAAGTATGGAGCCACCCGGTTTCTCACCAAATGTGACTGGGCTTCTCCCTGTGGTTCACGATGCTCTCTGACATTCTAACTACATGTTGTTCTTTGCTGTTTTTATTTGTGTGGCTCACAGGCGGCCCGTAAGGCTGTGCAGGACACCACACTGCAGGAGGCTTCAGCTTCGATCGCTGTGGTGGGGCGTGTCCAGTTGAAGACCAGGAAAACGCTCAGGGGTCACCTTGCCAAGATCTACGCTATGCACTGGGGCACCGACACCAAGTAAACACATGAAGCATTGTACACAAATTGAAAGTCAGCTAACATAGGTTTCAAACCAAGATCAGAAAGGTTGTTACATTTTGTGAAATTAGGGAAAGAAGGGTCAATTTATGTAGGATAGAATTGTGAGGATGTGTTGGTTTTGGGAATATGGGTCATCTCGTCCTTTTACTTCGCTCTGTCAGCTGGGTTTTTTCTCTTCCTCCACCAGGCTGTGTGTCAGTGCTTCTCAGGATGGAAAACTCATAGTCTGGGACAGCATCACAACCAACAAGGTAGGAGAGAGTAGAAAAGAGGGGTCCCATTAAAGAAATCAGTTCCTGAACAGCAACGAAGCTGTCAGATCATCTCATTTAAAACTGCGAATGAGTGTCTTTCATCGGAACGTAGTTCCTGAAAGTACATTTTCCTGCAGCTACAAATGTCAATGAGTCGATGAGCAGAGTTTAAAAACACTGTTTTATCGTCGAACACATAATTTTCGTCATTCTAATGGAATCTGAGCGACCGCCTTGTTTTGGTGAAGATGAAACTACTTGAAATGGATAACATAATCTTCATAAAATTTTTAATTTATACCCACATTGCCAAGCTTAAATGTTAATTTTCTTGTAGATCAACTTTATCCCCCCTTAATTCTTCCCTTGCAGGTCAACTTTTGATTTACTTACAACTTATTATTTATTTTTGTTCAGGGAAACAACCACTTAATGAGTAGGAATCTGGTGACTGTTTTGCACTTCAGAAGTTCTGTTTATGAGTGTCTGACTTGAAAAATCAAGCATGTTAGCTACAACATTGTAAACAGAATGGGCCCTGTAGAAATTCCTTTCAGGCCCTTAACTATTTTAATGTGGATTCACTGCTTGAAACCCATTTGGTCTGTGAGGTGTGATGACATGGCTACCTTCCCTGTGTACCTAGGTGAGCGCCATCCCCCTGAAGTCGTCATGGGTGATGACATGTGCCTATGCACCTTCAGGAAACCTCGTGGCATGTGGCGGTCTGGACAACATGTGCTCCATCTACAACCTAAAGGGCAAGGACGGCAACGTAAAGGTGATGCGGGAGCTGGCAGCTCACACAGGTAAGCCAGGACCACCCCGCTCCGTCAACCTACTTGTGTCTTGAGGACCCCAACTGATGTGGTTTGTCTGCGGTCGCCTAGGTTACCTGTCCTGCTGTCGTTTCCTTAGTGACAGTGAGATCATCACCAGCTCTGGGGACTGCACCTGGTAAGACTGCAGTGTGAACAACCGGTCTGAAATGCTGCTGCGTCCATCTCCTAAAATCTAAAAGTGGAATAACTGTCCCTGGTTCCTCTGCCTTTAGTGTACTGTGGGACATTGAGACGGGGACCCAGAAGACGATTTTTGCGGGACACCAGGGAGACTGCATGTCTCTGGCAGTGTCCCCAGACTTCAAGTTTTTCATCTCAGGGGCGTGTGACTTCACAGCCAAGCTGTGGGACATCAGGGAGGGCGCCTGCAGGCAGACCTTTGGAGGCCATGAGAGCGACATCAACGCCATCGGGGTGAGAATGAGGGAGATTTCTATCTTGGTTTTTGGCAGAGTTGTCACTCTTTTAAAGATGCTAATTCTTTTTCGTTTACCCGCCTTCTAGTTTTTCCCCAACGGCAACGCGGTGATAACTGGATCCGACGATGCCACCTGCAAACTGCACGACCTGCGAGCTGACCAGGACCTCATCACCTACCAGGACTCTGGCATCATGTGCGGGGTGACCTCGTTGGCTCCTTCCCTTTCCGGACGACTGATTCTGGCTGGATACGACGACTTTAACGTCAACATCTGGGACTCCCTCAAAGCTGAGAGAGTGGGTGAGTGTAACGGGAAAACCAGGGGCGAGAGGAGGCTGAACCGGCTGACACGGGCTGTGATCCCTCCGTGACAATTTACTCAACTGACCTGCTGTTTTTCCATGTTTTTCTATCGCTCAGGCGTGCTGGCCGGCCACGACAACAGAGTGAGCTGCATCGGCGTGTCTTCAGACGGCATGGCCTGTTGCACAGGATCCTGGGACAGCTTCCTCAAGATATGGAACTGAGGCTGTTCCTCTCCAGCGAGCCGAAAAGGAGCAGTTAATGTCTGCCCGGCAGGAAGTGAAGATTAAGAGTTAGCGGTAGGGAGGAGGGCCAAGGACCCACATAGGGTGAGAAGAGGGGATTTCAAATGTGCCAAGTCATGTCTACTGTTGGAGAAGGGGTTATAATGTGATGATTTTCTCTTCTCCCTGTCACACTTTGCTTCTCACATTATGTGGAAATTTGGGAGGGGACAAAAGGGTAAAGAGGCTGAGACAATCTCATTTTTAAATTCAACTATGGTTTAGGTGGCTGAAAGATGCACATTTATTGCAGCAACTCTAAGAATGCCCATTGAAAACAGTTGCCAAATGGAAATGGTAGCGCATTAGAAAGAGAATTGAATAGGTGTCGACTTACAGCATGTGTAGGGTCACTCTACTCTACTGATATGCTGTTTTCTATCGAACTGTAGGTTGCATAAATGTTTCAGACTGTTATTTGTTCTTAGTTTTGGTAGATTCCTAGTTATTCACACTTATTTTCTTCAAGTCAAAATTGAGTCATAGTTTTGAGAGTCATTAGTGTTTGTTTTGTATGTATGAAGGACAACATTTACCAGGATGAGGGGTCTGTTAGTTGGCCTGAGCCCTTGATAGTTTGACCTGCTACGTGCTTTTGGTAAGCTACTGAACTAACAGCTGGAAAGATACAATTGCGTCTCATGGTTCACTGAGCATTTACAAAAAAAAAATAAGACATGACCTATTTATCTCAGGCTGAGACTCATTGTATGAGCATCATATGGATAACAGCTCCTGAATGCATTTAAATTTGAATGGGTATTTATCCGCTTACCCTTTCCCCCAGCATGTGAGCAGGTCAACTAGACAATTTGTGTACATTTGTTAAAAATAAAAAGTAAAGATTTGGACTAATCTAGACCTGAAATTTGATAAGCTCTGTGCAAAGTGAAGCAATAATACCTAATAAACATGGGATTCTGCACTGCAAGTCTTTAGTGTCTATTACTGAATCTTACTTTTTTTTTTTTTTAGCAAATCCTGAATCATCACTTCTGCTATTTATCAAGGGACTTAAATATTTACAGTCTAGAATAGGAAGTCTATTCATTATTTAAACAGACACCTATACCAGATGCCACATGCAGATCAAGTGGAACAGGCCCGTCATTTGTTCTATTTGGACAAGAGCATGCCAAATTGACATCTTTTTGTAAAAACCTGCGATTAGTTGCCTGCTCTTTGGTTGTGCTGGCATTAAATGAACACGTCAGAGTCAAGGTCGATCATTTATTCCATTAGTGCAAATACTTAAAATTTAGAATGTTTACAATTTACAGATTTAGGTAAAACTTTTACGAAACCAAAAAGGAAAAAAAAAAAGATTAGTTGATTAAAAGCTGAAGGGTGTATGCACATTTTTGAATTTACAGAGAAGTCAAACAGGAGAAAACTGTAGTATGTGGCAGTTAAAAGAAGTATACAAACACACAACACAAAAATGTATTGATGAAAATTACACATAAAAGCATTTTAAGAAATATAAATCAGAACAGACTGTACATATTACTGAAGAGCATCATCTGTTCTCTTTGTCCAAAGAGATGGCCAGCACTCTGCGGTCCATTTGTCCAATCCTCTGTTTTTCTTGGGTGGAAACCTTTGACTTCATCTGGAACAAATAATTTGAATGAATTATTGAGCTGCTGTGCTGGAATTATGTGTGGGCAGCTTGTTCAACAGGTTTCTTTTTGTTCCACACATGTACATTGTCCAAATGTCAGAGCTGTTGAGACTTAAGCTAAAAGGAGGTTTTAACATCTTAGTTAAAGACAAAAAGGAAAAAAAAAAGAATTGTTAACTGCACAGTCCAACACGGGTTGTACTGCAACAGTACACACAATACTGTTGCCAGGCTGCAAAAAACCCAATGCAGAACAGAATGGCTAAGGGATGATGGAGAAGTAATACACTCTGATTTGAGGAATGTGGAACCAGTTAAGGATTAGAATGGGCTTTGGGATGTGGTTAAAGCAATGCTGTCTAACATGTAAATGAGAGGATCAACTGAGCATCCTACATGCAGCTGCTGGTAACACCACAATTGGATTGTGATTGACAAGAAAGCCAACAGATGGAATATTAGTGAGTGCATGTTCTTACCTGAGAACGTTTGTCCCGGGGTGAGTTAGTCTCCTTAAGGATCTGCAGTGGGGAGCGGCCCTCAGTACCTTCAGAGAGAATAAATCATCAATACAACTCATATCTAAACAGTAAATCCACATCCGTTATTAACCAAAACGACCACTCCTTATACACACCTTTCTGCTTAAGCTTTCCAGACTGTCCCTTGTTTTCATTATTTACGTTTTTAACCGCCACACGGACAGCGAGAGGCGACGAGCCTCCTTTCCCACTGTGTCCCTGCACACCTCTGGATCTCAGCCCAGTGGCACCGAAGCCTTTTCCCAACCACTGGGGCTTGAACTCCACCTGACTGGGGCTCTTTATGTCAAGGGTGGGACAGCGGATGCCAGTGCAGACCTGTGGCTGCTCCGGGCTGGGAACAGTCGGTGCCTCGGATGTGGAAGATTCCTCTGATGTTGGCAGAATGGGAGATTCCTGTAGTTGTACAGGGGATTCTTCAACAGGGGGACTCTCCACATCAGCAGTATGAGAAGGCTCAGAGGACTTTGGTTCAACTGTGATAGTGGGAAGGGCATAGGAGTGGTCTACACTATCCTGGAGGGATTCTCCGACTGAGGCCCTCTCATGGTGCACCTCAGCATAGACTTGAGATGAGGTTACTCCTTCATGGCACGTTATCAGACTCATGCTGAGTCTCTTGTGAACAGGAGTCTCTCTTGCTTCTTCTGCCTCCTCCAGGCTAACATCTGCCTCAGTTTCTATCTCCACCTCCACCTGAGGCTCCTCAAGAAGCACGAAGGGGCTGGAGCTTCTCATGCTCTTCACAGGGGTTACAACAGGGGTACCCAGGAGGTTGGCATGTTCGGCTAGCGACCCAAAATTGTGGGGCAGCTGAGAACCAAGAAGGGGCGCGGTGGAAGCCAGCTCTTCGCTCCCGGCGTCCTCCTCCACAGCATCACTGAGGGTTTTCTGGGCTCCTGTGGTTTTGCCCTCAGCCTCCTGGTGAAACAGCATGCCAAGGCGGCGAGCAAAAGACCCGACAGTCGCTGGGGCCAGAAGAACAGATTTTTATTTTTTTGCAAGAATGAGCGATAAAAGTAAAAGTCAGTTAGGACAAACAAAGCAGCTACCTCTCATGACGTCTCTAACAGGGGTGCGGGTGATGCCAATGGTAGGCGAGCGGGGATCAGTGAAGGCCTGGAGAGTCTCGCTCTTCACCTCAGCAGACGTTTTGGACTCAGGTCCATCACACTAAGACCAACAGAGCTCATCCTATTATCAAATGTTTTGAAAGGTTTTACAGTATTTCTGGAGGCAAACAGTTACCCTACCTGAATGGGTGTTCTGTCAATGCCGACGGTGGGAGAGCGCGGATCTATCAGATGACAGATATGAGTTTTCTTGATGGCTGGCTCTGGTTTCATTGCTGCGGATGCAGCCATCTTGCTCTCACTCGTTCCCATGATGTTTATGTATTAGTATAAAGCTTTAAATATGACCAGAACATTTAAGAAATTAGGAAAAAAAACACCCCAATGGTATGCAACATGATCATAGCCTGATCAAACATACAAATAAATGACAGTTTGATACAAATGCAAATATACATCATATCAATTCAATGTACTAGAAAGAAATGTCATTTCATACGGTCTCAAGTTAAGACATTTTCATTTCATCAGTCACATGATCATAATGTTGGACACAGTAAACTCTAAATAAACTAACAGAATACATTTTTTGTCAGAAAACAATACAAATGAAAACTGTTTCTTGGCAATCCAACAGGTCAGCTCAGACAAGGTCATGCAAGGCAACTTCAATTTTAAAATACAGGAACCGTTTGTAGAGTTTAAGTTTTGATCATTATGGATTGTAAAGACACGGTTTGCATAAAGTTAAGCTTATTTCTGTCTTATAAAGTTAGCTCATTTCTGTACCCACCTTAGACGATCGTTCGAACTGGCGTTCACCTCAAGATCCCTTTCACTTATGCCACACTTGCTACAAAACAGGAGCACTCGGCTTTTAAAATATTTAAATGGCGGTATTGCGTGGTTGATACTTTCAAACGAACCAATAAACGTGCACTTCCGCTCTGTTTGCTCAGCCCTGATTGGCTAATACTGGGGAGTTCCGCAACAGGGCGTGGCTTTCGGCTGATAAGACGTTCGAACGTTGTAATGAGTGCTCGTGTTGTTTTTCTCATTAAAAAAATTCAAATAAAAAGTTGAGCTGGGAAATAAACCCTTCAAAAAAACGCATGTTTCCGTTTCATAATTTTTGAGTTTTTCTTTTTCAAAATTGTAAATGGTGGGCCAAAATAAGCTAAGGTTAAAATAGGTTTCAGTAAATGGAGAGTTCCAAAAATATTTGTGACATTTTTTTAGGACCACTGGGATAGGCTCTACTTCCCCATGCAACCCCATTGGGGAATAAGCGGTAACTATGCATGCCGATGCATGACTCAAGCAAAAACATGTCACTGACAGATGTTTGTAATCAAAGCTTTATTGCTGAATATCATATTAAACATTGCAGTCAGGATATAAGTAGCCTGAAAACAACTGTAGTGCATCAATTATGTTACAATACGCAGTATGGCATATAGAATTATTTTACAATGAAGCAAATTTTGTTTTACAAGAGCAGAGTGAGGAGAGGAAGAAAGGGGCCAAGAAAATTATTCTGACATATTATGTGAATTTATCATCCAATTTCCGATAAAAGTTCCGCAAGAAATCTTGACACACACAAGCACACATTTCATCATAATGGTAACAGTCCCGCTGGTTGTCTGTTCATTGTCTTGGCAGAGTAATGATCCCTAGAAAAATTAAATTACAAAGTATAAAAAACAGAACTGCACAGCCTTTGACTTCTACTCTGCACCTGCACCTTTGTCACTCTGAGTGAAAAGCAGCACTCTTCTTTAATGTCACAGCAATACTGTACCTTTAATCTACATAATCACAGATTACCGACCGTTAATATAACCAGGGAGGGTACTGAGTGTCTGGGTACAGACTCACATAATACTGCTGGCCACCGAACACAGAAAGGACACACTCATGCTGTCATTCTTTCTTACTCCTTTGAGAACAAACTTCAAGTAAATGAAAACAACGTTCATCCAACAGATCAGCAAAGAGGGAAATATGAGGGCCGTCAAACGTGCATTTCAGCAGCATGACTTGATTACTGCCGACTGCTTCTCTCCCGGGGCAGACACATACTGCAGTACTTACGAGGGTCTTTGAACAAACACAACCAGATGATGAATATTTCGTCTTGAACAGCTGATATCACAGTGTCTTCCTCTGCCATTTCTCTGAAACATTTGTGCCACGTTTCGGTCGTTTCCGCGCACCACTCAGTCGCCGAAACATTTTCCTCCTAGCAGGACACATTCACACTCAATAAACCCTCCCTGTGACGATCCTCATTCAGTCCCCCCCTCCACCTCCCTCTGGCTGAAATGAGCCAGCAAAGTGTCCAAGTCTCGCCGGTCAGCGGCGGTGTACAGCGAGCTCTCTCCCATCATGCTGAGAGCCATGCGCAGGGTGGACCAGATGTTGTCGGACATCACTGTGGCAGCTGCACCTCCAGGTCCCCTTGCAGACTTAGCTCCGTCCCCTGCTGCCTGCCGCTGGAGAGACAGAGCCTCCAAGAAGTGTTCCACTGCCTCTCTGCGGAACAAAATAATGCACAAATTCAGAAGCTGGTTTCAGTTAGTTGGATGGGGATTTTGTCAGATAATGCTGGGGTTATAAAATCTGAATTTTATTAGAGGACAAAATTGGAAAGTCTGTCCAAATTTTAACTGCTTTAATTTGTTCAAACAAATGTAGTAATAAAATTAATTCAGGACATAATTCCCTGCTATCCATGGGCATCTATAAGTCTGGAAAGTAGACATGCAAGACTAAAAGATCCATTTATTTTATGTCTTTATTTCATCCATATAAACAGCTGAGTCTGAGCATTCCTTGGAAAAAGCAGTAATGTTCGTCTTCATCTATATAACATAAGCAACATATAATCTAGATAGAACAATGGTCAAAGTTAATTAAAGAGACCTTTTTCTCAGTAAAACAAACCTGTGTGCGCCTAAGTTAACGCAGCTGATTCCCAAGTTGTAGCGGCTGCGGACGAAGCCTGGCTGAAGTTCTAGAGCTCTCCTGTAGGCAGCCACTGCTTCCTCTGACCGGCTCCCGTTAGCCAATGTGGCCCCCAGTTTGTTCCACAACAGGTAGTCCTTTTAGGGAGGAAAGAGAGCGGTGGTAATTACACTGTGCACCATGAGAGTGGCAGGACATGCATGCTGACCTCTGCACTAACCTGTGGAGTGACTGAGAGCGCGGCACTGAAACAGTCCACCGCCTTGTCGTACTCTCCACTGAGATTGAAGAGGACCCCCAGTCCACACTGCAGCTGAGGGTCCACGTGGGCTGGGTCAGAGTTGGCCGCTCGCAGGAACAGGGACTGGACGTCAGTAAACAAAGATCTGTGTGGGAAAAACAAACAATGGAACGGGAGGAGAGAGAGTCACTCTGGTATCACTTTGAATGCTTTCTTTCAAATCTTCCATGTGTGTCGTACTCACTCTGGGAGCAGGGACCCGAACCTCTCCTTCTCCTTCTCCCTGTCTCTGGCAACCTCCTTCTGGCGCTCGCGCTCGTGCTGCTCCCACACAGAGCGGTATTTTGGGTTGTGCTTCAGCCAATCACGCAGAGTCTCACAGGCCTGCCTGTGCAACGACTCATTGGTGAAACTGACCGCCAACGCCATCAGGGCCGTCAGGTTGTCTTTCTTTAGCTCTATACACCTAAGGAGGGAGAGTACAACGTACAGAGGAGCAAAATCTAATGAATATGAGGGAAAATGTTGCATTGGTGATGCAGATTATAACTAAGAGACATTAGAAAAAGAGCTTGTCTCCAAAGAAAACAACAACCAGATTAAAAGTCCTCTTGAGACTCAAAAATGTCTTATTTCAAATTTTATCATCAAAAATCACACAGTGATTTAGTCTCTGAATATGAAGCATGGAAATCTTTCATTTTGCAGTTCTCATATTTGACCTGCGGAGGGCGCTGATGGCAGCAAACTCTTGCTCATTCTCTGCCTGACAGGTTCCCAGATATTGCCAAGCCTGTGATTTGACAGCAAAAACAGAAGATGTATTATGTGGATGTTTTGTTGTTCTTATCACTTTTAATATAAACAGTAAAAAAATATATATATATATATATATATACATAACCCAGATTTTTGTCATCTATTTTCAAAGAAGCAAGAAGGCCTTGTGGTCTACTTTCTATTAATTAATGGGTGATTAGAGACTTCAAAAGTGAAACCCCGGGGTGTCGGGATCTCACCAGCTGGTTGTCAGGTTCCTTTTGTACGGCACTTTCAAAGAACCGCACGGCCCCAGGGATGTCCCCCGCCTCCATCCTCTTCACTCCCTCTGACAGCGGGTCTGGGTGGGATAAGTAAGGGTTGTCCTCTTCAAATTGGTACCCCTGAGAGAAAAACGAAGAAACCCAATAAACTGATGCCAGCATTTTCAAGAGTATCATGCAGAGGCAGGATCTCAAACACACTGAATATCATGTGCCGTCAGGCATGACTGGGAGAGGGAAAAATGCTGAAATCTTCAAAAGCAGAAACAGTATTCCTCAGCCTCCAGGGGGGGGGGGGGCTGACAGCTACCTTGTCATAAGAAGAGCTGAGTAGCTGATCGAAGTCGGAGAGCCAGGGATGGCTCTCTGCATCTCTCTTGGCCATCTCCTCCCACTCCTGCTGCAGCTTCTCCCAGAAATCCACATCACTCTGACAAAACGACGGACAGACATCATTACTTGCCTAACAGGATAAGTCAGTCTGCAGTGCAGACATGATTGACCTTTCCTAAAGAGCAGCTTATTGATGAGGTTCTGCGGTATGACTGAGACCAGAGAGAGAGAGAGAAAGAGACACTGGCTTTGTTTTATCTCCCCTCAAACAGGATTAAGTTACTTCTTCAGGGACACCTTCATGCTCATCGTTCAGGAAAGTTTCCTCATCTATCGAATTTCCAGCCAACCAGGACACAATGAGTTTGAACCTCTCCGGTGCCAGGTGACGTGCTGGCTTCGGGTTTGAGACTCTGGCGTCTGAACGGTTGGCCTCACCTCAACGGCAGCTTTGGCTTGCTGGAAATCCGGCCCTGCTGTGGCGAACTCGTCTACCCAGGCTTCTGCTGAGTCCTGCGACACCTGAATAGCAACCAAGAGCAATGACAGATGCTGACAGCAGTCTGAATGTGCTGGATAAAATAGTTAAAAAACAAACATTATTGTTATGTGAATGGAGGACGGTGAGATTCAGCACAGGAAGAATGTAGAGGGCGGAGAATGTCAAAGAAGCAAGGATGAAACTGGAAAGAAAAGTCTACGTTTCTTTGACTCCTTTCTTATTTCTAATGACCTTTTTCTTTACTTGATAAAGAAAACAAACGCTAAAAGCAACAGAATAACTGAGGGCCGAATGTTTTTTTCAGTTTAGGAGGACGGAAATCCGCGTGTGATACTGGCAGCAAAGCCTAAACGCAAAAATAACAGCAGCTAAATTAAAACCATGAACACCTACAGCTGCCACGACCGCAGACGTCCTACCTGCCTGACGACTCTGGCCCACCGCTTTGCCTGTTTAGCTTTAACTTTCTCAATCTTCTTATTCATCTCGGGGGGTTCCAAGGGAAGACTCCCTCCCCCCGTCTCCGTCAGGAACTATGGTGGGAGGCCAGGAGGGTCGGCGGTGGCAAATGAGGCAATGTTTCAAGGGGAAGGAAGCAGCAAGGGGGTGGGCAGAGTGGGTCATTTTAAGTAGTACGGGGAGTGGTGGTGGGTGGGTGGGGTTTAATAGATGAGGGGCGGTTGTTAATTGAGGGAATGGCAAGCCAAGAGTTCAAGGGCAGGTAAAAAAAAAAAAAAAAAAGTGAAAAGTATACGTCAAAGTTAGAGGGCCATGGAAACATACTATACAGTCATTGATATCAATCACTGACAGGACTGAGAGCTACACAGGCACAGCGTGATGCCCATTTCCACCAGCAGAAGATGAGATGAAACAGCTCAAATAAATGAACTGGGAGGATAGCCAAAAGGTAAATCTAAGCGAGAACAAAGTATTGATTTTTATATTTGCTTTAAAGACAGAATTAAGGAAACCGATGGAGACCAGTCAGAGGCCACCAGCCGGACATCCACCGTTTAAACCGCTCGCTTCCTCCTTTTTGAACAGTAAGCTCCTCCTCTAAACTTATATCTTCTGATTTGGACTGTGTTATCACCGAGAATTGTAGTGAGTCTTCACTATCACTGGATAGCAAAAACAGCCGGCTGCTGCACACACTCAGACCGCGCTGAGCAGTTAGTAACACAGACGCCTGGACCACTCCACCTGAGTCCAAGTTAGTCCCAGTTAAAGTGTTAAGTGGGGAGTGTCACGTGCCATTTTGTCTTTTGTTGGACTTTAGTTGCACATGATAAACAGCATGCATCTTCTCCTATTGATAAGATTTTCTTAAATATTCTCCTTTACTTTACTTGAAAATATCATAAAGATGTTTTGAAAATCGTCTTTTTCCAAATATTCTACCTGGAAATTCAGTTGGAAGACAGTTTTGAGTCTTCTTCTTCTTTAGGCAATAACAGGTTTGTGCAAATAGCAAGCTTGATGAGGAAAATGCTACATCTGATGTTGTTCCCCTTCCACACAGATAGCATCTCAGTGTATCAAAATAACAAATTACCTTTGAGTTGACGCTTGTTAGCAAATATTTGCATTTTCACTCTTGGCTAAAATCGTCCTCTTTTAAAATTAGGACTAAACTTTTGGTTTTTTCCTCTGGTGGAGAAAACATTAAAGTCTAATATAACTGCTTCCTTTTGCTGAAATCAAGAGAAACGGCTGCATTTGTATTCACTTTGCTCAAAGCCCATCGACTAAATTGTGGGAAGTGAAGTGACTCTGTAGTCAGATCAAAATAGAGTGAGGGCCTCTTGTGGCCCATGGGTAGCATTTTTCTCTTGTGAGTCATAAACAAAAAGTAAAATCATGGCAAGATACTATTTAAGGTCAAAATAATCGGTAATGTATTTTTTAAATCACGAGCTACCGCTTTTAAAAAGCTAAACTAATAGACTGAAAAAGTGAATACAAAGCAAAAATCATTTTTGCTTTTTTCAGCTGTTTTAAGGCTTACAATGATTTATTGGGTATCGTTTTTTCTCCTCCAGATGGAAATGGTCTTCCACACTACAATGTGTAAGCTGAAAACCCTGAGACTTGAAAATCAAGCTGCAACTGCAGCAAAAAAGTAAATACAAACAGAGGGAGCACTGAGGAAACATACCCAGAGCAAACCCTCAACCTGTTTGGTTTTCTTAAAACTTATATCCAGGAAAAGTGTCATAGAGATCTGAGCTTTTTTCATGACACTGCCCTGGTTCACTTGCAGAAAACTGCATTCACGAGAAAAAGAGTCCTCTCTTTGCAGAACAAATTCCATCTGCAAAGCTGTGCAGCCTTGAGATTCATATTACAGGAGACTGGTGGCTGCCTTTGGTAACATTTGTGGAAAATGTTACTGTGCGTCAGATACTGGGAGATGAGTCACACGGCAGAGCTGGTGCTGAGCAAAAGTGAACTAGTTTGGTTCCCCCAAAAAAAATCTCTGTTCCCTGTAGTACCCATCCCCGCTTTGGTGGGCAGTGACTCATACCTGGTTGAGGTTGGAGGCCCAGTTCTGAGCCTCCGCGGCCTGAGCTTTATCTGTGAGCTGTTTGTCTGTTCTGCTCTCCACTGTCACACTGCCCTCGCCAATCTGCCTAATGAAACGCAGGAACTACACAACAACGAAACAAATGAGAACAAAAAAGGCATTTACCATTGCTAACCAGTCAGGTTTCTGCCATTAAACACCTAATGTCTAGACAGTACGGTTCCAAGGATTTACTCTACAAACAGCTAAAGAAAAAGAGAAAAGGTGACAGATATGCAAAAAAAAAGAATGAAACATGAAAAGAAATTCAGTGAGCACACAGTGCTCACCTCTGTGTTTTGTAACTTGGGGTCTTCAACCTTTGAGACGAGCTCATTGGCAGTCTGCCTCAGCTCTTCTCCAGGGAGATATTCTTTGGTCCTGTCAGGTAAAAATAGTAAAACCTAGTAAAAACTATACCAAAGTATCAACAATACTCCCTGTAAAGGTTTAAGATGAATAAACCGTTTGGATTTCCCCTGCTTATGTAGACTGAAAGCCAAGGCCAACACTGTACATCAGCTTTCACTGCCAGCTCAAACCTGTTACCGACTTTTGAAAAATAAGTCCTGGGTGAGCTCAACATGGTCATGCAAAAGGTAGACGAGGTTAAAAGCTTAGGAAAAAAAATAAAAAATAAATCTGAATAATGGAAATTCAATAGACACATTCACTCCACAAGCCACCAAAAACATTTTCAAGGTTTAAACATGAAATCGGATCTTCTATTATTTGTTTTCCTGTGCTCCTCTGCTCTAAAACGCCCTCATAAGTGCCTGTGTTTCATATTAACTGCAGCTCCCTTGAAGCAGTCATTTACATAAGCCATTTATTATCTGCAGAGTTCCAATGCGTCCCTTGCTCTCACCATTCACTCTCCTTGTCTCCAAGGTCCCCCAGCCACAGCTTCTCCTCAGACTGCTCCAGATACTCCTCCGCCCAGCGCCCAGGATCTAAAAAGTGGTGGGAAAGGACACATTGTAAAAATGAGTTTTAAAGCAGATGGATTGTTCTTGGACATACGTGCTCTGATCGCAGTAAGAAACTGATGACATAAGACGGCCTAATGATGACTCCAGCAGGCTGAGATGCACACTAAGCAAAGCAAGTGAGACCAGAGCCAAGCACAGACTGACAACAGACTCAAGTTACCTGCAGCCTCGGTGATAAATTCCTTCGTCCAATCAGCATCCGCATCACCGAGAGCAGCCAGCCCCGGCGCGGCCACAGAGTCGGAGCCTGAGAGGAACTCGGCCGCCCAGTCACCGGAGAGGGCCAGCGCCGCCACATCTGGAGCTACGACACAGAAATACTCAAACTTAAAGGGGTTTGCATGGAATTCATTCTACGCCTGAGAAAAAACCTAAAACAAATGTGACTAGTGTGTAAAACAGACTGGAAAAAAGTAGCAACTGTGCACCTCTCTGCGGAGCTTGTCTGTAGCTCTGCTGGTCAATCTGCTGCATTTCCTCCAGCAGCTGACCCATGTCAAACGTGTGAGGGGGTCGCGGCGGCGCCTGGAGGAACTCATTTACCAGCTGAAAAAAAAAAACAAATTGAAAAAAGACAATGATGTTCTGAATGATAACTGTGGGAACTGTGTTCAGAAACTGCACACATCAGATGTGTTAAAGATTCAACATGAGCAGTGTTACTATTAAATATTGCAATAACAAAGGGGGAATATCAGCACTGACCTCTTCCTCTGTGGCAATTTCTATGGGAGTGGGGGGGATCTGAGAGAGAAAAATAAAAAAACAGAGCTGTAAGTGTCCCGTCTGAGCTGAGGCAGCAGCGTGCAGATGAAGGAAACAGATTTAATTGCTCACAGTAGGTGTTGAACGGTGCCGCCATGCACCCTCTTCCTTGGTCATGTGACCAGTCAACTTCATTAAGGGATTGGCTCCCCCACATTCTGCCTCCACCAACTCCCGCATCGCCATGGCAACACAAGGATGAGGCAAACCCAAACCAGACCACCTGAAACTAGGAAGACAATAAAAAGACACACTATTCAGTTCATTTAAGATTAAAGCAACAGGATAACCTTATGCCATACTATTTGTTTTTAGTTTCTATGAATACATTTTAATAATTGAGAAACTTCTTTCCAGGTGCTCTGGATTCCTCCCACAGTCCAAAAACATGCATGTTAGGTAACTGATAACTGTGTATTGTCCTTTAGGAATTTATGTCGTATGTGCGTATGTGGATGTTTATTTATTTTATCTATGTGGTCGTGTGAATGACTGGTGACCTGTCCAGTGTGTACCCCGCCTCTCACCCAATTCCAGCTGGGATAGGCTCCAGCACCGCTGTGACCCTAAGAGGAATGAGGGATGGATGGATGGATGGATGGATGGATGGATAATTTAGACAACAGGGAGGCTAAAAGCAGATGCTTAATTCAGGTGTGAGGTCACTTAGCTGCATTTACTTTTTGGCATCTGATGAAGTGCAACAATTTAAGTTAAGTAACAGCAATGCAACACTCTGCTGATGCCCTGAAACAATTGTGAAGCCAAGAAATCAGATAGATATGATATGAGTAATAAATGAGTAATAAATATGATTGAGTGAGTTGATGCACTTAAGGGTAAAAGGCTTCATTGCACTGCATGAATTTGAGCTGTCAAATGAGGATGGGAGACTTTCAGATTTCAACCATTTGAACAAAAATAGAGGGACATGATCCCTCCATGAGTATCTGCAAACAATTACGTGTTAACTTGAAAAATGTTGTATGTTTCAAAGCCAACAGAAAAGACAAATATCCATAAAAGCCGCTTTGTCGTAATATTCTGCTTCTAAAAAGACCTGCAGCGCAAAAAATGGTAATCGTGCCTTTTATTTAAAGATAATCTTTAGTATTGTTTCATAATACCTGCAGCACTCCTGAAAGGTTCAGGAAAACTAATGTTTTTAGCAGCTGACAGGTCAGGCAAGGTGAAATCTGGAGGGTGCACAAACAGCCTCAGAACAAATTCAATCTCCATCTGCTGCTTTACACGTCATTTTCTGGCTTTTAGTGAACCATTAAAAATGAGTACATGATGGCCCGGCAGGCAAAACCCGTTCACTTAATGTTTCACGGCTTGTCACGTCAGTTAAACAAATTTGAATGTTTCATAGTTTAACAGCTTTTCCAATTCTAAAAAAAAAAAAAATCAACATTAGTATTTCTAAATCAAAACTTTAAAATCCAACTGAAATGTAATCTTATGCAAAAGAAGCATCATGCAGATAGTTTTGTTCCTATCTATTCAGGATTTATAAAAATAAAATCACTTACCGGATACTAAGAACTGATAAGAGCGTAACAAAAATGTATCAGATCATTGATGGAAATACGTATAAAAGAAGGGCTGCGTCTCTCCACGTCTGACTCCAGGGATGAACAACTGATGCACTGTTACATGCTGGCCTGCTCAGCATCTATACCCTCCCTGGAAGGACACACAACTGCTACAGTTTGTATAATGAAATGTGTGGAACAGGAATTTAATTCCCTGCCCACTTCACTGCCTCAGTGCTGGTCCACCTAAAAGCACCCTGCTCTTTGCAGGTGGACTGCTCTCTTTGTGGCCATTGTAGATTTAAGGGTATTGTATTGCCTCTGAGTCACACAGCTGCTGCATTATGATTAGGGTCAAAGTAAGAGGATTATACAAAGATATTAATACACACATTATCACGGATAGGCCACTGACACCTGTTTGTAAACACTAAATCCACGAGCTGGAGTGAGTCAAGAGAAAAGCTGCCTGGCTGGTATTATTCTGTCAAACTTATATCGGTTTACAGAGAAAATGATGAAATCATAGAGACTGACAGGCTGTGTGCACCTGAGCGCGGCCCTGCAGTCCGGGTTCAGGTACTAACTGGGAGCACTGGTCCACCAGTGGAGCCCGATGCTAATTGTAGCCTCAAACCTCCACAATAGCTCGTGATCTGTTTAACCCCCCAACGTGCTGCCAATTAGGCAACGAGTCACCCCCAGGAAGTCTCAGCAACCACGGGACAACTGACTCACAAACCACCGTGTAGCTAGGGTTAGCTAAGCAGCTAGCTACACAGGGCCAGTGCATAGGTCATTCCTGCAGCGAGCACCCGGGGAAGGAGTGTGAATAGACGGGTAGCATGATGTTCATCTCACCGCCGACAGCTGCCGCTGGAGCCCAATGACGGTCCCTCCTCTCCGGTCGCTCTGAATATCCCTTCCGCCTCCTGCTTCAACAGCTTTGCCCGAAACAATTCTTTCAGCAACAGTCGGACACCTAGCACCGTGTGTTCGCAGCGCCCCTCTTTTATTTACCTTCCTCTTCCATGACCCACAAAACCCTACACCGTCAGCTCGCTGGGTCTCGTAACGTTGCGGTGGTTACGTATTCCACTACGGACTTACGCACGAAGATGTCAGAGCCCATTGAAAAGAATTACGTAAGCGTACGTAAAAACGTACGCAGCGGAGACCAAAGTTCAGCACAGTGAAAGATGAGTAGGAAAACAACACAGTGGTCTGTAATAATGCTATCTTATTTATGTATTTGCATAATAGAGGCTGTAACCGTGTGATGTTCTGTTATAAGGTTATTAACTCTGAAAAGTTCATTAAACATAGTTCTTAAGGCGGTGACACAACTTAATATTTATTTATGACAGCAGAAACAGGCTCCAGCCAACAAATGTGTCAATTTTCTGTTTCTATAAAATGTGATTGAATTACATATGATTTTATGCAGATGGTAAAGACATGATCAATTTTGCTTAACCGCCTAAGATAATAATAAACAATACATTTTTATTATAATTCAAGAAACATATGTTTTAAAATATCAGTTCTTCTGAAAACCCTTTCAGAGGATAGTGTGGTATTCCTTCTGGAGAACATTTTGATAAAAACAATAACAATAATGGTAATAGTACCAAAAATGTTACTCATAATAGTAATACAACAGCTACTATCATTACTACTACCATTACCACTATTACTACTACTACTAATGATAATAATAATGTTAATAGTGGTCTTTGTAGTAGTATTAGTAGTAATAATATAAATTCAAGCAACATCTTTTCAACATTCACCTTCCATAGACAGAAGAAAGTTTTAGTGTTGTGGAAGACATCCTGTTTTTTTTCTTTGATACGGAAACATTTCCAAATCCATCTAGTGACGAACAGCCAGTTTCCAAACATCCTGAATTATTTAAGTCCTGAAGAGACTGTTTTTGGCCCAACAAAGGAAGCAAGCATGCACACCTCTGAGAGTCAGCCGCAGTCAATCTTTGGCTATCATCTTTCTGCTGCAGAGAGTCCTCCCTCGACCAGGAGAATCACGCAGCTTTTTTTTCATGTTTTAAGTCTGTCTATACAATTCAGTCTGGATGGGAATGTAAGATTCCTCCATAACCATCTGGATTATGTCTATTAGATGAAGCAGAAGCAGATGAAGCAGAGCAAAACACATAATGAGGATGAAAAAAAAACAATCACAAGGAGTTAAAAACAACCCAGTGTCTTTATGCAATTACTTCACATGATGATGTCTAACGACAAAACTGCAACAATAAGATTTTATTTTAGCAATTACTAAAATAGAACTAAAGTCTGTCTCGGTCTTCGTTCAGAGGCCTTTTAAAGTCCACTGCAGTAAGAGGTGAAAATCACTCCTGCTCACAACAACAGACTTGTCATCTATTTATATGTAATTACTCTTTGGATATCAGTATGATATTTTTTAAATAACTAGACTGTTTCAAAGACTGTCACTGAAACAGTATACATGTGTATAGTTGTTTGTCTTGTTCATAGTGGCCTCTGGCAACCTGTCTAGGCTGTACCAGGGAGGTTATTCCTACCCAGGACAGCAGCACTATGCTCCAGTGCCCCTGCAACCCTGTTTGGAATAAGCAGGTACAGAAAATGGAAGGATACTCAAGTACAAATATCCCCTGTTCATATTATTTGCTGCTTTCGTGCACTGCACGCACTGCACGTTATAAAATGGTTGCAGAGGTTCCTTTACAAGGGAAAAACTCAAAATTTGATGACTAAGGGGTTTAATTCATTGTTATTTCAGACGTGCACTTCTTTCAGTATCTCCACGGCAACAAGGAAACCCTCTCATGAAGACGTCATATAGTGTTTTTATTATGAATTTTGTAATGTTTTCTGATACTTCTCAATAACAATTAGTCAGCATAATCCATGTCGGCATTGTATCAATAATTACAGGTAATGTTTGAATAGTAACATAGTAATAATATAAGTTATCAATCAATGCAATGTTTATTCCTTCTGAACATCACACTTAAAAACAAGAGGCTTTATTTACTGACAGCCTTAGCACTGCACATTGATAGGCTACACAGACAGACAGCAAGAGACACAGAGGGAGAGTAAGGGAGAGGTGGCGGATAAAGGCGGGGGGGTGGGGCGGAGGAGGGAGGGAGGGAGGAGAAGGTGAGGAGAAGCACACAGTTGTACATTCATTGAACCAAAGATCCCAGTTGGAGTGGAAAGCTCATAGAAAAATAATAATAATAATGATGAGAAAAATAAATGTTTCACTTGGAAATGTGAAAAATTACCCTGAAGTGTGAAATATGATATGAGTGAGACGTTATTGAAGTATCACAACAATGTGCCCTCCTTTTTCTGTGATTCAGATATTGACAAGTTCTTAAATTACAACAATATTACACACAAATTAAGAGACACTCATCAAGCCAGGGATTATCATCCTTATCACAACTACTATTATCATTATTATTATTATACTATTTTCTGATACTGGGAAGGTGATTCCTCAAATGGGAAAAAAAAGTAAATTATAGTTTGCTCCTTCTCGAAAATGTGCAGAAAAAGAGAAAGAGTGGTCGCAGTAATAATAGTAATAATAATATCATAATAGTCATCATTGTATGTACATAAAATTCATTACAGTCAGTACAATCAAAACTGTCCAAGCTGAGCGGACATTATGCAAACAGCAGGGGTAGCGTTATGGAGTGTGTCTGTATGTTTTGGTGTGTGCGTAAAGCATCCTATAGAGCGGTGTGTGGCGGGCGAATCGGGGCAGTGAGGGTCAGAGGGCAGGTACACCACCCGTAGAGTAGATGGTGCTGATTTTGTTACGTCATGGCACAAGCTGGAGCTTTGCACAGGCTCCAGTTTCAAGCTAAAGCCTCAGTGGCATTTTGTACACGTACTCAACGTGCACACAGATTTGATCCAGTAGTTGGTAAATGCTTGAAAATGATCTGGAGCCCCACTCAGAATATGGCTCTGATCAGCGAAAGGAAAACATCTGTTAGGAAGTATAGAGTCTGACCTCACTGTTATCATTCTGTGGTGGTTTGGGTAGATGTCAGGAAAGGATGCAAAGGGGGAGAAAATAGCTTGTGCACAGACTTCTGGAGTCAGTCTAATTAGGAAGTTCAGAGATGTGTAGGGGATCAAGGGTTGTGTCTTTGCCTACAGGTCTGTTCAAGGCCTTCGTGTTGCAAATTGTTCCACTTAACAATCTTGTAAAGATTTCACTCTGTTATTGATAATAAAAGATAGAATACAATCCTATATTTTTCAAAGAAAACAGCCTCCTTGCAAACAGCATTTCACTACACAGATACATGACTGCCTTGTGATTTAAAACTGGTGCACCACATACAATTTTGGCAAGGTTTAGTCAGGTGGGTAAATTACATTAACTGTATACATTGTGCCATTGAACATTTAGGTGGAGAACAACAGCCCGATGTCGGCTTTAGGTCACGTATGGCGTTGAGTGTTGAGAGTATAACAGTGACTGTGTTGTGCGTTGTGTTTGTAAGCATACATTCCTTATACTAGTGTCAGCAGTCGTTGATATTAAAAGGGTTGGAGTGTGTGACTGGTGAGCTGATTTGTGGTTTCCATGAGAACTGGTGTTGATAAAGGTGTGTCTCAGTAGCGACGGGCGCTGCCGTTCCGGCCCTCCTTCTTGATGATGATCCGCTGGTCATCGCTGGCGTCGTCAGGTGATTCCGCTACCTCCTCATCTTCCTCGCCCTCTCCCTCCGTGTCGGCAGAGATGCCCATGCGGGACTCATAGGACTGTTAGAGCACAAAGGCACGTCAATGAAAACGTCCCAAACAAGAACGGGCCCCGATCAGGGACATCAAAATCTCTCCTGTTACCTCCATCGGGTTGACGATGATGGTTAGCGCAGAGTCGTCCCATTGGTTGTTTCCCTCTTTAGCCCCGCCCCTGGAGCCTTCACCGCGGCGGTGAATGGAGCGGATTCGGAAAACGCCCAGGATCACCATGACAACCAAGAAACCCACGCACACCATAATGATGACGGTGGCCGCCCCTGGAACCACTGCAATGGAAGGGGGCAGTGGTTAGGAGTAGAACATGGCCCAAAGGTTAAGGATTTTCTTCATTCCTTCAGACAAACTTTCCCAAAAACATGTCAGGGAGCTATGCTAACCCCCCTCCGTTTGCTTCAAGTCCATCCTAAAAACGGTGTCCTGCTGTGTCAAACACATTATTAAATGATGAGATGAGTTCCCCTACAAACTCACCAGTGATGTAGCCGAGACCCACAGAACCCACTTCACACCTCAGAATATATTACAACATAACTTTTTTTTTGTCAAATAAATTGAATCCGGACACAGAAATGTCAGTGATTACCATACAGGAAGGTTCTGACATTTATTGTCAGACTTTAGTTCATAGTCAGATGAAGAGAAAGTCATAGAAGTCAAATAATAAAATATATTAACTAGCTTCTCTAATACAGGATCTTTTCATGTAAAATATGCCCCTCTCATTTATATGTGGGTTACCTTCTGTGGGGCAGGGAGAGTCAGGGTGGCCAATTCAGATTGGCCGAATTGTATCTTTCTGGTTTCAATTGGTTTCTTGTCTCAAGTAACACCATCTTGTTTTCATTTGTGTGCAGGCTGCAAAATTGATAACCTTGGGAGTGTGTCGCAGACAGCGTTAATAAATCTGTTCATCGTTTTGGTAGCTCCGCTGTCTGTCCTGCTTTGTTAGTGCCAGACCACTTCCCCATGAGGACAAAGCTCAAGTAAACTGGCTGAAGATATGTGTATCTTCAGCCAGATATGTGAATAATATTGTCAAGAAAACTGCTAAATTTTTACGCCTCTGCTTACATTGTGCAGCTTTGATATGATGAAACTGTTAGATAAAAGGGATTTTTTTTTCAGATGAAGATTTTAAAAGGGCATATGAGTATACTTTATGATAAAGTTTTTAGATAAAATCTCTTTTCATTTCATTCATCCCCCCAAAAAATACAAAGCCATATCTGCTCCGAGGCTTCAGTTAAGAGGAATAGTGCAAATGTTTTGGCAATGCACTCTTTATTTCTACTGAATCCAGATTAAAAAGAAATCTGATCATCTTGATATAGGCCATTGCACACCAAGTCACTGTTTTTTTCTGCTCCTACTCCAGCTTTTGTGTTTCGTGAATCTATTCATTGGTGATATTTACAACTAGTGGCTAAATGGTGTTGTTGAGCAGTGAGGACAGTTTTGTGGTCTAAATACTGGATTTGTACATGCATCAAAATCAACCAATTTCATGAGTTTGATATCTGGTGATGTTCCAGAAACCACATGTAAATAAAAAACACAAAAAACCAACATTTCCAGGATGCTTTTGTTTAAACCAATTAGGCTGATCTTATTTGTCTAATTTCAGTCTACTCGTCTCCTTTAGGATTTTTCAATTCCTAAAATGCACCATAAGGAGAAGAACAAGGGGAGAGCTGGCTTTCTTAAGGAGCAAAGACTGGACTTGGCATGCTAAAGTCTAAAGAAAGAACTGTGATGTTTGCCTTCCCCTGCTCTTGTTTCGTGTCTTTTGCTGTTTGAATCGCTTCTCTCCATTTTCTAAGAAAGGAAATGTTGCTGAAAGCTGATTTCGGGTTAGCTGGGTGTGGCCCTATGGGCCTTCTCCACATCTGTACGTCTCAGACAAATCGCTCATCGGCTTCAGCAGAATCCTGGCTCTGCTCTCTGCTCCTCACTTGACTTTCAGTCAGTTTTAGCTTCTTGGCACTATTCTACAGCCTGTTGGTCCAGCTCAGTATTTCCTCCTTACTTTCAGCAATTCCTCTGATTTTTTCTGTGTGTGTGTGTGTTTGTCGGGTCTCTGAGGTCGGGGTGCTGAACCAGCCAGTTCTGTCAGTCTTGCTCAGTGAGGCTCAGCCACTCAACAGCAAGCTGTGTTCCTGCCTGTCAACCTGCTCAGCTCAAGCACTCTGACAAACTAAAACTCCAAGACTTAACTACACGTCAGTTAAGGATTCATCGCCTGGCGCCCAGCTCAGACGGCCTGACTGGCCACGGTTGGCCTCTCTGATCTCCCCACCATCACTTTTCGACCGTTTCGTGGTGGTCCGCCTCAAAACTCACAAACTCAAAATTCCTAAATCATAAAAAAACTTGTTTGAAAAAAATCTTGGTTTGTTTTCTGAGTTGTATTTTGAGTGTTTACTTTAAAACCATGACTAGAAGAAATGTTGTTATTACGAATTGATCCTTTGGACCTTGGCTGGCTGGTTGTTTCACACCGCAGAAGTATAACGGAAGAATACTGGAAATTTGATTTTGTTTCTCAGAGGAAAAAAATAACCGCAGACCTCTTCTGAAAATCAAATAGTTCATTCTTCTTTTTTAACCTTACTGCTCATATATATTGTTCTTATTTCTTCTTTTCTGTTTTCCTTTATGGGCTGTAAAGAGGTGTGAATATTCACAAGGTTAGAAAGAAGCCTAAAATATGATCACCTGAGTTGCGGTGTTGATTAGGCAAAGCGTGACCACTCAACTCTCCAGCATGATGGAATGGGTGGAGGAACTGCTGCTGGGAGGCCATAAGGTGAGCTGGGTGGTAAAGACTGTCCAAAGAGTGGAGGAAGTTAACCTGCAGAGGGGGGAAAAAATCCCATTAACATTTACAGCGCCACAGCAAAATAACACAGTAAAACCAAATGACTGTGGCTAATAACTGAAGGACTTTTGTGAGGAGTTATGTGAGAGATGTGTCTCTTGACCTCCAGAGTCAGCTCATTGCTGGTGTATCTGCCGTTCATCTCAGAGCAGGACAAGCGGAACCGCCTCTCAAAGCGAGCAGAGCCTTTAGTCAGACGGTAGCGAACTGACCGAAGGACGTCCTCGTACACAGAGATCGATTCGGCACCTGGAGGTGACGCAAAGCAAAGAGGTTAAAAAGAGGCTGCGACTGTGGCTGACATTTAAAACTTCCACTGGCTCTGGGAGTCTATTCTATAGATCATTATTAAATCAAAGTGATGAGGTAAGATCAGAGCATCAGATTCAGATTTTATAAATGACACTGATTTGTACCTGTAATTGCAATGTAGGCGGTAGTATTGATGATTTCTAGGCCTCTTTCTCGCACAACGTCCATGTCCACCAGAAGCTCCTCCCCCTCTTGGTTTAGCTCCTCTCCCAGTGGCTGCACCTCACAGCCATCCAAAGTGTGAGCCACGGCGTCAGACATCAAAGCTGAAGGCAGCGCAAAAACAGGATTGATTTTCAAACACTGCGGAACAACAATGAAGAATTGGCCAAATCTCCCTAAATTAGCCCTGGTGAGCGATGACTCACCGCCACCCTCCATCCCCTGTGCGGCTGTGTTGACAGCATGTGAAAGGGAACAGACGATGCGCAGCTCCGGGAAGAGGGGAACACCGCGGGGACCTTCGAACTCAGGAGCTGGACGGGCAAGATGAGGACCGACCCCGGACAGAGAGATCTGAGGGGCATCCGGCTGAAGCACCACCAGGTATCCCTCCAGCTGCTTGAGAGACAGGCAGCTCTCCTCATTGAAACATCTGGCAGAGTCAAAGAAGGGAAAGAGACTTGAGTATGCTTAACCAGCCTTCGTTAGTGCAAACTCTACCATGACTCTTGAAGAATCAATTAGCTGGTTGCTGAGTATTGGGACACTTACCAATTTATTCATGATGATTTTAAGAGATGGTTATTTAGTTTTTGGGGTTATCTGAAATGGTTTCTAATTTTTAGTTCCCATTCTATAAAACTTAATCTGTTCAGAATGGTCAAAAATAACCAATTATGATAACATTTTTTTTCTTTTTAGAGTTCACTCTTTCCTGGTGATGAGGATGAAAACTTCCAAATTCTCCTAGGTGCCTCTCAGCCATAAAAAAAATCTTGTTGGTTGTTTTTTGTTTGGCTGTTTTGGAGCTGTTATTGACTTGTTACTGACTTACTTGAATTTAAAAAAAATTCAAATAATTTCAAGAAAATGAAAAAGGACCTCCAGGTTTTCAGATTAATCTCGGCGTGACTGAATACATTTGGCTTGAGGAGATTCATCAGGTTTTGCACAGCTCAAACTTCACACATGCTTTAGTACTCCAGAACACCTTTGAAGTGTAAATTCTGCACTGGTAAGCATTATTATTAAAGATTATGCGAGCTGCACCTCATCATCCTGATGTCACACCATTAAAGCATCACTTCAGGAACTTGAAACTCATGTTCTCAAATTTGCAGCGCTGTGACCGAGCGGTGTTCACACACGGTCGTGCTGTTTTGTGCACATTAACATCTCATTTCCGCACTGGGTCTTCTACATCAGGTCCTCTGATTGCACTGTGACCGAGCCAGCATCTATGTGTGCTGTGAGGCTGGAAATGCCGAATGTCAAAGAACAGCAGCTCTACAAAAACCGTAATTCCCCAGCTAGAATGTGAGAGAAAACCAGATAGATTGTAAATTACTAACATGTATCACTTCATATGCACTAAAGTTCATGATCAGATGTGAAAGGGGGATTAATCAGATTAAGCCGCGTGTGTGTGCTTGTGTGTGCGCGTGCTATATTTTTACTATCAGAGTGAGCAGCTGCTTCTATCGGCCTCTCCAGAAGGGCCTGCTGTTCAGCCATCTGGGTAACTCCTGGCTCAAATCAGTCTAATCTTCACACACGCAATAAAATATGCTGAAGTAAAGAGAAAAAAAAAGCGAAGGAGATCTGCACTTGAGCAGAAAGCAGATAGAAAAAAGTCTGCACATGACCTTGAATCTTCAGGGTCTGAAAAACAGTCGGTCTGGGCAAAAAGATAGCCTTCCAGTGAGATTCATGGCTTGGTAGTCATCTTAATCTTATAAGCATGCTACCAAAACAACATTCCCTAAAGACAACAATGAGAATGTCTGCTCAGGCTGTCAGTTTGGGTGTAAATACACAACATACAGCAAAGTACATGGCAGGAGTGTACTTTCTCGGGTGAATTAATATTTAATCAGTTAAAAGTGACTGCTAAAGCCAGAGAGCCAGCTCACAGTTGTTAAGCATGGTTGAGCACTGACCCAGAAACAGAGTTTGTGTGCTTTTTGTTCAACAGCCAGGCGATTCAGTGCAGTGAAAACTGGATCAATGCAGGGATTGTGCAGGAGTCGAACACTGCTGTGTGGGGCATACTGACCATAATATCAAAAGTAAAGCCTAGATATATATCTTTTACTAGTGATTCCTGCAATAAAAGGTAACACTAAACTATAGAATGACAAATGTACAGCTTGTTTTAATAACAAAATAACAAAAAAGTGAATAGGTAGATTCATTGAAAAGGCAGTTGATTATTTAAATAAACTGGATACTGCGACATCTTTAGTTTGCTACAAAAACCAACCCTGGAGCTGCAGTCGACTCTGTCAAAGAAAAAGAGTTTCTTTGTGAATGAACAAAAAGATAAGATGTGCCATGTTATCTCTGGCTTTGACATATTCTCCTTGTAATCATCCCTTTACTCCCTCACAAGCTGTTATCGTAGCCAAGCCAAAGTCCACGTACGATGTGCTCAGCGTCAGAGCAGCACCTCAGCATTCAGAGACACTTTATCTGACTGCGACAGGAAAATCCAATTCCAAGGAAGTTAGCCAGAGTATTGTTTTCCATGTTTGGGGCTTTGCAATCTAATAATCTGCATTTGATCTATCACTTCCTTTCTGTTTTAGTTAGAGAAGTGAACACTTTGAACGAATATGTCCTTTTCAGTAAAGGGACATGAGAGTCGAGTGAGCAAGGTGCTCTGTCTAGCAGAAAGACCTGTTGGTGGTTAAATACGGAAATATTGGTTTGGGTGTTTTTGCACCTGAGTGAGGTCGTGAGCTTGAGTGGACGGACTCCAGGAGTGGCAAAGCGAAGCGAGTTTCTGTAGGTGACCTGCTGCACGGCGCGGTTAAAGCTCTCAATGTCGTCTCCCTCCAGCACCAACACAGACTGGCTGGGGTTCACGTGTACCTGGAAGAGGAGATTTAAACTTCAGAGTTTTTCCCTGAGCAGAGAAAGGCAGTTGGAGAAAATACATTGTGCTTAAATGGCTAAAAGATTTATTAGTTTTTTTTAATTAAATAAAAATTAAACAAATATAAAAAAAATAATGAAAGATAAAAAATAAACCAATTAAGAAATAAATAAACAAAACATAAAAAATTCATAGAAATTGACTACATGCTTTGTTTTGCTTTACATCTGCATTCATTTAGCATGAGTTTGTGTCTGATCTCCATCAGCTTATCATATCTTTCTGCATTTGAGTTTCTTTTGTTCAAAGCCTCATATTCTCAGAACTTCTTCTGAAAAGGTTTTCTCCTAATATCTATATTTTCCACCATTCTCCATCTGATCTTTGGACTTTAATCGATAATTACCTGCTCTTTCACCTGCCTCCCGCCTCTTTCTCTATTCTTATCAGTAAAATTTTGGGACTCTTGACCTTAACTTGTCTTTAGTGATGTCCTCCTCCCTGACACAGTGCTTTGACAAACCCGAGGCTTCTGATTGTTGTGACTGAACAACTCATATCACTCCAAAACCAATGAAAGCTGAGACAGAAAAACTCTTATCTTACAGAATGCTCAAACTTCTCCATGACACTCCTTTATGTCATTTACAATGCCACAATCATTTTTTTCCAACTATGTAGATCCTCCTGACCACAGATTACCGTATGTAAGACACAGATTATGAGCGATTATCTCATACCCCATATTAAAAAAAGGCAAAAGACTTGAGTATGACTTAAAGTTTAACAGAGTCAAAATGATTAATGGCAAAAACTGAACTAAAAGAAGGAGGTGTAAACACATAGAGAGCCTTTAGTATTTACAAAATGTCATTCAATCTTTCCTTTCATCACACAATCCCAATATTCTTGTAAAGTCACATTTTAAAAATGAACAAAATGAAGGCTTTGTGAATCATGAGTGTTCAAGGAACTAGATTTTCCCCGATGTGTAAAATAGACTGCAGCCCTGTCAGGTGTTACCTTCATTCCAGAGCCCAAAGTCTCAAGGTCTCCAAAGTCCAGCCCCTCCCTGCATGCGTAGAGACACTCCACCACGCTGTGCGGCTCCACGCTGCCAGGACGCACTGTCACCCCCGATAACAGACCATGGTACCCACCTACGTACCTCACTACAGTGTGAATGCAAAGGAAAAAAAAACATTTCAGATGTTTAATTTGAACATTAATAAAACACCAACACAGAAGCAGCAAAACAGCAGACTTCACACCCTCACACTGACATCTGTGTGAAACAAGGAGGTCACCTGAATCTTTCCCCTCTGGGATTGTGTTGTTCAGTATGTCCTTCTGCTTCTCCTCAGGCTCTGCACGAAAAAGCAGAGACGGGAAACGGTCAAACAGAAAACAATAAGGTGCATCGAGACGCTTATGAAGGATGAGGAGAAGAAATCTGTAAGTAAAAATTTTGACTGAAAGAAATATATGCACACACGAATATTGATATATATGTCTATAAAAAAAAAAGCATGAGGGGGGAAACCGAAGACTATCTTCAAACTGCAGCATCTCCTCATTATCCCGCAGCAGCTGCTGCCACATAGCAGAATAAAAACTGTGAATGTGTGTGTGCATTGGTGGGTAATTGGCAGCCAGAGTTTCCCATTTTAACCAGCAGTGCAGGTTTAAGTGGCTTATAGCCGTCTGCTCCCTGTGTTGTTCTGCTGCTCTAAATAAATGATCATTAGCTCTTTAAGACTTAACAAAGCCACCAAACTGAGCATAATGAGGTGGGAGAAGTGTGAAGCAATAGTTTTCAAGGGTTTGTTTTATGATCGCTTGTGACTTTTTGTAAATTGCCAGAGAAGCAACCTGTTGTCTATGTCATGTTTGGTATTAATTCAGTCCCAAGGACTGAGCACAGAAAAATCTCTCTCACCCCAGCAGGCACCGATGAACATTCTCTGGCGGGCTGCAGGGTTGGGGATAGCCCCGTTGTCGTGAATGAGGGCAGGGTCAAAGGTCACTCCATCCACATACAGAGTCACAGATGGGAACTGGACGCTCAGTGAGAGGTGATGCCACTCGCTGTCACACACCTGCGGACAAAGATAACACCAAGTGGATAAGATCAAAAGAAGCAGATGAATTATCTGTAGACGCTCTGGACATTTACTGGCATGCGAAAACCAGCAGAGGATGAAGCACTCTGATCTTTCTGCTCACAGAAAGGCATGTCCTGGGACTGACACATTATTACAGATTACTTTGTTGAGGAAACTATATTGCAATCCTGAGTGAAGTCTAGTAATAAAAGTTATCTCCCTCCATTGGGCCACAAGGTAAATCTGATCAGTTAGGAGATGATAAATGGGAACACAACAAAGAGACAAACTATTATTTCCAATCTCCTTTTATAGGTGTTTATGCTTTATTTGTCGCAAACCATTGGATACTACTTCATCTACAGACAGGCATTCAGAAAGGAAATGATGGCATATTTTGCATGTGACAAATGAATCTGAAACAACTTTATTTTGTAAGTGTTGAACGGTGAAATAAAGTAAATACTACATATCCTTTCTCACAACTGACAAATATTTAATCTGTTTGAATAACAGCACAAGCTTGGTTTTAGCTTACTATATAGATACTGTGAGAGCGGAAGGAATGCAACATAAGAGAGACAAGGGAATTATAAAGATGGGGGCCAGAGAGGAAAGATGAGGGTAACAAGATATTGTGGTTCAGACAGAGGGATTTAATAAATCTCCTCCGTATCAGCTCAGCTTCTTTTAATCCGAGTGATTTTAGTCTGTCTGAGACCAGCGGCTTCAGTCAAAACAAACCTGCTTCACCCCACTACACACACACGCACACACTCACACGCACGCAGGTATGTTTGTTTGTATGCCACAAGACAAATAGAGCTTGCTTCCCTTTTTAACATGCACCTCAAATCCATGTTTATGATGATAAAAACAGGTCTACAGCCATCTTCATAAATACAAAGAGAAATGCTTTGCAGATACTTCCCAGAGAAGCTGAATGTGAGAACACAAATCAGATACCAGCACGGCCGTGTACTTTAGCTTGCAATCTCCGGACTTGATAGCCTGGAGATTTTACAACTGTGCCCATGTATGAATGGAGCTGATAAAATAGTGGCTGCTCCATTTTGTTCTCTGATTGGCTTTATATTGCTTTCGGTTCATTTGTTCATACTCCCAACACACCGAAGTCATCACCACAGATAGAGACTTTCCACCACCCTCATCTAAATAAAACCATGGCATTTTTCCCATCATGTCTTGCCTGTACTGCACTCCACAGGCGTGACTCTGGAGTATTTGCAGTTGTGAGAACAAGTCTCATAGGATGAATCTCATGAGACGAAGTTTGATGCAGCTAACATGACGTCACCTATTTATTCAGTTCATGGTGGGCGGCTGGAAAAAAGCTCTCTGATCACTACAAATCTGACTCCAACATTTCTTATTTATTATATTAAGTATATTTTCTTACACAGCTAACTATCAGCAACAGAAATTCAGTGTGTATATTCGGACGATGCAGCATACATTACATTAGGGATGCCACAGAGTTCAAGGCAACTACTCAATTTTCTCCATTTCAGACTAATTTCAAGGTAGCAACACACAAAAAAATTCTCCAGTAAAGTTCCCCTCGTACCTGTTCCAGTTTCCACAAGAACTTGACGGGTCGTGCGGCTGAGACATCGGGCCAGTAGAAGAGTGAGAGGCGGCAGCCATGGACGGAGAGAGAGTAATGGGAATAGGAGTCATCTGTAAAGCAGTAGAGCAGAGGAACCAAAGATAAGAGGTAGATTAATATCACCCAGCATTTGTACAAAGAGTAATAACAAAAATAAAACTCTGTGCTGAGTTTCTCCTAGAATAGTCACACTATGGCTGATGATTTATTCCCTGCTGCAGTTACAGTGTTTTACAGTCATCTGCACAGGTGGAGCAGCTGGAGCAAGAATGTGTCTCTTAAGAGCACCTTATTACTAATTTTTGAGGCTGAGAATGGTAACCGCTGACAAATGTGAAGAGAAATGAAAGGAACAGCCCTTCGTTTAACTCAAATACCCTACTGTGTTGCAGTGAAAAGTCACCAAACTGGAAAATGAACCGCACCGTTCTTGACCGTGCTGCACACGATGGTCTCCTCCTCCTTGCGATTTCCTCTTGTTTGAGTGGTTGCAGCCTGAATGTTGGCACCCCCCCTGCGCATCCACAGCTGAAGGGTAAAGTGGTCACCCGATAGAGCTGATACAACCGAATCGGGCACCACAGCGACGTGATTGGAGCCGTTGAAGGAGAAGACTAAGGATGAATCAGAAGAGGGGAGCGTAGGCAGAGCTGAGGTCCAGTTAGCAGCAGGAGACGGAGGTGGGAGGAGGTCTACTTCGCCCCTGACAGCACCTGGGGAAAAAAACATTCGAAGAAAGACGAAATTGGTAAAATGTTTTTTTTTTTAAACATTTTTTTTTATAAATGTGAAACAGAACTCACCACATAGACGCCTCACAGATCTGTCAGAGTAGCTGTCTCTGTCACAGCCCTTCCCGATGTGGCCGGTCTGCAGCTCTACGGTGGCCTGGATGTTCCACACAGTCTCTTCACAAGTCTCCAAATGCAGGCTGGGGAACAGCGGGATGCTGCCTGACCCGGGGGTGTACTCCACGCGCTTGGTCCACCCTGAGCACAAAGCAACAAAACTTAACAATTCACGATTCTGCTTCCAAAAGAAAGAAAGCAGTAAAATGCAAACAAAAGCAAATCAATTTTTATTCTGATTTTGATGTCAGAAAAAGTCTAAATGTTGGGACACGTTTACTTCTGTATCGCATCACCTCACAGTAGAGGTGGTTTGTATGTTTGTCCGCCCACTTTCTTGAGAAAAAAAAATCCTTAAAAAATAAGCTTTGGGCCAACTAAGAAGTGAATATGATGTTTGTGCAGATCCAGATCTGACTGGCTTATTAATCATTGATTTTTTCAAAGTTGCCATTTGGCGGAGGTATGTCATCTACGATTGTTCTGGTTTTCTGAAAAGAAATCATTTTCCCTCCATGAATAATCTATTTGTTTCGTGGCAGCGCTGCATAAAGGCCCAAAGATTACACATCTTCGTATATGATGAACTCCTTTATGTAGCTAAATCAGTTATAGTGACTTGGTAAATAACTGAATTATTTGGTTTCAATTTCAGACAAAACTGTCTTTATAGAATATTTCAGTATCACTCCATTGTGTTGTGTTTTCTAGCATGATTTTTGTCCCTTTAAAAAATCCATCCTGTTACATAAGCTCAATGAACTAATTGAATTATTGTTAAATCAGATGGTAAATTAAATGTTAAAAAGGTTGAATCGTATCAGATTTTTGATAACGATCCAGAAACTAAAGATTCACAGATAAGCAAGGTTTGCATAGTGCAACACTATCTGCTGCTGACTGTGGCATATATGGTCTAAAAATACATTTTCACCCTTTAACTAATTATCTTTTTTTATTTATATATTTCTCGCAACACCGCCTCGTTAAAGGACAGCTCTTGGTCTAAGCGTGCCAACGTGACTAATCTCAATAGCTGCCCACTCACGTTTTTACCTCAGCATGACAGCTACATCCAAAAATCCGCTGAGGAAACTCATAGAGCATTTGTCTGAGGCCTCCAGAGATTTATTTCGAGATAAAAATCAGGACACAAAAAGAACTATCTGGGACATTGATTACCGATCCAGCCAGGTTTGCAGGACGGCTTGACCGTGACAACGACTTGGGCATCAGCCTGAGCACGATTCTTTCCACAGTCAAAGGCGGTCACCCAGAAGGTGTGAACACGCTGCCGCTTTGAATCCAAAGGCTCTGTGTTCTTGATGTTACCTAGGAGACGGAGAGTGACAAAGAAAGGACATGACATTATGAATCAAATGGAAATAGAAATACCAGGTCGGTCACCAATAATAAGTTGCCTGGGATTGTAGGCCCTGCTCAACTGAAAGCTCACAGATAAGGCTTTTTTTGCCTCGCATTTGCATTAAGAGTTCAGAGTGCTTTATATTTACCGGGCAGTGGGAAAACAGCAGAAATAGAGAAAGATAAATTACACTGAACAGGATGGAAACTGAAGGGTTTTCATGTATTTAAGAGATAAAGGTGAATAAACTGTGAGTATCTGTGAAAAGGCTGACAGGACTCAGCATGCCGGCTGACAAACAGGAGAGACGATGGTTTGACACAGCGAGAGGAGAATCAGAGGGAGTGGAGGAAGCAGACAGAGGAGACAAAAAAACAACAGGAAAATGGAAAGCAGACAGCATCCAAGCGAGATTGGAACAATCGACATTTGTGCTGCAGTACCAATCTGTCCAAAAACAGAAAGAGGCTGCTTATCGTCCGCAGGGCCCTTCAAGTTCTGGAAAATTCTGCAGAGTCATCCTAAAACAGGGCCCTCCTCAGCTGCTGTCAGATTACCAAAAGGGATACTACTGATCTTCCACCAAACAGGCCAGTGGATACACTTACGCTAACATTCATCATTAAAAAAAAAAGAAAAAGAAAAAAACATAGACTTGACTGGAGCCAGGAACAAAGGGATGCTATATTAAAGCAAACAGCTGTTGTGGAGATTTTGCAGGGGTAGAACAGTCCACCCACACAAAGTCTATTTTAACTTCTTTTGGTTTGTACCTGAGAGGGGTGTTTAGTACCTGCAATGCTTTGAAATATTTCACCAAGCAGACATGGATGTCTCTGCAGTGTCCACTGTGGGTTTTTTCGTGTATTGAAAATCAAGAGTTTAGCATCTGAACGCCATACTGAATTTACCGGTTGTCCTTAGACAGAGGACTGTACGCAAACATCAAATGAGGGGAGAACACAGAGAGGGCTGGGAGCTGTGTGTGTCTGCTGCCAAGTAAAGACAGCACTGGAGTCTTTGATTTAAAGAATTGAAACATCATCTCACCATCGTTGTCAATAGCAAAGGGCACATTGGGAGTGATGATGTCATAGAAGCAGATCTGGCTGTACTGGGGGGAGCAGTCAGCATCCAGAGCCTCCACGCGCACGATGCGGTCAAAGAGACGCCCCTCCGGGACAGAAGCCTCATAGCGACGTTCGACAAACACGGGGGAGAACTCGTTGACGTCGTTCACACGCACATGCACCGTGGCCCTGAGGGAAGCGGGAGTGGGAAGCCAAACAAAGGCGGAGGGAAGCGGATTATTGCAACAAGAAGCTAACATGTCTGAGGAGTCACGCTGTGCGCCATAATCATTAACAACACAGAAAGGATTTTCTTCTCCAACTGAGAGGAAGCAGACTAACTTGTGGGATTTTTTGCTGTTGACTCCATCGGGTCCCTCTCCACAGTCGTAGGCCTGGATGGTGAAGCTGTGCTCCCGCTGGCTCTCGCAGTCCAGCGGCTCTTTGGACCGCACCAGGCCCTCACCGGTGGAGCGGTCCAGGACCACTGCTTCAAATTGGACTGAACCTGAACCCAAGGGGCCATTATGAACCCGGAAGCCACAGATTTCACCTGAGGAGGGGAGGGAGAAGGAGTGCAGATGAGCCGCCATAAGACAAGCTAAATTCAGCCTGTAACAGGACAGTTTTCTCATAGATCTAATAAAAATAATTCATGGTTTTAGATTTCTACGTTCTGCTTACTGGTTTAAACTCAGATTAAAACACAAACTCAGATTAAAAAGCAGAGGGTGTAATGCTGTGTTACATGCACATGTCTGATTTCCCATTTTATTGCATCAATTGCTCTTTCAGAGACAGTTTTAGTGAACTGATCAGTCTGTACTCTGCTTTGATAGCGTATAAAATATTTTCAGCGGGTCACTGGTCTCCACTGCAGACAGGTCAGTTCAGCTCCAGCAAACTCTGACTGTCTTACTGAAACAAAGAAATGAATCCCTGAAAAAGATGCTCTCTGTATAGCAGCTTTTGGTGCAATGATGACACCAATGTAGACTGGATATATTTATATAGTACTATGTTTAACAATGTTTAAATTCTATCTGTTTTAATGCAGTGTTGCATGAAGGTCAGTCCATTGCCAATATTCCGTGGTGGTTTACGGCTTTGTCCATGTTTTACACTAATTTCTCTGGATTTTCCTCACTCATTACTTCTGAGACTCATCCTCTCTGGGTTTTGTTCCCAAACAAGTTACTGATCACTTGCCAAGTTTTCCAGCCTTATATTGCCTCTTTCGTAACTACTTTGAATCAGCTGTAATCAGTGTTGACAAATCCAAAATCAGCATTTTTGCATATCAAATATCTCCATACAAATTGAATGGAAGCTTTAAAATCCTTTGTATTTTATTTATGTTTCAAATCGATCATGCCATCTTTTGGAATTGGGGTTTGAGAATGACCCATTAAGTTTAAGTAGGCACTCAAGCCAGTAAATCCTGCTATCCAATCCAAAGTCGTCATACTGTACAAATTATATGATGAGGCACAATGAGAGTGGAAACATTCTCCACTAAAGCTTTCAAAAGATTACATTTTACGTCTCAGTTATTGAGTTGCAAGGAAATATTGTTATACTGAGCACGCACCTTTCCAGAGACTGACTTAAGACGTACTTTATCTGAAGCAGGTAGTCATTATCAAAAGGTAATGAAACAACATTTTAACACAGATTTAGATTAAACTCAGCCCAACACAAAATAAAATCCTTGGAATAGCAGCTGATCTTTACTGGCTGACATAAGTCAAAGGTTCATGCTCAAACGACTAATTTTCCTTTTCCTCCTTGACATGAACTCAATATATTTCAGGAAGCCCCTGGGTAATTCAAGTTGATCTTTCATAATTTGACTGAACGTGGTTATTTTCCAGGACTCCGAGTGCAAATATGATCACCTTATTTCATCAGTCTGCAGAGGCAGAGCTCGGCTGGCGGATTTTGCAATGAGGGCTTGAATTACACTATGATGGTCTAAAAATAGTGGACTTCATGGCTGAATACATTACTTTTAATATTTAGATGGCCTGTTGGGGAATATTGCTGGGTATGGCAGCAGCCTCATGGCTCCAATGTAACACAATTAGGGTTTTCTTTACTAAAGGAACCAAACAGAAAGAAATCATTCCCTCAAACTGGTCACAGGGCTATATAATCAAAGTTGGATAATTGTCTGTCTGATCTGCTGAAAATATTTTCAGTTTTGCAAGATGAGTTTGGCTCTTTCTTTTTGTTCTAGGCGTTCAAAAAAACGATTTAAATGCAAGAATGCCTGATTATTGTTATAGTCCTTCGTGCTGCTCATTGTAGTTGGTGTTACCAGCATAGTGAAGTGGAGCGTCTTTGTCCAGGGCAAAAAGAGGGGGGTTGAGGAGCACAGTGTTGTCGTTCTCCATGACAATCCCCTGGTACTCTGTCTCGATCCATGGCTTGTGCTTATTGGCTGAACGGCACAGAGAAAAGACCGAAGAGGCTTTGGGTTAAATGCAGCAATTAGCAGGAACCGACACTTCTATTTCTAATACTCCGTTTTGGGGGAGGAGATGGTGTGAGTGTCTGAGTGGAAAAAATGTACACTGTGTGACCATGAAGTGTCAATCTGATCACATTCAATGACTTCCCTGTTTCTCTGTTTGGGCCACCTTCCCTTGTTCACATCAAGCACCACTCCATACACTCTCCAGTATAATTAAAGCCCATTTGATTTCACGCTATCGCACACTCACACAGAAATATAGAACTCAAATCTGTCGGCTAAAGCGGTCTGTCAGAGATGTTCCACCATAAACATACCAAAAAATAACAAAGTCAGAATCAAATGCCTGAGGTTTATGTGAATTTAACCTTTAATTACAAATTAATTATTCATCTTCATGCTGAATGTTCTGTGCCGAGTGATCAAAAGCCAAGTTAATGAGCCAGAAGGATGATGATTTTACACTCCAGCAACGAGCGAAAACAAAAGGCGGGGTGCCCTTCCTCTGTTGTTCCCAATCTCATAACCCAGAAGCTATGGAATTTGAAATAAGACAGGAGCAAAAGACTTTTTTGTTTCGCTTTTGCTTTGTTGTTGCCACAGCGAATTCTCTGGAAAATCTGACTGGAACTAATTTCACAGTCTCACAAGTGAGAGGAGAGACAACACTGTGAAATGCTGCTGGTTCTGAATTTGATCAAACCGCTCTCCCTCCAAACAAGAAGCTGAGACTCATCTGAATTTCTTCTTTATACTTATTTACTCACTGAACTGCATCCTGCTTCTGCATCGTTCTATGCTCCTACATCATGTTTAAGATTAATTTTTAAGTGAGATTATTTTTGTATTTTATTTCAGATTGATATACTCGTCTCACAATCAACGCAGTCTTGACCAACTATGGAACAGAAACGCTTTTTTGCTTTCAATATTGGCTCCCAATTTGCAGATGTTTATTCTGTTTAATTGAAAATCTGAAAGGCGGGCTTTTATCTGTAAATGAATGTTTTCCCTAGGACATGCTTCTGTTTTAAGAGCTACAGATATTACACAATCAGTCAATTTGGAAAACAGTCTGGGGGATTTTGATATGTGGGGAATGTTTATTTATTATATGTGATGTCAAATATTGGTCTCCTTAGTGAGGTATCTGCCAATGTGTCGTTAGTGATAATAAAGCAAATGTGTTTGAGTATGAATCACCTATTTCTGCTCTATTGAACACAGTTTTGTATCTACTGCATGAACAGACCAGGGAAATATTTAGTATAACCATTGATGATTAATCATAACTATTGAAAAAAGCCATCTCATTATACTGCCAAACAGCTTTTATCTTTTAGATGAAAAGGACACATTTTGGAGCTGATGTAAAATTGTCAGAGATGTTTGAACACATACAGCTTCACAGGAGCTTCCTCTGCATAACAAAACCTAAATTAGTGTATCTCTGATGAATGAATAGGTAAAGACTGTGGATCCTTCCAGCTATTAACATCAGGCAGTTTTAGTGCTCGCTGGCTCAGGCACAATTTCGCCCGGACCGAAAGCGATCGTGTTCAACACTAATCACAGACATTTATCATCTTCTGCTAAAACATCTCCACCTCCTCCGTCCTCCTGTGTGTCTCTTTTCTGGCTATTTCTCTCGTGCCCTTCTGTCCCCTCCGACAATCGGCCCCCTCCCCTCTCCTCTCCCAGCCCCCCTCCTCGCTGTGATGTAGCATTAATCTGAGCATCAGGCCGGTGGATTACATTCGGGATTACAGATTGAGAGGAATCTCGTCCCATCTCTCTGTCTGTCCCCCCTGGCACTCCTGCTCTTTCTGCCACTCTATCGCTCCCCACAGCACTCACCCATCCACACCTAATCATCCGCCCCCCCCCCCACTCACACACCAACACACATAGTCACACAAAAAGGCCCAGCGTCTCACACTTTTCTTTCCCTTTTTGCCTTGCGTCACCTGATCTCACGTGGCACCTCTCTCTCCATCAATCCCCCCCCCCCACACCCACACCTTATCAGCCTGCCCCACACCCACCAACACATCCTCTCCTGTCATGGCTCATTCTACTCTTTCTCTCCCAGCCTCTATCTCCATACGCTTTTTTCAATCTCCACATTTTCCTCTGCGTCAACCGCTTTCACCTGCTTCTCAGAGTCTCTCCCTAAAACGCCGCTGCGCTCTCTTTCGCCTTCCCCTCAGCGTGACAACCACTGAAACAATGGTGTGCAGTCAGGGTCTCGGTTATCCACAGTGATGCATCTGCCATAGGCAGGGAAACGGGTCCATCCGTCCTCAGTCACGCCACTGACACAACAGACAAGCGCCCCGGGTCACGAGCAGGAAACACATGTATGACATGGGATGGAGGGATGGCAAGAAAGTCATCAGGAGCATCTGAGGGCAATGCGGCCCCCCCTCCCGTCTGGAGAGCTAAACAGGTGTGCATGTTCCTATGACAATGTAAACCATCATCTAAACACTTGACATAAACCAGTCAAAAAGGAACTGACCTTTGTTGCCACTGGCAACCGAAGTCAAGCAAAGTAGGAGGAAGGAGAGAAAATTCATTCTGTCCATCTGAAGGAGGAAAGGAAAGAAAAGAAAAGACTGAGAGGGCAACAGGGTGGGGTGAGGACAGAGATGGCCGGGGAGGAGGGTACAGTACATGCATCAACAACTGATCAGCACAGGAGGAGACAAGCACAGAAACATGACAGAAGCACATCAGGCTTATCAGGTGGTGCACACCGGCGTGTACGCTGCTGCATTTGTGCCATGAAAAAAAAAGAAAAAAAAGGAAGAAGCGTATCTGCCTGGTGTGTAAACCTTTAGAGACATGCTGAGCTGGATCCAGAGCTGCATGACTGAGTCAGGAATCCAGAAGCATTTCACCGGAACGCCACTTTCTGCTTTTCCTCAAATTCAGACTGACATGCCTTCAGCCCGGTCACACAGACCGGTGTGTGGAGCCTGCACACACCTGCCTTTTCATTTGTGGGACTAAAAGCGTTGTGCCTGTGGCAGTGTGGGTGTTTCACCACCGTTTCCTTGTGGTCTGTTAGGTAATAAAAACAGCTGATGCTTTGAGGCAGCAGCCACAACTGAAGGATGAGTCCTTGGAGGGTTTTTCATTCCTCACTAACATAACACATAAGACATATTATGGCTATTGATTTAAAAAAGAGAAAAACACACACACACACGCACAACATGAGACTATCTATCCGCACACGGGTTGTTAAGGCTACACACACGCGCGCGCATTAAGGGGCAGAAGCAAGCTATGCGACAATTATCAGCTGGTTTTCCATCCCCGCGGCTGGCGCTGACCACATCAGGATGTCCACGGCTGACCGCGGTCCCGTTCGGCCGTGGGAGTGGAGTCCGCGGAGGACGTGCCGCAGAAAAACGAGAAAAGGCTCCCCGCGGCAGATTCCCTGACATTACCGTGGCGGGTGATGGGTGATGCTCCTGGTTGGTACCCTCTGCCTCTAGGCTCGCAGCATCCGCCGCTCACGCCCCTGCCGCTCGGCTCGGCACGGCTCGGCTCGGCCCGACAACACGCTCAGACCCCCCCGAGCGCAGAAGGACGCAGGCGGGTCGTCTCAAAAGGAGGACGCGCAGGGGCTGGGTGCTAGAATCGGGGGATGAGAAGCGAGGAGGAAGATGAGGAGGAGGAGGGGGAAGAGCAGACCTGCGAACGTCCTTGTTTTTTTCAGGAGATGAACGGGAGGAAGAAGAAGGAAGAAAAAAAAACGAGGGGAATATTACGCTGGCGTCCCCTCCCTCTCGGCGCTTCTCAACCCGCCCACACTGCGTCCTTCTTCCCTCTCTCCCAGGCCCCCACCGGCCCTGTGGCAGACTGCTGCTCTGGCTGTTTTCTGCTGCACACTCAGTGACTCAGACCCAGCACAGCACTTCGTCTCACCGCGTCGTTTTGTCAGCTTTCGGTCAGCGCGATGATTGGCACGCATCGCCCACACCTTCGTTTGTTTGTTTGTGTGTTTATTAATCATTTCCACACCTTTCCAACAGCTCAAAGCTCACATAACCGCACCGCAAAATGACGTCACTTCACCCCGTTTTGCCCTCATTAAACACATCAAGGGGGACGTGGAAACAAACACAACTGCGGGGTCTTTGCTTGAAATGCTGCATGTTTTATTGTGCATTACAAAATTTGTATTTGAAAGTCATCCCGTGCCTCCCACACCCCAGGTTTTCTTTGTACATTTACTCAGGGTAAGGCAAAAAGGAGTTGTCTCTTGAAATAGAAATTCATCAATTTATAATCATAGTGCCATGTAGAAATTTTTAGTGAAATCTGGGCCGTCCCTACAGCGGGGTTTGTCCTCCACATCCCAGTGAAAGGACAGCAGCAGCAGAGCCAAGGCCTTCCTCCAGCAGGCAGGGGTCACTTTTTCCACCCACCCACCCACAAAAAAAATATATATATATATATATAGAGGAATTCCCAGAGTGGGATTGGATGTTTGTACCTCCCACTGCTTAAGTACCAACTGCTGTTGGAGAGTAGAGTAGGCCATGAGTGAAGCACAAATCAGTGTTCATGTTTCTTCATGTTCACATTGACATATTTCATTAAAGGAAAAAAAAAACTTCAGGAGTTCAGAACAAGAACGTCAAAAACTGAAATGATTACGTCTCAGTTTCATATCTGTGCCTTTCAGAGTGAGGGCTGCGTGTAAACCAAGGCGGACAGACAGAGGAGTGGCGGACGTTAGAGGGAATTAGAGAGGTGGATGTGGCAAAAGGCAGAACAATGCAAGTCAGTCTTTGAATTTTTATCCAAACTACAAAATTTCTTATTCATAAAAGCTGATAAAAGTCTATAAAAATCAAGTTCTCCTCCATCACAAAGGAAATCAAATTCAGAACAAATGAACTGTAAAAACATTCATTAATACAAGGCCATTGTGACTTGGTGTTAGTGTACAGTGTGTGATTTACAGTGCTTGTATAACCACTGGCAGCCATTAACAAACCAAACAACAAGCCTCTTCGAACTATCATCATCAACGAGAGCCGCGTGCGTGTTGTATCACGACTTTAGGAGGTGTTACATATGCTGGCGCTGTGCTTATACCTCCTGATCAGACTTAGTGCTGCTGCCAGACAACGGACAAAAACAATGAAACAAGAAAACGCATCGGAGCCAAAAACAGACTCTGAACCCGTGATTCATGAGTGCAATTATATGTCAACGGCTTGTGAGTCCTGCAAGTTGTACAAGTCCCACGAGTCTTTATATTTAACAAAAGAAAAATGTAGAGATGGTGAAAGATAAATAAACAGGAAATTGCCCCTGACTGGCTCACAATTACCCCATGTGGCACAATGGTAATTTCCTGTAAACATTTCTCAGAATGTTGATAAAAACACCTCCCCCTCCCACTTAAAAACACAAAAATATATAGAAATTTATTTTACATAAACATATATCCATATATATATCCATATTTATATATATATAACTAAAGGCCTTCAAATGTTTCCTGTTCTGCTCCGTGGAAGTCAGAGTTCCCTTCAGAGGATATTCAGCCTTAGATGGATCTGGAAAAAAAACAAAAAACATTGATCACAAGTTAGCATTTGGATTGCACTTAGCATTTTGCATCTGGATTGACAAAGTAACAAACTGGAAACAAAGTGCTTCTTACTTTGTCAGGTCTCTCAGCTAGCTTTTAGTCCTGTTTTTTCTCGCTGCGTTCTTTTTTAGGCACCAGCACCTTACGGAGGTACGGCAGGATTAAATAGGCCACAATGAAGAACACATGGCCGCAGAAATAGACGGAATAATACACCTGAAACCAAGCAGGGACAGAAAAAATAAATAAAGAAATAAATCAGGCTAAATACTTAATACAAAAATTCTCCCTGACAACACATTTCTCCATCCATTGTCCATTTTAAAGGTGTATATAAAGACCAGCCTCTTTTCTTCTCCCTGTGAGCAGATCATCTGTGTAACCCAGTTACTGTTTGCTCCCGTAAACCTGCTTTTGTCAGCTTTCTGTGTTTAAGTCTTCCTCCTTGTTGCTGATTGTCTATGTAAACCTCTTTAAAGGCTGCACAAAAGACACAGACAGCAGCTTTTTGTGCCGTGCCACCATATTTATCCCCTGAACACAAAAGATGTGCAAGGTGTTCTGGTGAAAAATAATTGCATCCAGACGAGGCCTCCGCGTTGGCTAATCAAATCACTGAGAACGCCTCTTATTGCAACGGCGACTGTAAAATAGAGTTTTGGCAACACTTCTAAACTTGAAAAAGCGCCTCTCATTCTGTTTCTGAGATTTATTGGATATTCATATATATATATATATATATATTCTTTCCTTCCACAGTGTAGTCTGAGTTTAGCCTTCTACCTTGTTTTTTATGTCTAAAGTAGGTCCCAAAGTTGGATGGCAGGTACAAGTTGGGAAACAAAACACATTGAACTGGCACAGTGTGGATATTTGTGCGTTACCTTAAGCCATTTGTCATAGGTGAAGAGACAGAATGGCACTAGAGGATACCCCATGAAGAGCCAGTGGAAAAACTGCTGAACTACATAAATGAGGGGGTAGAGGTGGCTGTTGGCTAGGTTTGTCAGCAGGGGACTGTCCCGTACGAGAGCCAGGGCCTGTCACACAAACACACAAAATCCCAAAACTTTACAGACTGATTTCACACCACGACTGCTGTAAACATTTCAGTTACAGAGTGAGGTACATTTGGTCAGCAGTTTGTGCTGTTAATAACAAAAAGCTAATTCTTGGTAATAGGCAAACAACAGGCTTAATGATGCACATAAAGAACTAAGATAGCTTTTGAAAAGGGGATCAAACAAATGGGGGGAAAACAGCTAGTCAACAGACTGGCAATAACAGTCTGAGCCTCCAGCATGTAACTACAAGCTTATCAATCTGAACTTTAAGCCCTGGTACTTAAGCCTACCTGTCTCTCCACAATGATGATCAAGAACTCCATGGAGAAGCACAAGATGTATCCGGAGTGCAGGCCGTGCCAAACGGTCAAAAAAAGGAGCGTGGTCACATGAGACATGGTCTTATTGCCAAGGAACTTCAACCGCTTGAACACGTGTCTTACAAAGAATAAAAAAACAACAACAAAAAGCTAAAGAAGTGGATCATCTCTTCCGGACAGCAAAACAGTCAGAAACACTCATCAGTTGCATCAGTTGTCACGGTGGCACGAACTTGTGTACCTGCAGGTTGTTGTTGCATAGCAACTGAGACAATAAAACATTTCAGCAACTCTCAGCTTGTGTTTCAGTATGGAGGTGGATGGCTGTCCAGACGGCATTGTCGTCATGTCTTAGACAAGTGCACATTTGATGTTCTCAGGCCTTCTTTAGCCCCTTATGCACAACACTGGTGACGAGCATTAGCATTAACTGTACGGGGGACTAAGCGTGCGTCAAACTGCTCGTCATAGAAGTTGTTCCCTGGCATCAGATTGTTTCAGATCATTTAATAACTTTCAGCTTCAACTTGGAGTAACACAACAGCTTATGTCATCAAACGATCCTTTGAGCTTTGTGGGTTGGGGCTGTGTCCCACCAGATTGGTTTCTGTGGGTTGTGGAAGACACCTCGGCTCTTTGAGTCCCTCCTAAAAAGGGCTTTTACAAGGACCCTCGCTGAGCTGCAAAAATGTTTCAGCGGATGGCAAACATTATGAATATTATCCATGTAAATGCCAGGATTTAGGCGGTGCTCACTGGTGAATCTCGTAACTCTTCAAATTTGCAATCTTGTTGCAAGCTCATTTGCTCCATTCACACACCAGCAATGGATGCACAAACCTAATGATTATTACAGTTTTATCTCTAGAGAGTCAAAGTATATGCAAATTCAGAGGGAATTTGAACCAAACATGCATGTGGCCGCGTGGGTGTCACTACATGCAAATCCAGTTCCTATTTAAGTCCCTAAATGTGTGCTGAGGCAACTCAGAAGTGGTGCACATGCCACTATAAATAAACCTTTGTAGGTTAAACAATTAGATCATCAGTGCCAAGTGTGTATTGCATCAACCAAAAGCCTGAAAGCTCCTCATCGACCAGTTCAACACTACCATCTAACTTATTAGTTTGGCGCTATTTGACTTAATCAGCTACGTCTTAACGTCCGTGCTACATTCATTTCCACTTCAGAGCCAACTCCCGCCCCGCTTTATGCACAGCTATCAACATTTCTGCACTGGCAGCAGTTTGGAGCGGGACAGTGAAAGTAAGCGCGGGTCGTTAATGCATTCGACTGAACTGGACCATGTAATAAACTGTATGCTCAAAAAAAGAAATGGCTTTGCTCCATGCCTCCGTCGTCAAATTGTGTCAAACGATTGAAATCGTTTCATGCTTGAAGCCTCTGCTGCAAAGCTGTCAATAGCTGCCAACGTTTAAACCCTCCCCCGGATGTCCACTTCCTCTTGTGACAGCAGAGCTAAGGCAATAGTGGACAGGGGCCTCACATCTGGTGCTACTACTTTGTCGTGATTTGTACATGGAGTGTGTGGATATCTGAAAAAACACACTGTCCCTTTAACTTCACTGTTTTCTGAGGAAAAGTCCAACTGGTACAACCTGGCTTTGAACATGGGGGAGAGAAGACCTCCGACTCGGCACTGACCTGGCAGCCCAGGCATTCGTGTTGATGTTGAAAGAAGAGATGGTTCCTCCGAAAAGGGGGGTAGTCTCAAAGAGCCACACCTTCATGTTGGCACAGGCATCCCATCGGTGCTTCCCCTCCACTACGCCGTTGTACCCTAGTCCAGTTAATATACATACACCCTCCTATAACATGAAGCACACATTTGTATGAGGTCGCACGGAGAACCACAAGACCCTCACAAAGTGGAATGAGCTGCTCATCGGTAAATGTATGCAAAAAGTGGTATTTACTGGTAACGGATTAAGTGCTCAGTTAGAGCTGTGTGTTCATTACAAAGAGGGATATTAGAAATTATAAGCTTTTGGAGCAATTTGACTGACAACAGTTACAGTAACAGTTCTTCGTGCCCAGAGTATATCATCAAATATACAGACAAGGATTGTCATGTTTTAACGAGTAAAACATGACAATCCATGACTGTCCTTCATCCAAACAGTCAGCTGCTTAATTCAAGATAGAGAGCATTGAAATTACAGTTTCAAGCAGCCTATGTGGAGTTCAAACTTGAAAACACTGCATTAAATTAAAGCACTTTCAAGGATTTCCATCGCCTCTGAAACCCTGGATATCTTATCAGAAGAAAATAAAGGTTTATTTTTGTCTGTTAGAGCTTAAATCAATGGCAAATCAGCCTTTTCTAAATGGCCTTGGATTCATTTTCTGTGGAGCGTAAGCTACAGCTGCAGTAGTTTTACAAAACTGAAGCCGGCCCTCCAGATTGACTCAGTTCAACCAAATGTAGCCATGAGTAGCACCTCTATCATTCAGAAATCAGAGCTTATGATTAAGGGGGGCCAATAATTCTGACTGCCACTGCAGATGTTTGTAATAAAGCAGTCATGGGGGCCACTTACCGCTATGACCCAACAGCTGACGTATTTATACAAAATAACTTTGCCCCACAGCAGGATAAACACGCAGCGATACCAGAACGGCTGAGCCTGTGGAGGGGAAACAGTTTGTAAAAACAAAAAGATTTACTTTGTTAATGTTTCACTGCTTGTATCGGCCTTACCTCGTACTCGTCTGTTAAGTAGTAGCTGTCTGGATAAGATGGACCAAATATTGCATAAATCACCAAGCACAGAAAACCCAGAGCAAACCTCTTCATAGCCGGAACAACACTAGAAGAGAAGATGCAAATAAATGGATGAACCAGAGAGAGAAATCTGAACTGTGGGCAATGATTGGTCTTTTTAGATAGCGATCTGATTGAGATTGCCTTTTAGCTTATTCATCTTGCGGTCGCCTGAGTTTCTTACCTGTTGGGAGGCTTTCCGGGGCAGTCGGTGAGCTCCCCTGCCACCAGCTTCTGGTAGCTGCGCAGCGTAAACTGGGGACCCACCAGGAAGCCCCCGTAGAAGTAGGAGAAGCCATACACCTCCAGCAGCGAGGGCACGGACGGCAGAGCGCTCACCTTCTGCTCTGAATTCAGCTGGGACTGCGATTTCCCAGGACAGAGAGAAAAACCCAAACATCTGCAGGTCAACAAACACGTTTGCACTGAGCAGCTGCTGAATGACAATTAACTGAGGGGCTGTGAATCGGGCCGTGGGCACGAACTGAACGCCGACTCCTGTATTCATCTGAGCAGACAGCTCCGGAGCGTTTACCAAGATAACAGAATTCACCGAATGAAAAAGCACAGCCAAAGCCGTGATTAGGATTCAGAAAGATAACAGCGCAGAGTGGACGATTAATGGCTGTCACACAAGTGCTCGCTGCACTCTGTCCTGATCTGTTTACCGCTGCCGACACAGTCGCCTCACTGTTGGCGATTATCAACTGGAGTGTGTGAAAGTGCAGCCAAACCCACGGCACACACACCACATCACTCCGTGTGTATGTGTGTGTGTGTGCCTGTTTGTGACATACGCCAATTTAGCCGATGCCCTCATCCAGAGCGACTTACAGGCCAGGACTATAGAGAAGGGCCACTTTCAGCTCGGACGGACATCAGAGCCAAAAGCTGCAGCGCTCAGCGACAGTCAGCGGAGACGTAAAGATCCATCCACGCTCGGTTCAGAAACTTGCTCTTTTGTTCGCACACACTGGGATCCACACACGCGAATGAGAGGCGCGTGATGAACGACGGCGAGTGTGTTGGGCCTCAGAGATGCTACACCCCACAGGGGATGATTCTGTCTGCCCCACCAGCTGTTTGCACGTCTGTACAGCGTCTCTATTCACCTAAGAAGAATCTGCCCTGCAACATTAAAGCTCCTAATTGATCATTCATCTGTTTGAGATGAAATTATCTTATGATTAGTCTTTGGAAAGTTGTAACAAACCTTTAGACAAATTTTTGTTCACTTCCCTCCAATTGTGCTAATGCAGCTTGTTTTCTTCCTCCTCTTTCTTTGTTAATAGTAAATTCTTCCCCTTTTTTCAGTTAAAAAAAAAACAGAAAAAAGAGCAGACAAACTAAACGTAAACCAGTGGGACAGACGGCATCACGTAGAGTGAACGAGTATTCTAAAGCAAGAGAGATCAGCAAACTCACTGGTTCCTTCCCGCCATCGTAGTAATCAAACGCCAAACCTGTGAATCAGAAAAAGCAGCTGTGTCAGCAACTCCTGGGGAGGCCAACGTTTCCATCACCTGACTAACACACCCCGAAGCGTGCAGAGTTAATCATTCAGAAAACAAAAGGAGGCGTTAACCTAAAAAAAACAATAGAACACGAGCTGGCGTTAACTCACCAATAAGTTTGAGTGTGAGGACACAATGAGGCATGGTCCACTTGATGTCGTACTCCTCTGTCGCTGTGTAGTAATACCCTGCCAGCAGGTACAGCTATAGGGCGACCAACCGAAAGGAAAATAACAAACAGGGAGCAGACATCAGCTGCCGTCTAACAGCAAATTGGAGCAGAAGACTTTAAGAGATGAGAAAAGGTGCCACAGAGACCTCACAGGAAATGTTTAAAGACTACAGTCTTCTATTTCGCTATGGAATCAAAAGGAAGAGAAAATGAAAAGGAGCCTAGTATTTTCACTGAAAGTAACTGGATATAATCACTAAGAAAACTGATCCCTATTAATTCACCGCATATCAAACACAGAAATGAGCAAGGCACCTAAAGGAGAATGGGACTTTTTAAGGGTGTTATAATGAGAAGGGGCTTCAAAGCTTCAAAGTATTGAAAAGCCATCCACATTTCTGGCTCATGGTAATAACCTATTACCTTAAAATAATGAAAAACTTGCCAAGGCTTTTTCTAATTATTATTACATATTCTGAAACAGTGCCTTTCTTATCTACTGTTCCAAAGAGATCCAATCATTTAAGCAGAAATGGTCACCATGGTAACCAGAAAAATAGAGGTGAAGGATTTGGGTATGGTCACGCTCGTTTGGCTATTGTTTTCCTGTGATATGTCGGACAGAAATGGCCACAATGACCTGAGAGAGGCCCATCTGTAGGGTGGAAGCCTCCTCTCTTATTCATCAGTTACATGTTACAATAAGAAAAACAAGAGAGAAGAGAAAAATCTTACCATTTGAAAGGTAAAACTGCTCAGGACAGACGTTACCGTCCTTCCCATGAGCCTCAACATCAGGAACTGGACAAAGATGCATACTGCCGAGTGATAGAGCTGAGGACCTGGGAAGGAGACGGACAGGAGGAGGATGAGCACAGCTGTCAGACAAAATTCAACACCGACACACAGAGGAGACAGATGCACAAACATAAACACAATCGGAAGCCAGTTCTCAAGTAGAAAGATGAAAAACCAAAGGAGAAGCAACAGACCTGCTGTAAAATCCAAGTGCAGCCACAGCAGAACAAAGAAAAGAGAAAGAGGTCAGTGCTGGCAGTTTGCATTTGGTGTGACAGGCCACTCATTTGTTTTTGCTTTTAATTTACACTGGAAGAATTGAAATTGTTAGTGACTGATAGAGAATATGATCAAATAAATGACCCTTCAAGTTTAGAGGGTAAAAAAAAGGTGCTTACAGCTTCTATAATATAAACCGCTGCTAGGTTTCTTCATCATTTATATTTAAAAATGTTTGAAAGACAGCAAAAACCAAAAAACATCCAAACACAAGTCCGAAAAATCCTCTCGGAGCAAATGAAATCAATTCAGACGGCTTGTTTTGTTTAGTCCAAAATATTCAAGTCAATGAAAAAAGACTGTGCTCCAAAAATTGGCATTTAGGATGCATGTGCAAAAGCACAAAAAGAAAGGAGGACTCAGCTGTCTTTTTCTGTTTATCGACTCCCTGATTGATGTTTACTGAACACATTTAGACGTCTGATGGCTGCTTCATCAGATATGAATGAAAACATTACTTTACCCTCTGAAAAGGCTTTTTCCATTATTTTTTTTAGCAATTGATCGGAGAGCGAAAAAAAGCTGTACTTTCAGATGGAAAAAGCCTGCTGGATGGTACCACTCAGCGCTTTTTGAGAAACGGACACACATTCAGCTTGTAATTCAGATAATCCACCAGATCCAAGACAAACAAAAAAAAGAAGTGATCGAGATTCAAACGAACCTTTTTAATTCACGTAACGTTACATTCAGAAAAAATGTTGTTTGGGCCTCATTTAAATAAATGTACTCAGCAGAGATGTACTGCCATTTATGCAGCTGTTCTCTGGTCTATGGGTGTTAAAAATTAGTGTGGCCTCGTTCATGCCTTTCTTTCAAAGCTTTCGGCTATGACATCACAGACTGAAGCATCTGCCTTTTAACCTGAAATGATCTGATATGAATCAATTGCTTGCCAGTTTAAGATTTTTTTTTATTAAATCTGCCTGACAATGTGTATTCAGAATTCTCCACTTGGATACAAAACGGTTTGCCCATGATGTTTGGGATTCTCTTCCAGGTCTCACCGATAGGCAGCCAAAAAGCCTGTCAGATCACTTAAAGTTAACCAGTTATGCCGGATTGAGTCGGACGTGGCGCGTCGAGGCTCACAGGTGGGCGTGCCTCCTGTTTGGAGCAGCGATAAAAGCCCTGAGATTAGACAGGGATCAGTCGGGCATCTCAGCTGACGGTTTAAATCCTGGACAAGTCTCTATTGTGTCCTGAAGTTATGCTACAAACATTTCTAAATTCATCTGGAGAGGCCACTCTTATGTTTTATAGTTTCATCGTTCCCGTGCACGGGAGATCTGCATGAGAAACCACACCCCTTCGCTTTAATTTGATAATTTCAGCTCATTTTGAGCTAAAAAAAAATAATCCCACGGTTTTTGGTTTATTATTTTTTTTTTAAGATGCTTCTTGTCATCTCACTTTGGTGAAAACCTCTTAAATTTGCACCTAAAACACGGCGTGTCATCGTAGGCCCATCGGAGCTGCGAGGAACATTTTTAAATTTTCAACTGACGGCTTACAAAGAATACTATTAATCAATAAAAAGACCAGCAGATCAATAACGGGGACTAGACTTTGAATCTCAAGGCCACATTTTGAGGCTTGCTGCCTTTGAAATTAGTACTATAACCAACCTTTGAAATGTAAAATCCCTGAAATGCCTTAGAGATTTCTTTTATCTGGACTCCAAATGAAAAAAAAAAAAAAGGTAAGGCGAGAGTAGCTGAGCGGACGCTGATTAGTGTCACGCCCGTAAGGTGAATACAATTAACCCCTAAATCAGAAATATAATTAAAAAAACATGACTTACAATATTTGTGTAACAAGAAATAAATTGAATTTTGGGGATAACAAACCCTTTATGGCAGGGCCTGATAAAAAAAAAAAAATTACAAATAATTATGCTACCAGAACTGATCAAAACATGACTAAAAAAAACTAAATATAGTACAAAAACACACAGGATTACTGGAACAGGCGGATTAGTGTCTCTGAAGCCTCTAAAACCACAGTGCAGCATTTTTTTTTTCTCACCAAAGTTGAATGCAGCTAATGCCAATCCAGAGAAGGTGTGGAACAAGTGGATGACTGAGGCCGGCTGGTGGAACAGGAAGCTCCGGTACACCAGTGCAAAGGGATAGCCTGCGGGCACAGACAGAGAGGAGGAAATATGTCGGTGGAGATCCAGCACGCGCATTCATATCAGCCAAGTGTGCCACAGTTCACACGTCCCGGTATCAGCCCGCTATCAGCCGCTCTGACCTCAACGGCTCGCGCCCTGTACGGGGGAAAACCGCAACCTCTGCGGATGGTGTGCGTCACGAGCTGCTGCTTTTAGAGGAGAAGGTCAAACATGCACAACACGTGAACTCCGGCAGTTTTTCTACCAAACGCGAAAAACTTTCACGAATCCACGTGTGGGTGCAGTTTACGAAGGGGCCGCAGAGATACGGGTCCTCTGAGCATCCGCAGGCCGGGTCACGCAGATCTTATCCGACGAGGCAGCGCAGCATCCGGCAGCTTTAAAAGGCCTCAGTGAGCTAAAAATCCTCCACTGACGCAGCTGGAGTCATGCCTAACACGGCGGCGGCGAGTCACACCGCTGTGGTCGTGGGAAAAAGAAAGAAGGCCTTTCTTTGAATTGTTAGCTTTTACATCTGAAGATGACATAAGGAACTGGTTTTACTCAAATAATCAGATTTGTGGTTACAGAATTTGATCAGGTCAGTTCACGAAGGGGAACAGACACATTTTTTTTCCTGTGTGGTTTAGAGAATTTAGTTATTACTGTAGGGAAATCTTAGATTTCCTTGAAAAAGGGTTTAAACATTTTCTTTGGTCATTTGTAGTCTTCCACTCAGTCCCCAAAAAACGAGGCTGAAATGCAGAAGCAGCACTTCTTCATTACTTTGACCCGTTATTCTTTACTTGTCTGAGGTTTGCAGCACTGGCCTCTGCTCAGCTCCCTGACCTCAGTCTGAGCTCTGAACTCCGATGGGGCTGGTACCATGCCCCGTTTCCCTTCTTTTTCAGACCTTTTGCTGTAGATTTGCTGCCATGCTCAGGCTCATATCTACCTGCAGAAAACGTTGACATACAGATGAGTGTGGACTGTGATCCAAACCCAAATCACCGCCATGCCCGACACTTTGTCTTGGGGCCCCTCATGACCTAACATCTGCACTTTGGTCTCATCTCATCCCATCACGTAGCTCCAAAGAGTTGTTTTTTCCTTAGAGGAAACTATATGGAACCAGGCTGCCATATTCCTTTTTTCAAAGAGGAGAATATTTTTTTATTTTGTTCTGTCACCAGCGGTTAACATGCAGACCAAGGCCTGCAGAGTCCGAGCTGCTGCCCCTGTGTATCTGACCTTGGGGTGAATGTGTTTGGACGTCCACGGCCAGGAAGATTACCATCCGTCCTGAAAGTTTACCATTAATGAAGAATATTTCCCACTGAATTATTGGACACCAAGTGTTTGGAAAAGCTCCTGGAGCCCCTGCCGGACTGCTGGGCAACAACGATTCCTCCCCTTAGTTTTCTGCTGCTGTCCTGCTTTGATGTGAAAAGGACTTCTGCAGAAAATGCACTTCCTGATGAAGAATCTGGGGCTGCAAGGTGGGACTTTTGGTTTTACAAACCTTCTCTGCTTGATTTATGTCAAATATGTAATGACAGGATGTTTATTGGGTTTTCCAAAAACAGAAAAGAAATGACCTACTCGTTTGAATCTGCTGCTTCAAGATTTTACTTTTTTCATCTTAAAAAAATAAAAATAAAAAGCTGCATAGTTCTGTTAATCTAAAGTGTAAAGTAAGACGAAAAGGACTCAGAGAAAAGTGGCAGAAAAATGTCAGGCAGGCGTGGAAAACAGATTATGAATGAAGTGGACTTCTAAACATTAACGCAGCTTTGGTCCTGAGAAACATTCTCCAGTCCAACAGATCGGGAATAAAGAATAAAATCTGCACACCCCCTATGGAACATGAAACCACAAGTTAAAGTAACACTGATATCAATCGGTCAGTTGTCAGCAACCAAGTCCATACCTAAGCACCAGCAGAAATGCCGAGAGCGTATCTCAGTAGAGAGAGAGGCAGGTGCTATATTGCAAAAATATTATGCAACATGCATGAAGCAACACAGAGACAGGGAGGATGCAATAAGGTGGCTCGAGAAGTTAACGCAACCCGACCTGAGAAGTGATGTTTGGTGTGAAGTGTTGCTGAAGTGAGTCCAGAGGAAAACGGACGTGTTCATGTGTCAGAGCAAAGTCCAGAGCTGAAAGCACGGAGGGAGCCCAAAGATAAGCCCCGACAGTGTCGCCCACCTCCAGGCGGACAACACACAGCACGGCATTCCCCAAGCAGAACCATCTTTTTTTAAAACCCACCCTGAAACCTAAAACCAGCCTTGAACCCTGTCAGAGTGACACGTCCTCCCTTTCCTGAAAGGAGCACAGTGTAAACTGGGGCTCATAAAAAGAGGAAAGGGCACTCACAGTCATAAATTAGAGCTGTGTGTAAAAAAAACCCCCATAGTAGCTCCAAAGTGAAAGCCAACTTTTGCCCTTGTCCCTGCACTTCACCCCCATTCAGTGTATACTCCCTCCTCTTGGTTATATGGTATACGAACAGCTGGGGAAAAACTATTTTACCTTCAGCCCACATACAGTTAACAAACATCCAAACTCTGCATCCCACAACCTGCTAAACCAAAGTGTAGGTCCGTGTATTTGTCATCATTCTTAACTCATCTCTGTATCATAGAGCAACAATTAGGAGATGAATGCAGCTCCCTTTAACAGTCACACATTAACCGCTGCTGCTCAGGAAACACTTGACATGTTTAAGGGTTTGTGCTTCCTGGATATCAGTCTCCTGTTCTAGTGTTTGCCTGATAGACGCAGCGGCTTAGCTCCACACGTACAGATGCTAGTTTGCTGCCAGGAGGACCTGCAGGTTGCCTGGCAGAGCTCTGAGACACATCACACAAACAATTACACGGGGTGAGAGGAGCGGGCGGACCTGTCACCTGGAGGGGTGTCATGACTCCCAGCCACCACAGTCACACGGCACTCGTTTCGAGAGGTCCAACTCACCGATTAATATTGATAATATGAGTCGTACTGCTGGCTCCGGGGAACCTAAGGACTCCGACAGTTTCTCCAGCAAGGGAGCCGCCATCTTTCTTGTGGGCGGAAACGTGTCTTCGCGACGGTTCGCTGAACTCTAGTGACTCACGACAGACATCCACACACAAATACAGTCGCCCGTAACGGCACGGCTCGGCCCACAGGAGAGAGACCCTCCTCCTACAAGACCGCCTCTCTCACCGCGGACACGACTGTCACCAGAATTAGCACACAACTAGAAGTCTGTGAGGTGAAGCAGAGTGATGCATTTAACCTGCCTGTACTGAATGGAAGTGCTGGTGTGCTCAAGAAAAACTCCTGACAGGAGCACACTCAATAGGCTGCGGTGTAAGTGCGCCCCCGTGTGGCCACTACAAGCAACAACCACGTTAATGATCAATTTATTTGTAAGTTTTTCTTCTGTATAAGTGACCTTATTAATTATAATACTTATAAGTTTACATTATTAGACTTGATCAAATACGGTTTGTTTGTTTATTTTAAACGCTTCTGTGATTCAGATTTAAGAGGACACCACCGGCTGCATGGTGATTGGTGGCTGAGATGGCATGAGAAAGGGGCGGGTTGTGGCCGGACACTGACAACAAACATTCAAACATTGGAAGCTTTCAAACAATGCTGCATATTTGTGTGGCATACTTTCAATACTGCTGCATATTTTCGTGGCCTAATTCATTTATGTCAATCTTAGAAGCAACTATTACAGATACGCTCTCCTTATTGAGCACTGTCAAACCAAAATGTGGGCACAACGTGTTTAAATCTGACAAACGCCTGAGGAAATGAAGCAGGTTAATGTGTGCTTTGGTGTTTTTTTATTGTAGCTTGCTGTGCCATGTTTGTACCACTTGAACTAGTTGATCATGGATTTTTTTTAATATGTAACAAGATTGCCATGATCACTCTGATGTTATGAATCAATTAGCCAGCACTTCAACAGAAACAATGCAGGTCAGGAAGCTGTATTTGACCATCAGACGCACAAAATCCAGTTTAACAACATTTTACAGTATGTTTTGACATGAGATGCTTAGTGGCTACTTTTTAACTTGGAATGAAAGCATGTCTTTGTAAAAGCATAATTATTTCTTCCTACCTAATTTAACTGGGTCTCGATCAGTACGACGTTAACCTCCATCAAATGGTACGAGATTGACTGCAGACACAATAATATAATAATACTATTTTTCTAAATAATTTACTCAGAATGAATGTATAACACTAAGCTTTTAAGTCACTTAAGAGTTACTTTCTTTCTTTCTTTCTTTCATTGACATGTTTAGGGGGGTCTTCTTTTATAGAAGACCTTCTGGAAAAATATCTTAAGAGCAAAGATTCCTTGCTAATTCTGGGTCACTGTGCGAGACTAGTACAAAGACCGACTATCCTTTTATTATGGTGTCGTATTTTCGTGCTACACTTTAAACTAAACATTTTCTTATAAACATTTCTAAAAGTGTATTCATAAATCCGTACTAAGTTTAAATTCGCAAATACATAGATTTTAAGAGTAAAAATTATCTCCTTCAAAGCATGCTGGGTAAAAAATAGGTAGCGTCTGAATATTATCCAATCGTTACGTTTGTCTGTGGAAGCGTAATGAAAGAGGCGGGACTTTCTTTGCAGCATCCAATCAGACGCCGCATTTTCAGATATTTGACTAACGGTGAAACAAACAGCGAAATGCTGATGGATTTTGAAATGTTGTCAGAGAAATGAATGTCGAGCTATCGATATTTAAATGGTAGTTGGAACGATACATTTCCCCCTGTGAACTATTAATGAATAAAGAATTATACTAATATACTATTTATACTAAATTTGTTTAGTCCCTCATAGAAACATGGGATGTTTTTAAGCCTCTATGAGGCCAGAAATGACGAGGTATGATAAGGAATAAAAACAAACAAGTGGCTGCAAGGACAGCATTCATCTTAGCCAGACAGTTTGGATCTGGGTCCATCAACTCTTTCACACTTGGCACTTCTCCCACTCTTTCTAAATGTCTGTGCAATCCCAGCATTCCCACTAATTTAAAGATTTTGTAGATTGTGTCAAAAAGGAAATGGACAGCTTTGCTCCTGCACTGCAACACACTGATCATTTTACTGAAAAATTCAATCTAAAATTAAAGTTTAAATACTCCCGACTGACAGGATTTTGTGACCAAAGAAAGAAATGCATGAATTCTCTGATGGTGTCTGAAGGTTTGGATGATAATCCTGTCCTGTGGCAGCTTCCACTGCTGTGGTCTTCATCTGAGAGCAATGTAATGGGGTGGTGTGCTGATTAAGATGGAAACCAAATAAGCTAACAATAACATGTGTAAACAAAGAAAAAAAATGTTAAGATGTGATAATCTTTATGAATTGTGCTCCAGCTGGCACGGTAAACAATGTTCCAGGCTGGTACTTATATGCAGGCCAGTGGCCTAATGGGTTAGCAGCTTCTGTATAAGGAACTATCTCAGCCAGCTGAGCTGTATCCTGTGTGTGGTCATTTTATCACACTGAGTGCTCTGAACAGACACCAGACCATTAACACTAAAATGCACTAAATGTGTTTGGTGTCTTGACAGACTCTGAGACGGATGTACAGGGGGCAGAGCACATTTGAAACAAATCTAAAAAATGACTGAAGCAAAGAGGACTTGTCTGCTCACAGAGGAATAGTCATTGAATTGGAAATTTGGATATGAATTAACGTTTTCTCTCGTATTTCCTGAACTGCATTAAAGTAGCATACATAGCTTGTTTTTAAATGAAAGATTAACATTTGCCATGAAGCAAATCTGAGTGATTGGCATTCTGTTGATTGAGAAGGATATGGTTAAAGAAAGACCCCGTCTGCTTTTCTCAGTATTTCACTATATTCAAAGCTTCAGTGTGATTGTTACTCGGTTGTTAGTCTATTTGAACAGGGGCAACTGTTAACCGTGTTCACCCCCGGGTTTTCGGCGTGTTAACAGGTTATTCAACGCGAGAGAAAGTTTTCACATAGCACTTGAATGCAGCATGACATTTTGCTTCTCCTCCCCAGCTGTGAGGACGCGTTTAAGGACGTGTCGTCACAAACCAATAGCGCAGAGGCTTTCAATAGTGAAGAGGAGGAGTTTAAATTTCCGCGTTAATAAATACCCCGAGCTGCTGCCTGACACCCGCTCTCTTACCCCAGAACAGAAGCACCCAAGTGGGCTGTTGCACCGTTTCAGTTTCAAGTAAGGCCTCTTAAAAAAAATCTGCAAACATGAGCAGGAAATTTTTCGTCGGTGGAAACTGGAAAATGAACGGCGACAAGAAAAGCCTTGGGGAGCTCATCCAGACCATGAACGCAGCCAAGGTGGACCCCAATGTCGGTAAGTGGGTTTTTGACGGCTATTACACAATTCTCCCTCTTGGAAACAGTTTGTTTTTATGTTTCCGTTTTTTATGTTCGGTCAACTTAACCCTCCGTCTGGGTGTGATTTTAGATTTGATTTCACAAACGATTTTAAACGCATCAAAATGGTTCGTTCATTCAACAAACTAGCGACTCTTTTAGCATCACAAACCTCCACCCCCGTTATGTTGCTGCTTTAGATGAGTTGCATTTAGTGTTTTGACACTTTTTCATCAGACCTAAGCGGTCTGGGGATGTGTAAGAGCCCAGCTGAAGGACGCTGGGCCGGGGCTTTGGGTAATGTCGGAGGTGGGTGTGCGTTAGCAGCCGCACGTAGACCCGACGGCCGCTGCACCGCCTCCACACGGTGCTTTCAGGTCGAGCCGGTGGCTTTTAGCGGGTGGAAACAAAGCATTACCCATCCACGAACACCAAAACGCTTACTTGTCAGTGGCTCGCGTGATAAATTTGACAAATCACGATTTTTTTTCTTCCCCAATCCCGTTTTTCCAGCGTGACATGAACGCATCAGGAGGCATCTGGCCTGTTGCTGGCTGCTTCCTGCAGACTGGAGACAAAGTAGACTGAGGGCAGCAGCAGCTGCTGCCTCATCAAGGCGCTTCCCTTTTTCATGCTCAGTGAACGGTCCTCTGGACAAGCTCAGACTGGACAGTGTCCATGTCTCGGTTATGCAACTGTAAAGTGGTGTGTGACGGGCCAGGCCTGCTCTCTATGGAGCAAACTGGACCTTGTTCTCCCAGTGAAAACGCCCCCTTTCAGAGCCAGTCTGGAACCCTTTCAAGCTCTTCCCACTGGCTGGGTTTAGGTCAAAGTTCAGCCTTTTTTCTTTCCCGGACCATTTTCCTCGTGTCGGATATTTTACCTGCTTGACCTTTTGAACTCGGGCTCATGACTTGTCTTTGACCCCTGCAGAATGCGGCCGTGTCGGCGACCTTTTAGAGGCTGAACTCAGACCTTTAACGCAGTTGACTCTGGCCCAGGAGAATTGACCTTTACCAAACCAATAATAACATGCGGCGTCTAATATAGACTCCCATAACCCCAAAGATATAGTTACATTGTGAATGTCAGTGTCTTGACTTGACTGTACTGACCTGTGAGGCAGCTGAAGTTAACATGGGGGTAAACTTTTTAAAAGTTTTTATTGACTGGACAAATATACTGTAGTTACAACAGTTATCTGCTTTGTTTCATTTATCTGCTGCATTTGGGAAATTCTCAGACACTTTTGAATTATGTGGACCCTTTAAGACTTTTATCAGTTTCAGAACAATGGCAGCTACCAGTCACGTCTGACTCTTATCTTTGGAGTTGGGAAACCACTTTAAACCTTGTGTCCACATGCAATTGGGTCAATGCATCCTTTTAATCCCCACTGGATTGCATCGCTATGGAGGGGCTGGCTTCTGTGGTCATTTGTTTGGCAGACTGTCCTGTAAGAGACTCGTATTGAGCTGAGTTTCTTAAGAAACTCATGATAAATTGCTGGGAAAAAGGAAAAGAAAGAATTCCCTTTCCAGACAGATTTAAGGAAGCAGATCCACAGTCTTTAATAGAAAAGCACCACAATATCAGGACACGGGGCCCTAATTTAGTTTGACAAGAAGTAGATCACCATCCTTACTTTAAAGAATTAGGAGATGAAATTTGTAGAGTAGGGCCAATGGGAGGAGCTAAAAGAGCCCTATTACTAAAGACTCTTTGATGATCTATGAGGGATTGTCACTACTTTTTCACATTTGGTTGTAAATGTTAAGACTCCTTAAATTTGGTCTCCTTAACCTAACCCTTGTTTCCCGCTCATGAATAGAGGTGGTCTGCGGCGCTCCTTCCATCTACCTGGACTTCGCCAGATCTCACCTGGATGCCAAGTTTGGTGTGGCAGCTCAGAACTGCTACAAAGTTCCCAAGGGTGCCTTCACTGGGGAGATCAGGTAAGAAGAGGGGAGGCAGCACGGCTCCCTCCTCTCCACATAAAGCCAGCGTGGGCCACGACCACAGCAGGTTCGGCCATTTTGGATTCGATCTGACTGTCCTCTGCCTCCAGCCCTGCGATGATCAAGGACTGTGGTGTGAACTGGGTGATCCTGGGACACTCCGAGAGGCGCCACGTCTTTGGAGAGAGTGACGAGGTAACTGTGGATGGTTGGCTCCCTCATTAGGGTTATTTAGTCGGTGTTGAATGATGAATGAAGCGCTCAGCGATGTCCTCTCTGCTAGCTGATCGGCCAGAAGACGGCTCACGCTCTGGAGAGCGGACTCGGTGTGATCGCCTGCATTGGGGAGAAGCTGGATGAGAGGGAGGGCGGCATCACGGAGAAGGTGGTGTTTGCTCAGACCAAAGTCATCGCAGGTACGCAGCTCCGTGTCTGACTGTGGCAACACTTCTCAGTGCAAAACAGGGAGTAGAGTGAAAACCTGTTGACGCAAATGAAATTAAAAATAAAAAATAAAAAAAAACTCATCGGACAACTTTTCCACAGACAACGTAAAGGACTGGAGCAAGGTGGTGCTGGCCTATGAGCCTGTCTGGGCCATTGGTACCGGCAAGACCGCCTCACCCCAGCAGGTACGTGTTAGAAATATCCTAAATCTCACTAATAACTAATGAAATTTGCTGTCTCAAATGAAATGCTCATGTGTGAAATCTCAGGCTCAGGAAGTGCATGACAAGCTGCGGGCGTGGATGAAGACCAACGTGTCTGAGGCAGTCGCCAACTCTGTGAGGATCATCTATGGAGGTGAGTCGATGGATGGATGGGGAAAGGGGGCGGTGGGACCACGTTCCAGCGTCTGAGCTCCTTTTCATGCTTGAAATGTTTCCTCACAGGTTCTGTGACCGGTGGAACCTGCAAAGAACTCGCCTCCCAGAAGGACGTCGACGGTTTCCTTGTGGGCGGTGCCTCCCTCAAGCCGGAGTTCATCGAAATCATCAACGCCAAGGCATAAGAAAAAAAAAGATTTAAAAAAAAAACGGCGATAGCAACAGAGTGACCAGATTAGAGGCCAGCTCCATTCAGAAGATCCGGTTCCATCCCCCGTCCCCCTTTTAGTCTCTGCACTTCCCCCTATCTGTTCAAAGTGTTAGTGTGATGCTGTCATTCCCTCCTTTTTCCCTTCATCTTTTGGTATGTTTTGGCACAAAGAAAAGGGACAGGTTGGCACATGCACTGTACAGCACTGATAAGCCTACTGAGAGCATTCTATGTGCGTACTAACTTCCACATCAAGTGCTTAAGCCGCGAAGGCCGATGCCTTCCGGCGGACAACCAGGCCACGCCTTTACTTGAAAAGTTTACGAACTTTTTTTTTTTTTTTTTTGTGAGAACGGTGTCACAGCTCTTGTCTTTTTACTGGTGTCTCTTTTGTGTAATTATGATGATCTGTGGCTTTTACCTTCCTTTAGTTGTGCATGTTCCAGTTTTTCATTGGTGAGAGGAAAGTGCCCATTTCGTGTAAACTGTGTTGTGTCATGGCCGTCGGGCTAATGGAAGGCAGCCTAAAAAGAAACATTATAATAAACAGTTGAGCGATTGCCCCAGTGTGCTGTTGTGCTTCTGTCTTGGTGACTTCAGTAACATGAATTTCCAGTAAATGCCTCTTGCTCATACATTTTAGCTCCCCAGCGGCTGGTGCTCAGACCTCACTAACCCCAGTGGCCTTCTCAAGATGGTGAGGAGATGGTGTCTTATTACAGAAGTGACAATGCCATGGTGAGAACCACGTCCCAGCTATTTTTAACCCTGTGACCTCAAACGCAGCAGTGGAAGATATATGAACTGAGAAAGCCAGAACTTTGCTAATTACAAGTTTACACATAAATCAAGAGTGTAATGAACGACTTATTCCCGGCTGATGAGGCTCGAGTCTCACACCAGACTGCTCTTGGGCTTTTTGAGTCTGTTTGTTGTGGAAACATCTTTTATTTTTGCTCTTAAAGGCCTTTGCAAAGGCCACAACACTCAAAAGAAAAACACAGAGCCTTCATTCCTGTGCAGAGAGTTTGTGGCTCTGTTGTGTCTTGGGATCCCTGATATGTCTTCAACTTCTCTTTTAGGATTGTCCACAATCTGGAATATATTATAGTTTTACTCCCCCGCGATTCGGATACTTTTGTGATAATTAATTCTTCTAAACCATCATTTTAAAGTGTCAGTTGTCTTCTTCCTTTAACAGTAAAAACATTTGTTGCCCGTTTAGGTGGGAATTTTCCACGCTCTCGCTCTTTTGTCCAGCTCCCTGCTGCTATTGCACCCCCGGTCCTGCAGGGGGCGCTGATGTCCCGGATTGAGCGCTCCTACGTGTGTCGGTGTCACGTCCCGTATTTACAAGCGATGCGTGACGTTCACTGACTCGCAGAAAGACGTCTTAAAGCGCACCCGTAACCCAGTACTTCCCTGATTTAGACCAACAAAATGCAGTCTCTCAGAGATTTTCTGAACGAGAGGCTGGCTGCAGCGGCGGAGGACATATTTATAGCTGTGGAAAGGACGATAGCCGAGTACAAAGAGCAGATTTTCCGTTCAAAAGATTTGGAAATCGGTCGCCTTAGGATGCAACTAAAGCTTCTCAAGTCAGGTGAGTTTGAAAAGCCAGACCCCCAATTGGGGTTGAATGTTATTCTTTTAAAGTAGGTCACACGGTTGTGGTATTATTTGTGTGTTCTTTTGTCTTTCTTCCAGAGCCAGACACGGATGAATGTCCCGGAGCCCAGCTGCTGCAGTACAGCCATCAACACCCACCTCCCTCTCCCTCTCCACCTCCAGCTCAGGAGCAGCCGCCCCCCGCCACGATGGCCCCCGACCCTCCCCCCAGCGAGGTGGAGGGAAGCCCCTCCCCGGAGGAGGAGGTGGAGGACAGCAGGATGGATGGGGGTCATCCGGAGCCCTCAGAGGTCAAGAAGGAGCCCAACGCCCAGAGACACTTCTGGACGGACCACGAATCGGACCTGGAGTCAGACATGAAAGACTTCATCCAGCCTCCCGGCGGTCTGCACGACCCAGCTCTGCACTACCACCCTTACCTGTGCGGCGGCGGCGGCGGGGGCGGGGAGGAGAGCAGGGACAGGCCCTACAGCTGCTCGGTCTGCGAGAAGCGCTTCAGCAACTGCTCCCACCTGGCGGCCCACATCCGGACCCACACGGGCGAGAGGCCCTACAAGTGCGACGTGTGCGGCAAGACCTTCGTCACCACCAGCGCCCTGAACCGCCACAAGACCATCCACACCGAGGGCAAGCGCTTCATCTGCACCTACTGTGGGAAGTCTTTCAAATGGATGGAGTCTCTGGGCAGACACCTGAGAAGCGTGCACAAGAGGGAGAACATACCCGGAGGGGGCTGCTGAGATCCACACCGGTTCTGCAGTTTGTCGGGTTTCTTGTGGCTGCGCGTCATGTTTTATCTCTTTATAAAGAGCAAAAGGGTTAGCAGGAACGGTCAAAGGGATGTGTGGATAGATGTGCATGGTCCTCATGAAACACTACTGACGTTCGAGAAAGCTTCCTACATCTCTTGATACATTTCTAATTTTAGGACTAAGTACTGATTTCTTAAACAGCCATTCTTCATACCTCTGATGAAGGGAAATCAGACTCATTCATAAATTCCCATCAAACAGCAGCAGATGGCAGTGTTCATCTACTCAATGTCCAAGACTGCTGGCTCCCTGCCCTCCCTTTTTTTATTTATTTTTTTCAAAAGAGCATACAGCTTATCGATCACACTCCGATCACCACAAAAATCATTTTTGGCTGAAATATAAAAGCAGCAGTTGTTGGAGATATACTGGGTTGCTTTGCTTGACATAAAAGCTCATTCTAAAGAAACAAAAGTGTGAAAATGTTGTGCAATAAAACAAATTATCTCCACATCAGGAACACTGTTGAGTCCGTTGTTTGTTTTAATAAACATGTTCTGTGACTGAATACCACAGAAGATTAAGATGGGAGTTCTGACTCTCCGCTGGGCAGATTTGTATGACTGCAGACCCTTAAGTCCACCTATGTGAAACCAGCTTGTTCCCCTCTGACAAAACAATATGTTACTGACAACAGAAATCATGGAAAACATTACATCAGTTGGTAGAACAACATGCTCCATGGCTGACAGGCCAATAACACAACCAATCTTAAAAAAGAGTATCCAAGAGTCCCATAGGAAAAGTCAGGTTTTGATTTGAGTTTATTCACTCATCTTAAACCTATGTTTAAAGTTGTGGGGCAATTTCAGGTCTATTTTTTTTTTTTTTTTTGTTATATCTCTTTATTGTATCTCTTTTATGCATATGCAGAAACACCACCATCTTCTCTGGGCAAAAGCTGATTTAAAATAGGATGTACCAACTGTGTAATAGTCAATTTGGTAGGAAAGAATTCAGAAATTTATTTTGGAAATTACAGGTGTGTCATTTTCATTTCTTCTGGGTTGCTATACTTGTTTTTCATTCTTCTTTAAATTAATATATTATTCACCATTACACTCGTACTTTTATGAAATGGCGTTTTAAGGTTCATAATTCAAATTGTCCTCCATAATAATAAAAAGTTCCATTGCATTTGATATTTCTATCTGTATTTCCACCACTTTTCTAAAATAACATTTTCAGTAACACACTCTGTTATCATTTCAACATTTAAACCATTTCTCTATTTACCTCAAAGCTCAACTGAAAGACTAAAAACAGTCCTATTTTCCCGACAGTCTTTCGGTATTTAAAGCGTACCTTTCAGTCGGTCTATTCAGATCCAAACTCCAGCTGGTCCACTCCCAAATGACTATTAGGGTTTTTTCTGTAACTAATTTATAAAATGTTTTTGTAATACATTCCTGATAAAAGCCTTGTTGGAAGGTCCTGCCTAAGGTCAGGTTGCTCGATGTTTTTCTTCAGAATTTCTCCTTTTTGCTGTTGATGTAATGAGAAGGTTTCTGGGTCCATTAGCAGGGAAATAAAAGAAAAAGAAAACCAAAATTGCATTGACAGTGACCTTGAGGAGGATGTTCTATCATAAATGTTTTTCTTTTCAGTCATTTCACAAAAGATACATGTCTGTGCCCAAACAACTGCATCTTATCTACTCACAGAGCTGACGAGGACAACATTTCTTTGTCTTCCTGCTGTGTCTTTGTCATGAAGACATGGGCCTTCCCAGGTTAGCTTTAATGTACAGCAGCCGGAGTATAGCTGTTAGATGCAGAATTTATCAGATTCATCAGTATCAAACTGGATCCAGATCAATCTGGATCCATAGAAAGGCAAATTGCATGACGACCCCTCCCGAAAACTTTAGCCAACTGCAATTTAGCAATACTGAACCATCCAACACGACATCTGGAACAGATGAGGACAGCTTCCATGCTCACAGACCTCGAAAGAAAAGGATTGATCAAGAATCCTTGTGGGGGCATTTCAGAAGTTTAACATAAATCAATATACACATAAACGTGATATAACTGAACAAATGAAGAAAATTTGCCGATAATTAATGGAAAAGCATGGAAATAATTTCATGTGTTGTTTGTTTGCAGGTTTTTAATTTGAATGATTATAATTTCTAAAACAACACCATCTTTTGCAATCTGCTTATCAATTCATGAAGAGGACACTCAATGGTCAAACAAAATGTTCCACCAAAGTCACACTTAAACAGGAAAATGAGTCTATAATTCTGTTTCTGCCTCTGCTTGTACTAAACCTATATCAAATATATGTGACGTCTATAAATTGGTCTAAAACACTGTAAAAATATTTTATTTTTCTGAATGATCCATTGTAAGTGATTAGAAAACACTTCAAATATGTTGCATGTCCTCAAAGTTCAGCATGACAATCAGTATCTTTTGACACCCAGAGGGGTTATTTTAGGAAACCCAAAGATAGCATCAAAATTCTTCCGTGCTACATGTGCTACATGTGCTACCACTGGCTATGAGAGCAGATCTGTACCTGAAAGTCATGACAGTTATCTAAATGGACTTAAAGAACTTTATCCTACTGGTTTACCTTCTTTTAGCTTCCCGGTGGGGAGGTTAACCCTTAAAGCCTGAACCAATGTTACTTTTTAGAGTCTCAAGTCTTTATTTGGCCCTTTATCAAAATCTGAAAAAAATATGATTTTTTTTTTAAATATTCATGATTTATTACCCTGCAACAAGTCAAAATTATGTTGTGTAGTCTTCTGCCCGCTGTTATCAGGCATATCTGCGTATAACAGGGTTTTGGGCAAAGTTTTCTAAACATTAAATGATGCAAAAGATTTCAGAAACCGTATGTCTCAACTATGATACATATGGCACTGTAGGATTAAATGCTGGGCAGGATAAACTTATCTATTAAAGCTTGACAAAAATGAGGGTAGGAAGTTGGTTGGAACACATAGTTTGTTCCTGTCAGATTCGACGATGCCTGACTTTGCTTGCGTGTATGATCCAAAAAAAACAACAGTTTTTGTGCTTTTTGTCTTTTTAAAAGAACAATTTGACAGTGAAAGCATTCATGCCTGAGCTTCACGCTCAGTTGGAAAACAGGCAGGATGTAATGTTGTTTTCTGGGATTTTCATTCCACAGAAATTCAAAATGTCAGCTGTGGAATTGACTTTTAGGACAGAGCTTCAAAGACGGTGGCAGACAAAGGTCCTTTCAGGATTAAACAGCCTTGTGAATAGGAAAACACACAGAGCACAGAGACTTGACCAAAAAAAAAAGATCACCTGATTCTATTAAAGGTAAGTAAATAAGATAGCTGAATGTCACATGACATGTATGATGTCATTTTGTCAGTTTGTGATAAAAACTAATTTGAAATGTAACCAAAGCAAATGAAACGCCCTGACCCTACAGCTTATAGAAAGAACCCCCTTTTGGCTAGAACAACATGAAATAATTGTTTTCTGTTTAACATAATCTGTCTTTGACATCATTGTGGGGGAATTTTGGCCCAAAAACCTGGACCATGTTGCCGAACAACAATGCTTCAGTTCGTTGAGCTCTCTGCAGGTCCTGCCACAGCCATTGCAATCTATAACATATCCTCAACAAAATGACTTACATCAACATTTCAGATCCCTCTGGGATAAATAAAGTATTATTTAATTGAATTGATTTAGGATCAGGTTGAAGTCTGTACCCTGACTGGACCTTGTTTTCTTTTTTAAACACTCTGTTTCAGATTTTGGGGGCTGCATGGTGGTGTGGTGGCTGGCACTGTTGTCTGCCAACATGTGGGTTGTTGGATCAAATCCTGGCTGGAGGCCTTTCAGCGTGGAGTTTCCATGGTCTCCTCTTGTATGTGTGTGTTCTCTCCTGGTTCTCCAGTGTCCTCCCACGGTCCAAAATCACGCAGGTTAGATTTATTGGAGACTTGAACTTGCCCAAGTGTGCGATTGTCTGTTTAATTTGTCCCTGTGTGACCCTGTGATGGACTGATGACCTGCCGGAGTGGGATAGACTCCAGCCCCCATTTTTCAAATGAGCTGTTGTGTTTGGGATCATAGCCCTGTTGCATTAATCAGTTCTTCTACTCTTCTTGGAGTTTCTAGTACCCTTTTAATGAAGAGGCAGGTGAAAACTCGCAATGTTGAATTTAACAGCAGCATTTGACATAGTTGATTGTGGTAAAAAAAAAAAAGACAGGCTAAGAATAAGATTGGGCCTCTTTGGACAAGCCTAAAATATATTTTTTCTTCAGAAAAAATGTTTTCTCAGTTGCTGCTGATTGTTTTGTGCCCTCATATGGTGCTCCAGCGTTCTGTGTTAGCAACTGCTTTGTTTTCATTGTATAGACAACCAATTGGATATATTGTAATCACCTTTGAGGAACTCTGAAAATATTTCCATACAGATGATGATTAATTGTACATTTCCTACTCCTGTGTCCCAAGGACAGCTGGGAAAGACCTCAAACTCCTGAACTGGAACAAGTAGATGTAGAAAATGGATGGATGGAATTGATCACACTCCGCTTCCCTGCTTATCTAATTTACTTAATGATTGCCTTCCTCAGTCAAAATGTTTTCCAGTTTCTTTACAGGTGTGAAAAAAACATGTATGCAGTTTATGTATGAAGCGGTATATACTGTAAGTGGTCATCTGTCATCAGTCAGTGTTTTTTAAGCTGTAGTAGATGCGCTAGCCATATCTTGATTTAAATATACTTGAGCTCCCGTGTTCAGAGCGCAGATGCTACACTTCATTCAAGTCTCTTAATGGTTTAGAAATTGAACTGGAATGTTATTTCAGGTTAAACTCATTTACTGCTGAGAGATCTGATGAGAGCTCTCCGCAGAGGTTCAAGCAGAAAAACACTTAGTGTGCAAAGTAGGCGGCTAAAATAATGACAAAGTGTCCCTTTGAAATTGAAACTATAGATTATTATGAAGATAAATTATGAGTGGGGACTCACATACTAATCATAAGTATGTACACAATGACAACATTTAAAGAATGTCATTTTTCTGTGCATATGACCTTATCTCACAGCCCAGTCCACATCTCCTCTGCAGCTCGGATGAACATTTCAGAACATGTGATGTTACACTGATTTCACAGCATTATCTGCTCTGTATGAAATTTGGCTCAGTTTCTGTACAGGTTGCTGGAACAATTTTTAAGAAGTGCTCGTTTTAACTTGGTGAAATTATCTCTTGTCTGGTTTTTTCATTGACTGATTTGAGTCAGATCTTCTTTTGCACGTATTACCACTCTGAACTGACTTTTACATCAAAGGGTTACAGTTCTGTTAAGATGTCTTTTTATTATTTTGGCGTTTATAATCAGGATTTCAGTTGTTTTTTAGAAAAGATTGGGTTGATCTTGATTTGGAACTTAGAAGGTTATGGCATAATTTGGTTATCATTACTTAGCTAAGCAGAGCAGTAGATATAGATTAGGCATGTTTTCTATTTCTTGGCAGAGCGGACTCTAAAGAGGTAACATATTTATTTGAATTCTGGTTCTTTTCTGTGGCATCTGCTCATCATAGCTCTGTTTTCTGCATCTCCATTTGTGTGGGAATTTAAAAGACTCCAAATAACGATCCTGCGTTTAGGTGTGTTATCTGGTTTATCAAATATGTATAGAGAGAGCCCATCCTAGCTGTCATTGGTGAAAAGGTGGGACAGGTCACCAGTCTACCACAGGGCCACACAAAAGCAAAAAATCCCACACTCCCACTCAGTCCAACGAACAATTAGCCTGACATACATGTTTTTGGACTATGGGAGGAAGGTGGAGCACACAGAGTGACATGTTAATCCATGATCAGTTTGAAGACATTTGTATTGAGCTGGTTTCAACAGTCTGTGTTGTGATTGTCATGTTTGAGGCCGTCATAGCAAATTACTCACAACATTGATATCATGTAATTGTGTGTGCTCACCGCTGACCTTCAGCTTATTAATAGTGTATCCTCATCAAGGAGCCTTTTCTAGAATTGGAGATGCTATAAGGCAGTTTTCCAAATAACTAATAAGTTGATTGTCGTTTGGTTTCTTTCTGCACATTAATCATCATGATAATGGAGCAGAAACATCCATCAGTTCCATTTTTGATGAGAGTGGTCATCTTCATTATTTGAGGAGAGGAAATTAATATTGGTCTCAGGTCTGCACACAAACCATAGAATGAAAAATCCACCATGCATGTAAAATGAATGGAAGTAAAACAAGTGTCTTTCATAAATGTTTCATCCATATCAGTGTCGCCCACAAATCCGACAGTTTCTCCACGAAAATGAACATGTGACCCTGTAGCCATGAACACTTTCAATCATGTTCTGCCTGCTTTATCATTTATTGAGTTAAGTCTGAACCATTTCAGATGCGTGATTTAAATTTTAATCACGCTGGCAGCGGCGGCGGCGGCTGGCTGGCCAGCAGCTGTGTGGTGAAGACTGACACAGGTGGCAGCGGTCCAGTCCTCTGTCTGGTCACCCACCTGTTGTTCTACAGCCTCTTAAAGATGCTCTGTGATGCCTCAAGTTATCCAGTGACATCATTGTCCCCCGGCTGGAGAGAGCAAGAGGTCAGAGGAGCGTGATCATCTGGGTGAAAGGGCTGAAAAAGTGGTTGCTGCTGGGATGACACTGCAGTGGATGAATGAGACAATATAGGCGGGTTGCTCAAGCAGAAGTTTCGCTGACCAAGGCGAAAATCCGTCCTCGTTTAGATTACAAGACATCATTTTAACCTCGGGGCTCTTCTGTGAAGATGGCAGACACAAGTCCACCCTCGACCGCTGAAGCTAAATGAGAGAAAACAAAGAAATAACAAAGAAAAAAGACATGAATCACTATCCAATCTGATCATACATTTGACGGCACATCTCCATTCCGTTTGTGGCAGCATTTGGACGTGTGAGCCTTTGACATTTTGAGTGTCTTCATGAGCGGTGATGTAGAAAGAAACTCTTTGCTTTGCATTTACTTAAACTCAGCATGTGTATATTTTCTGATTATCATTCTTTCAATTTAAATTAATGTGGAACAACTTGCCTAAGGACATATTATTATATATGAATAATAATGCCCTATTTTAAGATTGTCCATTTATTACCAGCAGCTGTCAGGGGAACGATAATGAGATTTACAATGTCAGCATACTGAATAAACTTCAGCTGGGTGCTGAACAATGAAAAAAAACATTCAGAATGGGGAACTTCTGATAATCTTTATCATTATCATTAAGCTCTGGTATCAATAACTCTTCTTGATGCCATAGTTAGCTTGAACGACCGGACTGATGAGTGTATTTGATTATCATGTAATAAAAAACATGTGTTGATCTCTGGACTGTTATTTGCACAAATGAATGTCACATTTTGGACCAGACATGTTGCCAAATCATTCTTGTCGTGTTGTGTTTTCAACTTGATGCTGACTGAGACGTCTCTCATTTGCTGCAACACAATGACTTAGCTACACCATGAAGACGTAACACAAAACAATTGGCAGGCAGCTAATAATGGGAGTAAAAATCAGAAAATGATCACCTCCATGTTAAATCCCTTTCTAAGATTTTCCGGGTCACCATAGATAAAACCACAAGAAAAGCCTGGCGTGAGATGACGTCCACAAACAGAATTCTATCAGATTCATCACTGTAATAACTAATGCAACTTTTAAACTCCTTGATTCAGTTATTTTTCCATATTCACCTCACCTGTATTTTTTATGATTGAACTAATTTAAGACTGATACTGTTTTATGGTTTAATGACAATCAGAATTGTTTTTGAATTATAGATGTTGAATATAAACTATTTTGGACCTCTCAAAGGCAGCTTCTGTGTTGTTGTAGTTGATAAAAGACTCCACCTCCCTACAGTCCAGACCTAGAACCTGCTGAAAATAGTTAGAGCAGGGTTGAACTAATGAAATGCAAAAGGAGGCCTTTGGCAGGCAAACAGCTGAGATCCCATAAGAAGAATTGGAAGAATTGGAAGATGTTTCAAATTCAAAACTACAGTTTAGCTTTTGGTCATGTTAGGGTCAAAAGATCTGATAAGGCAAAGATTGTTTGTAAAGCTGGCCCACAGGATGGAGGATTGATTTGAAGTGATGATAATCTGCTATCTTTTGGTTTTCTTGGTAGGACAACATTTTGTGAAAAAGCATGATATCAAAACAATCGGTAATAGAATACTGCAATTTGTTTCTAAGAGCAGATGAATCTGTAAGACCAGGCATCTGTTCGTATTAACCTTCACTTTACATTACCGACTACCAATATGTAAAAGTAATGAAGCTTTTTTCAGTCAGCATTCAAACGAATTTGTCTTTCTTCCACAACTCTTTCTACGTCCTCGTCCAGCCTGCAAAAACGACTGATGATGTGCTAAGAATAAACCCCAGATATGATGTCACCGGAGGGGAAAGAATTAGATCTGTCCTGCCAGAGGATTCTTTACATTATTATGACACACTTACTCAAGGTGACCTTTAATGACACAAAATCTGCAAATCATAAAGCATTGCAATTACAAAAGTATGATGTTTCAGTATTACATAAAGAGGGGCGTAGACTTCAAGGCATCTGGGAGATACAAATAACTGTTGGGAGCTTCTTTAATGGGAAGTTTGTTCAGCCAAATCTGGGAGCCAGGAGTGAGTCTGTCTTCCATCGGGAAGGCTGCAGTCACTGATCCACGTCGGTTTGAAGGAGACTCCTCTGGCTGGACTTGGAGAGAACACACACACACACACAGCCCCCAAGCCTCAGCAGCGTCCGTAAATCACACGAGCACAGCTCCTCCCTTCTTTCTCCTTCTCATTTCTCTCTACATTTTTCTCTTTTCTCCTCATTTTTTACAGAGCAGTAAGGAATGCTCGCACTACGGGGTGGCTGGTGTTCACTGGAGCGACCCAACTCCCATGTCTCACACTCATCCCATGTGTCTCCTATTAGCTACACTCACCAAAGAGAAGGAGGGAGAGAAAGACGAGAGAGGGGGAGGGGGAGGAGTGAGAGGAATTTGATATGCTTTGTGCATGAGTGACTTGTATAAAACAAAGACAGGGCAAATAGTCTGAATGCATGTGAGAACTTAGGGGGTTGGGGGGGGGTACATAATGCACACTAGTCAAGAAACTAGCAAAAAAAGAGATTATAATTTATTTCCAGACTTGTTTTGCCTTCATTTGCATCTTGTTTCACAAGGTAAATTGAAAATAAAAAATAAAAACTGACTGCCATACCATGAAAATGTAAAAAAATAATACAAATAATATGTGCTGTATATATAATTATATCATTATCAACAAACGGACAACATTAATCATAATAACAATACTGTTAATCATAAACAGAACACTAAATTGCTGGTCTCATGCATATAGAACGCCCCTCAGATACAAAAGAGGGGGTGATTACTAAAAAAAGAACCAAAAGTTCCACCAGTTCAGAATAAGCGCCTAGCTACATGCAATGACATAAAAGACTCATGTACACATTCCTTCTTTCATCAAGTATTTTACACATACTGTACTTCACTATTGTCGCCTCCCATCTAATATACTGTACAGAGCACAATACAAAACAGGATCGGAGAACATAATGTAAGAAAGCGCCAGAGTCTGGTGCAGTTCGCTGTGAGAGTGTGCAACATTTTCACACCCTCCTCCTTCGTTTGTTAATCCTTCGAAATCTTCTTGTTTCCTTCGGTGAAATCTCTATCCATTAGTCCAGCTTTTTTGTTCATAAGTCTTCGTTCCCCTCATTGTTTTCGGTGCTTTACTTCTGCTTTATGAGTTCTCTCCTTGCACAAAGTCTCCCTCGGTTCTCTCTGTGCCGTTCTCTGTCGTGCCCCTCCCTCACAGGGTCTTGTCACTCTCTTTCTTCAGGTGACTGGAAGGTCAGAAGAGAAATCACATTGCAGAGTAAACAAAAAGTTGATTTTTATCTGAGACAGATGTTGGTTAATAAAAACGTCAGTGCCACAAATCTGTGTTGATGTGTATCGGAAAAGCCAACAACCAAAGTTTAGCAGAAGATCAAAATGTAAAACAAGCAGATCTCTGCAACCTGGCAAATCCAAACAAAGAATCATACCCGGAGCCAAGTTCAGCCTATTCTGTTGTTTGTTGGATATCTCTATATCTTCTGCATCTATGCATGATGGAGCACATTTACGAAGGACAGTGAAAGGGATTAAGCTGGCATGCATCCAACCGCAACCAGAGACTGCATGCAGTTAAAATGGAGAAAACGTATGGAATCCACCACAAAGCAGCTTAATGATTATCTTAGCATTAGAAAATGAATCGTTCTGCAATTATCGTGGTAAGATCATTCAAAAAAGATGTATAAAGAAAAGACTATAGGTCATGAAATGCAAACAGATGATTCGATAGATTTATGGGAGTGGAAAAACACTCTGAAATGTCTGGAAATAAATCTCTACTGTCTAGGGTGGCGCTATGCCTAGGATGCCACAGCGAAATGGAGACCGAGTCAAACTTGCTGAAGCATAAACTATTAGGAACCATAATAATGAAAAAATGCATTATTTGTATTGTGCATTCCTTAAATGTGTTACAAAGTGTCCTACAAAAAGGGATAAACTCAGTTACAGTTAGATACATGTTCACCAAAACACAATAAAATGTGTAATATATGTATCAGATGTCTCCAAAAGCTTTCTGTTTGAGGAAAGTTTTAGGGAAGGACTAGGTAGGCCTGATTTCAGGGGGTAGAGACTTCTATTAGATGGCTCCTATTAGAAAAGAAATGCCCTTTCTTTGTCATAAACTAGGACTAATTAGCAGGGTAGTATACATGGAATAAACCAGGTCAATAAGTCTGAGCTGTGAAAACAGGCTCATCTTTTGTTAAAGCTCAGGTTGCATCTCACAGATTGCTGTTTCCTGTGACTAAAGAGACTTTGAAAAAGGTTGGACGCACTACGTGAGACGATAAGAGAATGACATGTCTATTATGTTGCTTGGACAACAAAATACAGAGTTGAAAATAAAAATGAACGGCTAAAACAATCTGAAAAACGTTCTGATTTCTCTAAGCGAATCACACGGAGCTGCTTGTCTTGTCCAGGTGAGGGCTCAGCACCTCAGCAGACGGCTGACCAGCTGAATAGATTGAATGGTCTGTTTTTCCCCATTTAAATTATGTTTTTCTGCTCCGATGGCACAGGTATGTGTCACGATGACAATGCATAAACTGGTCAGGCTCACATTACGAAGAATAGAATTCATTGGCCATTTTAACACATTTATTGGATCTTTTATCTGTGCTTTACACGGATGTCTGACGGATCTATCATCGGAACAATAGCCGTGTGAAAATGAGAGATCTTTCCTTTGTTTGGACTTCCTAAACTGTGTGAGCTCGACTCGTTCGATCCCCACTGCGCGGACAAAGGACACACGCGCAGAATGTGTACCTGTAATACTCGTCCTGGGTGAGGGAGTGGTGGTGATGGTGGTGGATCCACTGCTGCTCCAGGGCCAGTCTCTGAATCTGCAGCTCTGCGCTCTGGGCCTGCTGCATGGCCTGGAGCTGGTGGGCTGCTGACATGGGACCAGAGAGGGAGGACGGTTGGGGCAAGTCACGGAAAGGAGCACCTGGAGGCAAAGCAGAGGGGATCAGTCATCGCCGCCGCCGGTCCAAAGGGGGCTTCGTAAACTTTTTAGCACTGTGTTATTAGAGAAGAAACTGAACGAGTACATGGACGAGGAGCCTTCTCCTCACCGAACAGCTGTTGGCGAAGCACCTCGCTGTCAGTGAGGGGGTGAGCCAGGATGGGCGTGCCCAATGTGGCTCCTGGGTAAGGGAGGCGTGCCAAAGGAGACCCTGATGCCAACGGGTCCATCAGGGGGTGAACCCCGCCCGCCGCTGGATGCCAGTGATGTAATAGGAAACAAAGGAGAAATTTAATAGGGGTCAAAGTATGACGCTCAAGACACTGAAAAGACATTTTCTGTAAACACTCATCTTATGTCAGAGAGACTGGTATGGTGGATATAAAGAATGAGAAAACTGCTCCATATTGTTACTGTCTAACAGAAGCCTGAGCAAACTAACATCTTTCAGATTTCTTGACACAAAAAAATTGTTTTCAAACATCCTGTAAGTTTTTTCACTGCTGAAACTATGAGCCACATCATGTGCAGACAGAAAAACTGGGTCAAACACTACTGATGCAACAATTAATCATGCCAGCGCAAAGGTTAAAGCAGAAATCTTCCTCTTTAGTTTCTGTTGACAAGGGTGACTTTTTTCATTGTTCCACCCAGTTTGAGTCTGTCTCAAACCCATTTCTGTACACTCATTTAATGATTCAATCAAAGGAATTTGTTATCCACATGGACAGACACTGTTTGGCATGCTGAACCAACCCATAAGCACTGTGTGTGCGCAAACTTTTGTTACATTTGTCAAGAATGGCAAGGCGTCTTATTGTGCGCTCTGATAAGAGCCGATAAGATTTGAAATCCTAAAAATCAATGAGCACGTGGTTTTGAATTTTTGTTTGAGCTGTTCTGCTTGTTTTGGTGTCCACCTACATTTTTGTCCCTTTCCCACAACTTAATTACATTTACTTGGAGTTTAATTTCCATTTGTATGTTTGTCACCAGTACAAAAAATCTGAATCTTACTTTACAGTTAAAATCTGCCTCTGAACTGTGGAATATGACTATCCTTATCCTCTAGTTTTCTTGTGTGTCTGACCTTTGTGTGCTAACAGTGACAATGACAGATTTGTTAGTAGCAGTGGGTACCTGTGTCTTGCTGATGCAGGTGTAGATGTGAGTGGATGTGTGAATGCTGGTGATGATGGGGCGTCACGTTCAACATCTGAAGACGCCCCAGATTCTCTCCTCCACCTCCTCCACCTGTTCCACCTCCACTCCCTCCTCCTGCTCCTCCTCCTCCCCCTCCTCCTCCTCCTCCTCCTCCTCCTCCACCACCACCACTTCCTCTCCTTTCTCGCTCTCTGTCCCCAAAGGCCGGCAAAGCCACTCTGTCCCTCTCCCTGTCCCGCTCTCTTTCGCCACTCCTGTCCCGCTCGTAGGAGGCAGGGGAGCGGGTGGGTGTAGGGTAGGTCTCGGGGGGAGCAGCTGGGGCAGGGGCTGGTGGCAGATGAGTGGACAGGGAGCTGGGAAAGGAGGAATGGGGGACTGGGTGATGAAGGGAGGCGGCACTGGAAGTAGGTGGAGCGGGCTGAGGAGGAGCTGGCGGAGGAGCAGCAGGGGCTGCTGGGGCAGAGGGGGCAGCTGGTGGAGCAGATGAAGGGTGAGAAGGGAGAGATGGTGGGAGGAGAGATGGAGGAGGATTTGACAGGGACTGGGGGGCGGGAGGGTTAGGAGGTCGAGTTACCGGTGCCAAGGTTGGGTTCTGGAGGTGCTGAGGTCCAGGTGGAGCTGGAGGAGGGGTGCCATAAAGCGATACCTCATTAGCTCCTGCTGCACCTCCTCCAAGGAGCAGGGAGTGAGCGTGAGCATGAGCATTAGCTTGGGCATGTGAATGTGAGTGAGCAAGAGCAATAGCTGCAGGATCAGGTATGGATCCTGGCGGGTAAACTCGCTCGTCACTCTTGAATTCAAATCCGGGCTTCATCCGATCTCGATGAGCTGCAACCGTGTGAGGAAAGCCAACACCTCCTAATCCTGGACCCCCAATACCCCCTGGTACTGGGCCTCCGGCCACCGCATGGTGGCCACCAACACCCGGGCCACCTTCAAGGCTCCCACCGTACAAAAAGCCCAGGATGGCGGCTGCTGTGGCAGCGTCGGTGGGCAGGTGGTGTGGGTGGCCCAAAGCATGATTCTGAAACTGAGGGAGGAAGAATGATGGGTGGACGTGGGGGTGACCGTGGTGAATCTGAGGGTGGTGTGCCTGGGCACGGCTTGCTGCTCCGAGGGGAGACATAGCATGGGGGCGTGCATATTCACTAAGAGTTCTCAGTGCTGGTGTGTCAGGGCCCAAATACGGACCTCCCAAACCTATTCCCAGAGCCCCCTGAGGGCCTCCAACAACTGCTGAAGCTCCACCCATAGAGGGTAAGAGAAGGGAATGAGGGATGGAGTGGGAAAGACCTGGGTGGAGATGGTGAGCTGGAGGAAGGTGAGCATGTGGATGTGACGGGTGATGCTGGGGGTGAGAGACATGGTGTGGCACTGGCTGGCTGGAGGAAGAGGCGGAAGAAGACGATGGGTCGAGAATGATGGCGGATGAGGGGGGGAAGAAGAGTGAGGAGCCCTGGCGACCTCCTCCAGCAGCGTTGACGTCCTTCTGCTGCTAAAGAGACAACAGAAGAGAGTAAATCACATGTGCTCTGACCTACTTTACCCCCATCCCATCAAACTAATCAATTTAATCTATATCAAATTCATCAAATGTGACAGTGCACTCCATCACCCTAAAACACGCTCACCTGTAGATGTCGATCCAGTTCCCTTTCACGCTCACGCTCCCTCTCTCGTTCCCTTTCTTTCTCTCTTAGGTCTCTGGCTCGCTGTTCGACCTCCCTACGGGCCCGTTCAATGATCTCGTTCCTCTTTTTCCACAATTTTGAGCCGTCCAACGGGACAAAGAGGACATCACTGCGGGCGCAGGAGTTCCCACTTCCGCGGTCGAGAACCTTGTGAAACCTGCAATCATGGGAAAGCATGATTTGACCTTACTGTGTTAAGAGGAGCACAAAACAGAGACAGTCTCAGAATGATGATGCTAATTTGACTCTACCGAGCTGACTGGCTGGCGTGGATGGGAATATCCACAGGCTTGGGTTCGGGTGACGGACTTCTCATCACCGGTGGTGGACTTTCACTTTCCTCCCTGTCCTCGATCGGTTCTTCCTTGATGACGGGCGTGGGAGGCGGGCCTGAATCCGGACGTCCGTCCCCACTGGGGAGTGAGGAGCTCGAGGCAGCTGTGGTGAGGCTGTTGTTTGCAGAGCTACTCAGAGGCGGAGGTCCCTTTGAGATGGTTTGAGGCGAGAGGGACTGAGAGTTGGTACTGTTGCTACTGGATGTGCTACTGTTGCTACTGCTGCTCACCACGTTACTGCCGTTGTTCCCGTTGGAGTGATATGTTCCACTGAACTGAGGGTGGCTGTTCAAAGTGCCGTGGAAAGGGGAAGGGCGACATCCAGGTGAACAGCTGGTTGGAACACCTGGCGCAGGAAGCTGTATGTTGGGTGCAGAGGAGGAGCCAGGGGGAAAAGAGGAGAAGGCCCCCATCTGATTGGTGGATGGGCTGGGCAAGGGTGATAAGGGCGTTGGAGGAGTCTGAGCAGAGGACTGATAGTGGGAGGGACGTACGTTGGGAGCCATGCTTTGGGGGAGTTGTTGGGTATGTGAGCCTTGAGGTGGTGGTAGAGGAGGCTGAGATGTCGAATGGGGATATGATCCATGATGGCTGGAAGAGGAGGAGGGAGAGAGAGTAGGAGGCTGATTTGGGCCTCCACGGCTTTGGTAAAGAGCAGACTCTCTGAGATTTGTGTCCCTCTCTCTTTCTTTTGGCCCAGACTGATAGTGGGGATGAGGCGGGTGGGGGTGCTGGGTTCCTCCAGGCCCTGAATACTCTCGTCCCAGGTTTGGAGTTACACCTGGAGAGCTTAAATACTCCCGATTTGTGCCACCAGAATGAGGTCCTCCTGGAGGAAAGTCTTTTCCTCCAGTGGGAGGGTATTCCCTGTGGAAGTGGTCTGCTCCAGAGGAGGGTGTTTGTGTCTGGTCCATGGGTGGAGGGAAGTCTCGGTTCGATGAGCTTGGGGGATGCGAGTGGGAGTGTTGGGACAGGGATGAATGCGAAGGGTGATTAGGGTTGTTTTGAGGTGATGCAGGTGGGTCGCGGTTCAGCATTGGGGTGACTGGTAGTCCGCTATTTGAACTTGGGGGGTTTCCCTGTGGGATGGAGTTGTTTGGATTGTTGTTACTAACAACCTCTCTCGACTGGCCTCCAAACTCCCCCCATCTGGTCCCATCTTTGTCTCTGGGGTGTCCCCCTGAGGCTCCACCGGGGCCAAAGTCTCTTCCTTGGTTTTGGTTTGCCAGATTGAACTCCCTTCCTCCTTCACGTTCCCTTTCACGCTCCCGGTCTCTGAAAGCTGGACCGAAGTCTCTTCTTTCTGGACCCATGTTTGGCCCGTCTCTCCCAGAACTTGGATACTCCCTGTTCTGACCTACCGCAAGACTGCCAAACTCTCTACCTTGCATCGCACCACAAGCATTGTTGCTATTTCCCCCAGTGCTGTTGCTGCTACTGTTGCCAATGGGAGCACAGAACTCCCGGTTCATCTCCCTCCCTCCGCATTCCCCCCTCACTCCCCGCTCCCTCTCTCCTGCACCGCCCCTCTCTCTGTCCCCTCCCCCTCCGGCGTACCTGGGAAGGTACTCCCTGTGGGGGTGGGGGTGAGGATGGGGGAGGTAAGAGGAGTGGGAGGAGGAGTGGCGAGAGGATGGAGGGTTGTAAACGGAGGGAAGTTGCTGCTGCTGTACTGGGGGCTGGTGAGGTTGGTGTGGGTGGTGGTTGCCAGGGTAACGGGTGTAGCCCCAGCTTCCTTGGCAACCGGTTGCTGTGCCACCCTGCCAGCTGGTGGAGCTGTAGTGGTGAGGGTGGTTGGTAGGCTGTGTCTGGGGCTGGGACTGGGGCTGTGGCTGGGGGCCGGTTTGTGGCAGCAGGGATGGGGGCGTGGACTGAGTCTTGTCCAGGAGTTTGTCTGCCTTTTCGATTTTTTCTCTTTCCGTCTTCACCTCAATGGGCAAATTCGGTCCCCCGAGCTCCAGCGGCTTCAGGGCCGGTGGAGGAGGCAGCGGAGGGGGTAAGGAGTGGGACATGTTGGGGCTGTTGTGGGAAAAATCTCCTGCAGAGAGAGCTGTCTTTGTCACACACTGTGTGTTAGCTTTGGAAGTCATTCTGTTGCCAGTTAGGGGGCCATCAACACCTGTAGGTGCACCATACTCAACTTTACACATTAATTTGGTGTCCAGGGAGAAATATGACTTCCTCCCACTATTGCTATCGTTTGATGAATCTCCTGCCCCACGGAGAGAAGGAGTAAGACTAGAGGAGGAGCAGGGAGTGGAGGGGGCCTTCAGCGAGGGGCAGTCCTCAACTGCCTCTACTTCTTGCTTTTCTCCATCTCCACAGGATTCCTCTCCTCTCCCCTCTCGTGGTGCTCTCCTATCCTCACCTGGGACCTTGCCTGCCCCTCCCTCTTTAACTTTGTCCCGTTCTCCTTGCTTTGGGGAATCGGGGCCATCAGAATCAGAGTCCAAGCTCCCAAGAGGGGAGGCAGAAAGACTTGGAGATGAGGACCGATTGTCCTGGTCTATGTCCCGCCCGCTGCTCAGACTACTGCTGCTATTTGCTAGGCTGCCTACAACTGAACTCCTACTGCCCTGGGATTGGCCGTCTTCGTTGTCACTCTCACGGGATTGGCTGGCAACTGAGGTTGGGGGTGGGACAGTGGTAGGAGTTGAGCTGTCAGTGGAGTGAGTTGATGTTGGAGGATTGGGGGTAGAGGCCGAATCCTAACAAGAAAAGATCATTTGCGGATTAGCCCAAAACTGATAACGCTGCGGTTATTTTTGCAGAAAGAAATAAAATATAATTCCAGCTGAGACAGAATCCACCAGATGACTGATATGAATCACAGCTTTATAATTGCTTTTTAAATAACAAGCTGATGAAATGTAACACAAACCTGAACTTTCTGCCTCTTTGGAGGAGACACAAGTTCCTCCCCCTCACTCTCTGATGAATCATGCCCTTGTGATCTGCGACTGAAGCGATTCCCAGCCAATTCCTCACCAGCACCTCTTTGCTAAAACAACACAAGACTTTTAATTCCGTTGTGATCCTTCTGCATCCCTAATAAGCCCATGTCTGTTTTTAGAACACAGCCACACTCGCCTGCACGCATACGCACAAACACAACATCAGTGACACACAAAATATCAAAGGTTTGATGCGCTGAGGTGCTTTGCTCAGAGCCAAACAACCCTTACTCTGCAAAGACATGTCTGTGGCAATCATCCTGATGACTCATGCAGTGACAGCACAGACACCCAACCTCACTAAATTCAAAACGAAGAAAGCACTTTGTTCTTCATCATTTCTGTATCTGCACGCACGCCGATGACAACAAGGCAAAAACAAGCCATTAGAGATGGACTGACCGTCTGCCTGTCGTTGCGCTCTGGCCGAGTGGGGCTGGGGTGCGGGCGTCTACCCCTTCTCTCCTCACTCGCCCCCCTCCGTCGCCCACTGCGCATGGGCATCTGCAAAAAAGTCCAGAGAAGGAGGAAAAGGAGGCAGGTGTTGAACACAGAAGGGTTAGTTTGCAGAAAGAGAGGGGAATAAAAGGGGGAAAAAAACGTGTTGGGCTCAGTTAAAGAAGAGAAAATTCGAGCCAAACGAGAGCCATTCAGTTCATGGTGGAATGTAGCATGGGCAACAATAAGTGAAGAATCAGAAGGGGAGGGAGGTGAGAGGAAGAGAGGGGCATCAGATATTTTATTTTTCTTCCAGGCAACAGTGTTCAGACAGTGAATCTACGATCATATATTTAACTGATTATTTTGTGTTCACAATCCCCGACACGGCAATAAAAAGCAGACATATGCCTTGTGCATACCGATTCTTTGTGTGTCCTTGTTTTCATTTTTTCTCCTTTAAAACATCCATTTTATAACACAAGCCATCGCAGGGACTGAAGTGGTTCCAGTTGTTTATTGAGGGCCTGTGTTACACCGTGAGAGCTACCAAAATCTGCGAATAAGCACAAGCAAAAGAACAATTCGGTTAGTGTGGAAACCCCACTGAGAGTTCAAGCATTACAAGAGGATGCAGCGATAATCAGTTTCGTTTGCTACCTTCGCTGTGTGAGGAGTTCAGGAATTTTTGACATTTTGAAACCATCTGAGTGTGCAACAGCAAGAGCACAGTAAAAGCATTTAAATTCCCTGCATGCTTCACACTGTATCGGCACAACTGCTCTTCACTGCGCTCCAAACAGTCTCCTCTCTGCCCTCTGCCTTCACCACAACAGCCCAAACCCACAGGCGCAGGAGGTTAACCCGTGCTCTCTGACAGAATGCGCCAGTTGGAGATGAGCTACAACACCGAAATACAGACAATAGACGCGGTGCAGAAAATATAAATAGTAGAAGCACATTCTGGATAGCTGTCTGCCGAGGACAGAACTTGAGCAAACATCTTGGGAATAGGGAGCCACACCCCCCGCCTCCCTTGCTTCCACCTTCTCTACAACAACCCACAGCCACTTGTGGTTAACCCACATGACCTGGTTATGGCCAGTAGAATCACATGCTTATTTATCCAGACAGCCATTAGGGAAATGTACAATGTCAAGATTTTTTCTCCATCTGGTTGTGGTAGACAATGAACAGTAGGCACTTTGCAAGTGCTTGTTTAATCCATTAACACACGTGCCACTACGAAGGGAAAAAAAATGGATCATCTATATTGAATGAGGTTAAAAATAGGGCACGTCGTTGGATAAGAAAATGAGGAATGGTTATTGGTCATTTGCCTGAACAATCTGCCACTCAATATGGGTACGTTCAAAGAAAAGCAAGCTAGATTATAAGGCAGCACTACTACACATGGCTATGCATTAATTAGTGCATGCTGCAGTGAGAGATTCAGCCTTCAAGAATAGAGTCTCGAAAGTCCCAATCACGGTGCACACTCAGTGGGGGGGAAAAAAGAGCAGGACTATTGTGAGTACACAGTCCCCTAATTCACAGTGGATGATGGGAATCCAGCTCCCCGTGCCCGTTGGAAGGGGGTCTGCATGGACTCCACACAATGCATCTCAGTTACAGGTGGCTGCAACCGGACTGTCTGTGGTCCACCTGCAAATCGTTGGCTATGGCCACGAAGGCAACTCGGACGCAACCCTCGGCGGCATCGACCACAATCCAGCTCCGAGTGCACCCTTGTTCGAGCACACGGCGCATGCATCGTCAACAAACTCGCCCCTGCATGGGATGCAAAGCAGCAGCATGCAGTCGCTCTGCTTACATCACCGGCGAGCGGGCTCCGCAACCACTCTTTCTTCTTTCTTTCTTTCTGCAAACGTTATTGATACCCACAGAAGGAGACCGGCCGAAGCTGCCCTGGAGCCGGCCACAGACCGCCGCGACGGGGCACGGTCCGTGCGCGACGACGTGTTCAGCAGCACATATAAGCCCAACGATCAGAATGGATGCCTGTGCAGGGCTGTTTCCAAACGCTGCACATGTTTTTAAAAAAATATATATATAACCAGAAAGGGGGATCGGAATGGCGAACCGTGGCATTTCGCACCGGCTCCCTCGCAGGAATGTGGGTGCGCATCGTGCACCCTATTCACATGAACTCACCGGGACATAAATTAGCCGTAATGCAGGATGATGATTAGCGCACAAAGGGGGGAAAAAATGGGAGGGAGAGCACAAAAACGTGGCCATCGGGAATAGCTCCAAACACAAGAGTGTAAGCATCCATTTTCCTTCTCCTTACCTATGTTATCCAGCGATGCGTTCTCCCACTCTCACTCTGCCTTTCCTTTCTCTCCCTGTTTTGTCGTTTTATGTTGCACGCAGACACGCACACCTCAGAGCCAAGGCGTCTGTCAACAGAGGCTCGCGCTGGCTCATATTGAAACGGGCTCCGACCATAACAAGAACGCAGAAGAAATCTCTTGCTTTTCGTTGCAGGGGAAAACAGGGGTGCCAACTGAAGACTGTACAAATTGATGCGTACCCTCGCCTCTTCCCCACCCCCTTTCGCCCCCTTCTTCTGTTTTGCCCCCCTTCTCCCACTTCACCTACTCCCCCCTTCCTCTCCAAGACGACTTGCACTTTTTTCCTTTTTTTTATACCCCTCTCCGGTCGTACAGTCACAATATTTAGCTGAGGGGTGAGCCAGAGAGAGGGATGCACGTCGGGTGAGGGAAAGGGAGAGTGGTTAGGGCGTGATTTGCATAAGGAGAGAGGGGGAGGCTGGAGAAGGAGGGAGTACTGTGGCAGGGAGAAAGAGGAAGAGAGGCGCAGAGTGAGGGCCAAAAACTCTGAAGAGGGAGGGGACCGAGAGGGAGGGTCTCTCTCTTGCCTAGTCCCTATAGAGTCACCTTTACTGTATGAAGAGGCTCTGCTCAGACTGAATAACAACCTACTTGATTCGCAGTGAACCCTGGAGAGGAGGCCACAGCCACTGGATCTTTGTTCCAGAAGGCCTGAGTTCATTTATCAAACAGCCTGAAAGGTAGATTCAAGAAAAAAATCACCATTTTAAAGGGGGGGTTGAATAAGCCTCATGGTGCCAACAAAAAAAAACAACAAAACCCATAACTCGTCTGGGATAATTAAACAATTAACACAATTAAATCTCCCGCTGGACTGTGTCCGTCTGTCTGTCTGTCTGTCTGTCTGTCTGGGAAAAGCTTGCAGCGGTGTGTCCAGTCAAGCGGCTCTGCAGACCTCCTCCTCCTCCTCCCTGCTCCTGTCGTTCACTCCTCTCCCCTTCTCGCAGCCCCCTGTCCCGTCTCCTATTGTGTGGTAGCCATGGCAACCGACCGGAGACTGTGCGCGCTGCGCCTGCGTGGCCCCAGCTCTTCCTTCATCATCGTCACCAGCAACCCCTGGCACGACAGCCGGCCGGCCACTGCTCGCGCGCCCTCTGCTGCCCGGTCCGCGTCAGGACGCGTGCGTGCGTGCGTGCATGCGTGCGTGCGTGCGTGCGTGGTCACAGCCGGTGCACGCACGCTTTTGACAGGGGGGCAAGTGTGAGCCCTAGAAAAGCTGAGATGAATCCGAGACATTCTCTCAACTGGAGTGTTTTTACACAGTATCGATAAAAAGTATACAATCCTGAATCAAGGGTTAAACAAAATGTCTGAGATCAATTTTATTTTATTTTTTTGTATGAGAACCTTTATTCCTAAACACAGCTTGGACTCAATTTGACAGTTGTAGTCTTCAGAAATACTTTCGACAGCAGCATATATCAGATCCATTGTCGTGCCTGACTCCAAGGGGCTCCTCACAGAGAATGAATTATTCAGAGAAACAACTTATGCGAGAAGGGCAAGAACTAAAATCATCCCACCATATGATTCCAATATTTTATCTGTTGCTGTTGAGCTGAATCTCCATCAGTCTTCACTCATCACTGGTTTAATTTTCTTAGTTTTTTTTTCCATGCAGGGGCTTTCAAATTGATTGCCTGTACCTTCAACAATTAAATAAACTCCAGCTGCTTATAGTGATTATCATTAATCTTGCTGGGATAATATATTTACCTTAAGTGTTTCATACCAGCTGGGCAGTAAAATACTTAATTGAGAAGTAAAAAGAGAACAATTGTTCAGTTTGACATATATCCATCTCTTTATTTAGCTTAACTTTCAGAAAAACAGGAGGACTGGTTTTGTAGCAGCACAAGGGACACGGAACAACCGGACACAAAGGATTCAAACATTTTTGCACTGAGTGAAAACGAAATAGATGAGGGGATCGGGAAGAAAGGAGGATCTAGCCAGGGAAAAGCACAATTTCACACAGTGAGGTTTTAGAATGACTACAGCTACAATGGGTACAATAATACTGCATATTATTGATTGTACGACTTATTTGAGTTTATATTTTGTGTGTTTTGAACTTCACAGGGAAAAGTGAGTTAATGAAACCATATATCTTTTCAAAGAAATATTCAAAATTCTTATGTGCTGGCAGCAGTGGTAATGGTGCGGGCACTCAGAGGGCACAGGGATTGCGAAAGTTATGCCCAGCAAAACGAGCCTGGTCACCCAACTCCTCCTCGATCCTGAGAGCAAGTGGAGGTGAGGGTGAAAACAGACAGCAACGGCAAGATGATAAAGACGAGAAAAAGAAATGCAGAAAAAAAGGAATTAGTACTTTGGAAAGACATTCAGGATTTAATAAAATGCCACAAAAACTCACCTCATGAGTTGATTGTATTTAGCCAGACGTTCAGATCGACATGGCGCTCCAGTCTTGATCTGTGGGATACAAATATAAAAGATTTTTCTGGGTGGAGGGTTTAGCTTGTATATTTGTTTTGTGTGCAGACTTGTTATATCTGGACCCCCGATCTACACTACTGCAGTTCTCATATTGCTGCATGTTGTTCAACAAGAGCACCTCTTCACAAAGTATTAGTTTTTTCCCTCTCCACCACTCTCATGTTGGCTTGTGTATGATATTTGAAATAGAGCGAAAAACTGAATGGACAGCACTTTATGTGGTGTTGCATCTGTTACCTGTCCAGTGCAGAGGCCAACCACCAGGTCAGCGATGAAAGTGTCCTCGGTTTCCCCTGACCGGTGGCTCACCATCACACCCCAGCCATTTTCCTGGGCCAGCTTACACCTGAGCGGCACACAAACAGCAAAAACCATTTAAAAAAAACACGTTTGATCTCAAACTGCATTCAGTTTGTCAACTGATGAATAAAAGAAAGAAAAATCAACATACGCTTTAATTGCCTCCGTCACAGATCCGATTTGGTTGACTTTGAGGAGCAGACAGTTGCAGGCCTTGTCCTCCACAGCTCGCTGTATCCTGCGTGGGTTTGTGACGGTCAGGTCGTCCCCCACCACCTGAGCAGCGCCAGCAGAAAAGATGTGAGTATACTCTTAAATTCTTCTTTGTTTATCAAGACACGCAACGGTTTAGTCCACTGTGTCATACATTATGCATTAATCGATAGTGTCCCAGGGCTATCTGGGAAAAACAGTAGTTCCAGAAGATCTCTAACCTGTATGTCCACTGAGGCTGTGAACTGTGACCAAGCTGGCCAGTCATCCTGATCGAAGGGATCTTCGATAGACACAACTGAAGGACAGAAGTGAGAGCAATGAAGATGATTTTTCTAAAAAACAGTCAAGTATCAACATTTGACATGAGAAATAGGCCATACTGAAATATACTAGCAAAGGTCCCAAAGTCTCTGATCACATTAAAAATCTATGCTCGCTATAAGCAGTATGCACGCAGCTGACAGAGTAACCAGCCGAAAAAATGAGCGGTCATACATCATCAAAACCCCGTTGGAGACGGGGAGAACGAGCTCTCCCTGGCTCCAATTTTTCCCCATCAGCTCTAATTCTGAAAGCCGAGGACAGGAAGATGGTGGAATTATCGAAATAAGACTAGACCAGTTCATCGCAGTGACATGGACTCCGTGTCCAGGGACTGCAGAAAATGGTTTTCTGCAGAAATCAATAAGCTCCCGGGCACCTCAGAACCCACCTGGATAGTTGTTAACGAAGCCCTGATAGATGCTGGCCAGCTCCTCAGCACTGATATTGCGGGCAGCATTAGGTGGAGACTTGAAGTCTAGGTCGTACTTTCCTTCACTGAAAAACTCAGAGGCGGCCACATCCATCCCTATCACCACTTTATCAGTGAAGCCGGCTTTCTCTATGGCCGTCTTGATCAGCTCCAGGGCTGACGGGAGACAACGGGAGGGGGTAGAATGACGTGGTATGTTGTCAAAATGTAGAAGACGGGGACATGGAGAAAGGACTGTGCTCCTTACCTTCACTGTTCTCCTGTATATTGGGGGCAAACCCTCCTTCATCTCCCACATTTGTGGCATCCTGACCATACTTCTCCTTGATGACGCTTCTCAGCGTTTGGTAGAGCTCTGCACCCATACGCAGAGCATCGCGGAAAGACTCCGCTCCCACAGGAAGAACCATGAATTCCTGCATGGCGAGTCTGTTACCAGCGTGAGAGCCCCCGTTGATCACGTTGAAAGCCTAAAAGAGAGGCAACATGAGAGGGAAAGCTTTATTTTTCAGTTCTTCTGCTGGTTAGTTGCCTTTTTGAAAAATAGATTCAGAAACAACTACTCACTGGAACTGGGAGGACCAGCTCTCCGTTTCCTGCCTGATCAGCAATGTGACGATACAGGGGGACACCTTTCTCTGCTGCGCCAGCTTTGCATATGGCCAGAGATACTCCAAGAATAGAATTGGCCCCAAACTTGGCTGGAAGGAACCACAGAAGCAGTGAGCAAATGTATAGATTCAGCTGGGAGAGGGTGAAGGTCAACCCTGGTGCAGAGACATGTCAGCATATGTACAGATGAAATGTAGGCTTACATTTGTTGTCGGTGCCGTCCATTTCAATCATCAGATTATCCAGTTTGTCTTGCTCTAGCACGCTAATTCCCTGGAAGGAAAGCTGAATGTCACCAACACAGCAGACAGATTTCTCCTGCTCCTCCACCCATTCGTTGGCATGTTGTACTCACAGATTGGATGAGCGCAGGTCCCAGGGTGTCATTAATATGAGCCACAGCCTTGGTCACACCTAAGACAGCAGGATGGGGGGAGATATGAACGGAAAGAGTTCATTTTACTGAACAAATGTAGATTACCGGGAAAGGAAATCGAGCAAATATATGTTGTGGGTTATCACCTTTGCCCTTGTAGCGGGTTTTGTCTCCATCTCGGAGCTCCAGAGCCTCGTAGATGCCAGTTGACGCACCACTGGGCACAGCTGCCCTGAACAAACCTGGATTATAGATGGAGAACTGGTCAGTGGGGGAGGAAATAAATGGAAAAGACGTAGACGAGGAAGAGAGAAAAAGGGAGGCACTTATTTAAATGCATTTGTACATTCTTTTTAACCTTTGCCTGTGTGGAGATCTACTTCCACAGTGGGGTTTCCCCTGGAGTCCAGGATCTCCCGAGCAACAATATTCTCTATTGACATCCTGCAACAACGACAAAAAAGAGAAAAAACGAGAGAAAATATATCTGTTTTATTCAGTATTACAGCAAATTATGACTCAGCGCTCATACAGAAATCCTGTCACTGATTCAAATCTGATTATGTTCGGGAGGTGAGTGAAGAGGTGGTGCAGGAAGGTGTAGCTGCTTGTAGTGAGGATAAAAGCTGCATGAAGGCATCCATCAAAAATCTATTCTGCTGCAGCTGACAGTCAAACGGAAAAGCTCGAGATTCGCCTTAGTCACAAGTACGTCTTACTCTCTTCCTCTCAAACACACGCTGTGATTGGAGTGACGCAGCCTTATGGATGCAAAGCTGTGGAATACTGGCTCCCCGGGAAGAGGATCTCCGACACGTACACCGCAAAGTAAGAGATGGAAGCAGCGACCCAAAGCCGACAACGGAGACCTTTTATACAAATCTACTGTCAACCTGTTTCAGAGCACAGGCCATTTCAATTTCAGCGCCGTCTCCCCCAGTGCCTGAAAACATGGAGCAATGATGAGGTGAGAAAGAAGACAGTGAGCAGGAGATGATGAGAGGGGTGAGGAGGAGGCGGCATGGAGGGAATGAAGTATTAGATCCATCTTTTTTAACATTACCTGCTGTTTGTTTGAAGCCTGGTGGAGAGAGTGAGCCTATGTGGGCGAATGAGATGAAGAGAGAGTGAAAGGGAGGTGGGAGAAGTGATGAAAACGTATGACTCGGGGGGAGGGGGAGCTGGTGAGTCATTGGAAGATGGAGGAGGATGGGGAGGGAACAAGCGATGGAGAGAAAAGAAGGCAGGGATGGAGTATCCGAGTCGAGTGGATTTTTGTGTCGTTGAGGGCGCAGGAAAAAAACCCATCCAAACTGCACTGTCACTGCTCTGAATGGACTTCTGTAATCTAAGAAAAAAGAAAAAAAAAACTCCTCTCCATCCAACACAACTGTATGCTGACTGGTGAGAACAGTCCTCACATAAAGAGATCATTTGTGATTTCTGTCAAGTTCACATAGTTCTGTTCTCCTTTTATCGTGGTTGAAAAAAAAAAAAGGAAACCAACAACTATACTTTAGGATGTGGATAAAAAACAATCTACTGCAGTGTAGATCTCTGGAAACAATACAAAATAAACCAGCTTCTCAGGAACTACTAGGGGTGAAATAATGGGGAATGAGGAAGTCATGAGGACAGGTGCTGAAGAGCAGCAGCTGAGGGCAGTGTTTAAAAATAGTCATGGATGGTAATTAAAAATGCAGAGCAGAGGCAGGCCGCAAGCGCACCACCATAGAGATTAGTTAGAGGCAGTTTTTCATTGGCTCCTTCATTTGCATATCACATGACCAGCAGACATGGCAGCCAGGGAGGAAGCAGCGTCAGTACATGTGTTAGGTAGGAACAGGACATGAGATCTGTTCAACGGCACCGACTCATCTGCAGGTTCAAGTTTTTGACAATGGGGGGAAAAAAATCAAATTGAATTTTTAAAGTGGAAATTCTTGGAGCTCCAGACTGACGTCATCTGCAACCGAAGCCAAGCATGATGCATTCAAACACCAAAGACACATTTTCAATTATCTAACAATGTTTAATGAACTTTTATTCAGTTAGATTAATTAGTTACCAGTATACAATTCAATTCACCGACACACTAGTGTCCTCACAAACATAAAATGGACTGTACAGTTGAAGTACTGTATACTGCAGCGGGCAAAAACACATGTCAAGATTGCAGAATGAGTGTACATTATATATATATTTATATATATATAAAGTGAGTGTATTTACCCCCATGTTTACACAAGGGTGTCTGTATATTTGTGTAACATTAAAGAGGTTGACTGTAGATGCAACTATCAAGTATGTGATGCTTCGTTGTGCATGTGTGTGTATAATATGTTCCTTATGTTTAGACAGTCCAGTCATATCAAACATTTATGACGGGCAGCTGTGTCAATCAACTTCCGTCTTCAGCGTGTTTCACAGCATCGGGGAGGTGCGCGTTCCACTCCTTCCATCCGCTCGCCACAGAGGAGACGCCTGGAGGGTCAAAGGGCAAAGGCGAATTCACGACATCCAATTTCAGAGGAAGGAGAAACCGTTTTCAGCCATTTTTCAATCTGTTATTGTCTGTTTCAGCCAACATGAACCACAGGAGCTCTTACTACCACAGCAGTGCTACTCAAACTGTTTTCCATAAAAATCTGAAAGCAGTAAATAAAACCCATTAAGAAACAGAGTGATATCCTGGAATGGAGGGAAAAAGCACCATTGAGGACCATAGCCACAGTTATCTTACCTTCTCACCAGTCGTAACGTGGACGAGTTTGGGGCTGGCGGTGTCGGGGCGACTCGTGTCGATGAGGGGGGGGCGTTGAGCTGGGAGGGGCAGTGAGAGCCAGCTGCTGTCCACCTGCTCGTCGGTCTTGACCGTACTCAATCCCACGGGCACTGGGGGGCACATATCTTACTGCTTCCCTCCTCCACTCTTCATCAAACGCTGGGGCTTCACCTAGTAGGCACAAAGGTCAGACTCTCAGAGAAGAAAAATGACTTTCATTTCCTCTGAAGTTGGTCGGAGCGTTTGTTGACTTTTGACATCGTGGAATGATCGGCTTGACTCACTCTCTTCGAGGTTGATGAAGTCTTGCCGTTCCTCGCGGTCCCCCGTGCGACGATTTCGCGAACGTTCTATTATGTGTCCACGTTCCCCAATGTGATGGCCGATGGCCAGACGCTCCAAGCCGCTCTCGCTGTCCCTCAGAGACTGACGGGTCTCACGGATCTGAGCCAGACAGCAGTTTACTGAGCCAGCTGGACGTGTCACACCCATACAACCACAAACAATAAGCTTCTCAAACTGTACAGAACTTAGACATCACACGTGATTTCATGTGTTAATGGGGCTGGAAGGGTTGACAATCGGAGGGCAGACCACGTGAGAAAAGTAACCCCACTTGGGCCCAGTGTGTAGTCTGGAGTGAGTCAGAGCTATTTACACAGCTCTACCTGCACTTAGTGTGTGAAACTTTGACAACTTAAACTCATCCTTACCCCTCCAGGGCCTGTTCTTGTTGCACTGGTCTGCTGATAAACTTTTGGAACCCCGACATCCGAAGACGAATAAGAGATGACTGTTGAGGAGGAAAAGGTCTGACAGTTTGGCGAGCCGGACATTCTTTCCTACGCGAGGAAAAACAAAACAAAAAGTAAGTCCATTGTGCAATGGAGTGCTTCTGATACAAAGGCTGTTGTTCACGGTGCTAATCATTTTTAGAACAGTCTCAAATAGTTACCAAACAACTCACCATGTTTTCCATCATTTCTCCCATCATGCCAAACATATCCATGAACCCTCCACCCTATAAGCATCAAGATGATATTTAAAAGTCACATTTGCTTGAAAACCAACATATTTACCTGCAAACAGACCACACACAGATGAGTCAAAAAAGAAACGTTCATTCCAAGTATATTTAGGAAGTTTGATTTTCTTTCAAGAATTTTTTTAAAATCCTAACAATTCAAACTTCTAATTTCTTTTGCTCGCTTTAGTAGCAAACCTTGGTTGTGTTTTACGTGTGACACACTCCCTGACTGTCGTTACCACAAGCAGAGATTAAATTTTTTAACCCATATTTCAGTGTAAAAATAACCAGCAGCAGACTGCAGTCTGATCAATGAGTGGTAACAAGAGAAGAAACTAATGGAGACAGCCCATTACTTCTGATATGATCATGTGTAAGAGGTTTTGAAATCCCAGTACAGGCTTTAAAATACAGACTGTGCTCTGCTTTAATGTCCACATCCTTTTGGCTATGTATCAAAAATATATTAACCAAGGGAAGGCAAACCAAACCCATTGTATTAAAGATTGGTATAAAATCTCAGGTACATTTAATAGAAGGTTGGAAACCTGATGATTTATTTGTTGCCAATGTATTGTAATGTACATTTTTAGACACTATTTAATTATGTGCGAATTATAAAATAGGTCACAGAATCCGCAACTCACCATTCCCATCATGCCAAATGGAGCAAGTGGGCCAGCCTAGGGAGCCGAAAAAAAAGAAGAAAAAAAACAGGTAGCAATTTAAATTGGAATGTAAATGAAATGAGATGATAAATGCGGCATCAAATGAACGATTAATCAATTCAGCAGGATGGTACCTGTCTGCGTGGCGCCCGATGTGGCTGAATCTGGGGAGCAAGAGAAAACGGGTCCATGCCAAATGGCCCAAACATACTCCTCATCTGTTGCCTGTGAGCTGCAAATGGATCCCTAGAAAAAAAAGAATCATTCACTATTTGATACTCACCTCTTAACTTGTGCCCTCATATGAATTGAGTGTGGCTGTGTAAACTTTACTCACATAGGTGAAGGTAAGCTGAAAACAACAAAGGGAAGAAACCTTGTCATATTCATCCAGGTGGAATAATAAAGCTCTACTTTAACCTACAGGCCCATTTTCAGAGCCCCAAGATGTCAACAGCCAGTTTACACAACATTAAAAGGTGATATTTCTATTTCAAAAGCAAATTTCTCTCTTTATTGAATAATGAAGGATAAAATACCTCAAGCTTGTATAATTGTCATTATTGATTTTATTGTTTATATAATATCATGAAGTAAAATAATCTCTTTCCAAAGAATGCATCCAGACAACAAACGATTTACAAGTTTCACCACATTTTGAATAAATCCAAATTATGTAGACAAAAACAAACGATTAACCGGATATCCTAAATGATTTCACTTGTGCACACAGTGCCAGAAAAGGCCGGATAGAACCCCAGTTAGTATTGATGATATAGGTTTATGGTTCAGGAATGGACAAAGCCTTATGATGAAGGTTTACATTTAGCATGTAAATTAACCTCTTAAATATTTAGCACATATGAAAAGGACGCGTTGCTGTTTTCAAATTTCCAAACGAGCGGTCGTATAAACATGCTAAACACTTACAGACTAGATATGTACGAAAATGCTAATCTATTGTCGGTTAAATACACATTTAGGAGAGAACAGACGGTAGTGCGAGTGACGTCGACTGCTGGAGGTGCATTGATCAAATCCTTGTGGACACTAAGCTGTTCTGTGAGTCTATCCAATATGGTGGACCTCTGAAGGCCCCCATCACAGCTGGCTAGAATAACGAAAGGTGCTTGCTTAAAGGCACAGAAAAAATGTCTACATTTTCATGCCAAAATACCGTTTAAATCCCTCACAAAGCACAAGGACGATAGAACGTGATAAATTGCACTAAATGTCAGTACTCACATCATGTAGGGGTCGTCATCGCCGTCAGTCAAGTAGCGAAACATGCTGGAAGATTTAACTCAGCTGGCTGATGCTAGCCAGCTAACAAGGTAAACAGTCGATGAGACAAAGTAACAGATCCACTCTCAGTTGAGGCTGAAAGCAGGATATTTCACGATCCCCCGTGGGAACACGCCACTGTATGTCTACTGTTTATCAGTGATAGTAATAGCTCTGAATCTGAACCGTCAGTAAATTCCAGAAACCTCTGGACCCAACACAAAAACGGAAGTCAATCCACTGACAAAGGGAAGCAACATCGCTATCGAGCTAGCATCAAAGCTAGCGACAGCTACTTCCGTTTTATCAGTCGAAATAAAGTATTTCCGGAGAACCTTTCATTTTAAACTTAAAACACTGAGTTAGTTTTATTTATTTTTTACAGGTATTATCAATACCAATAGCATTATTTAAGCTCAAAGCCAGACAGTTGTCATTTTAGCAGATACATGTATTATTCTTTTATTATTTGTTATTTGAGATGTGCTTTATTGATTCCAGAGTTGGGGAATTATTAATTGATATACGTATATGTAGTTCCCCATTGTTACACTGTTAAACTTATAAAGCGAATAGAAACAGTCCTTTCTGCTGTCTCGAATCTATGTTAGCTCTCTAAATGATTATACCCTGGCCTGTGCTCATGTCAACTGATAGAGCGACAGGTGGATACATTCCTTTATTGATTGACATGCTCTGTCCAGCAGGCGGCGGTGTTTCACTCATCTTTCAGTTTTGGGCAGTTCGGATGTGCGGCTGCGCAGAAAGTAATTCGACTCTCAGACCCGGATGTAACCAACGCCTAACCTGTCGGAAGAAAAAACGGTGAGTAGAGCTGGAAAAAATGTTTCAAACAAACTATTTATTGTTAATTACACTATGTGCGTAGTTATCACAGTCCCATTGCTATATCAACTTTTTATAGAGATGGGAGCTTGTTTATGGGCTTGAATTAATATGGTGGAGTTCGTTTCCAATCGTTTAGGCATAATTTTGTGTGGGTTCACGTGAAGTTGTCATGATTGACAGTTATCATATTTAGCAGTGCTCATGTTTTATTTTTCGTTTCTGATATCGAGGCTTAAGTTATTTCTAAGAGTTAAAGAAAAGTTCTTTATTATATGAGAATTCCTAAAGCAGACTCTTTACATCACTGGTTAGATTTGTGTAATGGTGGACTAATTGCCAACATCAAATAGCTGTTACAGTTTGTTTTCTTACTTTGACTTTTCAGCTTCTTTTGAATTTACGTTTCAGCAGGCGCAGATCAGTTTATCCGCCGAGCCGCTCATTTAGCGGAAGTGCTGTGCAGTATCCGCTTTTAAATGACACAGTATCTTTTTTAAGAAAAAAGAAGGATCTTTTGGTATGTAACATATGCGGAAGTTAGTGCCATTAGAAATCATTTGTTCACACATGTAACAACAAGCCCCCAGAGAGAAATGTCAGTCCCTGAAACCGCCTACTTTTGACGAGGGAAAACTGGGGGGGAAAACATACAAAATCTTCCCGTTAAAGTAGAAAAGTAACTTGTGCAAAATGTTAGTGTTACTATTATTATATCTTCAATGCCATGGAGACTTAAGCATTTGCAGAAGATGCACTGTATTGCAGTAAATATAACTTTCCCAGCTTATGCTTTTCATATATATTTACATGTATATATAACATATGCATTTATATGTAAGAATACCTTAGGTTTTGATTGCTTACGATGTGGTTATTTACTCTGTAACTGTGTTATATAATTGAAAAAAATACTATTTGTCTATATAGTAGATTTGATAAAACATAAGGAATAATTAACACAGTATTTAGATGGTTTTAGTTACTTTTAAAGAACAAATGTTAAACCTTTACTAGTTTTAAGCTCCTTACCTGAGGAAAAATGATTGAAATCCTATAGCTGAAGAACATAGAAATTAGTGCATGGAATGGGAATATTTGAAATGTTTTCTTACTTAATATAAAATGAAAAAAGCATCCAACAAATATCCAAACTAATCAGCGGGTTATTCAGATCATTATGAAATTTCTCAGGGAGCCTGTGGATGGTTTGACGATGTAAATGTTTGCCTGTTTCTCATCCTGCCTTAGAGGCTGTATTTGCAGCCATGCGTGACACTGTTTGGCTTAGACAGACAGTTCTAAGGCCACTTTTGTATTACTTCCTCTGTCCTTGTCTGGCTTTCTGTTCTGTACGTTGTTTGTGTCTCACTTTTTCCTATTTGCCGTTTTTCTCTGTAGATGCAGACTATAAAATGTGTGGTAGTAGGAGACGGAGCAGTAGGAAAGACCTGCTTACTGATCTCCTACACAACCAACAAGTTCCCCTCAGAATACGTTCCTACTGTAAGGACATTTTGACTAACACTGAGTCATATTGTCAACACGTTTAGATTCACTGCTCAGACCCCAACTTCTGGTTTCTCAACTTACCTTCTTTTTTGTGTGCCCCAAAAGGTTTTTGACAATTATGCGGTGACAGTGATGATAGGAGGAGAGCCTTACACACTCGGCCTCTTTGACACAGCAGGTAAACATGTTTGAAAGTCTCTTTTCTTCTGCCATAATCCTGTTCCTCTGAAGCTCTCTTCAAGACTTCCTTGTTTGTCTTTTTGCCTGCTGTCCTTAGGTCAGGAGGATTATGACCGACTGCGTCCACTCAGCTACCCGCAAACAGACGTATTCCTTGTATGTTTCTCCGTCGTCTCCCCGTCATCGTTTGAAAACGTCAAAGAGAAGGTAAGTCGTACACGGAGCAGTGAACATTGATTGTAACAGTTTTTTCTGGATATGTCCCAAGATCATTTTTAACACCAAGGGGCATTTAAGCAGTCATAAGAAACTCAATGTTTTTGACTGTTTTCTGCCTCCTCTTGCAGTCATGTGAGTGTGTTGAGCTGAAGTTTTGAAAGGAAATGGTTTTCCTTTTGTGTGGGCACTTCTGTATTTTCATATTGCTCCAAATGTTTGCACTTATAGGCAGACCAGTTTGACATCAGAGTCATTTACAGCTGTGAGAATTCACAAGGCCTGAAATAAGCAGAATTATGAAGTCTTTGTATCTTGAGTCTTGATGTTTGTTTGTTTTTCAGAATCTCCCTTTCTTTTAAGAGATTTTTTTCACATTCTGAGTTTTGTAAGGTTAATATATAGTCCGGATAATGAAATAAAACAATCCTTTGATATATTTAAAAGAAAACAATTTTGTGAATGAATTATCTCATGAGATTAAGTGAGGTCCTTGTCTTTCTTACTTGAGTTTGGTTGCACAAGGGCAAAACAATTCTTACAACATTTTAAGAAAGTTTCCCTGGTAATTTTAAGATTTTCTAAACTGGATAATTTACACAGAAATAAAAAAACACTGTCCATCAACATCACATATTTATAATCTTTTTTTCTGTTTAATAAGATGTATTGGAAACAGTAATCTAGTGCAATGTACAAATGTGCAAATGGTTAGCTGAAGGAATGGAAGAGTAACCGTCAAAATATTTGTAAGTGATGTTTAGGTGTCGTGTGGTTGTAGAAAACCACCGAGCAGGAAGCACAATCCTCAGCATCCTTCACCATGATAAGCCTCCTTAATAAAAGACTGTCATTCAGCTTACATTTAGCATGTATAGCTAGCTACTGTATAATACCATTTTGATTCAAAAGTTGCTTGTTAAACTTTAATCCAATACATCAACATTATTTGAAATTTACTTAATTTTATGTACTCCTGGGGCTCAGATGTGTGGCTTCAATAGTCTCCGTCTGCGCTCTTGGCTCCAAAGAACTTTACAAGTTCAGACATCTACAAATGATCAGTGCAAGTGATGGAGGAATGCACAATGCATGTAGGGGGTTTAACCTCAATAGCCCTGCACTAAGTGGTGTGCCTTGCCCTGCATTTTTTGGCTTGCTGCAATAACAATCAATTTTAAATGGGGTATTTGGACATTAGTGGAAGCTCTTTGGGCCCTGTTAGCTGGGGGCGTTGTGGACACAGTGACGTCTCATAAGTTTGGTGTTTAGGGAGTCTGGAGGCTGGATGAACTCCTCAGACCCTGGTTTGTTGTCAAATACCTTCCTGAGCTGATTTTGCAGCTGCTCTGCTGGTGGGAAGCTGCTCCTGTGGTGGTGGTGTGGGGGGGTTACTATTGCAGTGTGGTCTGTACATTTTTTTGTACTTTCTAAATCAGAATCTGAGTCTTTTGATATTGGGAATCACCAATCAGTCACTTTTTAAAGTAATATGGATTAGGCTTAATGTCTAACAGCTGGATAGTGTATTGGTAAAAATTACCAGTTTTGGTCAGGGTTCAAATCCAGGCTAAGGCAACTTCCCAGTAAGGGTCCTCAGGCTAGGCCCTGCATGCTACTCTAAGCCCGCCTCAGTGCAGTGCTGTGTGTTGTAAGTCACTTTGGATAAAAATGTCTGCTAACAACAAACACAAACAAATGTGTGGGAGGTTAAAGTTCATTTTGATTTTCAAATTTAAAGTCACATTATTTGAATAAAGTAAAGGTGGATATAGAATAGAACAGTACTTTATCAATTAATTGATTTGACAGTTTAAAAATCAAATACTCATGTGTTTTCTATGTCTTTGGATGGATTTATTTGTTTGTTGTTAATTATATTATAAATCAGTTAAGCTGATATCTGTAAAGGCTGAACTGCTATGATTGTGTCGGACAAACAGAGATATCTGCAGTGTTACAGTGTAAGGTACAGATTTATAAAGATTTACTTTGAATTGAGAAATATCTGCTCCCCTTTGTAGTCTCTGCATATTTCTTATTATCATCTGTCTTTGCTGAAAAAGAAACAGCCCAATCCACATTTAGGCAACTCTCCACTTGAACAAACAAGTGGCAGTACAAACTGGTATTTGAAAATATAGAGCTTGTAAAATCCAATCTTTATGTCTTTCTTTTGTCATTTCAAGTGGGTCCCTGAGATTTCGCACCACTGCCCAAGCACACCTTTCCTGTTGGTGGGCACACAAGTAGATCTGCGGGAGGACAGCAACACTGTGGAGAAGCTGGCGAAGAACAAACAGCGCCCCCTCTTCCCAGAGAGCGGAGAGAAGCTGTGCCGCGAGCTCAGGGCTGTCAAATACGTGGAGTGCTCTGCACTCACACAGGTACGAGGAGAATTCCCAGTTCAACAACATATTGGGAATAACCGGTCAATAGATTTTCTTCTGTCTCATCATATCCCTCGTTCCTTTTTTGTTTTTCTGTCACTTCCAACAGCGAGGACTTAAGAATGTGTTTGATGAGGCCATACTGGCTGCGCTGGAACCCCCAGAGACCAAAACTAAAAGGAAGTGCGTTCTTCTATAGAGGAATGTCAACACTGAGAGATGGAATAATGTAAGAAATGGGTGGGATGATTTATTAGGAAGATCAGTGCCTATTTTTCAGAGAAAGACAAAAAAAGACAAGCCAAAGGGGGGCAGGAAGTGCCTTTTTGCCATTGAGATCTAGTCAGATTCATATCTGGTGATTGTACCTTTCCTTTTTTTTTTTTAAGTTGAGAGGCTGAAGGTGCAACATTTCCACATAAGTGCCACATATCTTTTAGGAAGTAGAGCATTTTCTCTTGATATTCTGCTGGGGCGGGCCCCCTCTGCCTGTCACTATTCTGCTCTCAATTTTTTAAGAGGAAATATTCATGTATTAAGAAATCATTGTCTCCTTTGTTTTAAAACAGGATGGGAAGATTTTTAACTGTATGTACATTTGAATGAGCAAGTAAATACTATGTGGTACTTTATTTGCTTTTTTTTTTACCCCTACTTGTTTAAAAAAAGAGAGATTTATAGCCCAAGAGATTTATAGTCACTCCAAACAACTAAAGCTGGTTACTTTCCTCCAATTCCCAATGACCTTTTAGTGAGGCCAAGTGCATATGGACCCATTTCACTTCTTCAGGTGAATTATGAATTTCTGTTTTGTATTTTTATGTGTTGTATGATCTATGTTGTTTTAGGGAATTTTTGTCTATATTGTTTTAAAACTTGAATTTTAATTGTATCCAGATTTTCTTTCTCTTTAACTGATAGATGACCTACAGTGATTGATACAATAACAAATGAAATTGTAATACCTTGAATAAGTCTGAATCTTGATGGAGATTGAGAGACTATTTTTTCTAGTAAATTTCTGGGTTTTTTAATCACAGGATGTTTTTAATAAAAGTGTTTTACCAAAAATTAAATGAATCGTATTTTACGAAGAACTAGTTACTACTGTAATAAAACAAAACTATATGTTCAATGTTGACACCTATAACAAAACCTTTCAGAAAGCAGAGGACAAAGCATGCTGCAGTGTTTTGCTCTGAAATCTAAGCCGAACATTAAAGCATTCAGAAGTTAGATGGCTGAAAATTAAGTTATCAGTTTCACATTCTCTCAAAATCAGAAGGTAATGAAGTTGGTTCACCCCCCTCTTTTAAGCTTAACTCAGAGTTTAGTATTTTCTAAATTCAACTCGAGATAATTTTATTGCATTTATTGTTAATTCTGTTTTGGTCTAATGTAGGCCGTTATCATTTATTGGGCATTAAGCAGTACTAATTTCACACAAGATGTATCCTGATTACCCAATCGGATAGTCAGCCTGTGGAGTGACAACAGATGTACACATTTTGCCGTCTTCGAACGGATGCTAACAACATGTCGGTAAGGACTATTCCAGTTCAGCAGATCAGCATAGGACAGTATGGGAGCGCCACCAGCCACTTCTGTGTATCGGTGTTTCTCTAACCGTGAGATGCAGAGTTGCATGGTGAGGTGTGACGTGTGCGTTGTGTGTGTGGAACGATTCAAACGGTAAACATTTGTACAGTGCTGCTTTCAAACTTTGGTCTGATCTCGAAGATAGCCTTCATGGCTGACTTTATGTCACAGTTTTCAAAATTTTTCACCATCTGACCAAAGAAACTGAAAAATATGTGAATGAGAGCAGCTTTATTGGGAATTCAGCTGTATTAATATACAATTGAGCTGTACTTATTTTACAAAACGATGGAACTTTGGAGCATGTGTGGAGAGCCTAGGCATATATCATTCTAGCTGAACATGCAGACGCAGAAGTGATTAGATCCAGACCGCATGTTTGGGTGTGTTAATCTGGCTTTGAGAGCTTTAAATTTGAACAATTTCAGCCAGACTAACATATTTACATGCACATTTATAGTACAGTTTTGGTCTGACTAACACTAAGCTTTTGCTATTGTCATGTAAACAAGATCACAATCAAATGATCTCACAGGGTACATTAAACTTTATTTCTAACCTATGGATGTGAGTATATAGATATGAAAAATAAGTAAATCAAAACATTTGGTATCTTGGATAAACTAATACATTTATTAGACATGATGAATAGACCTAAAAGTATTGCTTCTGCAGGAACATATCAGTTTCACGAGAAGGTGACAAGCAAAAAATAAGAGAGATGCTGAGGTAAGTAGATGTCATTTTTGCCGCTGTGGGCTGAAAGTGAAGCAAACAAATTTGTTACACAAATAAATAAACCAAAATTTAAAGGAAGACATAAATACGTGACATGTTCAAAGACCTGCAAATCTAGGACCAAATGAAAATTGTTTTCACAAAATGACAAAGACTGATGCATGACTTCTGTTAGTTTTGGTTAAGTTCAGCTTTAGAAGCTTTGTCAGGTCAACATTGGATTTACTTTGTGTGTTCACACATAAGTGCACAGGCAGTATGAGAAGACAGAGATTTTTTTTTTCTACCCTACAAGTTGTTTCTGTTTGACTTGTGGTCTGTTTTTTTCATCTTTTACTTTCTAAAAAGCCTAAAGAGAGGGTGACCACTACTTGAAAACATACTGTTTTTTGACAGCAGTTGATTTAATGTGGTGACGGACATGTGGCCAAAAACCCCTCCTCCTGTCTTTGCTGTACTTTCTGCCCCTGGGTGGCCAGCAGCGTCGGCCTGGTGGTTCACTCCGGCCTCTCTGCTCCTTCAGCATGGTCTTGTTTGGGCCTTTTTACACTCTGCAGGTGTGAATTGTGAGAGTATTTTTGCACTGCTGGCAACGGACGGAGCAGCACCAGGAAAACTTGCAGGAGCAGCGCTGCACCACCTCGGCCCGGCCCGCCCTGAATCCTGGCCCACAACACACCAGCTCACACCCATCCGGTGCCAGTCGAGACGTTCCTGGTAGTGTTTCAAAAGAAGGCAACATCAGTTTTTGGCAACTGGTTTCTGGTAACTTCTTTTTTTTTACCGTTACATCTCACCATTACATCTCCGACCAGCAGTCCCTGGGATTCCATTATCAGGGTCAAGATTACAGAAATCTGGGGAGGGGGCAAGATACAGAAGGTCTCTGGCAGCGGGGGGTTTGACGTGGGGATCACGGGGGAGCAGAGCTGTCCTGGATCCGATACGAGTCAGCCGGACCTAGAGGGACGGCCATGTCAAAAAGTAGCTTCAAGGTATGTTGGTGGTTTCAGAGCAGCTTCGGTTTGATAAAAACAAGTAGAGGCATTTCTAAATACCTCTGTGGCTCCATCGAAACGTTCCTTTAGCACGGCACCAACGCGTCTGAACGGAGGCATGACTTTCCAGCAGGTTCTCAGCTCACAGGAGCCAGAGACGCCATGACACTTACACTCCACCTGCATGTTGTGAAGGATGGCCTGAGGACGGCAGGAGAAATTGTAACAGAACCCCTCAGGTTAGAGATGAAAGCCAAGGCAGACGCTGATGCCGCTAACCTTTCGACCCGCCTCGTTGTTGTGGAGGTTCATGAGCGGGCGCCCCGCCGACACGCCCTTGGCCCGTTCGGGTTCATCTACAAATGTCTGGGAGAAAGCTACACCATAGGACAGGTTGTCACTGCAGCCGGACCACTGGAAGCCTGGGATGAGAAACAAAGAGGATTAAGGTTATCCATCCATTCTGTCTACTCCAAGTGGGGTCGCAGGGGGTGGGGTGGGGTGAGGGGCTGGGGTGGGGGGCTGGGGCCTATCCCAGCTGTCACTGGGCCATAGGCAGTCACCAGTCCATTGCGAGGTCACACATAAATAAATAAAAACTACACACGCTCACATTCATTCCAGGGACAATTCCGAGTTACGGCTTGACCCACATGTTTTTGGACTGTGGGAGAGCTGGAGGAACCCAGAATGGCCCCTTGACTACCCAGTCTGGGTTTAGTAAGAAGTAGAAAGCAGCTAAATTCTAATTTGCGCCTCTTGATTCAGAACATGCATCATACTCTCTACCGACACAATGCAGAAGCCGTTCTAATCTCAGCGTGACTCAGAGTGGATTCGCTTGTTCCATTTTCATGGGACAGGCTCCAGACACACCTTCGGGACTGACACCCCTGACCTTCCTGTCACAGCCACACCTCTCCAGCTCCCCACGGGTGCAGGCTCGGGTCACAGCCATTGCCACAGCTGCGGAGGACAGAGCGTGCACAAAGGCTGCCTCACGAGTGCCTGAAATCAGACGAGACCAGACATTTTGTATTTTGAAAAAGGAATGTGGTCATTGCTGCGTGTATGGACTTCGAATCAGATGTTTACGGACATCGCATCAGTATAACATGTACCTTGGTTCATTACTCGGCCAAACACGTTGATCCCACGTGGGGTGGTTGAACAATTCCAGCGGCGATTTCTGAACTGGTGCTGGCACTGAGTTCCACAGTGTTGGACAAAAAAGAGATAAAGACATATTTTTTCTGGAAGATTTAGCTTTACAGTACTGCTCTCTCAAAGTGACGTATGACAATCTTTATCCTTTTTCTGGCCGTACCTCTTCTATAACCATCTCTGCTGCCTTGCGTACCGACTCCATGACCTCCCCCCGTGCTCTGCACACCCCCACCTGCCCTGGGGTCAGCCCCCTCAGCCGTGCACATGGAGCAGCACCAGACACGGGCCTGGAGCGAGGCAGCCTCGCCAGGGAGCTGGCACACAGAAATGAAGGATTTCAGGGTGATTCATAGGAGGTTTGTGGGGGGGCTGGATATATATTCAGGTAGAGTAATGGGGTTTAAAAAGAAGAACGTAGAGAGCACAAAGCGGATGAGGAGGTAACGACGGGGCCGAATTTTAGAGAGGACAGAAACAACCAGGCAAAGACGGCTGAGAAGGCACAGTGAAGGCACAGTGAAGGCAGAGAGAAAGAAAAGAGAAAAGGTCACCAGGATTTAGACAAAGAAAGAGAGGGGAGCGACTGAAAGAGATTTAGAGACATGTCACTATCTTTTAAAAGTTATAGCATGACAAACAAACTCTCTCTTTCTCTTCCTCCCTTGCACACTAGACTTACAGCCAGTTGGTTGCCATGGTGGTGTGGGTTGCCCATAGCAACAGGAGGAGGAGTGGTGCCGTGAGATTGACAGGGGAGACAGTTGGCATCAGACTGTCTGTCTGTCTGTCCGTCTCCGTGCGTCAGGTTGGGTCGTTGGACAGCACGCTGCCCGTCTCCACAGTTGAGGCGACCTGTGCTTCTGTCTGCGTGTGTTTGTGTAGCTGTGTGTTTGTGGTCCAAGATTCAGTGGATGATACCTACGTATCTGTTGAAATATTGACAAATTCAAGGGCCTGTGCCTTTCTTACAAGACATTTTCAAATAAGGAACTTTTAACTATCAACACTGAAGTTATATTTGCTGAAACAAAGCACATTACAAAACCTCAAGCCAGACTTTCATTCAGATCTGAGAGCAGAAAAAAAAAGAATTCAAAACAATTTTCTAGGTATCAACAATTTCCTCTGTGACAGGCTGCTATGGGTTTTGTTTCAGAAAGGATTAAACCCCACATTTTATCTAAAGTCTACATTCTTAAAACATACTCACAGGACAGTTTTACAAACTGCAACCAAAAGTCATCCTCTAAAGATCCAAATTAGTCCACATCTTCAGTCCAAAATCACCAAAGAGATGAAAAGAAAAGTTGAGATCCAAAAAGTGCTGAGAGGAGTCACATTTTCTTAACCCAAAAAACAAACAAGCAAACAAAAAGAGAAAAAGTGGCATTTTGTCATCTTGCGCCCAGTTCCATCCCAAGAAAACAAATGTGCCTAATCCAGACAAGGATGTGTGAGAGCAGAGGGATGGGAGTGATGGGTTTTAAAGGAGGTAGAGAGTGAGGGTGGGAGAGGGAGGACAGGCGTGATCCAGGGTGTGAAGTGCTGCCAAAGCACGGAGGAGGAGGTGGTCGTGGCACAGGATAATACATGCGAGTATTAAAACTGTTAGCTCGTCCTTTATTGTGTTTGTTTGACATGAGGCCTGAATTATGGGCCTGCACTGGAGGTAGATGTACGGCAACCGTCACATTTCTCTTTGTGTGTGTACTGTGCCCGCTCTCTTATGTCTCTTTACGCATGCATGCACGCTTATGAGCTTTTTGTGCACCGAAACGCTAAACAAAGTGTAAACCCACGGTTGTGCAGTTCCCTACAACTTTCCCTAACAGGATTCCCGTCTGTCAAAGGCCTTTTATCGGTGAAGATGATGCAGCATTTCTGTTGTCACATACATGCATGTGAGAAAGTGTCTTGCCGAATGTTTAATTTTCCCAAACTTTGTTGCTCATTTTACGAGTTACCCCTCCTGCTTCTCTTCTTCCCCCCCATTTGCCCCCTAGTTCTTCTTCTCTCCCACTCCCTATATTGTCTTAGAAGAAGGGGTGACATTTAGACAAGGGGAAGAAAACACTGCCGACAAATATTGGAACTGAGGCAAATAAATCACAAGATAGCCGGGAGGGCATAAGGAAAGTGCAAACGGTCGTTACACTTTGGTGAAAAAAAATTGTTGTCAAATGATAAGGCAAGTTTGTCATGAATGAGTATGAGAGCAAATGTGGATGACATCCATGTGAATCCAATATTTCAGGAAACTCTGCGACTGATGCTACTGACTGATGCTCGAACACAGGAACTGATCTCACAATGGCTTTTTATGAAGAACAAATATTTGCCCTTCGATGCAACAGCCCCCACCTACCTTTTCCGTGGTCATTTTCCCGCTGTCTGTCTATTTCTAGTTGCATAACCAAAGGTAGAGATAAAGTAAAGAGGCTACAGTGTTTCTCAGAGGAAAATACCTGAGCGCGGTGATGCTGAAAGGGCAGTTTACAGTCTTGTCTGGAACAGGGTTGTCAGGTGACTGGCTACTCGCTTCTGCTGTAGATGGACTGATGAGGCCGTCAGGATTTGCTTGGAGCAGTTTGTTTAGCTCTTTTAATGTTTACTGTAATTTAGTGTACTGTTCTATCAGGGCCACACATTCTAACGCGCACACCAAAAACATTTTCTATTAATCACCATCCCTCAGGAAGAGGCTGTGAGAAAGAGCCAATTAGAATCTCCGGTGTTTTTTGTGCATTGACCTACTATTACAAATTGATATAAAATCCAAATCCCTGGTGTATGCAATAATTAAATAATTCAAATGCAATCTATTTGAACCAACTTAGATTAATTCCTACAGAATCACAAATTAAACCTATCATTTATTTTGTTTTGTTTATCTTCAATAGGCCGTTATTCTGCAGCGTTTCTGTTATATTTAGCTAAACCACAAGAGTTAACTTTAAGCAGGGTTATTTTATTTCTTTATAATTTTATAGATTAAATTTACTACACAAGCTGATTGTTAACTCAGTCTAAATGACGTTGAGGATGTTATAAGCTGTTTAAATGCATGTCTAAATGCAATTGAAGTATATCAAATCACATAAATGCATAAAAGGCGAATTGGCCTAAAGCACACTGATTTATTAAGTCCTTTTAAATGCTTCAGACATACATCGTACATCAGCATAATATGGTTTCAGGCAGATTTGTTAGATCATAGTTCAAACATTGTTAAAGCTGACATATTTTTTCAGTGTGCATGCTCATTTTTTCATAGGCATTTCTTCAGCTGGGATTGGTGGCCCAGCTGCCGGACTGCATTTCCATTTGTTAAATATAGGTCTGTTTAATCAAAGTGTTTGTCAGCAAAAAAAACCTAAGTGAAACAGGTGAACAAGCCTTTTCATACCCAAAGAAACGCTTTTGCATCCCTAAAATGTTCATGTGAACAAGTCAGTGTGCAACTGAGACCAAACATTTGCAGACTTTGTCCCGTCCCTGCTCAGGATTAGAGGGTCCATCTGTCTGAACCCTTTGGCACTCAGTTTATGGTCACCCCATCTCTCACACACACTTTCTTCTGTCTGTATCTGCCAAGACAGGTTCCTTCTAGTTCCCCTCCTTTCTTTTTTAGCCCTCCTCATGTCGTATTCCTCCTTTGTGTCCCCTGTTTCTCCAAGTGACGTCCTCTGCTTGTCTCCCACAGCAACGCCATGGTGATGAGCGGGCCACTGTCACGTCCGGCGCCTCTGTTATGCTCATCCCTTCACCCCTCTCTCGTAAATAACTTGTCCTCTTTTTTTTTATCTTTATCTTTCCCCCATTTTGTGGACATTTTATCATGCTGAAATGGTCCTGTACTGATTGACTGTAGCCAGGTTGCAGAGCCCGGAGAGATGCTTGTTAAAGCCTCAGCATGACACATACACAGAGATGACTTGCATTCCCCCCCGTGGTAGTGGGAGGCGGCGGCGGACTTTAAGGGACTGAGGTAGGGCGACTCTAAACCGATCCTCCTTCATCTAACCGACGCTCGCCGTTGAACGACTGACCGGCCTCGTTCTGGACGGTTGCCTCGGGGTGACTTTGGACCTCGTCAACGTGTTTCCCCGGCGAGGTTGCGAAGAGCAGAAAAGTGACCCGCCACCTTGTGGCCCCCCCCGCTCCGCCTGCTCTGCGACTTCCCCCGTGCTCCAGGCTCTACCTGCCTCGGCAGCTTTGAGCCCAGAAGCCGTAATCTCAACCAGGCGCAGACATGACGGCTGTGCACGAACATGCTCGCGTTGCTCAAGCATCTCTGCCAACAAAGGGCTGGACGCACTGCTGTGCACGGATGTGTGTGGAGCGTGTGCAGGGGTATTATGGGATGGCGGGCAGTGGTGTTGTCAGGCAGGGAAGTTGGGGGTGGGTGGGGTGCGGTGGGTTGGGTGTTGGGGGGGGGGGGGGGGGGGGTAGAGTGGGCGGCGATCGGCGTGCACATGGGGGGAGGGAGCAGAGGGAATGGATGACCCATGAATGTTATGGAGCTGTGGTCGGCGTTGAGGGGAGCGGCCTGTGGGAGGTGGAAGGATAGCTGTGCATATCAGATAGAGGGAGCAGATAGTGGGATGAGGTGTCGGTGACGGTGTAGCACGTGAGAGCATGTGCGTGCGCATGCACGAATGTGTGAGGGGCACTGGAGCGATGCTAACAGACAGCGGCCAGACACGGGCCGTTGCTATGCGATGTAGATGTACTGTACAGTGGGGAATTCAGCATGGTGGGCACTGGATTCTGGTGAAAGGCCTTTTGGCTCACATCTTCTCTGTTCTTGGCCTATTTGTGAAGAAAATATGATTCCTGTCTTTTTATTAGTCAGACAAGTAGCTTATATAGAAGATATTGTTTCCATTCCCACAGTCCATAAATGCATTTCTGGCCTTTAGAGAGCAAGTCCCAGACAGTCTAATATAAAGGCATTGACTGCGGGGCAGTTTTTTGTTACAATGCTGAGCGGTGAAATATGTACAAAAAATGCACAAAAGCCTCTTTAAAACTGGAAGATTGTCCTTCCGAACAGGGAAACCCAATTACAACGCACTGTTTGATTACACTCTATGTAATCTAGAAGAAGCAGTAAATGGGAGCAGCCGCCAACAGAGTGATGATGAGCAGCCAAACGGGGCTCAAACAAACTGAAACCCTGTCAGGGACCCAAACAGCTTCATCTGATACCAGGTCCAGTTACCTGATTATGAAGACTATGGTAAAAGACATCATACAGAAAAAAATCTAATAGAAGGAGAAACTAAGGTGATATAATGGTATGAGCAGCTTTTTAAAGGTTCCTCGATAGAAAACCACATTTAAAAGATGCTTAATTATGGATAATTTTCAAATAAATTGTGTCTGTGTGTATTTGTGTGCCTGCAAGATTCTGATGGGAGCACTGTGCTCACACTGTCCCATTATAGCTGATGCTCAGAGTATTTCTGTGACTCATGTGGCCATAAAGTATTCTGACTTAAGCTTTAATCAGGAGTTAATCAGCATTTAAGTGCTTTTTTTTATTTTAGCAATAACCCCGCAGGAAAGAAAATGTTACTTCAGAGCTGAAAGCATCTGTTGGCAGTAAATTTTATTTATCAATTAGATTTGTTGTACTACATCACACACACTTTATGAGGATGATCCCTGGACAGTAGGAACAGATGCATCAGGTTTAGCACAGAAGCAATTATATTCACAATGTGACAGATCTGTTTGGACTAAGAAAGTATGGACTATGTTTCAGATGGGATCCAAAGGCATAACTATATATATTTGTATCCTTTAATCAGCTCATAGGTTCGGGCATCAAACAACATGGGACCATGTTTGATCTTCATCATCCCAGGTGGCTTTAGTGATTAAACTAGTATGGTCTCTTTAATGTCATTTCTATGAGGTTTTAATGTAAGAAATTAACTGAATTTGGACAGAAAGAAACCTTTGACCCCTGCATGCCTCCTGTGAGAGGGAACTAAATGCAGCCTAACACCTGCTCAGCTATGTCTGCTGAGAAGGAAGAAGTTAACGGCAATTATGGAGGCTAAGGCCGAGTGAGGGCAGGTGCATCATGGGAGTTTTCCTGCCATTTTGGTAGCATAACGGCGGGATGTTTCAGGGCCATCCCTGACAATAAGCTTTATCAACAATAAAGCGTTTTCTGTGATGTCCCTGATCCCAAACTAGTAGCTGGGTCACACGGGGGCCTGGAAACCGAAGGCTCTGCCTCCCACTTTTAGGAACCACCAGTAGATCTGCAGTCTGACATCAAAAAGCTCTGCCGTGAGCTCTTTAAGATGTTTACCTTGTTTGCTGCGGTGTGTGTCATTTACCAAATTCCAAACCAGACTGGGAGCCTCAGCCTATTTTCATGAACCGGTTGTGCTCACTCCTCGGCCATCAGGCCGGGACCTCCAACCGGGAGCCGGCGGCTCCGTCTCTGCTGTTACCTGTGGGCCCGTGACGCAGCAGGAAGTTGGGCGTGGGGGATCTGATGGGGGTCCTGGTGGTGACGGAGGCCGTCCCGGTGCAGGAGGCGAGACCCCCCCTCTGTGGCGGGACGCCGGGCCTCCTCCTCCTCCACCCAACGCCATTTCCCCCACCTGTGGGAGCACCGCAGGGGAGCAGCACCGGGGGGGCATTCTGACTTCTTGTCACAGTCTCACAACCAGGTGGATGCCCAGTGACTATTATGGTCTGTCACCAGTGGACATGAGCCTCCCTGGAGACCATCTCATTTTCCCCCCCCTTCTCGTCTGTTTAGGTGCTGTATATTATGGGATGGATGCCGCCACTGCTGGAGTATTATGGTCTGTCGAGAGGGGCCGGGAGGGGGGGGGTGTCACCATGACAACGGGGTTGCTAAGGGGGCTGGGACTTCTGGTGGAAAGGGGAAGGAGTGTGCAAGCTGCGAGCCCAGTGCGTGCGTGTCTCGCAGTGGTAGTGTGCGTGCGTGCGCGCGCGCGGTGGGGGCAGGCTGAGTATTATGGTCTGTCCGTTGCGAGGTAACTATGCAGAGTCCTGTGTGAGTGTGGGAGGGGGTGATTATTATGGGATGTCTGCCCCCTTTGTGTGTTTGTGAGGATGTTAGCTAAGCGCTGCCTGTAAGGTTGGGGGAGAGAAGAGGGGGACGGAGCCGCGTGTTTTGGGTCATTGACGGCTGTTTTATTTTTTTAAACACAAGAAATACCCCACGGGGCTAAATGAGAGGGCTCTATAGGACAACATCTGGGACTCAAATAGCGTAATTTGCAATATTTCTTGCACCGAAGGAGCGCACACCTCGAGTCGGGACTACACGCACTACAGTAAGTTTCCAATGTGTGAAGGTAGGGATTTCAATGCTTCAACTTTTCTCTGATGAATCGCTTTAGCCCAACAGTGCCAATTTTTGTGATTATTTTTAAAGTACCTGCGACTGTCACACTTAAGTTCATTCACCCCCTGTGCTCAAAATACCTGAAAAATCTGCAACACATGAGAAAGGGGAGATAATAATTTTATTCAAAGAGTTAGAGTAGACAGGTGGACGATTAGGTGTTGTGTAAGCAATAACAAATGAGCAAGCTACCAACCAATCCATTTATCATTATTTATTTTTTTCCAGGCACCCACCACCCCCTCCCTTCCTGGACACCCCCGGTCCATTCTCCACCACCAGTCCCACGTCATTTTCCCTCCTCCCTCGTCGACCGAGGAGCAAGGTTTAGGAGGGATTAATTCGACCCCTAAGAAATCAAATTCAAACGCTGGGGAAATGTCGTGCAGCGAAGATGAAAGAGAAGACTTTGGAGCCGCTGAAGAGCATTCACTTATTCACGGTAAGCTCGCCTTTACTATTTTTTTTCTCCTCCTGAAGAAGGTCCATCTCTGTAACTTGAGCTCGCCTCCACCGCGATGCTAACGTTAGCCGGGGCTAGCCAGGAGTAGTCGGCTCGGGTCGTCCGTCACTCGCCATGATAGATTAGTTAGCTAACTTGGCCGGCGAGTGGCCGGAGCCCTCTCTCGTATCGCTCAGCCACGTTCGCGCTGCGCACCGCGACGGCGTCCCAGCGAATGTGGGCGTGAACTGTCAAAGTTTCGACGACGAGAAAAAAACCGCTAAGTTTCAACCCGCGCCGTTGTGCCATTCACGTCGAGTGTCTTCGTGCGCGCGTGCACGGGCCGTTTGCCAGCCGTGCCAGCGCGCGCTCGCCTGTTTTCCCCTCCGGCCTGCGGCGGCGGCGGAGCTCTCCTGTCCGCGTGTGCTTCCTCGCTCATGCGCGCGTGTCTCCGGCAGATGAGGACGAGCCGGAGGATGCTGTGTCTGACGTAGACGAGGTACCCAAATCAAAGAAGAAGAAGAAAGCCAAGAAGAGCAGCCGGGAGAGCAGGAGCAGCAAGAGGCAGAGACCTATCCGAGAGGTGAGTTTGTTGTCCATTCGAAGTTACAACCCCCCCCTCCCCCCACACACAAAAAAAACAAAACGGTGTGGCTCGTAAACATTATCGCAGATTCCCAATTTAATTGTTACAACCCGACCAACTTTGCATAATAAAATAACTGGTGCAGTTGCACTTAGATTGACAAAGTCTTGGAGGCAAAACTTCTCATGATGCAGTGAAGAAGCTAACAAACTACTACTCCCACTATCACTTGCTAAGTGGCAGCAATATGAACAAGCTCAATTATTGGTTGCTGGCTTCTATCTACAAAAATGAATGCCTTGATATCAGAAAGTGGCACATTTGACGTGTTTTCATTTGTTTCTGAGTTTTCTTTGCCTAAGTGGAGATGTATGCTTTCAGAGATTCATTTTGATTTTCTTTTGTTCAATATCCCAGATGAGCCTTAAAAAACGGAACAGTGAGCCGCAGAAAATCGTTTTATTGTCTTAATGATTGTGTAAATAATAATAATTAATAAGAGTCATGAATTAAAGCATAGTGAAATGATGCATTTTTAAAATTATATTCATTCCGTTTTCTTCTACATATAATATACAACCTTATCTCGTGACCACTGGAAGATGAGGTTTGTGAAACAGCTCGTCTAGCTACAACTCAGTGTTCTCATCGTAAAAGCAGCAAACTGCTTCTTCAGGTTTGCAAAGCAGTTGCATTTCTCTTATGGCAACAGTTTATCCCCGGAGCAGCAGCTTCGTCCAACACAACAGATCTTTCAACACACAAAGATGATATCATTTCTTAATGCCCCATTTGCTTGAAGATGTCTGTTTTGTCCTTCAGCCCCAAACCCTAACTAATAATGGTTTATAATGTAAAACAGTCCCAACTTGTAGGCATCAGAACCAGTGGGGAAAATGGCTTAATTGTTATTGAGTAAGGCAATTTATGTGTTAATTTACCAGGTTTTGTAACCATTTCACCTTCGTCTGAAATCAGTGTAAACGGTACAGTGTTGTGCATCACGAGGCCGAACACTGTGCGTCTTCATTCTCTGCCTAATAGAGCGGCATAACCTTAACAAGACACAAAACCCAAAGGATGTCTTTTTAATTTCCAATTTCTAAAGCCTTGTAAGCACCCATGTCTTTTTGTAATTAGCAAAGTGGTCCTTTGTCTTGCAGGAGCTGCCAGTCAGTTCCCCAGAGCAAATGATTGGAGTGGAGGCAGCAGAGAGGGATGCAGATGAGGGAGACATACGTTCAGAGAGTGAAGGAAGTGATTATGCCCCAGGGAGGAAAAAGAAAAAACGCTCCAGCTCTGCCAAAGACAAGAAGAAAGGAGGTAGCGCAGGAGAGAAAGGAGGCTCAAAGAGCAAGCGCAAAGATCCAGACCCAGAAGATGAGGAGGACGATGACGATGATTGCCAGGTAAAAACTCAGCCAGTCATGCAGGCAGAGTATAAAGTTAGCTCCCATGAGGCCACTGTGTAATTCTGACCTCCCTTTTGATTGTTCTTTTGAACCCATCTTCACCCACTTTAGCCCAAAAGCTCCACCCAGCTGTTGGAGACCTGGGGCATGAAAGACATTGACCATGTCTTTACTCAGGATGACTACAACTCCCTCACTAACTACAAGGCCTTCAGTCAGTTCGTCCGGTGAGTTCATCTCTTTTCAAATTAAGTGTTTATTTATTTGTCTACTAAGACCTATGCAGGTGTAAAATTGTTAGAGACCAACCAAAACCTTCCTCTCCATGTTCCTAGGCCTTTAATTGCAGCCAAGAACCCTAAAATTGCTGTGTCCAAGATGATGACTTTAATGATGGCTAAGTGGCGAGAATTCAGCACAAATAACCCGTTAAAGGTAATTCCAATGAGGCTCATAATCACGGGCATTTGTTCCTCACTGTAGGGTTAAGAGTAGAAGTTCTCACTCTTTTCTCTAACTGCAGGGTTGCGCCACTGCTAATGCGGCCCTGGCAGCTGCCAATGTGGCTGCAGCTGTGGAGAACATGGTGGTTTCAGGGGCTGATGGAGGGGCAGAGACTGGCCCTGCCACCTCCCCTTCATCTGCCCCTACTCCTGCTGCCGCCCCCACGCCCGCTGCCCCCCCAGCAGCTCCGGCGCCTCCACTCCGCAAGGCCAAGACCAAAGAGGGAAAAGGTAAAGTGGGATGACAGCTTGAGAGTGTATTGGAGCATATGATTTAGGATTGATGGTGTCTTTAAAGTCCATTTTCATTTTTGCATTTTCTTAGGTCCGAATGCTCGTAAGAGGTCAAAGCCTGCTCCCAAGCCTCCTCCTAAACAGAAAACCAAGAAGGTGGCTCCGCTCAAAATCAAACTGGGGGGACTTAACAGCAAGAGAAAGCGCTCCTCTGTAAGACACTGTGCTTTTCAGTTCATGTGCATATTTATGTTGCCACTTTTGTGTTGACTGCCTAAATATCCTCCCTCTCTCCGCCCTCGATTAGAGCGATGACGATGAACCTGATGTGGACAGTGACTTTGATGACGGCAGTTTTTCGGTGTCAGACGGCTCCAACCGCAGCAGCCGACCTAAGAAGAAGCCCAAGAGCGCAAAGAAGAAGAAGAAAGGTTGGCAAGAAAGCTGGATAGAAATTATGGATTTGAGAGTCATGCTCAAAGTAAGGGCGGTCCCACGTCACTCATTTCTCCCGCTTCCTTTCTGTGAACCTCCATCTCCTTAGTGGAAACTGAAGATGGTGATGGGTATGAGACTGACCACCAGGACTACTGTGAGGTGTGCCAGCAAGGAGGGGAGATCATTTTGTGTGACACCTGCCCCAGGGCTTATCACATGGTCTGCCTGGACCCCGACATGGAAAAGGCACCTGAGGGCAAGTGGAGCTGTCCGCACTGCGTGAGTACCTTTCCTCTTAACCGTTTGAGCTTCGTCTTGACTTTACTGGTAGAAATTTTAACCAATTTCTTGTGTTCTCTGTTTCCCTTTGTCCCCCCGCTCCTGTTCACACGCATCCTCTTTTATTCCCTACATCTTACCATCTGACCCCCCGTCCTCCATTTTCTCTTGCACTCCCCCCCACCCCCCCCCCTCCCCCCCCCCACACACCCCCAACCCCACCCCCACCCCTCCTCCCCCTGCTGTGTGTGTGTGTGTGTGTGTGTGCTCCTGCCACCAGGAGAAGGAGGGGATCCAGTGGGAGGCCAGGGATGAACTGTCCGAGGCCGAGGGGGAGGAAGATGACGACAGGAGGGACGACGGGCTGGAGGAGGAAGACGATCACCACATTGAGTTTTGCCGTGTGTGTAAGGATGGCGGAGAGCTGCTGTGCTGTGACACCTGCCCCTCCTCCTACCACATCCACTGCCTCAACCCTCCTCTCCCCGAGATCCCCAACGGAGAGTGGATCTGCCCCCGCTGCAAGGTGAGCGCTGAGCACTGGGACATCCAAGCAAGCGCATGCGCACGTGGGTGTGCACAAGGTTTGCACATTGTCACCTTGAGCTGGAAATGAAGAAGCTTTTTTTTCTCAAGATGTAGATAAGTTTCCCTGCAGCTGTTTCTGATGGACCATTTCAGTTTCACTGTTTTTCCTCACTGAAACGTTTTTTTTAAATAATATCCGTTCAATAGTTTATTTTAGTCCCTGATCTTAAGCTCTGCTCTCTCCATCCCCACCTTGTAACAGTGTCCCCCGATGAAGGGCAAAGTGCAGAAGGTTTTGACATGGCGCTGGGGCGATCCACCTCCCCCCATGCCCGTGCCTCGGCCAGCCGACCTGCCTGCTGATGCTCCCGATCCGCCACCGATGGTGGGCCGAAGAGAGAGGGAGTTCTTTGTCAAATGGTGCAATATGTCCTACTGGCATTGCTCCTGGGTGAAGGAGCTACAGGTACAGCTCTCCATGACAAAGTCTCTCATCCTGTTGATAACATTGTTTCATCTCTTACATAAAGACTCTTGTATATGTTTGTGAGAAACACACCTGACTGCTTCTCTTCCCCAGTTGGAGCTGAACTGCCAGGTGATGTTCCGTAACTATCAGAGGAAAACTGACATGGATGAACCACCGCCTGTGGACTTTGGAGGAGAGGGTGATGATGACAAGAGCACCAAGAGGAAGAACAAAGATCCACTCTTTGTCCACATGGAGGAGGAATTCTACCGCTACGGAATTAAGATGGAGTGGCTGATGATCCACCGCATCCTCAACCACAGGTCTGAAACAAAGGCAGTTTAGAGAAAGTGAAAAAAGAAATTAGATTCAAATTTGCTTTTCACAACTACCAAACTGAATTTGTATATTTGTTTTGCATGGTTTGGATAGACATAACTTTACTTTGTCAGAAACGATGACAAAAAAAACTAATGTGTATTGATGATAAACTGATCTTTCCTGTGTGTCATTTTCTTTTTAGTGTCGATAAGAAGAACAATGTACATTATCTGATCAAATGGAGAGATCTGGCGTATGACCAGTCAACTTGGGAGAGTGAGGACATGGACATCCCCGAGTATGACACCTACAAGCAGACCTACTGGAATCACAGGTGTGGAGAGGCTCAAGAGATCTTAAATTATTCTGTTCTCCAAGTATGTAAAGGTTAACTATGTTGTTGTCTCTGTTTGGCAGAGAGCTGATGGTGGGGGAGGAGGGAAGACCTGGAAAGAAGTTCAAGAAGCCAGTCAAGGTCAAAAAGGCTGAGCGCCCACCTGCTAATCCGGTTGTAGATGTGAGTTGTTTTTTTTTCTGTGGAAGTAACTTTTCTGTGACGGGGATAGGAAGGCTCATTAACCACATAAAGGGATAAGGGATGTGCGTTGGATGTCATCTTGCTTTCCTCCGTCCAGCCCACCATCAAGTTTGATCGGCAGCCGGACTACCTGGACAGCACGGGGGGCACCCTGCATCCCTACCAGCTGGAGGGGTTGAACTGGCTGAGGTTCTCTTGGGCTCAGGCGACAGACACCATCCTGGCAGATGAGATGGGTTTAGGCAAAACTGTTCAGACGGCTGTCTTCCTCTACTCGCTGTATAAAGAGGTGAAAAACTAGAGTTACAGTTGTTTGTTTTTGGTCATTTAAGTTCTGTATTGTTACCATTTCTCATTTTAAAATAATATTTCTTTACAGATAATGAAAAAAGTTAAATATAAGTTTTTATTGTTGCTGTTTTGTCCAGTCTGCCCTCCCCATCAGTCGGAATCAGTGGCTTGGGTTTCAGACATGTGACATACACAAACTTTGTCCAATAAAGGGGATGAGTTCAAAGTAAGGAACTCTATCCTAAAGGCAGGACAAGACAAACCGTTGTTTGCTTTCATGACGTTACTGTCAAGTAGCTTATCTTTGTGATCTTTTAGTGTATTTATATTTAGACTTGTCTGTATACAGGGTCACTCCAAAGGTCCCTTCCTGGTCAGCGCTCCTCTGTCCACCATCATTAACTGGGAGAGGGAGTTTGAGATGTGGGCGCCTGACATGTACGTGGTCACTTATGTTGGAGACAAAGACAGTAGAGCTGTTATCAGAGAGAATGAATTCTCCTTTGAGGGAAATGCCATCAGAGGAGGAAAAAAGGCCTCCAAGATGAAGGTAGGAAGCAGAAAAGAGCACGGTCATTTGAGTTGTTAAGAATCTCTTTTAGCTGCTGCAGTTTATTGCCAGTGAAGAAAGAAGGTTGACTGAAGTCTGTCTTTCTCTGCTTTTTACAGAAAGACTCCACAGTGAAGTTCCACGTTCTGCTGACATCTTATGAGTTGATCACCATTGACCAGGCTGTGCTGGGCTCCATCGAGTGGGCCTGTCTGGTGGTTGATGAGGCACACAGACTCAAGAACAACCAGTCTAAGGTAATAACAAAAGCTACTTTCCATGTCATTGTAATTATCATTGATGAGCCTTGAATCTTAAGTTTTAATGTTCGTCACTTTTATCCTTTTCTCCGTCTATTAGTTCTTTCGGGTTTTGAACAACTACCCGCTGCAGCACAAGCTGCTGCTGACCGGCACTCCTCTTCAGAACAACCTGGAGGAGCTTTTTCACTTGCTGAACTTCTTAACTCCAGAGAGATTTAAGTCAGTAGCTGCATACAGCTTATATCGCAGCAGAATTGGCTGTTTTTCCTGCTGTCACATCCCACACACATACAGAATGTTGATCATCTGTTTATTTGCAGCAACCTTGAAGGTTTTCTGGAGGAATTCGCGGACATCGCCAAGGAGGACCAGATCAAGAAGCTCCACGACATGCTGGGGCCGCACATGTTGAGGAGGCTGAAGGCCGACGTGTTCAAACACATGCCATCGAAGACGGAGCTGATTGTTCGAGTGGAGCTCAGCCCCATGCAGAAGTAAGTGAAACCAAAATGTGCCGTAACAAAAGCCAGCCGCTGTAAGTCAGCTGTTTTAATCATTATTCGCTCTTTGAATTGTGCATGTGGTGATCTGCTTCAATCTGAATTATGTCCGTGCAGACGCCATATTTTCTCATGCTTTGATTTTCTTTCTTTGCAACTCAGGAAATATTACAAGTTCATTCTGACTCGTAACTTTGAGGCTCTGAACACTCGTGGTGGTGGGAACCAAGTCTCTCTGCTCAATGTCGTTATGGACCTCAAGAAATGCTGCAATCACCCCTACCTCTTTCCAGCAGCTGCCACTGTAGGTGGTTTTAAGATGACGTGTTGTTTAATGATACCCACTCCTCTGAAACCCCTGTGATGCAAATACTTTGTTTTTCTCATTTCAGGAGGCACCTAAACTCCCAAATGGCATGTACGAGGGCGCAGCTCTGACTAAGTCCTCTGGGAAGCTGATGCTGCTGCAGAAGATGATGAGGAAGCTGAAGGAGGGGGGGCACAGGGTTCTGGTTTTCTCCCAGATGACCAAAATGCTGGATCTGCTGGAGGACTTCTTGGAAAACGAGGGGTACAAATATGAAAGAATTGATGGAGGAGTCACTGGTAACTTGAGGCAGGAGGCAATCGATCGTTTTAATGGTAAGATGTGCGTCCTCGGTGTGTCTTTTTAGCCTCTCGGGACAGCTGAGGGGCTGTTTGTCTCATTTTGATCTGCTCTCCATCCGAACAGCTCCTGGTGCTCCACAGTTTGCTTTCCTCCTCTCTACCCGAGCCGGTGGCTTGGGTATAAACCTCGCCTCTGCTGACACCGTTATTATCTACGACTCCGACTGGAACCCGCACAATGACATCCAGGTATGGCAGCAGCAGCTGTAAGCTTGAAACTATGCCCGTCTGTTTGCTATTTTGGATAATGGGGGATTTTTTTCTCTGATTTATCTCTAGGCGTTCAGCAGAGCTCATCGCATTGGTCAGAACAGAAAAGTGATGATTTACCGTTTTGTTACCAAAGCCTCTGTTGAGGAAAGGATCACACAGGTCTGTTAAAGGGAAACCTGTCTGAATATGCCAGTATTTTGTGATCTCATGCTAATTGCTTCTTTTTCCTTCTGCCGTCCTCCAGGTGGCAAAGAAGAAGATGATGCTCACTCACCTTGTGGTGAGACCCGGCCTCGGCTCCAAGACCGGTTCCATGTCGAAGCAAGAACTCGATGACATTCTCAAGTTTGGAACTGAAGAACTGTTCAAGGATGAAATTGGTGAAGGTGAGGCAATATTTAGTGCTCCAAGCTAAGTTAAGTTAAGGAGTTTGACTGGCTCTGGGGTCCAATCCTCTTTATGGGCATATCTAATTAGAGACATTTCACAGAGAAAATAACATTTTTGCTGTTTTTGCTTCAGGGGACAACAAGGAGGATGACAGCAGTGTGATCCACTACGACGACCACGCAATTGACCGGTTGCTTGACAGGAACCAGGATGCCACCGATGACACTGAGCTCCAGAGTATGAACGAATACCTCAGCTCTTTCAAAGTGGCCCAGTATGTTGTCAAAGATGAAGACGATGAGGTACAGTTTGGGTTATTTAAGCCTTTTATCTATGAATCACAGTATCTTTTCTTAAAATAAAACGAGGTTTTAAAAATTGTTTTAAACATTTTTTGTCTTTTTTTAAGGAGGAGGAAGTGGAAAGGGAAGTGATCAAGCAGGAGGAAAGCGTTGATCCTGACTACTGGGAGAAGCTGCTCAGGCACCACTATGAGCAGCAGCAGGAAGACCTAGCCCGCAATCTGGGCAAAGGCAAAAGAACTCGAAAGCCAGTCAACTATAATGACGGTTCCCAAGAGGACCGAGGTATAAGACAGGGTACAGAACAATATAAGCAACCTCTTCTCGTGTGTGCGTGCTGTGCGGTGCTGTTGGTGGACTTGTGTTTGTGTGGTGTTGATGTAACATGTTACTGCTTTAGTTTTTTTTAACCTTGTCCTGTTCAGCATTATGGCAGCAAAACTAAACATTTTGCTTCGCCAGGGAAGTTTTTAGCTATTCTATTTTATTTATTTATTTAGAAACCTGATAAACTTGCTGTAAAAAAAAAAAAAAGATTTATTCTACATTAAATTAATTTGCCTGTGTTTGAATCACCTCCATATTTGACTTGATTTAGTGATTTAGTGAAGAAAATGACTCAATAGGAATATAAAGCTGTTTGTTGATCATTCAAAATTGCATCAATTTATAATTGAGTGTTGTTTTATTTCACCAGTGTTTATTATACACAGAAACAAAACAGCTCAGGATTATTTTTCTATAGTTTATTGATGTAAAATTATAATTGATTAAACAAATCTCAGTTCTTGTTGGAAAGTTTTTATTTTTTTTACCAATTAAAGGCTTTTTTTTTTCTCATCCTCCTTTTTTATGTTAGACTGGCAGGAAGATCAGTCGGATAATCAGTCCGATTACTCGGTGGCTTCAGAAGAGGGCGACGAAGACTTCGATGAACGTTCTGAAGGTAAGGCTTAGCCTTAGTGTTTGTTTAAATGCCCCAAGCTGTTAGGGCTGAAAGGTGGATTCTAGTGGAAGAAATACCGTCAGTCAGCCATTCCCGATCTGACTGCTGCAGGGTTTTGAGGAATCATTTCCACAATCCACGTTTGCGCACTAAAACCTTCCAACCACTCCTGCATATTTTTATTTAGATTCAGACGACAGCTATGACGTCGTCATCACCATCAACAACAACTCATGAGACACCAAGTGTCAGAGCACCGTCTGCACTGAGCATAGAGAGGCAAGGCAAGGCAGAAAGAAAGAAAGAAAGAAAGAAAGAAAGAAAGAAATGGACGAAAAAGAAAGCAAAAAGAGAAAACCAGTCATGTCCTGATCAGCTCAACTGTTTTCTTCTTTTAGTAACACTTTGAACTTGTTCCCTATCAATTCTTAAAGTCGTGTTTGAAACATTTTTACCAGTTGATCAATCTCACGTATTTAAGTAATTTTTGTACAGATTTCCTTTTCAATGACGTTCAATGACGACCCTGTTACTTCTGTTTTATTAAATTGAAAATATCTCCGTGCTGCTTTTGACTGTTAAACCTCTGTAAGCATTACACTTCCTGAGAATATTATTGTAAAAATGAGGAGAGCTTTTGGAAGAGGGACAGCGTCAGCAGGAACAGCAGTGAGCCGTAAGTGCAATCATAGGACGATAAGAGCACACAACCATGCACTGCCATCTTCGGTTGAATTTCTAATCTCTCTTTTTGATTGTTTAAACTTTGTGTGATGTTTGGAGTAGGTGTTTCATGTGAGTTGAGCAGAATTTGTTTCCGTCCTCGCAGCCAACGCCCGCAGACCGAACCGCAATAGGCTGAGAAACGACAGGGACAAGCCTCTGCCTCCTCTACTGGCCAGGGTCGGCGGGAACATTGAGGTAAGTCCTCTACTAAGCCTGAAGTTCCTTCTCTGTTTAGTATTTATTTGAAAAGACATCAGTGGACAGCAGGAGTGAATCATTGGAAAATAAATGAGTTAAAGTCAGAACAGGGCGTCTTTTGTCTTTGTTTCAAAGTCTGATCTGATCTGACCTGCGTTTTGACTTCTCAGGTGCTGGGTTTCAACGCCCGGCAGAGGAAGGCTTTCCTGAACGCGGTTATGCGTTATGGGATGCCACCGCAGGATGCTTTCACCAACCAGTGGCTGGTCAGGGACCTGCGAGGGAAATCTGAGAAAGAATTCAAGTGAGCGCGTTTGATGTATTTGCTCGTCTCAGAGCTAAGATTTCAAATGTTCAAAATTGTTGTTGTCTTTTGGTAGTTTGAATATAAAAAAATGGGTTATGGATTATTTAAACAGCTTAGCAGTCCCTAGTTTTCTTGATTTGATCTACAAAATGTTTCCTTTTTGCATTCCTGATACATTTGTTCACAGCTCAAAGATTTGGGCACCATGTTTTCCTTTTTTCAAACTCTCCTCCATGTGTCCGCAGGGCCTATGTGTCTCTGTTTATGCGTCACCTTTGTGAGCCGGGAGCTGACGGAGCAGAGACGTTCGCAGATGGTGTGCCACGCGAGGGTTTGTCAAGGCAACACGTGTTGACTCGCATCGGTGTGATGTCACTCATAAGGAAGAAGGTCAGTGTAATGCACATTTACTCCTAAGCCGTCCTCCGCAGGCATGTGATGTTAAATCCCTGATGGTGAGATACAATGACATGGCATTCTGCCACACAGGTCCAGGAGTTTGAACACGTCAACGGTCAGTGGTCGATGCCTTGGATGGCCGAGCTGGAGGAGAACAAAAGAGCGGCTGCTTTAGCTGCAGGTGAAGACCCCAAAACTCCTTCATCTGGGACTCCTGCGGACACACAGCCCAACACTCCTGTCCCAGGTAAACACACTGACTTCTCATAGATTTGAATCATTTTTGAATTACTGCTTTTGTACTTGTTCTAGTTACCCAAAGGCCCCTACTTCTCCAACACAAATTGAGTTTTTGGGCTGAATTTAAAGCAGATTGACTATTTTTTGATTTTCATTTGTGAATTCCTCTTTGCTCCAACATCGGCTTTCAACCTAAAGAAGCATTAGAATAATTCTCCCCCAGACAGCTTCACGTGGACTGATGCCACCTAGTGGATGTAAATCAGAAAGCTGCTACATTTTCTACTCATTAGAGTCCCACATGCACATTTTAAAATCTAAAAAAGTTAATGTAAATAATGGAAAATCAAAAGATGGAAATATCTTCACATATCTGTTATTGCCCTCTGCTCTGATTTCCCAGAAGATTTGTCTAAGTCAGAAGACAAAGAAGATGTGAAGAAGGAGGGAGAGGACGGCAGGGCAGCTAAGAAGGCTGATGATCCCGAGGTAACAGCTGTTATGTTGCTGTTTTTGATTCACTTAACATGGTTTTTACTCAGTGTTCATCTTTGTAGTTAACCGATTAACATTTTAGGCTTTATTATATGACTCTTGTTAGTGCTGTAATTATCATTTTTGCTGTACGTTTTTACTGATACTGAACTGACCATCTCTCCCCTAGATAATTGAAATCCCAGATGAGTCTGAAAAATCCCCCGTTCTTGAAAAGAGAGAGGACCCTGTTGCAGAGAAGGAGGAGAAACTTAAGGATGAAAAAGATGAAGGGAAGGAAAAGGAAACTGAAGAGAAAGACGAGAAGGAAAAGCCTTCAGCTGCTGCTGGGAAAGATTCTTCCTCCAACAAGGTTGACGGTTCAGAGGGCAAAACTGACTCAGAGGAGGACAAGTCCAAAGGTCTGGTAGTTGATCACTTATTTACAAAACTTCATTTACAGGAATAATAGATTTCAATCGAAGTGTCTAAGAAAAATTACAGCTTCATTATTCAACATAGATAGAATTATTGTCATTATGTACTTTACCATCAACACAAATAGTATTATAGAGCAATAGAAACCAAACCGGGGGGCTGTCTGTTCATAGAAACCCCAGCCTCAGTTTTTTCATTCGGCTTAATTCATGGATGGCTATTTTATCTGAACTGTGCTTCTCTTCCAGCTGAAGAAAGCAAAGATGAGAAGATGGACACCACACCCCCTACAGAGGAGAAGAAAGGTTTGCTGATATACCCACCCATATGAATTTTTCTGTGTTCTGACTTTTTTAACATAGTCTCAGCTGTACCGTTGTTCTTTAAAATGAAAGCAGGGCATGAAACCATTTTATTCCTTTTTTTACTTCTGCAGAACAAAAAGAGGAAAAGGACAGCTCGAAAACAGAAGACTTAAGCAAACTGCAGAATGGGGAGAATGCCAAAGAAGGAGGAACAGCTGCGCCGGTGGTTAACGTCAGCGAAGAGAAGAAGAAAGCCACCAAACAGAGGTTCATGTTCAACATAGCTGACGGGGGATTCACAGGTGGATGCACTCTCCTTTCTATTCTGCTTTTTCTCTTTCATATCGGCCTGTTTTGACCTTCCTGTCCTCTTTCCCAGAGCTTCACTCTCTGTGGCAGAACGAAGAGAGGGCTGCAACCGTCACAAAGAAGACTTTCGAGATTTGGCACCGTCGCCATGACTACTGGCTGCTGGCTGGAATCATACAGTATCCTTGAAACCAGAAAATTGTTGAACAAAGTCCAGATATTGAGTAGGGAAGTTCCGGTCCTTTTGTCTTTTAAAGGTCAGCAGTCCTGTCCAATCTTTGACGGACAACTTCACTAGGGCGAAAGGAGACAAAGGCAAAGTTAGAGTTTTTTAGGCCACTGTGCAAGCCGATTTATTCCCAGTAAAAAATTTCCACACCGTGAGCCTGGAAATGTCCAGGATTTTTCTGTAGAGGAGAATCAACATATGCGTCAGGTTGCTTGAAAAGTCCTGTCTGCCACTAAGTGGCAGCCCAGGGACGGCTGCGTTGTTGTTCTTAACCGCGGCGTCTCTCAGACACGGCTATGCCCGGTGGCAGGATGTGCAGAACGACGTGAGGTTTGCCATCATCAATGAGCCCTTCAAAGGGGAGATGAGCCGAGGAAACTTCCTAGAGATCAAGAACAAGTTTCTGGCCCGCAGGTTCAAGGTGAAATCAGCATCCAAATAATGCAGAAGTCCTCCAGTGTGCGTGGCTTTTTCTTTTGTCATGTCTCACCAGTTGTTTGGGGCCTGTCTGTTGCCCTCACAGTTGCTGGAGCAGGCGTTAGTGATCGAGGAGCAGCTGCGCAGGGCAGCCTACCTGAACATGACAGAGGACCCAGCCCATCCCTCCATGGCCCTCAACACTCGCTTCAGTGAGGTAGAGTGTCTCGCCGAGTCCCATCAGCACCTCAGCAAGGAGTCCATGTCTGGAAACAAGCCTGCCAATGCAGTGCTTCATAAAGGTAAAACATGTGCAAGATCAAAGGAGGGCAGAAAGGGTTCTCATGTACTTTATTCTAAAGTACAGGAGCTGCCAAGGGAGTTTTTAACAAAAATGAAGGGACTATTTGATAAATACACAGCACATGGTTTTACTTCTTTCTGGAAACTGTGAAACTCGCCTCGACACGAGGCCTCAAATCGTGTTTCGTGACAGATGTGTATTCATGTCCAGTGTTGCACAAGGAAGCCATTTTTCTACCAGTAATGCGTTTTTCTGAAACTATATATCTGATATAATGATTCCGAATAAATACAAAAATGTCTTAACATGTTCGATACAATGTGAAACAAATACATTTTGTCTTTTAACTTTTAAACCCAATTAATTTTTAGACCGTATTGATGCTATTTTTTTATTTGCCTTTCAGTGATAAATTAAATTTTTCTCATTGAAATATATTCAATTTCCATCTTTTCTTATGTCATTCCTGTTTTTCCTTTTACATTGCTCCCTCCCATTATAAGTGAATTCCTTTTTTATTTCATCTCAGCAGCATGCATCTTCTTAAAGATGTACTTATTCTGCCTTTTATGATTGTTGTGTTTCTTTTAGATTATGGCAGTTTAATTCAGCCATAGGAGGTATAGACTCAGAGAAAAATGGCACAAATTCATATTTACTGCAAACAGTGAATGACGAGAGCGGATCACGGCATCAAATGAACTCATCTGGCTGTTTGCGTCAGAAACCGCCTCAAACGTAGTTAAGAATAATGTATGACAGGGAGCTGTCGTATTGCAGCTGTTGCATATGAATATCAGGGTGTGTCTGCTGTCACAATGATTTCTTAGTGATGAAACGTGGCCAGAAAAAAAGCAAACTTCTCTTTTTTCCCTGGTTGGATAAGATCAACAAGAGAAGTGATGACAGGAGGAATGACCTCACATTTGAAGGAAATGTCTAAAAATGACAAAAGAAAGGAGCCCTTGCAAATGCTAAAAAAATGGATTTAGTGACATTTACATGTTGAAATGTGTAAAACAGGACAGACGTGTGTTTACGAGCGGTCCTCACGGCCTTGCTGATGACTATGTTGTGTTTCCAGTTCTCAAGCAGCTCGAGGAACTGCTGAGCGACATGAAGGCTGACGTCACTCGTCTCCCAGCCACCATCGCCAGGATACCCCCCGTGGCTGTGCGGCTGCAGATGTCCGAGAGGAACATCCTCAGCCGATTGGCCAGCAGGGGCCCTGAGGGCCCGGCCCAGAACCAGTCACAGACCTCGCAGCAGATGCAGGTGCAGCGCTGACCTTTCACCCCCGCCACATTTTAGACCCACTGACTGAGGCTAGTCGCTCTCACCTCACCACCATGTAGCAGACGCCCCCCCCATCCCACATGTACAGTAAAAATCAGGTTTAGTCCCTCTCGCTCTGCGTCGACGCTTCATCTCCGGACTCAGAAGGGCGTTAGCTGCTCGGCTGAACTTTGTTTTTGAAATACAGACCTGAGGATGAATGATGGGAATAAAATAAAGACTCTTTTTCACTCTGCGACTGGATACAAACGCTTCTCCTCCGTCTGGGATCAGACTCAGCTCCTCTGTCCTGAGCACTGAACGGCAGGCAGCTCCCCCGGCCTGTCCTGACAGCAGGGTCAAACGTGTGTGTGTGTGCGCGTGTGTGTGTGCGCGTGCGTGTGTAACATGTACATGAAGCAGGAGAAGACGATGAGAGCAAAAGCAGCATGTTCGGAGTAAACTGCTGCTTTGTAGTGACTTTTGGATTATTGAAGAATTCAAGAGATGTGCTCATTTTCTCCTTTAGCAACTTGTGAATTCACAAAAGTTTGGTTAGAAGCCATTTAATTATAATGTCCTCACCCGTAAGCGTGTGATGAGGCTGCGTGTTTCCTGTATGTATGTGTATATGAAACCGGGCATCTTGTTGTGCATCTCTACTGCAGAACGCCCGGCCACTGACTGACCATCACGGTCATTTCTGCATCGGTCAGTCAGATCTGTTACCTCTTCTTGTGTCGGTTGTCCTCATTGCCCTGTCAGGTGACCTGATCTAGGATCAGCTCTTTGTGATTACACACCCAAACCAGCACCTTGACATTCCCAACTTTACCACAGATTAGCCCCCGGGAACGTTCCTGAAATAGAAACATTTAAATAGCGCCACAGCTATTAGGTCTACGGAGGGTTTTCAGAACAATGGCAATCTTCTGTTTATTTAATTTCTTACTGTCTGTTGTTATGTTGTTTTACATGATTAAATATTGTTATTGTTACCACCACCATTGTTTTTATTGTTGCTGTTTTTATTGACTACAATAAAAAAGAGAACAGTTTCTCAATCGTCCCTCTGTCTCCTGGAGTTTTTTTTTTCTAGATGCTGATGCATTTTAGTAAAACATCTCAAACATGTGGAAAGAGACCAAAAAGCAAGTTTTCATATCATCTGATAGCTGCTTCTCTACAGGGACCTCGGCATTTCTGTTGGAGTGATGGGCCTCATCCAGCTCTAAAGGTTATTAAAGGTCATCGTTTTGATGATGGCATTTGACCGTTGATGAAGAGAAAAAGGGACCAAAGACCTTCAGCAGCATCAACATCTGACCACGATGGCTGTAGCTCATGAATTAAAGTGAAAGGAGACAATTTGCTTGATTCTTAGATGCCATGATCAGAATTCTCATCATATTAAGCCACATCTTAAATCCTGAGTGTAATGCCACTATAATAGCAACAGATCTCTTTTGTGAACGCTGCATGTGCACAGTCATAACATGAAAATTGGACTATGATATCTTCACCTGGGATTTGAAGAACATATGTAGAAAACATCCAGGTCTAAAGCTCTTATCCGAGTCATCAAATGCCTTTGATGCCCGCTCAGAAAGGGCAAACCTTCACAAAAAACAATACATGCCGTGCTTTGCATACATGCCTTAAAAGATGATGTGGAATTTACATGGAAGCAAATGAGAGATGACAGGTGGAAAGCCGTTGTTTTGCTGGGCAGGGCATGAGAGGAAAAGCAAGGCAAGAAGGAGACAGGAACTGGCACATTTTCTCCTACAGATAGTGGGGTAATTAAGAAAAATTGGAGAAAATTACAGGGTGGGAGTACAGAGTGAGCTGAGCGTTGATATCTTATCATAAAAGAGACTTGGAGCCGAAGCAGAAGCCGGGCCGTGAGTTTACGGTATTCCCAAAGTCAGGAGAGAGGCAGCTAACCTTGACAAAGAAATGTTTCAACTCTTTGTAATGTAATGTGACCGTTTTTGTGATTGTGTTTGGACGACACAACTCATTCTCCATTGTGATCCCAAAAGCCGAGCGAAGAGAATAGACCACGCCATGTCTTGTGGGTGAGCTGATTTTTTTCCCCGTATTCTTGTGTCCAGGTTAGTTGTAGATATTTTTATCTCTGATATCCTTCTTACCCTTCTCCTTTATAAGTATCTTTCCTCATTTGTCCCTTTTATCGTCCCAGACTGTTTACCTTCAATTGACCAAGTTACCTCAACACATAAATAATAAATCTTGTTAAAAAGTCGAGACGAGGAATGAGGAATACATAGAGGACTCATTCTTACAACTGTATATTCTCTATTATTTAGTTTAAAGTATATTTATTAACTGTATGTAGTACTGTAGTACTGTATCACAAAACATCTAAAACATCTGTGTAAAATGCCGGAGTTTTAAGTTTTTAGAGACTTGAAATTGCTGAATTCAACTGTTTTCAACACTCGTACATAATGTGAAATTGTAGTTGTAGTGAACTCTTGCAATTGCAAATTAACTTTCAGCTCCAAGTACATCAAAGTAGTCTCTAACATTAGCATTGTATTGGTGTTAACAGCGGGGGAGGAAACATCCAGATCTTTTACTACAGGAAAAGGTTGCTGGTTGCTCAGGATGGGAAAAGTGTCGGATAACCCCCGGGCTTTCCCTGTTTGTGTGTCAGTGTCCTCGGGCCAGTGAAGGGAAGCCTACCTTGTGCTAAGTTTAGTCAGACACCTGTTAAAAAAATAATAATATAGGCTATTTATAATAGCCCTGCATAAAAATGTATTTCGAAAAAAAAACAAGGTAACAAAATAAAATTGGACATTGTCCCAAATGAAACAAAGCCTAAGCTTCTCTACTCTGAACCAATCAGGACTTAGCATCAGTTGCTCCTGTCACTCGGCCAATCACCAGACAGAGCTGCAGGCCTGCATGTTGTCAACACTCTGCCCACAGACTGCTTAATATCCAAATTAATTAACTGTGACACATCTGAAAATCTTTTTTAGGCATCTGGTAAAGTCAGCAGGTTTGAAAATGTTGTAATAGTTTATAGGTTGTTAGGGGATCGGGGGGGGGGGGTGAGGCCTTGTGTAAATATGCTGATTGTAAAAGAAATGAAAACAAAAATATCTTATTTAGAACATCCAAGAAGAGTTTTCTCTCTAATAGTATTAAACAACTTGAAGTGGAAACCTGTTATTGACTCAGCAGCTTGAGTCCATTTCCTCATTCACTATCAACCTCTGAAATATTTTTTGAGCGAAAAACTGCACGATGAGAAAAGATCCCCTGAAGAGCAACCGTTTACCGCGGTGATCCACCAAAAGGGCTTTGACCAGCTCAGGCGGGCAGAGCTCTTGGTCTGTCCGCGTCCATGGCAGCCTGAGACGCGGAGCTCCAACATGTCAAAAGAGGAAGAGAGGTCAAACCAACTCCACACGCCACTGCAAACTGCAGAGCTGCAGTTGCTGGCGTTAACCTCCACGACACCTGCAGGCGGTGTGTGCGTGAGTGTGTGTGTGTGTGTGTGTGTCGTGTGCAGGCTAACGCCGCACTGTACCATCTACTGTGCTTGTCACTCTGCCCACAGACTGAAGCAGGCCTTTTACAACTCCAACTGCAATGATCAGTCAGCCCTTCACACACTTTACGCTGGCATCAACCAACCTCACACTTCTTGTTTGCGTCAAAGCTCTTTTGATACAATTTGTGGCAGTTTTCCCATCCATTAAGTATCAAGCAGCTTTTTAAAACATCTCCCGTATTAAAAAAGTAAAGCTTGCTCCTGCCAATGCTTTACATAGTACATTTTACTTTTACACACACAAAAACATGCAGAGGGGGTGGAAGGGGGGGGCTATGCTGCAAATGAGGAAGTGTTCAACTCTGAATCTGATGTCTGCTTCATGCACACGCCCGTACACATCTGGAAGTAGAGAACAGATAAGCTGCAGACAGGTGGGCGGAAGGGAAACACTTGTGCAAGTACTTTCTGCGTGGCAAACTAAAACAAGGGCTTGCTCAGAAAGGCAAAAAGGTGCTCAGACTGCGTGGAAGTCCTGCCACCTCCATGGAATCCTCGCTCTCTTGTGATTCACCAATGAAGGGAGCCACTTAGAACCACCTCTGCTGCCCGCTGTGCTGAGATCTGGCCTGGTGCTGAAACCTGTGGTTGTCATTAAAAGGAGAAAAAAAAAAGTAACAGCATCTCTGTTAGTCGGAGGAATTCCGGCCTGTCAGCTATTTTTGTTCCTGTCTTGCTTTCACTATTTTGTGAAAGGAGACATAAAAAGGAAGGAAGGGGAGAGCGAGAGAGAGGACGACACAGAGGAGGAGGGAGACAGACAGACAGACAGACGGATACAGGCTGAACGTCTGTGTGAGTTTCAGTTGCGTTCAGGAGCATCAGAGAAGAGTAAGTGTTCACCTGCTTGTGTAGAGGGACGGAGAGGGGCTGGACAGGGAAGAGGAATAAGTGGAGGGGAAGTGCCAGAGTGAAAGGCTGTGTGGGCAGATGGTAATGTGTGTGTGTGTATTTGTTTTTTCTGACACGGAAATATGGGAATGATAGTTTTCAGACGATAAGATCCGTGCAGAGAGGTTGTGTGTCAGAGAAAAGAAAAAAAAAGACAGTGACTTCGCCTAAATGTCAGCGAGCCTAAAGTGAGGAAGTAGTGAGCAGGGGGGACAGTCCTCTGCCTTTCAAGAGACTAGCGATCCGAAAAAAGAGAATTCATTTGTGAGTCTGCACGTGTGGCACAGGTACGAGCGCCTCTTGGCCGATCAGTCGTCTTCCGTTCGATCCCAGGTAGCAGACAGGAGGAGGCACCATGGTCCGGTGAGTCAGGCCTGGGCTGCCCGGCGCTACTCATCTCCGCCGGTGTCCTTTGTGCTGTGTGCAAGGCGTTGCTGGCGACTTCTCTGTTTCCATTCCTCCTTTTTTTTCTGTCTATCGCGAGCCGCGGACTCGTCCTGCTGCGCTCCCCCGTGTCATGTGATGCCGTGTGTGTGTTCGCTCCAGCCTCTGTTTTCGGGAGGAAAAAAAACAAAAACAAAGTTTCAGAAAATTGCATTTAAGTTGAGAAAAAAAATTCCAAGATCCTTGGTGTTGTGTGCTCCCTTTTTGTCCTGAGCTCTTCTGGCTTTGTGTGTCTTAATTCATTTCTTGCGTAAACGTTGACTTGTAGGATTTTAAAGTTAAAGGCACAAAAAAAAAAAAAACATGTGCACACTCAGCATTCTTCCACAATGGCAGGTGGAGTTTGTCATTGGGCTTAACTGCACCTTTGTAACTAAAATCTGCCCGCCAGGTTGTAAAATAATCTGATTTCGAGCTGTAAACACGCATCTAGTCCTCGGTGATAATAAAAACAACCGCCTGGGCTGGAAGTGGCGACAGAAACCAACCCAGACGTAATTACGGGTTTGTTGTAATAACCAAACCAAACGGCAACAGCAAACGTGTGTTCAGTTTGTTGCTGCGTTTTACTGGGTGACTTCATGCTGATGCTGCCCAAACCAAACAGTTCCACGATTCTTCAGCTTCTTGTGTGTGTGGCCCATCGTCTGTATTCATACAAACATTCTGTATGTTCCCAGGGAAATGCTCCTGAAACTAGTCTTCATTTAGAGAGCAGGGACTTTGAACTTGTCAATGATTTGCTTCTGTTGCAGTGATTGTGTCAATTAATCATCCATTGTCTGAAAGAAGTCAAAATTGAGAGCAACTCAAATGGGAGAAAACATGGATAAATCCAAAAACCCAGAGAGGACAGTGGTTCTGGTTGTGTCCGGTCTGTGCCTGTCTCAGAGTCTCTCTTTCTGCCATGCGTGTCCTCGTGCAGGTGGTTCCACAGAGACATCACAGGCCTGCAGGCCGAGGAAATCCTGAAGGATCGCGGCATTTCTGGCAGCTTTTTGGCTCGACCCAGCAAGAAGAACGTTGGAGATTTCTCCCTGTCTGTCAGGTAGTTTTTCAATGGTTTCTGAAACTCCAAAGACAAGCTTTACTCTGTTACGCTGTTACTCTGCTCAACCCGAAAAATGTACACCTACATGGAAGGCTCAGCTCCACGAGGGCTGAAAAAGCGAATTGGAAACTTGAATAATTCTTTTTCAGACCTTAAATGTCAGAGTGTGAAAAGATGTGATGAACATATTCTGAATAGAAACACAGTTTTCTGGGTGATTGTGATTTTGGGGCCGACGGATACTTAAACATTCAGGTATGACACATGGGTTCTGTCTCTGAAGATGCCGATAGTACGCAGCACACATCTGTAGAAAACATACATAACAGCAGCCCAATCTCGCTAATGGGTTGTGGCTGCCTCAGGTTAAAGATATTTCCAATGATTTTTCTAAGCAAAAGTAACCCAAAATGACATGGAAAAAGAAAGAAAAAAAAATTAAATAATACTTGAAGTTCTCAAGCAATCTTAATGGAGGTGGTTTGTCAAAGAGAGCACAGATATAAGTGTCACTTCTTTATGGAATAATAGTGATGACAAGATAAAATCCAATTTACAGGAAAGACTTTGTTGTATCTGATTAAGCTGTTTTTTTTTTACTTTATCTGGTCTGTGGCCTTTGTTCTTTTTAAACTCCAACGGAAGGCTGTGAATCAACAGCTCTTAAATAAATAGATTGTTTATCATATTGTTCTTTTTTTCCATCATGCAATTAAAGCTGTCGTATCAGGGGTTTTGATACTGAGGTAAAAAGCTAACGTTGTTTTTCCGTCCTGGTTTTCTGTTTGGTCAGAGTGGGTGACAGTGTGACCCACATCCGCATCCAAAACACTGGAGACTTCTACGACCTGTACGGAGGAGAGAAGTTTGCCACCCTGTCTGAGCTGGTGGAGTACTACACGACAGAGCATGGCATCCTTCAGGACAAAGACGGCACCGTCATTGAGCTCAAATATCCCCTAACTTGCTCCGACCCCACCAATGAAAGGTGCCTTTTCTCTTATGAATCGTTCCTCTAACAGGGAACTCTTTGCAGTCCCCTTCACGGGGGCCTGAACCTACTCCTCTCATTCAGTCAGATGAGGTACTATGACCTGCCACAGTTCCTCCATGTGCCAATTTTGTAGCAGTTATGATAAGTTAATGTTGTACTTGCTTTAATCGTTTCTTCTAAGACAAAGGTCACGGTGAAACAGTTTCAGAGGCAGGATCTTTGATTCACTGAGTAGAAAAAATACGTCCAAACTTTTGTGCTGTTGGGGCTTCGTTCCTACAGCTATCAAACGGCTACAGCTTTTGGAAAAAATGCTAGACGTGTTGACATTATTAGAGGTGGGAAGTAGCAAAGCAGTTACTCAAGTACCTTACTGAAACACAACTGCGTGTTACTCAAATCTTTCCACGGTCAAGACGAGACTTTGTCTCCTCAGTGTTCCAGATGGAGGCTTTTCTGTAATTCAAGTGATTATCAGAGATCTTCTCCTCCTTCCTTGGGTTAAAGATCAGAAAAGAGCTGAAAACAAAACCTGACGGGAAAAGCCAATCTCAGCATTTTGAGTGACTAGATACTGTATATTTAAATGGTTTTTATATTGGAAAAATGATGAGCCTTTTAGGATCCATAACTGCGTGCGTGTGGCTACTGGAGAAAAGATACCACAGTGACGTCTAATAACCTCATCAAAAGCCAAAGTGTTGTTGTTGAAATGTCCATAATACAGCGGCTAAACTGCTGGAAATGAATTCAAGTTGCTTTAGGTGGTTGAAACGAATCTTAACTTGTCCTTGCTTTTTCCTCAGCTCCTATTCTGATTTACGCTCAGCACAACTTCCTTTTGTTTAGTTCAACAATTTAAAGATATCCATGTTCGTGTCAAACGCTGCACTGTCATTCTGCAGAGTGAAGCAGAAGCAAGTATTTAACGTAATACACCAATTTAAGTAGAATCAGACAAAAAGTAAGACAATTCTAAATCTTTAATCTGAAATAGAAAAGGCAGATCTTTTTTAGAAGAAGATCAAATAAATCTTTTACTTTATAGTACAACTGAGACATCAGATTTAGATGATATAATAATTTATCATAGCCACAAGATATCACAATAACAATATATGTGCCGTACTTTTAGTATTGTGAGCAAATTACTCAACATGATTTAGTGTCTTTGTTGTTTTTTGTGTTTTTAAATGGATTTTTGTAGCCAGTTATGTATGCATAACTGCAGAATGAAAAGATGGGAAATTTATGTGATCTTTTGTGAACTTTTTTATATAACTTTTTACAATTTTTTAAATCTAATTATTATTATCACAGTAAATGGAAAAACATTTAACTTCTAAAGTAAATCGAAAATTGTATATCATTAAAAATAAACAGATATAGGTGAACAATTAAAGAAAGAACGAAAGAAAGACAGAAAGAAAGAAAGTGTTCTAATCAAACCGTGTTGTGCAATAGGTCTTGAGTCATACGTGCTGATGTTCTTTTTCCAACAGCATGAAATGCTTCATCTGCACCTGATTTGATTGAATACTTTGAGAAAACAGCATCTACACTTTGAAATATGCAAATAACATGCTCATTTTATTGAATGATTTATCTTTAATTATCGTAAAAATAGCATCAAATGTCCACAAAATACCTATAGTGTATTTTTGCAGGATATTAATGTATGTTTAAGATTAGATTAAGGTTTCAGGGCACAGGATTACAGAAGGGAGATGTTTTTATTTATCAGTTAAAGAGGATTTTTTCACTATTAGTTATCTTAATTGCTGCTTAACAATGCCTCAAAGTGGTTTCCACAGCCTCTCCACTCAAATATAATATAGCTGTGGCTATATGTCCATATACTTGTTAAACAATTACATTCGGAGCAGTTTTTACAGCTCTGAAATGGAAACTTGTTTGATTCTTTTGTACTTTTCATATGCAGTTAAATACAATGATTGTGTTTGCTGTGAAATCTGGTACCTTTATAACAGTAATACCCCATAATTATTAATATATTTGCTACCTGAGCATCCACTTTTTAACCTATCGTTTCGGTTGCAAAATTGGGTTGTTCATTACTCAGCGCTGAGTTCTCACATGCAATGTTGGGTTACTAAATATAGTCACTTGAAAAAACAGATAAGTTGTTTGCTCCCCTGATGCATCTGAGTATCAGATAAGAGTTTTGTCTCTAATCTTTCCACCCTGAGCTTTTGAATTCAGACGTTTTTTTCTGCCGGAGGTGGTAGCTAACTGATGGCGTTTACCCCCCAGCTGGAAACACCGAGCGCCTGCAGGCTGCTGGAACTAGGTTGATGTCCAACTTGAGCAGTATGAGCGTCAAGGAGGACATTACTTTATACTGAGTGTGTGTGACAGCTGGAAGCTCAAGCCCCCCCCCCCCCCCATCCTTCTACCTCTCTGTGTCAGTTTACTAACTTCCCTTTTGTTGCTGCGGTTGGAAACTTTAAGTTTTGACACTTTTGAAAGCAATGGCCAGACCCTGCTTGTCTTCCTCTATTGCACACTTCATTATGTTCTTGCTCACTCACTATCTTCCTCATCTAACCAGAGCAGGCTCAGCAGAGCACCATCACATCGAGCTCAGCAGGTTCCTTTATGGCAAACTAAATTAGATGTCAGATAAAAAAAATGACACGTTCTGATTAAACCGCCTTCTGAAACAGGTATGATGCTGCGGCTGAACTCCACACACCTCTTCTTTTCTGCGCTGCAGCATCTTCCTGCAACATGCTGGAAATAAAATCCATATAGTGGACTTTTATTTGATTTCGCCATCTACTGTAATATTGACAATTAAACCAAACAACTGTTTAACTGTTCATTTGGCCAGTGGGCACGGTGTGGTGAGCTGGAGGGGAGGCTGAGGGAGGGGCATTTGTAGATGTTACAAATCGAAAGGGGGAGGCTATAAATACTTTGTCCTGTTCAGCCACGAAATCTGTCATCAGAAATTTTCCAACCACACACAGGAAGTTAAGAAGAAGAATTCGAGAACTGAGCCTAAAATTAAGTCACACTCAGCCTAACTGAGTATGCAGTCAAACGCACAGAGAACGTTGGTGGACAGAAATAACCACGCAGAACTGCAATATCTCCTCATGCTGTTTTTATCTCTTCATCCGCAGCTATAATAAATTGTGGATTTACACTGTAGTGTGTGCACAACAGTCCAGTAAACCACAGCACTTTCTGACAGCTGCTCAGCTTCGAGTAGACTCGGGGCTGTCTTACTCTGTGTAATCACAGTCTCAATACTTCACTGTTCTCGTAGGCTGTTGTAGGGGAAATGATTAATGCATTTGTACTCTTCCGAATGCATTCACAAGTTAAAAGAACGGTGGAGACTGTACGCTTATCTATCTTTGTGAGATGCACGGCCATGACCTATGACCACAAACAAACCCCATTTGACTCAGGACATGAATATGTCTAATCACTCCTAGTAGGAACCGTATCCTGAATCATTTGTGTTTGCGTCACAGGTGGTACCATGGTCATCTGTCCGGCCCAAATGCAGAGAAGCTGCTCACCATACGGGATGAGTCGGGAACCTTCCTGGTCAGGGAGTCGCTGTCCAAACCCGGGGATTTTGTCCTCTCCGTTCTGACTGATGAAATGAGCAAAACTGGAGTCAAAAGAGTCTCTCACATCAAAATTATGTGCCAGGTTGGTGCCTTACGTTTGGAGAAGTGTGTGACTGTACAGAAAAAGCAGACCGGTAGACATATTTACAAAAATAGAGGGGAATATTTCCAGAGTTGTGCAGATCGCTTTAAAATATAATTCTCATTTCCCCGTTTTACGCAACAGACTGTTGCTCTCATTTAAACTTTCAGATGTTCTGCAACAGTTTCTCTTCTGTACACATCTATCTATCTGTGTACTGAGGTGTAAAAGATTAAAGTGTGAATGTTGCAAAGGCCAAAGGTCCTTTTTATAAACATGCTGCTGAAATCAGGAGACTTTCCTGTCTCTACTGTGCGTTAATTCTCCTAGTCTGTTTCACTGCTACAACTCTGAAAATCAGCTGAAGGCCACTTTTGTGAATTTTAAGTAGTTGGCGCATGCCAGGAAATACTGTGTGCTCCAACTTTTGAGCTGCTTATTCCTATTTCTATTAATTGATATTCTGTTTATGTTACTTCCATTCTTACTTTTTAAAAAATTCGCAAACCATGACATGCATGTTTCCGTGTGTGTTCAGAATGACAGGTATACGGTGGGGGGCTCGGAAATGTTCGACACACTGACAGATTTAGTGGAGTTCTACAAACGCAAAGGCATCGAGGAGATCTCAGGGAACTGGGTTCATCTGAAACAGGTGAGCGGGGCTTCCTCACTCAGGAGATGTTGATGAAACATGTCAAACTGTTCAGCACACCACGCTTATCCTTATTGCCCCAAAAAAGAGGCTGTTGGCTTTCTGAAAAAGGGAACTCAACCTTTTATATCGATTTAAAAGATGAACAATGCGGCCCACAGATAGGAAGCATGACTCACAGAGCTGCGTGAACAGGTTATGTTACCGTTCACTGGCTTTTGTTTCGTCTCTGTTCTGAAATGTTCCGGCCTCTCTGTGGCCGTCCGTCCCCGCAGCCCTATTACTCCACCAGAGTGAACGCGGCTGACATCGACAGCAGGGTGAAGCAGCTGAACCAAACCAAAGAGCAGCAGGAGGAGGGTGAAGGGGAGAAGAGCAAAGCGGGCTTCTGGGAAGAATTTGACGTAAGATTCCATCCGGCCTCCATCACATTTACATCACTATTTCACACATATTGCCAAATCATTGATGATAGAACCAAAAGGCTGTTCGGGAGAGGGCCTTATGTAAATGGAATGTCTGTCACCTTCTTCAGAGACAGAACTGTCCGGCCTTTTTCCTCTTGCTCAATCAGTGTGGTGCAATAGCTAGTCTAGGGGAAGGAATGCCTCCATCTGGTGGAGAGGGAACTGTCTACTCATCACAGACCAGAAGTTATTTTCATTTAGAATAATGATAAAAAACAAAAGTATGTTAGATGCCGTGAATGGGTTTCCATGAAAGATTTGTATCCCTATTACAAATTCATCATCTGTTTTTTTGAAAATGAGTCCAATGTTATCAGCAAAGTGATACAAACTAATTACTGTTTAAATCTATGTTGCCTAAGGTGGTAGAGGAACTATTCAGATTAAGTTTCAGCAGCAATTCTACTTGAAAAATCCTGTATTTTCGAAAATCGTATTACCCTTAAAACTGTTGTAATAAATGTAATACTTAACTTAAATTTTGCATTGATATAATCTAATAGAAAATACAACATTTACCTTCAAACATAAATATCAAGTTAGTGCATACATAAATACTGAAGTACTTTGTGTCTAAGATTCTTTGATAAAATTGTGGTCAGAGGACTGGTGGATGTAACTGTGAAATACTTTTTTTTTATGTCCACAATGAAAATGTAGAATACTGTTCTCTATAAGTGGAAACTCTAAAGTGTGATAATTTTTTATTCATCTGTCACAATGACTTCCTCCTCACAGGCTCTTCAAAAGTTGGAGGCAAAGGTGAAAAAGAGCAGAGAGGAAGGCCAAAGACCAGAAAACAAGAGCAAAAACAGATACAAGAACATTCTTCCCTGTGAGTTGTATCTCCCGCCCCCCCCACTTTTTTATCATCTGACTAAATTTAGTGTTCTTCCTCATTCAATTCTGCGCTCGTCTGTTTGTTTCCCTCTCAAGTCAATGACACCAGAGTCATCCTGGATAGCGCTGATCCTGACGTTGTCGGCTCAGATTACATCAACGCCAACTACGTGAGAGTGAGTCCCCAAAGTCACTGGCTTTGTAGCAGCAGCTGTAGCACAAGATGACATCGAGCCGGACAGGAAACTGTCAGGACTGTTGTGTTCAATATGGCGGCATACTGATTTATGCCTTCCTCTCTGTTTGCAGAACAAACTGTGGGAGTCCGGTGGCCAAAAAGTCTATATTGCCACTCAGGGATGCCTGATGACAACTGTCAATGATTTCTGGCAGATGGTCTGGCAGGAGAACACGAGGGTGATCGTCATGACAACAAGAGAAGTCGAGAAAGGCCGGGTCAGTATAAAAACTGCAATTTCCGATAATGACGTGGTATTCAAATATGTGTTTTGAAATGACAAAACCACACAGAATACCTGCTCATCACTAAAGTTCTTTAATGTAAGAAAGGAAAATGCTTTATAGGTCACCTTATAGCAGGAAGGAAACATGTAAGAAACTTCAAGAAACTATGAGTGGACTGATTACATTTACAGATACTTTTATTAAAGTTTTCAGGTTTCCAGATCATGAAAATTTAATTTGTTAAACTCTGAATTGTTTACATAAATTGATCAAATCAAAAGCATATGTTAAAGTCAAGGAAATGAAGATAGACTTTATTTGAATTTCATTTGCTCCGGTGCAGAACAAATGCGTTCCATACTGGCCAGACTGTCATGGCTCACAGGAATTCGGGCAGTACGTGGTGACCTGTAACTCAGAGTTGGAAGCTATGGATTACAAAGTCCGAGGTTTGGAGCTCACATCCATGAACCAGGTGATTTTCAATGCTTTCAATGCTGTTGCTGATTTTCAAATGTCTTTTCCACTTAGTGACTTTTTCTTTCCCTCCCAGCCAAAACACTCTCGGACCATCTGGCACTACCAGTACCTCAGCTGGCCTGACCATGGCGTCCCTCAGGAGCCGGGGGGTATCCTCAGCTTCCTGAATGAAGTGAACAATAAACAGTCAGCTCAACCTGATGCTGGGCCTATGATCATTCACTGCAGGTATGTTTTAGTATTTATTTTTACGCTGCCACAAAAACACAATTTTAAAGGTAATTCTGAGATGATTAGTAGAATAGAAACTGAACAACTGCTGCATTTCTTCAGTTGTGGGATTTAAGTCGTACTAAAGCTGCTAACGTATGTATTTTAGCTGGAATTTTAACAAAACCTCACAAGACAAACTAAATCTGCCATAAATCTACTTTACTCTCAGATTAACTTCTCTGACTTGAAGTGCACAAGTTACCAACAGATTGATGATCTTTTTTAATAAGATTAAAATTCCCCCAAAAGATTAAAGAAAAACAAATAAATAAAATAAATGCATGCTATTTAGTTATGTTATTTTCCTCATTGTACATTGTCTGAACACTGCACCAGCACATCTTTTTACTCAAGAACAGCTGATCCAGAGCTTTCAAACATTTAGCCACAAACTAATATTATGCTGAGAACACAGCTGGTATTTATTTGTAGATACATGCTGATTATCCCAGGTCATCTGCATTAAAATATAAATGTTTTCTTGGATTAGACAATAAAAATGTGATACTTGCATCAAATGTCGTGTCAGTCCCTATTCAACTGTTACCATCAATTAAAAACCCATATCATTCAAGCAAATTAAAGTAACCCTCCAAGCTAAGAACAATGATGTTTCATGTGCATTTTTGCGTTGTGTAATATTTTGATAAATATTCTAGCTATTGGGATGGTATAAAAGAAAGTAAAAAATATATTAACAGAAAAAGAAGAGAAATGCTTGGTGTAAACTCACCCTGTTTATTTAATTAAGTATTCTGGACACTCGCTGACATTTGGAAATTATCCAAATTACTTGGAAAAACAAGTAAAGCAGTGGTCCAACAGTAAGTTTAGCCACCAAATCCCTCCCAGTAAAGTCCTCCAGCTGTGAAAGTGCACGGGGGTTCAACAATGATTGCCACATTGTTCCTGATATGTTAATCGGTGCATGGCCCTGAGAGAAACAAATCTGCTTATAATAATGACGAGCACTGGATAAATGGTTGTTTTGTATTATCAATACCGACTTGTATAACAGGGACATGGTTAAACAGATAAGTGCGGATTGTTTACTTACAAAAAGTACTGAACGAGTTTGAAAAGTGAAAATACCATCTGTCCTCAATGACGAACAGCCCATGCAAAAGTAAAATTCTACATAAATTTACACAATGAACGGTTTGTGTTGTGAAAACACTAAATACATTTAAAAAGCACCTGAAAATATATTAACTTTGTGTATTTTTGCAGTGCTGGAATCGGTCGAACGGGCACAATCATGGTTATCGACATGATCGTGGAGACCATCAACATTCAAGGTAAACAAGAATTTCCAAAAATTCGGTTCTTTGTATCTACAGTGTAACATATCGGAAATGCTTTATTGTTGTTCTGTTACACTTATCTTTTTCTTGTAGGGATGGACTGTGACATTGACATTCCAAAATACATCCAGATGGTGCGAGAGCAGCGCTCTGGTATGGTGCAGACTGAGGCCCAGTACAAATTCATCTATCTGGCTGTATCCGAGTGGATACAGAGCAGCAAAGCCCACAACTGCGCCTACATGGTAAGGAGAGCTTCTTTTTTTTAGCAGATGACAGAAAGAGCATGACTTTATATGATAGATGTGCGTGAGACAACCTTTGTCCGTTTGTTTTCATCACCTAAGCCAAGTGGTTCAGTTCCAGCCAAATGATACGTTATCAGGGAGGCTTGTGAAAGATGAACGTTGACCCAGAGATGCGAAACACCACGAAGACTAAACCAGCAGCACAGCCTTTTTCTCTGTATGACTAATTTTGTATCAGACCATTGTGAAAGACCTCTGTTTGTCTCTTTCTCAGGAAACCGACACCGAGTATGGAAATCTTCAACTCAAACACCAACCAGCAAGTAGGAAGGTGTCAAAGTGAGTCTGAATACTCGTGTGTGAATTGGATGACCCTCATACATTCACGCCACAGGTCCAAATGTCTCACTGCTGACCCATTTTCTTTAAAAACATGACTTGTGTCTACAGGCTCATGTCAGCATTTTCTAGAGGAGAAAAGAGGATGTGCTCCAGATGAGGCTGTTCTTTCATTTAAACTTTTTTTTACCCTCATGTTCTTCACGTTGATTTAGCCTCGATGGCAACAACAGTTGAGGGTAAAAGTGCAAATCCTCCTGTTCCCGTTAGCAGACATCAACAGCTGTACAAACGAGACTTTTCTAATAGTGCCGACGTAGCCCATCTCAGCTCCACTCAGTACGGCTGGTTTTAGGTGGTTTTCCATTACGAATGAGGTGCTGACGGAAATAGGGGCCGACTGGCCTAATACCTGCTGAGCCTCAGTGTTGGACTGCAGTGTTGGTGCATGTTTTAGGCAAATACAACATTGATGATCACAAACAGAATTAAATATGATGTTTGAATAAATTAGAGATATCTTAAACGTCTGAGTCTGTGCCTGTAAAAATATATTTGACTCATTGTCAGGCTATTCTACTACGTACAAAGAAAGCAGTGTTATTATCCAATGAGAAAAACTAAAACCCTCATGGATACTGGCCTGTTTGTAATCAGTGACCCAGTTGGATAAACGAGCAGTTGACTGACAGCTTTGAGTAGCTGGTTCACAGATGGTTACTTTATTTTTTTGTTTTTTTTTGTCATCTGTCATATAGTAGACCCTCTTATTGAATCTTAATAATTCAGATGTGTGTTTATTCAATGTCTGCTGGTGGTATCTTGCCTTTAATCCCTTTTCATCTTCACCTTGCTGTCTTTTCAGAAACAAGGAGGACGTTTACGAGAACCTGTCGAAAGGAAAGAAGGATGTGAAAAAGTCAAAGCCTGACAAGAAAAGCGGCTCAGTGAGGAAAAAATAGAAGAAACTTAGGCATTGCATCATGTCATATTTATGCAAGAACTTTTTTGTTACAGCAGAGGCCTTTCATCAGATACCATCAACATTTAATGTTATTTTTCAATTGAAAACTTGAAATGACATACTTTACGTGATTGCTTGGATAATGTGTTTGCTAAAAAAATAATAAAGTAAGAATGCCTGTACACTCCAAACACTGAGATCTGTCTGTCTGTCAATTAGAAATGTTAATTTTCCTTTTGTGCAGCTTTCAGTTTTCAACAGCCTCTGTACCAATAAAAATGCCCCCCCCCCCCCCCCCCCCCCCCCCCCCAAGAAATATACAATATAACTGTCTGAATCCTGACGTAACATGTAGTTTTTGGGATCTCGCGAGAATCCATCGACGTCAAGCAATAACATGGGAGACAGGTCAAGTCAGAATTGAACAACGGAACGAGCTTAAAATGAAGTTGTGAGGATACACTTATACATCCTTATCTCATTGTCATATCCTGTGTTGTATAATGTTATATAATGGGCTCTGATCATATGTATTTAGGTGACGCTGTGCTAACTTAATGGTTTTTATCTTCAAAATAATAACGCTCGTCCACTCCCCTTCGGTCAACACACCGCTAAGATTTGTACATCATCTCTCCACCTACCACATGCTTTAAGGTCCCGAAGCACCGCCTCTGAACGTAACAGATCCTCTGAGAACGAGTAAAAAAGAATGAACCCCCCCACCCTCCCCGCACAGAAAAAAAACTACGCCCCTGGAGAAATCTCCTTGTTGACTGGGAACTGTTGCACACAACGAGTGAAAGTCCGCAGATCAGGGAGCTGTTGCAGACCTTAAACCGAGGATCAACCTGCTGCAGAACCGCGTCTCTAGCTCCGTGCAACAGCCGAACCGGGAGGAGACACACTCCCTTTACGCGTAGGGCATTGTCCGAAAAGAAAGAAAGAGAAGAAAAAAAAGTTACGCAAGAGAAACTGATATCATCCAAAGCAGCAACTGAGCTGTGAGAGTCAGACTCGACTGAAGAAAAACAGAAACAAAGCTTTGAAAGCCACATATTAGGGAAAAATGTCTAAACCCAATTACTCCGGCACGTTTCATATGGTGGAGCAGGATAATATGGAGAACTACCTCGCAGCTTTAGGTATGCATCTTCTTTCTGGCATTACACCCATCAAATGCATTCAACTTTTTGCCTCCCAAACGAATCGTGCTGTTGCTTTAAAATGTAATCAGCTTTGTGTCCGTGTTGCTCTGCTGCTGTGAGGTGATCTATAAAAGTACCCTAATCTCCACTGATTTAATAATGTGGACCATCTTCATTTGCAGCATTGCATTAGTGGGATGAAATGTCCATCTTGTCCTCTGCCTGACCCCAGAATCAGTGTTTCCTTTAAATACTGAATACTGGGATGGCATGATAAAAACCCTCTTCTCTCTGTCATCACATAGATATTAATTTTGCTCTGAGGAAGATTGTGTGCCTGCTGAAGCCCACCAAAGAGATCACCCACGACCCGGCCACAGGTGCCATGAAAATACGCACTCTCACCACCTTCAAGAACTTCAACATGGATTTCACCATCGGTAAAGAATTCACCGAAGACCTGGGACCCGTGGACGGCCGCACTTGTCAGGTGCGTGTTCTTTGTTGGGACACGGCTGATAATGCTTACTACAGAAGTTTCTTTGTTGATTGAATTCCCGGCTGTGGTCGGCTCACCCCCTGCTGTGTTTTTTTGTGCTTTAACTATGATCACTCTCCTGCCGTCAGAGGAAATGGATGAAAAACCCTCCCGCTGAGATAACAGTGCATGACCAAAATAAGCAAGGAAGGGGAAAAGAAAACTCTCCCACTGCTGGGTGGCTGAACTATGAGCTACTTTACATATTAATTACATGCACTCACACAGCATCTCTGTGCTCGTACAGACTACAGTGAGCTGGGAAGGAGACAAGCTGAGCTGTGTGCAGCGCGGGGAGAAAGAAGGACGAGGCTGGACCCACTGGCTGGAGGGGGACAAGCTGCATTTGGTGAGGATGCATGGCTTTAGAGGGAAAAAAGGGGCTTGAAGAAGAGGTCAAAGAAAGGGTAACAGGGAAGGAAGGGGGAGAAGGAACCAGGATAATGAAAGCTTCAAGGAAAAGGATGCTGAAATTGATATGCTAAATGAGCTCAGACATGCAAATAACGGAGCGTTTGGCTATTCATTGCCCTTCTCTGTTCCTGTCTTTGCTTCCTAGTTTGTTTTCCTGAGGTTTGAGGAGGTCTGTGAAAATGCAAAGGAAGAAGTTTCCATTTGCAAATTTTCATCACAACAAACTTGGAGGTGCTCGAAAAAAAAAAACGACCGAAGCTTTCAAACAATCGGCATTGTTCCTCTAATACCTCTGTGGCAGCGGGGACAAAACAGTGGGTTGTCGATGCTAAAAGGATGGGAAATGGATGTCTGTTTTGGATACAGTCCCGGGTTTGTCTTGCCTCATGGAGCTCTGCTTTGATGTGCCAAACTGTCTTATTGATTCTCGCTGTTCATTAACACCCTTCCCCCCTCCCCTCTCTTCTCCCCTTCTCCACCTCCTCTCCACAGGAGATGAGAGTTCAAGGCATTGTTGCCAAGCAGGTCTTCAAGAAGGCTGACTGACCACGCTGCAGAAGCGCCACAGTGGAAGACCTCATTTGAAATGTAGTCGGTACAAGAACTGAATCATGTTACTAGCATTTTTATTATAGTGGTCAGTGTTTGGACAGATCGCAGTAAGACTACGAAGGACTGTTGTGTGTGTCCTCTGCGTGGTGGCGATAATACAGAGAAGTGTAAACATTCCCAACTACTTCCCTCATATTGCGCTATTTTCCCTGTTATAAACAAATCATTCATCTGTTCTGCGTCTGCGTCCTCAGTGCGCTGCATGCAGCATGAAGTTTAGCAGTGGCACCACCCTGTGTGGAGAACTGCTCCCTCACATCTACACCAGTGCATTAACAGTGATATTCACCACCAAAAATGTGCCTTGCACTATTCTTCAATTTTGTTTGTAAATGTAAGTTCAAGTTTAACTGCCAGACATTTGTACAATATAAGTTAAATTAAAGATAATGTAGAATAAATACACTTGTGTTAGCTGCACATAAAAAACAGAATGTAACTCTTTGGTAATAAATTAGATATTGAGACAGGGATACATAACAGTTTTTCTTAGATACATGAACTTGGCTGTCATACACCTGGTTTTAAAACGGCCTGTCTGGACCCGCCAATTAGGCTGGAAAGGATCATCTAACATTTTATAAGATTACTTTTACTCAATAATCTTTAATGTGATTGAGACTAGATGACTAATGGAAACTACTGCAACAACTCGGGAAAGCTTCTGGAGATCGGTGTTAGCGAACAGTTTGTTACCGCATGCAAAGATGTCCAAGTTAAAACTACGAAATAAAAAAGCTACTTTCAGTGGGCTTAATCTCATTAAGACTTTCTTTCAAATTCCTATTGGAAATCCTGTGCGTTATGTCCCCTCCGCTAAGAGCATAAGCATCTTATGGGCTGTAAACAAAACTTTGTTAAACAGCCAGTCTCCCTTATGACAACAGTGTGTGTGGGCATGACAGAGATTTCCATATCCGTAAGAATGCAATTAAGGTTGTATCACATATGATCATTTTGAGGCAGCATGTGCAGGACTTAGTTTTCAGCGACCATGCTCATTTCAGCAAGACTACACCAGACAGCTGCATGTCTTTGTGCAAAAGCCAGAGAAAAAATCAGTTGGCAGCTGATGAAAAAAGAGGAGACAATGAACTGCTCTGCAACGGAAATCCTGCATTAAATAAGAATGGGAGACAATGGCCATTTCAAGAGTAAAAAAAACTTTTCTTCTCAGGTCTTTCATGTTCACAGAGTGATATTTAAATAACAGGATATTCAATACATTAACATATTATGACATTTCACCCATCTATTATGAACATTTTTGCATTTTTCAGTCCAAGTTTTGTCAGCTGCTCACACACAGTGATACCTCAGCACAGGAGCTGAAGCTGTCATCTAAATCCTGCAGGTGGCAGCAAACCATAAGCCAACACATTTTAAACTGACTGCAAAAGTCCTATCACAACAAACCGTTAAAAACAAAACAAAAAACAAAACATCCAGTTCAGGGGTTATGAAGGTACTTGCAGATCTCCAAGCAGGGGTTGCCGGCCAACCTGTAATGTCCTGGATCAATAAGTCCCACTCCACTCGTCCTCCTGCGGCTCTGAACACAACCTCACAAAGTTTCCAGTGTTGTGTCCAGTGCTATCCTTGATGAGACTGGATTCAGTGAAGGAAACAGATGCCGTCCGTTCAGTTATTGGAGGGTTGTGGTCCAACCTGTCCTTCATGCTGAGAATGATTAGAGCATCATCTAAAGAAGATAAAAGAAGCAATGTCGGTATGACCACTCTTCAAAGCAAACATGCCCTTGATTTGCCTCAATTTTCTTTGGGTTACAGCTGCTGCAGAGAGAAGAAGAAACTGGTAGAGCAACAGTTATTTTCATTTAACTGGGGATGGCCATCAAAAGCTTTGGGACCTCTTGTCAAAGATTTGATACATCTTTGAAACGGAACAGACATTCAAATGTCATGTTTTGTTGATCACAGAGTATCTGACAGGTCAAAATGTCTTTGGGGAAAAACTAATTATAAACATGGTTTGCCTGCACTTTCATCTCTTGCAGCCTTACTTTGCTTCACTCATTAATTCATCTCATTCCCTTTTTGGCTCCTGTACTCCCAAGATTAATTTCTACATAAAGTAAACAAAACATTGCCCTGATATCGGAAGCAAGTATGTAATTGATTAAACTTAAATCGAACACGGGTCTGGATTGCACTGGTGAGAAAATATGTAAACAAGTTTGATAAATAGGTTATTGTATGCACATAAATGTATTTTTAAAATGGCCTCAGTATAAATTTACAACAAAAAAATGGAAGTCAATAAAAAAGTCTGGTTAATAACATAAAGATTGGGTTGAATCTGTAAACTAATCATTTGAAACCTGCTATTGGTTGCTTTCCTCTGATGCCCTCACAGATCTTAAGAATAAAAATACCAAATCTGAATCATTTCGAAACTTCGGTTGAATAGACAAACATTTAAAGCCCAGTGTGCTTTGCCTGAGCAGTACCTGTGATAAAAAGTGGTAACTTGCACTCGTCTCCATTGCCGCTCTCTTGGCAGTGAGATGACGGCTCTGGTGGAGTGACAGGTAGAGGTGGAGCATCATCCTTCAAAGTAACAGGAATGGTGCAGCGGTCTGCCACACACAGAACATACAACATTACCAAATGACACATTTGAAAACTTCATGCTCACAAACAAGCATTTGTGATCATCACTGACGGATTGTAGATGGAGTCTAGTGGACCACAGCGAGAGCAAAAACATGGGGATTGAAGAGAAACTTTGCCACAAGACCTTTAGATGGTGCTGTAACACCCCAAAATCTTCTCAGTTGAACCATTAGTCTTTTTTCAGACATGTGTCACACTTAAAGACGTACAGACTTGTGACTGAGAACAGTTTTGTCATATCGCTCCAGTGACTTTTTCTGGCTCTGACAGAAACTAAACCATGTGCAGACTGGATTTTCTAACTTCTATAAATAATGAGATGTTAAAATGAATTGATCAAAAATCCGCTTTACAATCAGAAGGATTTTGTCACTACTGAAAGTTTAGTGTTGGAGATATAAGCCTCTTAATGCAGTGCATCGGACACATGGGTCACATACATACTGGGCAGATACGCAGGCTGGCAAAACAAAATCCACCAGAGGCGTTATCATAAGATGCTTAATGCTGCTCTGATGGACTGATAACTGGATAGTTGACAAAGACATTTAAAGATGCCTTCAGTGTTTTGTTTCATAAATAAGGACATGGTGCTCTTTGAGCTTTGATTTACATCACCACAACCTCACAAAGAGGTGGTCGTCATTTGTTGTTACTTTTTGTCACTCTCCCCTCTATCACATTTGATTTCCTCTCTCTGTAGAACTTCACTAGAACTGCTTATGGGAACTGCCGCGCCGGTTTCCTGTGTTTTATGCTTATCGGGGGATTTGCATCCTGTGGAACCCTATGAAGGGAAAAGCCTGAGCTGTATACGTTCAAACTTTCCCATTAGGAACACAATAATAACCCTTTAGCATCTAGCTCAACCATTCGGTACAGTTCATTCTGGGTCACAGTATGTACCAGAGGAAGTGCACTTCCCTAAACTAGCTCTCACATGAAGTTTAGGCACAGGTTACAGCATTTTTTTTTTTTTAAAGTGTCACCCCAACTGTTTGTGAAAATAGCACTGATTCTGACTGCAATTGCTAAAAAAAAACTGAATAAAAAGCTAAATTTTCCCATCCTTTTTCTCTAAATGTACATGTTGAAGGGTTAGAGTGGTGTTAAGAAGTCACATCTTTTAAAGCTGGTTCTGCTTGGTAGTACCCATTATTTTAAAAGGTTGATGAGGTTTTATTTACCATTTAACTGGGATTTAGCCGGTACCGTATATCATGATCAGACTGAAGGCTTCATGACAGAAACAAGCTATAGTTCCTTGTTAAAATGTGTCATGTTTTTCATTAGTAATTGGTAAAATTCCAATGTATCGCAATTCACCATGACTCACATTGAACTATTACTCTATTTTCAGTATCATTTTCTCTTATGAATGAAGGATGTAAAAAGTTTGAGGTTTCCTTTTTCAGAAAACACTGTGGTTGTTTCTGACTCAAATCAGTCACAATCCATGATAATTTTTCTTGCACATTTGGTATTTGGACATCGCTGTCAGCCAAGGGATGCAACAAACAAATGGGTGTCTGTATGTTTACGGTTAAAAATAATGATTTTTCAGTTTTTCATCCAACACATGAAGAAGAAGGATGGGTGTGAACCAAAGACACCAAGGTTATGCCACCGTGTCAAATCTGTATGGCCTGAAATCTAAATTTGGGCTTTCCTTCCATGTTTTGCTGCTATGTGGAGGTGCGATATGTTGGATTTTATGTCAGACCATGATTGGTGGAAAAACCACCAAAGCTGTAAGAGTCATGCAAAAAAAAAGAATGTACATTTGAACAAAGAGGGACACGGAAGAAGAATCAGGAAAATTGGTGTTAAAACTTCTCTTTAAGTATTTACCAATGAGGAAGCTTTAAACACATTAATCAATGACACTACTATGTTTACGGATCTCATCATTTTTCTTAATGACAAACTCGTCAATAAAAACTATGCTTTGAGCCACAGAAATTAAACTCTCCACAACTGTTGGAGGGAAAATGACATTTTCATGCTTTGAAATGAGGCTAATCATATCTACATTCAAAGAGCAGGAAACCTGTATCATCAGTGATGCTTTATGGATTTAATGCTAATTCAAAGAAAGAAGCTGAAATCTGGCTCCTCTTTAATGAAACAACGATAACTTAATTAATCCTCCCTCTTGATAACCATAGGCACTCCATGCACTCAGTGTATTTAATCGGTAAGTCCCTGCATTAGCACGTTTCTCTGTGGAAAATGAGCAAATGCCAAGTGAAATACAATGTCAGACAAAACAGTCTATGACTGCTCTGTGCCGTGCACGTAGGACATGGTTTCTCAGAATGAGACAGCTGCCTATGAGGTGTGCGTCACATTTATATCAAGACTGCGTCAAGCTAAAACTGTACAGGATGTGGCTTTCTCCTTCAGTTTGTCAGTCTTGTTCAAACTTGTTAAGCAACACACATGTTGGCTCTTTACTAAAGTCGTCTGGGTCTCACTACATCGCCCACATCTAAAATATAAAGTTCAAATTCAGGTATATATGTTCACACAAAAGTAAATCAGTCTTATGTTCAACTAAACCAGAGTTTGAAAACTAAGTCACAACAAGGAAAGAGTGGGAGGGAATGTTCGACAGAGATAAGCTGTGACCTTCAACTGTATGGCTTCAAAGCCACTGAGTCTCCCTGATGTGGCTGACACATTTTACTGTCACTGGGTGGGTACATGTGTGCAGCACTTTATTGTTTCTTCAGCAAGGTCTTTCCATGAGTCTGTGAGAGCAAAAGTGTGAGAAAAATAACAAAAATAAAACCCACCCGCATGTGACGTTTTGCACATATGACTTACGCGATCTGCGTTTTGCTCTCCAAAGGATGAAAACAGCCACGATGAGAATGCTCAACACCAGTCCGGACCACAAGCCTGCGGGAAGCATCCAAGCTGCTTGTGTGAAGACAGAGACAGAGACATTATATGTTAATTAGGTGACATTTATACACGTGTGTCGTAACTTCTGGGAAATTTAAAGTGGGAGTTGCTGACTGCTGATCTTTTCTTCAATAATTCAACTGATGACTCAAACGACTGTGACGACAAAGGCGGGCTATTACTGAATTCTTGTTTCTCACTTAATTCACTTCTTGGCAAATGACGTTGGGATGAGACCACTGCATCAGAAGACTTATTTGTAAAAGTGTATGTCTAAGCAGTGCACGATTCTTTAAAATGTACTGACAGTGTATTAAAGATATTGTTACACACTGTATATTCATGTATTCGTCAACAAGTATGAATTCCTCCATGATTAATCTATCCAGAATCCATATTAATCAAAACCAACAGTGAATGTTTTTTATGCTAGAATTGGGCAATTATGATACGAAAGATATAAGAAAAATATCTATTAACTAATACAAAAACAGGCAAAGCTTTTGTGAGTTTAAAAAATGATTGAAAGGCATGCCATGAAAACATATCAAATTATGTTAATATGACTTTTCATTTGTTCCTTAAATAGATAGCAATGTCAAACTTTTAATTTAAAAAAGTCAATTTTTGCTTAAAATCTGGCATAAGGCCTAGAATAAAAATACAACAGAACAAATAAAACTGCTTTTCATCTCAAAGATGATTTTTAGGTCAGTCAAGTCATATTCCTGAGAAGATTTCAGAAATCCATTTCTCTCTTCATAATGTTAGTTGGTCCTAATTTATGGAGCCATGAAGATATATGCCACATCAACCGTTCCCTATTCCTGATTAATAACACAATCCTGAGGTTTGCATTGCTGCCATCAGGGGACATGCAGGATACCTCCCAGAGGAGTCCATCAAAAGGCCACACAGAGACAAACAACCATGCAGTTAGAGGCACTAACCCTCATGAAAGAAAAGCCTTGGAGGGGATTCAAACTATTCCAATCTACTGCCATAACAAAAAGGTGCTAACCACCACACCGGCAAGATGGAATTTTTCTGTTAAACTTTGAACCCAACAACAGCTAGTGAGATTGGGCATTTGGCTGGATGGATTCATAATGATTGTTATGTAGCAAGTTACAGAGCTTGAAATATAACATAATCATTTAAAGGAAATTACCGTAAGCTTTGCTGGAACTAGTTGAACATCTTAGAAATTTAAAGCACTAATTCACGATTGTAAATTGACTACAAGTGTGAGTGTGCACGGCCTGCTGAGTTCATCGCAGATAACCTAACTTCTAGGAACACATTGTACGCATTTATGGGACATGGACCCACAACAGTTTCGTTCCCCTGCGTCAGACCTCTTACTGCTAACCATCAAAACTATAGGTCCATAATGCAGTCGTCCAAATGAAAATTCATGACTCTACTCACTTATGGCAGCATTTGTACAGACTCATGTTCAGGCTAGAAGTTCAAAACTGCCCAGTCTTACTCGCACTTAATGCTCCTCTTGTTTTAGCTATGGGTGATATATATTTCTATCGGGTGGCTCCTTCAGTCTTCAGTCTGGACTGTTTTCAGAAGATGAATGTCCTGAGTTTTGTCATTCTGACATATTTCTTTGGCTGGCATCAGTGTGTCAATGAGAGCATGCTAGAATACTGATATTAATATTTATTCTATCACAAAGCTTCCCTGTAACACTTTAAAATTTGATAGTTGTTGGTAATAACACCCATAGTATCGATAAAACTGTTTAATTTTATGTCATCTTATGGACTTAAACCACAATCCTGATCCCCTGTGAAATGGTTTCCTATTTTGTGCAACTTCCAATATTTGTTCTGGTGTGGAGTCTTAGTTCAAATGTGGAACTCACAACATTTGATGGGTCGACAGATGGCATCAGCTGTTGAGGTTCCTGGAGTCGCCACCACTCCTCCAAAGTCCTCACATCTGCGGGTTAGATATAAGATCATGATGCCAATGTTCAGGGCACTGAACTGATCGGAGGGTCACTGGTTCAACTCCATGTTCCTCCTGACCACATGTTGATCAGTCCTTGGGCAAGGCTCTGAACCCCCAGTTGTGTACTGGTTGCATGTGTGTGGGTGAATGACATGTAGTGTAAAGCTTATTGAGTGGTCAGCTTCACTATAAAAAGCACTCTATAGTTACAATATTCTGCAGGACCTGAATGAAAATATCAAGATCATATATATTCATCTTATTTATTTTGAACATAACTTATTAAGAGAAAAAAAAACATAAGAAATGTGTGGGTTTATTCCAAGAGCGTTTACTCTATAATAGGTGTGATGTGGGATGTTTTGAGTTTTGTAGAACAAGGATATCAATCGAAACCAAGAGCTATGTCTGCTGTATTGACGGGTGACTCAATCTTTACCATTTCACACATAGTGTTTCATCCTTCGGTTTAGTTAATAATGACTAATAAAAGGAACACTGTCTTGCCTGGTATGTGCAACGCAGGCTGAGCTGAAATCGGTGACATTGCTGTAGGTCCCCTCCTCACACTTTGCACAGATTGTGTCATTTGTATGCACAGCTAAAAGAGGTAAGAAACGAGAAGCCCGTCAGGTCTCCAGTTTTTATAGTACAATGTGGATTCTTCCATGTGGTCATATTTCCAAACATACCTTTTTGCTTGACACCAAAACCCGGCTTGCAGAAGGTTGCACTTTGGCAGTGCTCACACTCATCAGAACTACAGAAGTAGCCCTCTGAACACTCACAGACTGTGTCCGTAACAGATGTGCAGTCTTGCACTTTCTTCAATTGGTTTCCTTTAGAAATGACAATGGCATACTTTGTCAGTACTGTTTCAGTCACCTGCACAGGGACAGCAACGTGTGTGTGTATGTGTGTGTGTGTGTGTGTGTGTGACTGAGCTTTGTTTGACACCAAACTGCATGCTTTAAAGTCCTCAGAAACTTCCCCCTGCTAGTTCCACGCAGTAGAAATGTTGCCTTCAAGTTTTCGCTTGAAGACGTAAGTTCCGCTGTCGCCTTTCAACTATGAGATAACGCAGCTGAACTTTGAGTAATGCTGCTAACTGGACTTTATTGAAAAATGAAACAGATGAAGATGTTACAGATGTAAATGTGTGACCTCTTAAAGTGGGTAAAACCAACAATACATCCCCTGTTACTCTGTAAGAGGGCAGAAGGAGCTGAAAGGGAAGGAACTGCGTCTGTATTCTGTGTGCACGTATACAGTACAGTTTGTTCATGTCTTTGACTTACTGGAAATGCAGTCCTTGCAGCGCTTACATTCATTCAGATGATTTGTTGTGGCTGTAAAGTACCCACGGGGACATTCTTCACACTGTGTGGCCTGTGTGGCGTTGCATTTTGCTTTTACATATTTTCCTGTCAAAAGATGAAAAAAGGAGAATGGACATTAGAGACTAATTAGTGCTGTGTAAGCACATACTGCTCAAGTTTGGTATAGTAAGAAAAAGGTGAAAGAAGCTTTGTGATGTTGACTGACCTGCAGGGCAGCGTTCGCAGCACGTCCCATCACTGCCTTTGTACTTATTCTTGTCTTCACACGCCATCCTTTTATAGCGTAACTTCATTACAGTCCACTGCCTTTGCGTAAAACCTGAGGCTTCAGTCTTCTTCTCAGTTCCAGCCTTATAGTGATAGTCGTGAATGAGCTCAAAAGGCAGAGCTTTTTCTGGTGCTTACTCACTCGTTCGCTCGATCACGCTTTTCTCCCTCCACTCTTTTTCTGATGTGTAACCTGGCTGTGACAAAGACTTATTTCCCCTCCTCACTCTGTCTGAACTGCTCCTCATGTGTTTTCTAATCCTACACAATGGAAAGCCCCATTGACCCTCATTTGCTGTTTCCCCGTATCTATCTTTCTGTCTTTCTCTCTCTCTCTTTGTTGTCTCTCCTCATTTCCTTCCTGTCCTAACCATTTAGCTGCAAGGTAAAATGTGCATATGTTTCCGTAACTTCAGGGCAAAAAGGCTGATTTTGGCACAGTAACTACTTGAAGGGGCACCAAAATGATTTCCTGGCATTGCTACACCCTTTCCTTTCACCCCACGTCCATTGTTTCTTTGTCCTGCAGTACAGATGCAGGGCTAAAAATGCAAACCCATGTTTTAGACTTCGAAAAATGTTTCTGCACAGCTTTGTCTTCCTGTCAACCCATTTAACCACAGCGAATCTCTGTCTGCTGCAAGCACACAAAAAGCAGTCCACAAATAGATTTTTAAATGCTTACTGGAGCAAAATATGATTGAGAGAGGAAGAGGGGGCAACAGCAGGAAAGGGAGAGAGGAAATTCAATTAATATGAAAAGGAGAAGAAGTGATATTGAGAGTTTATTTGAGGAGACATTTTATCGGACAACAATGTTAAGAGTCAGGTGGGACTGGATTTTTTAATTTCATGATTAATACAACATAACAGTTTTCATTAAATCTATATTGTTTAAGATTTTAGTCGACTGTTGGTTTATGTCTCTTATATCAGGTTGTACAAGATTTGGACAAAATATAGAAACAAGTTAAATAAGTTGAATATCTTTTCATGTAAACGTTCATTTTAAAGTATATTACTTTAATAGCTTTAGAATTATGATCAAACAGGTTTTGAAAAATGGTTATTTGGAACTGTTTGTAACCATTTTAAAACACCACAAAAGTTTGATCATATTTTTTATAATTTATTTCTCTTTTTACTATTTTATAAAAAATGTATTTGTGGGAAACAAGTTATCTCCCAAAATCAACAAATACACTGTCATGCAGAGCTGTTGCTGGACTCAGAGAGCTTTTCCGGTATCCAAATCATCACTGTGCTTTATAAAAGGTTTCTATTGGGCATCTTCCTGACAAAAATTTACTCTGAGGAAGAGCAGCGTTTGAAAGGATGTTTTGTCAAAGAAGCTGACATTGTTTATTAGGTCAATTTTTCATCTTTTGCAGTCTTCAAACTATAAAAATGTCGTCAGCGTTGATAATAGAGGAAAAAGGTTTGGTTAAATAATTCAGAGCTTTTCTGAGCTTTTACTGTATTTCTTTTCAATACTGAGTCAGTGAGATAGTAGTTTAGCTCTATAGTCACATTAGTAGGTGTGTGATTTGTAGACGCAATTCACTTTGAAGCATTTTTTGTGGCGAGATGTGCATTCAGAGTAGTGCTTCTATGAGATAGCTTCCCCTGTTTTTGGTCTGCCAGTAAGACATGAGACACAGTTCCCTTTTCTTTAAAAACCTAGTAGATATTTTTAATCACAGTCATCAAAAGAAGATTTTTTTCTGTTTGAAAGTCAGAAATGTACACTTTTTTTGCATTTAATAATGATTTAATTATGATAATTTATTTAAGCAAGCAGCCTCTATGGGACAAGATCAAAGTTTGTACATTGGTAAAAATTTGACTTATTTTCTATTTTCTCCTCATTATTTCAAATCTGTTCATTAATATTTTGCCATTCTGAATATTTTTATACTTTGCCTCAGTCTCCTGTTTACCTTCCTCCCCTGCTCGGCCTTCTCAATGCTGCTGGGATGGGTGGAGTCTCCAGGATATCCCAGTGGATACCCACCTCATTCCAGCCTTAACTGGAGTAGGTGTGCTCCAAAAGGCCTCAGTGTCTCAGTTGAGCTCATCCACCTGGACCTGGAGTACAGCCAAAACTGTGAAAATGATGCAGTCAAGGTCAGGACTCTAGACAAACTACAACAAGGGGAGTTTACAATGGTGTAAAAAATAAATTGTAAGCAATTGCGTGAACTGTTTTTGCTCAGGTATTCTCAAGTGGAAATCTAATATCAATGCTGTGTGGCCAAATGGATTACAAGGAACTTCAGTCCTCAGTAAATCCCATGCTGTTCTCCAACCCTGGTGGTTGCCTCAAACTGTTGTTCAACTCTGACTACTCAAATACCAAGAGGCACACTGGCTTCAAAGGTTTTTATACCACTAAAGGTGAGAGCTTAAATTCTACTCAGCATAATATATTTATTTATGTATTTAAGATGACCTCAGTTTGTGCAAATAAAAAAGGTGAAATCAGTAATATGTCTGTAAATATGTATATATTCCCACTGTCCAAAAACCTGCATGTTAAGTTGATTGGACATTCCAAATTGCCCTTAGGAGTGAATGTGCATTGTTGTTCCTCTTTGTGTGTCTATATGTGTTGCCCTGCGATGGACTGGCGGACTGCCCATTGACCACTGGCATAGGCTCCAGTGCCCCCGTGACCCAATTTGGGAATAAGCGGTCCAAAAAATGGATGGCTAGTTGGATATATTTATATGAATCTGATGTGCATCAGAAGAGTGCCATTCACTGAAATAGAAAGAAAATGTTAGATAGGCAACAACAACAAGTGACAATTTAAACAAAAACTCAGCAAAAAATGCAGAAGTAATGTGTAAAACGGACACTGAGAAAGAGCCAGACTGATTCCAAAGGAATTAACAGAACTAGAAGCAGCAAAGTGCTGCAAATCTAATGCACTTTAGTGGTTGATTATCAGCATGTGTGCGCATGACTGAAAAGTAGAATTAGAGCTGTGCATAAATGAGTGTTGATCAAGACCTCCAGATTCATGTGAGGATCTGATAATGTAGAGTGTAAAAAACTTTCACATCAAGATAATGCCTCTGAGGGTGGTTCTACAAATGAGATATGAGATGTACTTGTCAAGTGAGAAGACATGGTGTACATGTTTGTTAAAACTAACAAACTCTGTTGTGCTAGCCAGAGATTACTTTGTGTCTAACCTTCAATTCATTCCTTCTGTCAGACTATGACGAGTGCAATGACCCCACAGTCAATGAATGCACCCAATTCTGTCACAACTTCTTGGGAGGGTACCGCTGCTCCTGTCGCCATGGCTACCACCTCGCTGAGGACAACCACACTTGCACAGGTAAAAATGACCCCTGGCCAGTAAGCGGTGAGCGAAATGATGAGCTGCAGAGTGAGACGAGGGGGGATGAGTCAGGGAGGAGGAACTAGTACCGAAACCTGAAGTGAAAAAGGGAAAAGAGGGGAAGCAGAAGTACTCAACAACGGGAAGAGGGAGCTGATTTTGTAACAGTTATTAATCTGCGTGTGAAAACCATGAATTGTCCCCAAACACAGTGAGCTGCACAGAGGATCTGTCTGGGTTAAACAGAGGGGAAATAGCCAGTCCCAACTGGCCCGCTCCATATGCAGAGGATGCTAACTGTGAGTACACCCTCTCTGTGGAGGAGAACCTTCAGCTGGAGCTGCACTTCTCTGAGCTTTTCGACGTGGAACAAAGTCCTGACGGTCACTGCACAGATGCACTGAAGGTAGGAGTGTGACTCACCGTCCTGATGTACTTTATACTGTCATGTTTTTCTCAAGTTTCTATCTTAAAGTGACAAATGAAAAGAGAGGAGAAAAAGAAAGAGGAAGTTGCAGCCAGAGGTGTTGAAAGCTTGGATTTAACAACTCATGGGACATCCCAGTTCACATCTCATTCCACTCATTGTGGAAGCAGCCTTTGACAACAGTAACAAATCTAATAGGAGTTTAGCATGGACACAACTGGCATTTTTCCCCATTCCTTTGTATTTACAGAGATCCGAACATCTGGATGGCTTCCAACAACAGCTGTGTTGCTTTTGATCGAAGTAGCTTATGCTTTATATCTCAGTACAGATTTTATCTCTTTAATTTCACCCTGTAAAGACACTCATGTAAAGCTGCAGCCTGTTGTGGTGATGGCAAACTGGCTATTTTATACCTAAAATACAAGAAATTCTTGTTCAGTCCTCAGTTGATTTTTCCCAACACATTTGAATTTCTGCTGCTTTTTATGAGTATTAAACAACTGGCTATGTAGGTGCATGATCCATTATGATGTCAGGAAACTTACTTCGTTTGGCATTTCCTCTGTTTTTGGTAGATTGAGACCTCGTCCGGGACACTGGGGCCGTTCTGTGGCAATACACCTCCTCCATCTCCCTTTCTCACTCACTCCAACCACATCAAAATCCGTTTCACCTCTGATGGCTTTGGCAACAACAAAGGCTTTAATCTTGAGTTCAAGACCAGGGGTACTGCAGCCTCCATCTCACAAAGATGGAACATTTTTGTTGTTTTTGTTATGACTTTGAAGTGTGACCATAAATGTTGTTCATTGTGTCATACAGGCAAAGTATGTGGATCAGCGGTGACCCCACACTCCACTGTGACTCCTCACAAAACTGAATACGAGCCTGGGCAGACCGTGACAGTAACCTGTGATGTCGGCTATCTCGTGAATACAGTGAGAACCAGAATCATACCTTTGTGCTTGATGTCGATGTGAAACCTCCATTAAGCCGACAAAGCTTTTCTTTTGGTATGCAGAATGGGATCCTGGACCTTTCAACACAGTTTGATACGACCTGTCAGAGCACAGGCACATGGAGCCCCCTCTACCCCTGTAAAAGTGAGTCCCACCACATTCAGTCTGTGATTTTTCCCATTCTCGATTTTTTTTTCACAATCCCTTCATTGTGCTGTTTTCTCTGCCTCTGGTGTTTAAATAGTTGTGGATTGCGGTCGTCCAAATATCAAAGATGACAGCGTCCTTCAGCTGGTGGATTCAGCTGAACCAAATACGCAGTATAACAACCAGATCAAGTTCCACTGCAGTTCAGAGTACTACACCTTGGAAGGAGATGGTGACTCAAGCAGCCTTGCACATGTTTCTTCTCTGGTTTAAATTGATGTTGTTTATTAGTTGTGTCCTTTCCTCAATGGTTTAGACACATACACCTGCAATGCCAGTGGTGAATGGGCATCACTGAGTGGAAAGGCAGAGATGCCACGATGCACTGAAGGTAAGATGTTATTGTGTTTATTTTCCTTTTTCAAATAGTTTTTCATCCATTTATGAGATCTGTTAACGACGCCCATGTCTTTCAGTGTGTGGTAAACCTGCAAAGTACGTGTCGAGTGCAGGAAGAATTTTGGGAGGCAAGGCTGCAGAACTGGGAGAAATACCATGGCAACTTTTAACAAAGGAACCGAAAAGAGGAGGAGCCTCGCTCATAAATGATCGATGGGCTGTCACCGCAGCTCATGTTGTGGATGGGACTGAGAAAACCTTATTGAAATTCTTTGGTGGATTAGTGGACGGAAAACAATCAGATAGCTCTGATGTCATCAACATTGAGAGGATCATTATACATCCAGGCTACAGTAGTGAGGGTGCCAACAGTCAGACTAATTATGACAATGATATTGCACTTCTAAAATTCACCACTAGAGTGCACTTAGGCCCAAACCTGCTTCCTATTTGTCTCCCAGAGGTAAACAGGGGTGTGGTGGAAAATGAACAGGGCACTGTGTCAGGCTGGGGGATGACTGACAAGAATGACAAATTGGCACTTCGATCACGATTCTTGAAATATGCTCATGTTACTGCATACTCTTTGGATGAATGTCAAAGAACACCCAGCCTGCCAACAAACGAAGCCACAACTTTTACTGATAACATGTTCTGTGCTGGAGCAGCAGGGAAGGACAGCTGCAGTGGAGACAGTGGGGGACCTCTTTTTATGCCAATGCTGTCTGCCGATGAAGGGCCTTATTATCTGATTGGCATCGTGTCCTGGGGAGACCCCTGCAAGTTGAAACCCAAAAGTGACAACACTTATAAGGGTTACTACACCAAAGTGGAGAATTATGTAAACTGGATTAGGGAGACAATTGAGCAGGACAACGCCAATGAAAAGTAAAAGATTGCATACGCAGTCTGCTATTAACCATGAGAATATAATCTGTGCCTGAAATGATTTGTACCTTTATATTTGCAAAGCTTCTGAAAATGAAAACCTTACAATCAGTTGTGTAATCATCACTAAAATGACAACCATGAATTTTTATCAATTTTTACAATTTTACAGTATTGAAAATGTCTCCATTTTATTAAAGCAAGCCAATGAAAAACATAATAACATGCTGACAGTGACTCTAAGTGTCGTGCTGTCATATCCGTTGCAATTCCTGTTGTTGTTTTCATTAAAAAACATTTTCAAAATGTTGTTGTCTGATTCGTTAATTAATCCAAATGAATCTGGCCAGGACAGCAGTACCAATATTGATGTTATTCTTCATGTATGTGGACTGAAGGCATATGCAGGAAATACAGACAAAACGAGATGTGAGATACACACTTAATCTTTTGGAAACTGATAGTTTCATCACAGTCAGTTTCTCTCACAGTGTCTTTCCTGTTAAAAAAGCGAACTGCATTACTCAACAAACTTAACTGGACAACACTAGCACGCATGATAACAAAAATACGCTAAGCACTCCAGAGCAAACAGTCACATCTCATCTCTCAGTTCAATATCTTTATAGATGATGAATTGAATTAGGTCTTATACATTTTGTATTCAGATCTATTTAAACAGAACCTGGTTTGTGATTGTTGACATATCTTTGATTAGTATTAAAAAATGCACCTGCTTTGCTCTGCCTCCACCAGGTGGTGGCAAATATTTGTGAAACTGAGAAAAATACAAATATTTCTATTTGTACACACACGTGTTCACACAAAAACACCAAAGCATGGGACTTCTTAACATCATAATTTGCAATAAAATGATGATTCATTTTGAGTAGTTTAAGACATTATTCAGAGTTAATAATATACAAACCCAGCGCTAATAACTGCTTGAAAATAGAGAAAACAGACTTTTGGTAATGGCTACATGTATTTTTTCATTCTACCAAACAGAAGCTCCAGTGCAAAGATACTCTGAGATGAAATCTGAGTGGCCGCAAGCAATATCTCTATAAACTGGAGACACTTCTGATGCCCCAGAAATATAAACATCCCCCTCTAGTGATAGCAAGGAGGTAGTAGGTGAATGGGCCATATAATAGAGAAGGTTGGTTTAAAACACAAGCAGATTTGTTAAACTATGCGTGCAGATTCTTAGATGGATTGTGAATTGACATTTTTTTTACGTATAACAGTGTCAAAATCTGATCAAATCCTGAGTTTAATTCTGTATTTCTCTTGAAATCAAAGTCAAGTGAGTACTCGATACTGCCAAGACAAACAAAACATATTCCTGGCATTAACGCAACGAGTTGCTAAACCCTTGATACGACAGCCTTTGTGGACATTAATGTTTCACTTGAAAGACAGACATTTGCTCTCACACTGGCCGATCAGTTCGCTCACAGATCTGT